AGTGAAGGATCATTGAACCGACTGGCCCAGGCAACGATTCGTCGCACCCGACTCGGCCCCAGGACAACTCGCACCGAAAAGCTACATGTACATGAGATATGTACTTAGTCACGTCACATACAATAGGCTGCATACATAGTATTTAATGGCGCATTGGCGATCTGGCACGGTCCATCCTGTGGCCGCAGTGACTTGGCATAGATGCAGGTTATCCCTGCTAACGCCTTGTACATTCTGTACATTCTGTACATTCTGTATGTTTTGTGTTTTGAATAGCCGACAATAGATAGTTACGTATCTGGGTAAATCCGTGGAATTATGTCCTAGAAGTGTTGATGTAAGGGTGTATCTTCCGATGCAACTGCTCTGCTGATGTTTTGCATTGCAGATTGCCCCTCCAAGTATCGCTGGCCTCGGCTTGAGCGATTGGCGGAATTGCCTAGTGGACCTAATTCCGCTATTAAATGGAGGAATGTATATCAACGTCATTGGCATGGATGCGATGGAAGAGCCGGGAGTGATATCTTCGATACGGTCGCTACTGCCCAGGAATTTCGCGAAAAGATATCTCTATTTACTATGCCAGATATAAAGACAAAATCTTTTTTTGTTCACCGCCCTAACCATCTGAAGGAAAGGGTCTAACTCCGAGCATAATGATATTGAGGAGCAAAAAATCCACAGAATTCGAATGGTATATGAGCAAGACATGGCACATGAAATTCCCGAGTCAGTCGGAGCGTAGATACATTTTCTTCGTCTAGACACTGATCGTCTTGAAAACACTATAAAACGAGATCGGTTAGCTTGCTTCATAACTCAGTATCAAGAATATAACATACCTGAATCCACTGCTGCCGGTCGCCATGAGCGTACCAGGCATCTGTTTCTGCCAGTGGAGTTCCTTGACAGCCTCCATATAGTGAACGAAGAGAAGTTGCGAAGGAATATCCGCCATGTTGGCCTGGCGGCTTTCTTCGTCGTCCAGCTCGACAGCAAGATCCCAAAGTGTGACAGTGTTGTCTGCGGAACCAACAGCGACCACACTGTCATCTGAGGGGTGCCATTCGATGGTGGTGATCGGCTCCTTGTGGAAGTCGAATGATGCAACGGGGGTAGAGGTGATCTGAGCAGAAGGCGCCGAGGCATTGGGCTTCCAGTGACGCAAATCCCAGACTGCCCACTGTCCATCGTCGGCACCAGTAGCCAAAAGGTGAGCTGTCTGGTTAGACCAGCTCATAACGTTCACGTCGGTGTTGGAGACCTGGACGTCGACCGCGGGCTTGCGCGACTTGGATCGCACATCCCAAACCTTGACGCTACCGTCACTGCTAGCAGATGCAAACACATTGCGCTCGTTAGGAGACCACTGCAATTCCTCAATTGAGGAAGCGTGGCCTGTGAATGGCCGGGTGTCGGTAACCCAGCCGCCGCCTTCGGTGCGAGTAGTAGCGTAGATCAATCCGTTGTTGTCACCGGTCAACAACTTTCCAAGAGGCTGGAGCGGAGACCAGTCCAATGCATATCCTTCGGTCTTGTGCATACGCAGGGTGGAAAGAGGCTTAGATGCTGAAGGGGGAAGAATGGTGCCGGGAACATCGAAGCTGGAAAGGTGGGCGGTAACATCATGAATAACAACTTGCGAGTTCTCGAGCCAGGTCGCGGTGAGAGTCTGCGGGGGCTTGGAGTAATCACCGGACTGTGAGGGGGTCTGGTGGGTACGGATGCGGTTTGTTGTTGAGCCAAGCGGGATTGACTTGGACTCGAGGATGGGCTCGCCCATGTCGTCGTCATCCGAGTCACTGTCTGACTCGGCGCCGTTGTCCTTCTCCATTTTGCTCAAGCCGCTCATCTTGAGCACCATGAGTTCATTGTCCTTCTTTTTCGATCCCTCGGCTTGTGTACCAGTAACAGCGTAGACAGTAGCGGGGTAGGTCTTGCGGTTATCACCGAGAGAATCGCGCACAATATCGAAGGAAAGGCACGGCCAGGGTGTGCTGAGTGTGTGAAGCATATCATAAGTGGAGGGATCGGGCGATAGTGTCTCTCCGGGTGCCAATTTTGTTCGTCCAGGAATAAAAGTCTCCTTGTCGACATCCATAGCTTCTATAATATTTAAAAAGGTTAGTTCAGTTGAACAAATTCGGACATTCCGGTAGAGTATACGCACCCTTTTCTTCTTCCTCGCGCTCAGCATCTGGGCGACCATCCACTCCGGCTTCTAGGATCTCATCTTCACTCTCGAATTCATCCTCGAACTCGTCTTCAAACTCCCCCGCCTCGTCCATTGGGGCATCTGCAATTGGCCGATCGCCAGCCTTGAGGGCGGCGGTATTCTCGTCGACTTCAGCACTTCTCTTGGACATCTTGAAATCCGTTGAAAAGGTGTTAATTATAAGAGTGTCGAGACCAAGGAGGGGATGCGATAAGAACTTTTTTTTTCCCGTAAATTTTGGCAACAGCGTGGGAGTGACGCTAAACCTATCGTGGACTAGCGTCAGATCACAGTTGCCCGCCCTCGAGCTGAAGGTACCTGAGGGACTCGGACGTTCTTATTTATGTGTCTGGGCCCTGTTGTTTCAAAAGGAATTACATACTTGACATTCATTTCTAGCCTGGTTCCTGCATTTGTTTGCTTTGCTTAGGATTTTCGTCACCTCCCCCGCCTCCCCCCAATTCTGTCTGTTTACTCAGGGACAACCCTTGTCCGCTTGAACTCCCGAGACACAGCTCTCGGCTCCTTCAATTTTCTTAAAACAATCCCTTGAGGAATCCACATGCAATCTCGCTAGATTGCGCTGGAATTTCAGCCCTCTGTGTTACTGGTCAGTTATCTCCTGAAATCCTCCGTCCAACACCTCCGGGTATACGCTGACAATCAGGACTTGTTTAATAGGTTGCATTTCTGAATTCTACCCCGATAACGATATCGAAACACCATGGAGTTCCCTAAGTTTAATTCGGAGCCTTTTGCTGCACCTGACGTAGGAGCGCCCGCTGTTCCCGTCGGTGCGCAATCTGAGCAGATTGCCCCGGAGGATCGGACGCAGCAGGTACAGGAGCAAGCACACGGACTGGGAGAGGAGATTCCGCCCGAGCAGCCTCTGGAGCAGCCTCTGGAGCAGCCTCTCGGACAACCTCTGGACCAACCTCTGGAACAGCCTGCACATGTCATGGTCAATATCGAAGAGCCGGCTTCCGACCACACAAGCAGCCGTGCTGCCATCAACAATGGTTATAACAGCGACTCGAAGGCGCATTACCACTCGCGATCGACTGACTTTCATCAATCTGCCCCCGAATATGCCGCCCAAGATACCGATCAGTCCCGCCAGAACTCATCTCCATTGCTCAGCCACCACGCACTACCTGTTCCCAACTCCAGACCTGGATCTGGAGTCTCCAGTGGTACAGAACGCAGCCCTGGCGTTTCTCAGTTGCAGCAACAAGATGCCAGCCAGCGCCAAGCCACCCAGGCCAACAAGAATAGTGTGGTGATTAAAGTTGGTATGGTAGGCGATGCGCAGATCGGAAAGACCAGTTTGATGGTCAAATATGTCGAGGGCAGCTGGGATGAGGATTACATCCAGACATTGGGTAATTTGAATTTCTGTTCATCAAGTGGCTCTGTTCTTTCTAACTGAGGACTTGTCTAGGTGTCAACTTTATGGAAAAGACAATTTCGATTCGCAACACTGAAATCACTTTCTCGATTTGGGATCTCGGTGGTCAGCGTGAGTTTGTTAATATGCTACCGCTTGTCTGTAATGACGCTGTTGCAATTCTTTTCATGTTCGATCTCACTCGCAAGAGTACGTTGAATTCAATTAAGGAGTGGTACCGCCAGGGACGTGGCTTCAATAAGACAGCCATTCCCTTCCTGGTGGGGACCAAATATGATCATTTTGTGAACTTCCCCCGTGAGGATCAGGAGGAGATCTCTATTCAGGTATTCGGTGATCCTCGTCTATTTCCCTACAGCAACTAACATATTTACAGGCCAAGCGATTTGCTAAAGCGATGAAGGCTAGTCTGATATTTAGCAGCACCAGCCACAGCATCAATGTGCAAAAGGTACGTTGCGACCCGTATCCTATTGTTCGGCTTATTTCAAGCCCGATAAGACACATGCTGACCCACTGCAGATCTTCAAGATCGTTCTTGCCAAGGCATTCGATCTTAAGTGTACCATTCCGGAGATCGAGAATGTTGGAGAGCCCCTCCTCCTCTACAAGAATGTCTAAGAATTGCCCGTTTACCCTGACGATGATGTACATTGGGACGAAGTGACGCTGCTGATGATCGACGCTGGCCCTCTACCCTCACGGCTTTACCACTTTGTGAATTTCCCTTTCCTTTCTCCAACGATGTACTTGACCTTTCTTATGTCTGTATCACAGCCTCGGGCTCTTCTGAACAGGTTGCATGCTATCAGTTGGAGATCTCGGGGCTTGTTATTTTTTAACTGCTAACCTTCTCCTTGTCATTTTCTTTGCTGCATCTTCTTCCTTCATTCATCTCTGAATGTAGCTAGCTTTTTTTGTGTTCCAGATGAGGACTTCACCAGCTTAAGGCGTTTGGGAGTCCGAATCGTGATATTCTGGAAATACATTCAAACCTCTTCTGTTTGCAATCTTTTCATATTGTAGATGTATGTATGTACTTCGTACCTCGAAGTTCCAAATATAGATCTGGACCCATGGATACTCCGTATATCGCCCCAAGGCTGACCCCCTCTTTAGTTGAGCCTCTTGTTTTGTTTTTTGTTTCTTTCTTTACTCCTTCAATACTGGCCTTTCCCGTCTTGCTCGCCGGGGTTCTGGTAGCTGAAATTTAATTATCAGCAACAATTTATTTACGATTATCCGGGGTGTCTGAAGAGTCCGACCAGGCTACATACTTTCGCCCCCGCCAAGCCAAGGACAAGCTACCCTGCAACCCAAGTTATTAAATTTGTCTAGACACGTCTTGACTTGCCCCTCAATATAGGCTTAGGCACCATGACTGAAGATCCCAAGTTGAATTCTATCCAGCAACGGATCGCCAGCCTCAACCAGTCGCAACTGGCCCACCCACCGGGAGGCCCTCCACCACCATACCGCCCAAACGCCCAACGGAGCGCCTCAGCCAACAACCCTCCCTCATACGATGCAGTCGGCTCCGTGGTGGATAGAACATTTGTCGGAAATGAACCCGCAGATGAGAGAACCCAGAGGCGGGTCCTGCAAGCGCCTTCAATGGAATCGCTCCGGCCTGAAGTGAAACCCAAACCAAAAGCCCCTCCGCCGCTGCCCACGCGAAAATTAGGTCGCCTGCCTCCTCCTACACCAGCTCGCCCTGCGCTACCACCGCGCAGACCGACGGACCAAAAGCGCAGACCCTCCCTTGAGTCGGTCGCTTCCGATGCGTCATATTCGACAACGTCGACAGCTCTAACTGCAGGGCGGGGCACATCAACAACATCGGTGAACTCCACCGTTAGCAATCGCATCAAGGCGCCTGCATGGGGCGAGACAGAATTGCCTACATTGCCTCCCCGCCGACCAAAGGAGCAAGCTAGCTTGGAACCGCCCCCGCGGCCTACAATCAGTAGTAAGAGGAGCTTCGGAAGCCTGTCTGCCCGATTGACCTCCAAAATATCGCTACCGGGCTCCAAACCGCCCGTTCCCCCTCTTCCAAGTCAGCCTCCACGACCCAGTGAACCTCCTCGACCTACGCAGCCCCCTCGGCCTACGCAGCCTCCACGGCCTACGCAGCCTCCGCGGCCTAGTTCGTCTCCAAATCCTAGCCGGCCACCCCCGCGCTATGAGGAAGAGGAACCCCCAGTACCTCGACTGCCAGCACGCCGGCCATCCGCAGTACATGCAGACACAAATGGAACCGGTGATGACTTGAGTGTCAATCTACCGATTCGGAAGACATTACCTCCTCCGCCAACGGCCGCGCAGATCAAGGACGCTAGGCAGCTCGGGTTTGGCGATACGACTCCCAAACCCAGCAAAACTCCGCCACCAATTCCACATGGCTCCCGTCCGGATCTATCCAAAATTCTGGCTACCAAGCCACGTTTCAATGGGTCAGCCGTGTCTCCAAGTCCCCCACCCCCCGCGCCAGATACGGAATGCTTGGTATGTCGGGACTTCTCGGGCCCTGATAATCATGCAGCCCAGTACCCTCGTGCATCGCTTCCCACACAGGATATGGCGTGGCTGGCCAATGCGTTGACAGCACCGTTCCCATCCATGACAGACAAGGCACGCGCGATATTTACGTGGTTGCACCATAACATCTCCTACGATACATATGCCTTCTTTAACCACTGTGTGCAGCCCTCCACACCAGCCAGTACTCTTTCATCTGGAATGGCAGTCTGCGAAGGCTACGCAGGACTATTTGCAGCATTAGCCACCCACGCTGGTCTAGAGGCAATAGTAATCGGTGGCCACGGCAAAGGCTACGGACACACCCCTCTTGCTCCAGGGGCCCGGACCCCCCCGTACCAAGGCAACCATGCCTGGAACGCTGTCAAAATCGACGGAGGCCGATGGAAGCTAATCGACCCCTGTTGGGGCGCAGGAGCAATAGAAGAAGGACAGACATACAAGCAGCGATTTGAACCAGCGATGTTCTCAATTCCGAACGAAGAGTTCGGCCTAAAGCACTTCCCAGAAAACAAACGCCAATTCTTCCGCGAGGACGGACGTCCCGATCTAACCTGGGAAGAATATATCCTCACAGACCCAGATCGACCAAATGGCGTCGAAGGCCTAAAAGTCTACAGCGATGCCGACAAGCGCACTCTCGGCCGCAAGACCTTCCAACCACAAGGCTTGCGCATTTCCATCAGCACGCCGGGTCCAATGCGCTTCCAGTTCGGTCTCCTCTGTCCGCACTGGACACTGTCTCGCCACAGCCACATCCAGCATGCGGGCTTGTTCCTGCTTATGATCCATGGCGTGGACGGACGAGAGGATGACAGACTTCCTTTCACACATGTATCAGGCTCCGGACCCGCGGGCGGTGGCGAGCTCTGGTATGTGGATGTCCCCAGTGCACGTATGCTTGGTGCGCCTGGTCAGAAGCTGCAGTTGGCTGTGTTGACTAGCTTCGGGGATCAGAAGGATGCTAGTGCTGTTACGGCGCAGGAGTTCAAGGAGAAGGTTGGCCGGGTTGGGATGAGTTGGGCTTATGTTGCTGAGTGGGAGTTGGTTAGATAGGTTTCTACTGGACTTGTTGCTTATCTGCGGCAGATGGTTTGATATATTCAGGTGGGCAGCAGGTGCTTTAATATTAATGTATGGTTTGTCTTCTGGCGGTTTGACGGTTTGACCTTGTTCGCAGGGTTGCGACATTCACAGATATACATGGATGGATACCTACTTTCAGGTGTGTCTTATTAATCAATTCTACCATTTTCAAGGTTATTAGGTATCTCTTCCGAGAGTCTAGGCAATCCTTACTCACGATTAGTATATGTATGTTCTTTGATATGTAAATTTTTGTTTTGCAATATGGCATATAGTCTCTTGCTTGATATAGTTGTAAGAACAAAAAGCACCACTGGTCACAACAGAATCAAAGCAACTGGAAGAAAGCAAGATACTGAGCTCAAGATTGAATGTTTGTTCAACAAAGAAAGATAGCTGCATAGGGAAGGGGAGTGATTGATTATTATGAGTGATGGTGAAAGAGCAAATCTATGTTGATACCTAAATTGGCTGTCTTTTGAGGCTGATAAATTTATAAATAGCCCCTTTAGTTCCCCCAAAATCAGCCGCCATCCCCGCATATGTCAACTTCTTCAACATCCATCAACCATTCAGGTGTTTGATCAACAATGCCTTGCTTGATAGATCTCCCCCAGGAGATCCGTGCCATTATCCTAGAAGAAGTAATCAACGGCGTGACACGCACAGCCCATCGAACAGTCTTTCTCTCCTCCTGACAAGTCATCAAGTCTCAACTGAAGCCCAATTAGCCCTCAATCGAATGAAAAAAACCACCTATGTCCTTGACATCTCAGTTCTGAATAATATCTGGATCTGTTTGCAACCTGAATTTCAGTCCCATGACGTACAACCCGTCATCTACGCTCCAAGTAGACATACGCCTTTTCGGACGGATAATCACTGACAAAGAGGTGAGTGATCAATTAGGGTGTGGTGGTCACTACGGTTTTCATTGTTTTTTTTTACGCCCTGCTCGAACGGTTCCTACGGTATGGACCAGTGGGCGTGAAGAAGGGCAAGAAAATGCGCAGAAACGTGTGGAACCCCTCCTACGAGGACCGTGAGATCTCTGTTGAAAATCTCGTCCTCGAATTTCGCTCGGCTCAGACAGGGCCACCATTCCCCCCGATAATATCGGATACCAAGCGTGGGCGAGGAAACATCAAGGCAGACGTCAGTCGAGTGGTGAGCAGATAGACAATTCTTTGGCGTACAAAGCACGTCCAGAGTGGGTTTTGCTCTAGTTGAGAGGGTTGTTGGCATATATCACTGGTATGAGTTACCATACGGCGAGATATGGGGCATCCATCTACGAGAGACTCGTACCATCACCATAATGGTGGATGGAAGGATGGAGTGTACCATTGATCTTGCGAATAAATTGGCTAGGTTGCATTCCAATAATCCTACCGATACAATGGGGCATCTGTCGACGGAGACTCGATTGGTTGAGTTTTGGAAGTGGAAGAAAAAAACACTTCTCAGAAGGGAACCACTTGGGTTTCCTGTTGTGTGGCCACAGGATGTAGAGTGGGAGTGATTAGTTCTGATTTAGGTAGATGAAGGACACTGTTTCTTGACATCAATGGGAGGATACTTGGATAATGTTGCAAATGTGATATTCTTTTATCTTTTGGTGATAGAAATGAAAACATGAACTTCCAAGGTTGTTAACATCACCTGGGCACCTGATCAACATACACGTTACATAATATTACACTTTGGTTGAGAAAGAAAGGAGCTACCTGGCCTGCACTTGCAAGTTTGTAGTTCATTGAAAAAATCAGCACCTAACGCTATTTGCCTGGTTTGACCTTGATCATTCATCATCTCTCCTTGCCTCCTCATAAAGTTGTTATTGCTGCTAGAGTCCCGTCGTCCCTCCTGTCTACGTGCAGGTGCTGACTAAATTCAGGGAGCTTGGAATTATCTCGCCATTCCTGCCACGAACGTGGCCACTTGAAGGCCGTTTGTCCAGCTGTAGAGGCTAGGAATCCTTGTTTTCTTTCCAAGACCTAGTCCAAGTCCTCCGTGCCGTAGGTACAACTCTATCAGCATTATTTGGAATTGTGCTCACATGATACTAGGAAGTGTATCAAACGAAGGGAAAAATCGTTGGTCTCCTGATTCTACCGAGAATCTAAGCTATCGGGCGAGGTCCCGTCGTCCCTCCTGTCTACATAAAGGTGCCGACCGAATGCGGGAAGTTTGAAATCATTTCGCCATCTTCTCATCTGGACGAAATCTCAAATTCATATAGCAGCGATCAGAGCCTTTGAAAAGGTATTTGATGATTGGGTAGAACGCGACAGCGACACTGATTCCCCTGAATCCTATGGGTATGTCAACATCCATATGTTGAAGAAGAATAAAGGCGCAGATTCATCTTGGGTGCGGTCTGTGCTGGTCATGGTTGTGGGCTAACCGTATGGAACTATCCCCTGTTGACATGGGTGTCACAAAAAATCCAGCTATGTCCCGTTTCGCCCTGAAAGGCCTAGGAGCAATTCGGGCCCTTTATCTCCTTGGTCTTAGAAAAATTGAGGAAGTCTATCTTCATGGTCTAATTGAATATATGAAAATAGAAAGATACTGATCGTGGCGATTACCCAATATAATCAAAATCTCAGCAAAGAAACCATCGGTAAGTACTACACACAGTTGTCTGCATTGGACAGAAAATAACCCTTTTCAATATGATGACTGACTTGAATTTCTTGCTGTTTTGATAGAAAAAGGCAACCACGGAGTGGAGTAGACTTATTGAGATTGGCGATTGTAAACCTCAAAAGGAAAACACAGTCAATCTTGATTTGCTGTGAGTGTATCTTCCTGCGACAATCCTTGAGACATCACCTAGGCAATATTCGAGGAATCTAGTCATCTTGATGATAACGAGGATATCTGTGGGATACCTTTATGGAAAACATGTTATGATATTCCCGGTGTTTTTCACCTGCGGCTCGAATGGGGGATACCCCGGATTGATGCGTGCCAAGCACAGTCTCATGTTGATCAATATATTCGCAACTTGCCGATAAGGCTGAAGAAGGAGAATCCTTGTTAGCTTGTCTTATTTGTTAAATTATTTGTTAAATAACTTAGTTTGAAACATGTTTACCATGTAAAGCTTTGCCTGAAAAGCGACTGATCCCATTCCCTCGGGACTCTTGGGAGTAGCCCCTATATTATCACAGCCAAGTAGAGAAGTCGCTCTCAGACCCTCATACATATATTTGGCTTTCCCTTTCTGTTCTAGTGCTTACCTCTTCTACTCAGATGGGCCTTTGCCGTTATTCGAGTAATTATAGGAATAGTTGGAAATTGCCCAGGGGCGAGCACCGCCACACCGCCAACTTGGTCTTATATAATCGAGTATTGCCCAGGTGGGCAGGTAGTCAAGTGCTCCTTAACTTCTTTTGGTCTTTCTGGGTTCGTGGGGTTGGCCAAGTTTTTCCCCCTTGTGGGTTCCAGCCCCCACCTCACTATGTTCTTCTTCTCACTATCCTTTACGGAGTATAGTATCTTGAATTGACTACACTCTTTAAAGAACTGACATGAGAATTTCTCTATGGAACAGAAAGCACAAGAATCAATAGTGGATTTGATCCTAAAAGGGGAGAAGAGAGCTCCCTGTCTCTGGCCTGATTCATCAGGCATCAAGCACGTGGTGATTTTCTCCGACTGTCAACAGGTGCGTTAAAGTACATGGACCCGTAAGATTATGCCCCGCTCTGTAGACCCCTGGATTTTCTATTTTCCACTTTTAGTTCATTATAATCTTTCATTTCCCTTCGGGGCTTACTGTCTTTACAATTTTCCCTTCAAGAGGGTGTCGTTATTGGCATGAAATCTTCAATGAATCACCCAGGAGATCACTCCTTTCGTAGGAAGCTTGAGGAATCGGCGCTTTTCGTCCTCAATGTCGCCAGATCACCTCAGCTTTATCTTGACCTCTACCTTGATCGTGCTCGCGCATCTTTCTTCTCCGTCATTTTCATATCCCTCATACTGTCCAAATGCTTCCATCTCTGTGTCCATCTCACCTCCCTAGAGGTCCCCTCCCTCTTCCCATGGGGACCCACCTTCTTCCTGGTGGATCTTCTGTTTATTCTGGTGGCGTGCGCCCTAACACGTTCGTTTGAATCGCGGATATTGCGGAACGTAACCGCTGTTGTAACTCTTGTATTCGGGTGAGCCGTCGTCCGAACTTATAGATAAACAGTAAATCGCTAATTACATATCCTAGTCTATATATCTCGACGATGACCTCCGCCAACATCTCCTTTTATGTCCATACAGGCGCGGAGATTCCCTGGCAGAAACCGGACAGCTCTCAGGACACCCCCAGCCCCGCTGGCCAGACCGTTCTGTCCGCGTTGACAGTCGCTATCCTCGTTGATGCATTGATTATGATCGCTTCGTACTTCGCCACACCGTATATATTTGAAGCTACCGAAACTTTCCTGGTGATTTGGGTTTCGCTTTTGTTCTCCCCTATCCGCCGATATCTTCGGCGCAAGTCCCCGGTGAGGGCAGATCCAGAGACCTATCAGCAGATTGAAATCGAGGACTATGATGAGGCTCAGAATGACAGCGACTCCGTATCGCAATTGGATATGCCACAAGCTCCACCCGAGCAGAAGAAGAGTCGGTCGATGCTGAAGCGCGTTATTGTCATATCATGTGGCTTAATTCTAGTTTTGCTCAGTCTCGTTCGTCCACGGAATGCGGATTACACTTATCTCTCTAACTCCCTTTCTCTCGCGCCGTTCGGCGGACAAGAATATCGGCCCGCTCATGAACGTCCCACACCGACGAATGAAAGTGCCGCTCCTGAAACTGCTCCTGAAAGCACCCCAGAAAATGCCACACCAAGTGCCCCAGAAAGCGCCCCAGAAAGTGCTCCGTCAAGCTTCCCACCGAGTGCCACGTCCAGTGCCCCTAGTGAAGTTGCCACTTCATTGCCGGCTGATTTCAGCTGGCTAGAAGACAAGACCGCTCTAGGCGAGTTTCCCACATTTGACTGGTTACCTGCGTACAATTCGTCGGAGGGCTCTCCAGATTGGTCTCCCTTCCATATGAATAGGTACAACAGGCCTGAATATGTGTATGAACACTACGACCCACTGAAAGATCCTTTGCACACCCCAAATCTCCAGAACGACATTTTGGAGCCTATTCGTGAAGCTCTCCACGACGGAAGTGTGAAAATTAAGCATATCTTTCTCATCAAGTTAGAGAGCACTCGGCAGGATGTGTGGCCCTTCCGCAATTCCTCTTACATCATGAAGCACATCCATGACACTTACCCGAAAGGCATCCCCGCGGATGTCCAGGATAGGCTCACTAAGCTCACCCCTACTGCCGAGCGTTTAACCGGATTTGGGACCGGGTTCAGTGAGAACAAGCCGAAGCCATACGGTGGACTGAGTGCGAGCAACGCTTACACGTCCGGGACCTACACCCTGAAGAGTATTACAGCCACTGTGTGCGGTGTGAATCCCATGGCTGTTGAGGCCAACCTAGAGTACCTGCACGATATTTATCAGCCTTGCTTGCCGCATATATTCGAGGCAATAAACAACCAGCCAAACACCACTAGTGAGACAGAAGACAATGACTGGACTTCCTGGCCGTGGCACACTATGTGGATGCAGTCACACTCGGACGCCTGGGATAATCACTTTTTGCTTCATCCTGTGCTGGGATACAAAGATATTATGGCAAAGAGAACAATCGATGCAGATGGTGCTATATATATCCCGGAAGAGACAACAGAGGAGGAGGAACATGGTCATGAGGATAAACTACTGAAAAGTTATCTACGGGATGTGATTAATGATGCGCAGAAGAACAACACTCGCCTCTTCCTTAGCCATCTAACACATAATACGCACACTCCTTATTATATGCCTGGTGAATATAAGGAGATGCTGGGGGATGTGTCGAATGAGCGGAACGAAAGGTTGAACCGGTATCTGAACACCGTACACTACCAGGATCAGTGGATTGCCGAGGTGTTGGAACTTCTTGAGAACACCGGTATTGCCGATGAGACCCTCCTCGTGATGATGGGTGACCAGTAAGTCCTACCTATACCACACGACCCCTCCAGCCTCAGCCTCAGCCTCTAACATCTTTCTAGCGGTTTATCACTTCCAAATGACGGCGGCATCACAGCCTGGCACTCCCCTCACGTCGGTAATTTCCACGTACCATTATTCTTCTCTCATCCCAAACTCCCCCAAATCGAAGTCAGCAATGCCGTCCTCACCACCCAAGTCCTCCCCACAATCCTCGACCTCCTCATCGAAACCTCCTCCATCGACGAACAAGGAGCAAAGATCATCTCCGATCTCCTCCCGATGTACGAAGGCCAGTCAATGCTCCGCGAACTAATCCAGGAGCACGAAGGCAGGAAAGAATGGCATTTCTCCACAATGAACCCCGGCGGAACATGGTTCACCATGCGCTCAGCAGCCCAGCCGTACCGGTTAGTCGTTCCTCTCAGAGCCGACGGCAAATGGCGATTCACGGATGTCGTCGCCGATCCATTCGAGCTCGAGCCTGTGGACGATCACCAAATCCTCTTCCTGGCCGATGTCGTGCTGAAGAAGCATGGACCTGAGGCTGTGAAGTGGCTTAACGAGGCGTCTCATGTCGCTAAGTGGTGGGTTAAGGAGAATCATCGTCGCTGGCACTTCAATCCTAATAACCCGAAGAACGATCCTTGAGATCTGCATGATGTGGGCCGCGTTCGATGTAGCAGTGTCGGCGCTGCTAGACTGTACTTACACTACCTTTCTTATATGTATTTATGCTTGTTCATGTAAATATGAAGTAATTGCGTGTTTCGAATTGGATATATGTTTTTCCTGCGTGGTTGTTTCTTTCTGTTTGGCTTAGTAAATCTCGATATCGTCCACGGGTGTATGGTTGGTCGGTTGATGTATACTGGTTGCTGTTGAGGTTGGGTTCCCGTTGACTGGACGGCCCACAGCAAGCTGAATTGAGTAAAAGCCGTACTCCGTAATCGAGGAATGAACCGTGGGGGAACTTGCCACAACTCTGCGGTGCTGAGTATGTGGACAGTGGCAGTAGCTGTGTCGCGGTTGGGGCTTGGTTGCACGATCCGTTGACTGGGAATCCTCTCTTCCTGATGAGTTCAAATGGTGAACCTTTTGTTGTGAAAACGGCAATGCCTATATCTAATCATAAGTGCGGGCCGGGCTTGTGGCTTGATTGGGGCGGAGTACTAGGTTGTTGAAGGACAAATGTATATGTCTAATTTTAGTGTTCAGCTGTAGAGGCAGTGGTCGGTTTAGATTATAGGTTAAAGGGAATAGGCTTGTCGAGGTAATTGTGAAATCATAGGGCAGGCTAGTGACTGATAGTATGGAATCTGGCGATGTCGATTGAGGTCGGGTTCGTGTACATCGTAGGCCGGGCTCGCTGGATTATTTGTCAGGGCGTTGATAGAGCCTGGTGTAGAACAATTAGTATTTTCCAGAGATTGCTTTTAGCAACTGATCTACCACAAGCAGTCATCTCCGTGTACTTTTGTTTTCCAATGCGATATTGCTAAAAGACCCTTAGCAAGGCCTTTCAGGGGTGAAGTAGCATGCGATATCACCAACTTCTTCTGACACGGACCTGGCGGTGGAAGCCATTCTGGACAAGGTGAAGAGGTGATGCGGAAGAGAGACTTCACACATTGAGTGGGGATTGGGGCAACGAAGGGGCTTCGGGTACATAATGGCGAAAGGATTCATGGCCCACTTTAGGCTGTGGTCTGATTATGTTCCATCAGGGATTCTCTCCAATGCCAGTGCTTTCTGTGGAATGGATGACGAAGATTTAGCGGAATTCGATCAGCGCACCAATGAGATAGATGCAAAGCCGCATCCTCAATATACAAGCCATGGCCAGTAGATCATTTTCCGATGTTGGTTTATCCACACGGCAATGCTCTCGATGTTGTTTATATATGTAGGTTGACCCCATAGTCTAAATGCTACTTCACTGATCAGCTTATATACTAAGCCAGTGCTGACGTCTATTCAGTGATAAGACTGGGCACCCTTATAAAGCGGTAGATAGGAAAGGCCGACAAACGTTACCCTGTTTATATCTCCATATATAGTACTCCGTACTCCGTACACAGCCTCTTTAAGAAGAGACTTCAACTAGATTACCGTGGTCCGTGCAGGTAGCAAGGAAAAAAAGCACCACCGATGTCAGTGGCTTGAGAATCAAAGCAAAAGCTAATATCAGAGATCGTCCGCGCTAAGTATCAGGTTATAGAGAATAGGTTATAGAACAAAAACTACGGGGGAATATCTCGGTGAACGCAAGTGGGATTTCCCCAGTCCTCCGCATTGTTTCCCACGCGGGGAATGTCACATCGGATGTGAGAACTCGAAAACCTTGATTATCTACAAAATACGACATTCAACATGCAATGTAAATTACATATTGATCTACATCAATAGCCAGTGACAAGATCAGGTACTCCGAAGTCCTGAAACACAATTAACTTTGCAACGTAACCTGCAAGCGAACTACATACTATGAAAAAAAGAGAAGGGAAAAAAAAAAAAAAAGAAACGGACACAAAACAGCAGACACAATAGAAAAGTCTCGGCCAATACCGGCATGTGAAAAAATCGAAAACACCGCATGGCAAGGGCCGAGTTCAAGCCGAGTCCACTTCGGCGAGTGTCAGCCACTGAAGTTCATGAGAAGCCGTGTACCGTCCCGTTCTGGGAATATGCCCGTAGTCGGGGGCCCCGGACTATGCACTCGGATGACCGGTTGAAAGGAGATGCTTTTCATTCGTCGTCTTATGTAGCCTTGTGGACACACCGGCTAATTTCAAAGAAATACTGTAAGATTACTCCGTACCTGGTACACATGTTAGAGTGTACTTTGTAGGGTTCGGTCCAGGCGTGTTTTTGACAAGGAAATGATAATCCAGGCACCTTCCAAGGTTTTTGTGGGTTCTGGGGATATCCGTAAACCCATATGCACATTGATCCTTTTTCGATTTACAAGAGCCACATTTCTCCAGAATTCGATGTCTATGTCTTTAGTTCTACACAGGAACGCCACTGCCGTACACGGGTGCCGAGTGCAGGGACAGTCAGCCCGACTCTCACCCCCCGAACACGGCTTCCGGGTTCGGTTCTCAATAATTACTGCTGGCCTTCTTCGGCTCAGAATTTGTTGTGGCCGATTCCCCGGATCCCAGTCCAGTACCCAGGGGGTCGACCAATCACCGTAAAGCGGGTGGATAAGCATAATTCAATTTCCATCAATCAGAAGTCGTAGAGCACGCTGGGGTTGCAAACGGAGTCTTGGCATGGTCCTATTGCAACTCTACAGTATTATATCTCTCCCTTATTTATTTTTGTACACAGATGGTCACATATTTTACACTAATTTCTCACCCCAGGCATCCCATACACGGGACAGCAAGTGGGGATACAGAAGGAAAATAAACGGAACAATATACAGGGGGTGGATTTTATTAGTTGGACATTTCTCACTGTAGAGAAGAATTTTCCCGGCATGCGATCTATTTAAGCAGGCAGGTTTTTCCTCGTTCCTTTTTCGATTGCTTGTAGTAGTACTCTTCTTCATTTGTCTCATTTTGCCCCCGGCTTGGGTTCAATAGTCGCCATGTATGTCGTGGGAAATCTCTACGCCATCACGGCGGTGTCCGTCATTGGCGGTGCACTGTTCGGTTTCGATATCTCGTCCATGTCGGCCATTATTGGCACACCGGCCTATAAATGTTATTTCAATCAGGGGCCTAGGGGCCCTCCATTCAACGACGACGACATATGCAGTGGTCTCAGCTCCCTGGCTCAGGGTGGTGTTACCGCTGCCATGCCCGGTGGTTCTTGGCTCGGTGCTCTGATCTCTGGTTTCATTTCGGATCGTCTTGGTCGCAAGTATGCCATTATGGTTGGCTGTGTTATTTGGTAAGTGGTTGCATGATTGCATAGTTAGGAGTTGATGTTGGACCGCGGCTAACAGTCTGTTCGTTAGGGTTATCGGCTCTGTCATTGTCTGTGCTTCCCAGAACATGGGTATGCTCATTGCAGGACGTGTTATCAACGGTCTCAGTGTTGGAATTGAGTCCGCTCAGGTTCCTGTTTATATCTCGGAGATTGCTCCTCCCTCCAAGCGTGGTCGTCTCGTCGGCTCCCAGCAGTGGGCCATCACCTGGGGCATTCTGATCATGTACTAGTAAGTGCACACCACTTGACCTTTGAATAGTGAGTCAGTAACTGACTCTTTTTTTCACAGTATCTCCTTCGGCTGCTCGTACATCGGACATGGCAACCAGGCCACCTCCCACAACTACAGCGAGTCTGTCTTTCGTATCCCCTGGGGTGTGCAGGCTGTCCCCGCCGTCCTCCTCTTCTTTGGAATGATGATTCTCCCCGAGTCCCCTCGTTGGTTGGCCCGCAAGGACCGCTGGGAAGAGTGCCAGGCTGTGCTGGGCCTAGTCCACGGCAAGGGCGACATCAACAGCCCCTTCGTTATCGCCGAGATGCAAGAGATCCGCGACATTTGCGAGTTCGAGCGCGAGAACAAGGACGTCACCTACTTTGAGCTGTTCAAGCCTAATATGATCCACCGTACCATGACCGGAATCTGGACGCAAATCTGGTCCCAGCTGACCGGTATGAACGTCATGATGTACTACATCACCTACGTCTTCACCATGGCTGGATACACAGGTGATGCCACCCTCCTCGCTTCCTCCATCCAGTACATCATCAACGTGGTCATGACTATGCCCGCCCTGATCTGGGTTGACCGATGGGGCCGTCGTCCTACTCTCCTGATCGGCGCTGTCCTCATGATGACCTGGATGTTCGCCAATGCGGGTATCATGGCCAAGTATGGTGAAGTTATTCCCGGCGGTATCGACGGTGTGGCCGAGGCGTCCATGCTTCTCGGTGGCGCCCCTGCCAAGGGACTCATCGCATGCACGTACCTATTTGTGGCGTCATATGCCCCAACCTGGGGACCCGTCTCGTGGGTGTACCCCCCTGAGCTGTACCCTCTGCGCGTGCGTGGTAAGGCTGTTGCCTTGGCAACCTCGTTCAACTGGGCATTCAACACCGCGCTTGGTCTGTTTGTGCCTACTGCTTTTGCCACGATCCGCTGGCAGACTTATATCATCTTCGGTGTGTTCTTGGTCGTCATGACCATTCACGTCTTCTTCTTTTTCCCTGAGACCGCTGGTAAGACTCTGGAAGAGACCGAGCAGATCTTCGAGGATCCCAACGGTATTCCTTATATCGGTACCCCGGCCTGGAAGACCACCCACGATACCAAGCGCACTGTCGCTGCCGAGGCGGGCGATGTTGAGGTCCTCGGTGAGAAGCTGGCTGGTGCTGAGAAGCGTACTGCTGCGCACACTGAGGTTGCCGAAGTATAAGTGTTGAGTTGTGTATAGAACGGGTGGGTTAGATGGCTTATAATGTTTTTTTTCTCTCTCTTAGGTTAGACATGGTCAATGTCGATATGATGTCATGTAATACACAACAAATTGCATATATCCACGCATTCAATCTCAATATTTTCTGTCCACTTCGATTTCCTCGTATTCGGAAGTAAGATCGTAAACGTGTCCGATTCGCAAAATTAGGTATTCTCGTTGTACACTAGAGTCTCGCAAGTGTCGTCAATTTGATTGGCAGCCATAGTCCTCTTCAAAATCAGCCCAGGATGTATATAGGAATTTCCGAAAGGCAATTTGTCCAATCCGAAAGGCGCATCAAAGAAAAAGAATTGCCAAGACTTTCCGATCGGAGCTGCGAAGCTGTCTGGTCAACGGGGGGTGGAGTTGACCCCCTGGAAAAAAAAAAAAAGAAAAAAAAAATGATGATCACCTTTGTCCTCTCTATCCGATCGTTCCGGTTATGAACATTTAGTCTCCCTTTTCATTTCCTCCATCCATCTATTTCAATTGGAGCACGTGAGCTCAAACCCCCCGAGTCCAAAAGGGTACGCAGGTCGAGTTTCATACAATCATGGTTCGCCCGCGGGGAAGCTCAGCCTTGGGCGTGGACATTCGAGGTGACACCAGTGCGCCGGCGATGTCCACAATGAACGAAGTGAGTCCGATCGAGCCAACAACACCAGATCTGAAGGTACGTACTGAATCTCATCGCCCGCGCATCCGATCCCCGATACTAACCCGCCATCCCGCCAGCAATTCGATGGCGCACAAAAACAGGCCAGCAAGACCCAGGCCAAACGGCGTCGCAGCCGCTCCCTCCTCCACCGCTTCGCAGATACCTGTTTGCGATACACGTGGCTCCTTCCGCTTCTCATAACGTTGTTCCTGGTCGCGCTGTACGCTATTAACCCCACAACCTCGAACCCAATGCACAGCGCCATCTTCCTGTCTTATCCGCAGCCCCCGAAGACTCCCGGCGGGCCCATCATGTACGGCAAGGGCAAGAAGGACATTGCGTTTGTGGCTTTCTACACGATTGTGTTGTCGTTCACGCGCGAATTCATCATGCAGCAGATGATCCGGCCTTTTGCGGTTTGGTGCGGTATCCGCGGGAAGGGAAAGACGGCGCGGTTCATGGAGCAGGCGTATACGGCCGTTTACTTTGGTGTATTCGGGCCGTTTGGTCTGTACGTGATGAAGCGGTCGACTATTTGGTACTTCAACACGACCGCCATGTTTGAGGGCTTCCCGCACCGCGAACACGAGGGTCTGTTCAAGGCGTACTACCTGCTCGAGGCGAGTTATTGGGCCCAGCAGGCGATTGTGCTGATGTTGCAGTTGGAGAAGCCTCGTAAGGACTTCAAGGAGCTTGTTGGTCACCATATCATCACGCTTGCTCTTATTGCGCTGAGCTACCGCTTCCACTTCACTTACATGGGCTTGGCGGTGTATATCACGCACGATATCTCTGACTTCTTTTTGGCCACCTCGAAGACGCTCAATTACTTGGATGCATATATAACTGCGCCATATTTCGCCATGTTTGTTGGATGGTGGATTTACCTGCGTCATGTGCTTAACCTGAAGATCCTCTGGGCTGTTCTGACCGAATTCCGCACTGTCGGACCATTCGAGCTGAACTGGGAGACTCAGCAGTATAAGTGCTGGATCAGTCAGTATATCACCTTTGCATTGCTCGCCAGTCTGCAAGCTGTCAATCTGTTCTGGCTATTCCTGATCATGCGCATCCTCTCCAACTACATCTTCACCAATGTCACAAAAGACGAGCGCAGCGACGACGAAGAGGAAGAGGAAGAGCTTGAGTCTGTCAACGCGACTAAGGCAATTGCCACCGGCGCAGAAAAGCCCGGCAAGGAGAACCACGCACCCCAAGTTCTTCTCAACGGCGAGCCCGTCGCCGAGCAGCGTGGTCCTCGGACTCGTAGCAGAAAGGCGTAAGCCGAACGAACGTCTTTTTTTGGAGTTCGATCAACTACCCAGGCGTCAAAGCCGGGGATTTTCACCGTGTTATAGTTATACTTTTGGATCGGGTTGGTTTTCCAGGTGATCCTCTGGATGTGTTGATATTCCGTTAATGTATTTGTTGAAGCTGGGTATGAGTCCGGTGCATTGGCTATGCCTGTTAGATAGCCCCTTAGAAGATCGGGCGCCGGCGCTTGTTTTTGACGAGCATATGAATTAAGTAATTTCTACTGGATTTTCAGTTTCTTGATGTTCTATCGCCATTCATGTGATTCATTACTTCATTTGTGTTTTTTCTAACATATGACTTTTGATGTCTTTCTTTGAACACATGTTATTTTATCAAGCAAATATAAAGATTTTAATCCTCAAAGAAATCTCCCACATTTGAAACTGTATATAGACTTAGTGTAAGCCATTAAGCTTAAGGGAATCTTCCCAGCGACATGAAATCGGACATTGTGGTGGATAATTCCTGGAGAATGCAGATGCTGTAACTATATACCAGCTTCCCTACCCTCGAATTAAAAAGCAATAGCCCAGTTCTACCCAATCCCTAATCTAGACATATACTCTGTATATTGAGTTGCGATAGTATATCTCTTACTGAATTTACACTTTACTTTACAGTTTACCTTGAATACGGCCAAATAAAATTTCCAGATGTGTATCATGTTGATGGAAATAATGAACTAGCAGCCCATGATAACAGCTTTCTTCCTCGCAACAGGAAATGAGAAATTTGTGATAGACCAAGGGCCAGAAGATCTCATCGCAGTGAAAGTTAATATGGCTCAAGTGGTGGGCAATCGAAAACAGCCACACACTGTTGGACGCCATGTGATTGCCTCTATACTGGACTTGGCAATTCTACCGTTCATGTTGGTATGCTGGGAAATAGTGGCAGCCAGAACAAGAAATGCTTCTCAATGATGTCCGGAGACAGCTCTACCTCTCTATATACCGAAGATGTCTATTCGGAGTGGCTAGAGTCTTTCTGGTCTCCGATTATAGAAATAGTAAATTTCCAAGTTTTCGGACATGACTCTGACATCCCAGTGTTAGGATTTGCCATAAGCAGTGTATCTATGGCCAGATATAGCACGCGCGGGGGTTGTGAAGACTAAACGAGATCGACATATAGAGGGGACGCTTGGGAGGATTTGTGATGTCGAAGACGCTCAGGCAATGCGGATGTACAAGTGATTGAACGCGATGGAAACCGAGGCGAAGTCATGCTTGCAATGTTGGAAAGGGCTGAGCTGCATTTCGTTTGGTCTCCGTTTTTTTCTTTTTTTGTTGACAGAAATGTTCAGGAAGAGCCGTTGGCGTAGGAGCCTCGGTGTATTGCGGGAATTCGTTGGAACTTGCTTCCCATTATATTAGATGACAGTATCAGAGCCTCAAATCATCATCACCCACGCCATTGGGGCATTTGAGACGAGACTTGAAATTTCCCGCCTCCATGACAGGCATACCAGGTAAGCCGATTCAGGTGTTTAGGGCTAAGATAAGGGTCTCGGGTTTCGCTGCAATTCAACTACTATTAGCAATCAAGTTCATCCAAGATAAAGAAGGGATCCTTACCACTTATCCCCTGTCCTGACTTGGTTGGATGGGAAAGATACCAAAGACTATGATCATTCTAAGAAGGGTGATCACCAGAGTGATGGTGCAGAACTAGAACTGATGAAAGCTATGAAGTAGCAAGAGAAAGAAATGGATATATGTAGTGAACTGGGCTCTTGTTCCCAGCGAGATTTTTTTTAAAAAAAAGTCTACAGTGTTTCTATGGCCAAAGGTAGTCACTTCCACTGTGCCTGCCTTGGATCTCAATCGTATACTTCGTTTTAATCTTACACTCTTAATACGGAAATAACTGTAGTAGAACATTTGAAGGCCTATTTTTGGGCAGTTGGCTAGTGCACTGCCATTCATTTGCCATTTTCCTAAATGTTCCCTAGGGCATATTGGAGGCCCGGGAGGTTTATCTCGGCTGTATTTCCGTTAAATAATCATGACAAATTCGATCTTATTTAGAACCTTGGAAGATATTAGAAGTATATAACCCTAGAATCATGTCCCAGGTGCATTTCATGGCCTTCCAAGGTTGCAACTCCATTCGCAGCTTATTTAAACGTTTCAATCTCTACCATGCACTAGTCTGTATTTTTATTTCAACTTCAAGAGAATTGCATTTATCTGTCTAAAGAATCAAGCTTTTTTTTTCGGTCTATAGTGCACAATTGTGAAGAAACCCATATTAATAATCTCAACCAGATAATTAATCAAAAAGCACTACCACCGGCGATGCCTTGTATGTTCTTATCTCTTTTAGATTCGGTAGAAATGAGGGCATTTACAATAACTTGGCTATTGCCATTAACCTTGGAACATTGAAGTCAGTTGTTTTCTGTTTCCCCGGACAACCATTTACAAATCTGTCGTATATCAACCTCTGTATTCATTATCAATAATTCAATGGCTCTCACGTTGCATGCACTTACTTCGCTTTGAAAAAGCCATAGCGACAAATCCATGACTAAAGCCTACCTCGATGCCTAGGTCATAAGCATTGATGCTATTCGCGTAACATCTATAGTCTTGGTAGGCATCGATATGATAGTCCCGCGTCGTATCAATGTACGAATAGAAGTCACGAGTATTAAAAACGAATTTAAATGACTCTCAGCTCGAGTTCATTTTGTATTTATATCAGAAAATCCCCTTGGATACCATTTCTTCCCCGTCAATTCACGGCCTTGCTACCACAGTCACTACTAACCTCCTTCGCACCCAAACATACTCACCATGTCGTTCCCTACACCATTCGGCCCGCTGGACGGCGTCGCACCCCTTCTCGTGTTTGCCATGACTCAAACAGAGTGCCTGGCAGGAGCAATAAATCGATACGAGTCGCACAACGTCCCACTCCCAGAGCATATTTCCTCAGCTATGAACGCATTGTCCCACCATCTGCTGCTTCTCCGGCCCGCCGATGGGCTGCCAATTGTCCCAGCTCACGGCTTGGACAAACAACAAGTAATCGAAAACAACCTCGAAATTGCTTGGTACCTCGCAGCGAACATTCTTTTCCACAATCGAATCAACAACATCTCCAACGAGGGTGTTGCCGTTGCGGTGGATGAAGTCTCGATGTGTCTGCTCCGCGCCGAATCGTTCAAAGAAGACCTGCAACCTGAGGTAATTCTCCGAAATTATCCAGCTACCTTCCCAGCTTTTGTGGCAGCCTGCAATGCCATTTACGACCGTGAGGCTTGGGAGTGCTGGTGGACCGCAATGCAGAGATACAACTGCCCAAAGATCAGGGCACAGTGGATGGTTATTCAGATGATCTGGAAATTCACAGATGAGCTACGTGAGGCAGAGGAATATGATTTGAGCTGGGTTGAGATCCTCCAAGGGTCTGGGAGCAAAAGTTTGTGGACTCTGTTTGAAGAGCTTGGTTTTTATTGAATTACCATGTGTCAAACATCTTTGTTGCTAGGCTAGTTCTTCTGGCTCATTTTCAGGTTCCTGGCCCGGTTATCTTTCTTTACTTCTCTGTCTATCAGACTGCTATTTGAATTGCTTTATCAAAGACGGGAATATTATCAAATTACAAACAATAATACTCTTATCGAGTACGCTTCATCTCCCAGGCTTTATGTATAGTACTACGGGAGACCGATGTAATCCCGCTAGCTCAATTATTCTATGAATTCGATACAATTGATCTGAGAAAAATTGGACAGATGTCCTATTCAAGATGCAGCATCATGATTTGAGTATACCAAGAGCGATGCCAAAGCGGTATTATTCCCACACAAACACTGCCCGGACAAAGGGCTTGGTGCATCACGTGATGCTTTATCTTATTTGTGTAGGACTTCAGAGTTGGACTACAGTTGGACTTCAAGCAAGACATTGCACTCTTATTATTGATATTTCAAAAGACCAATAAGGGTATAACAGTTTGTCTAAACCATCTTAAAGAGACTGATTGAGCAAAAGGTTTTCATCGCTCGCAGATCCAACATTATGAACGGATCAGGTAACATCAAACTCCTTATCCTCACTAGCCTCATGTAGATCTGGGAATGGTCTAATATAGACTATAGTTATAAATATTTCGAATGACTGATTGAGCTCATTGCACAGAAATATTCAGGTGGCGCTGCATATCCTGGCTGCGCTCATCGAAAAAGTTCCAGACGACCTCCCTATCTACGCCCGATCTGTCATGACAATAATCGATAACTACCTACCGTTTTGCGATCCTGTTGATATCTCTTATTAGTCCCATGAGCTACCCATAGTATTAGACTCTTGAAGTCTAATTCTTGTATCTTCTCTACACATCACAAGCTTTACATAGCTACACCAATCTGATATATTGGTCCCATAATCTCTCTACTCTCGTAGATTCAAACAGATCCAATGACGTAAATATGGTGGAATATATGCTAATATGGCTGGTATCACATATATCGTATCTACTAGAGGTACAGGTACATAAATATGGAGCAAGGACATCAGACATTAACATGTTAAAACATCATCAACATGCTGGGTTCTGCGGCCACTCAGGGCAAAACAAAACGTTTCATTCGAGCCACCATCATTGTTCGCACTTGTTTAAGCTTCCTCCTTGGGGTCATCATCCTTGGACTCTTCCTTCTCCTCCTCAGGCTGCTTCTTCTCCTTGGGCTCCTTCTTCTCCTCGGGCTCCTTCTTCTCCTTGGGCTCCTTCTTCTCCTCGGGCTCCTTCTTCTCCTCGGGCTGCTTCTTCTCCTCAGGCTGCTTCTTCTCCTCAGGCTCCTTCTCCTCAGTGTCAGACCTCTCTTCCTTCTTGGGCACCGCCTCAGAGGAATCCTCGGCAGGCTTATCCTCCTCGGCCTCCTCGGCCTCGCTCTTTTCCGCGTGCTCGTCGTTATTTTCGTGACCGTGGGTGTCGTGGTGTCCTTCCGAGCTGGAAGGCCAGAGGTAAAATACCATTGGAACGGTTACAGCAGCAGAGACCGCCAACCTACAAATAAACGCAATTAGAGGATTGAGTCAAATTGGTTGGAAACAAGAACGTAAACTCACCAAGGCAAGTCACTGGATGTATGCCCTGGCTCATAGCTGCCGCCAGTAGACTTAAAGCGGCGACCGAGGAGCTGAGCAGACTGGCGGACAACAGGAGCAGCACGGAAGGACTGAGCCGCATTTGCAGCACGGAAGATTGAACGGCGTGCAAAGACCATTGTGTAGTAGGGACCCAGTACAAATAGAGTAGAAGGGATAAAGAATATGGAAAGTGTGATAGGTGGAGAGAAGTAAATTGTTTAGGTAGTACGGAGTAAAGTACAGATAGCACTACGTATTTAGGTACAAGACCAGAGCTTCCCGGTTTTCGCAAGTAAACCTGGGGATTGTCGTAAGACCGGATTCTAGTTGTATCCGAGCTGGTCTGTGCGTCGTGATGTAATAGGCGTGGCTGGGCCAGGTATTCGGTACTTGAAGAACACGTTGAGCTTAGTGGATTTGAATGGTACCTGGTACTCATAGAAGACGTTTGAAGTACAACTTTTAATACCTTCAAATGTTGGTATGATGTGTACATGTGTATTAATAGAACTGGCATTCTTGAAGATTCGATATGTGGATCTCAACAATCTATTTGAGATTATCAGATCAGATAACCCGAGAACATTCCAGTATTAAATGTCAACTTTATTAAATCGAAGAACATTAGAGATATTTTGTTTAAATATTTAATAACTCAACATTTCGAAGTTCGAAAGTATTTCAGACTCGACACCTTAGGCCGTAACGCTCCATGTTCCAGCATCGATCTGGCTCTTACAGCCAGAAATTCCGTCGCTTTGAACCTTGTACGATTGTTTCCTCTTTATGTATTTCATGCGAAATTGGCTCTACCACCTTATGGGACTGTGAACTGTTAACTCTTTGTTTGGAAGCCGCCCTTGATTGAATTTTTGGCAGGAGTAAAGGAGGGAATCTTGTTAAGACCTCGAATGATACCGTTATCAATCTGGGCGAGGTGTCACTGAGGATGAGGCTAATAATCAACGGAAAGCCTATGAACGCATTGATCATAATATCATCTACGTCCCGCGTGTCCATCGTTTCTTCGCCGACGAATTTGGGCATAGCTATATCGTCATAGAATACTGTCAGATTTCATAGCGTAGAACCTAGCTTCTACAACTCTCTACTCAATCAAGCTACTCAGATTCCACCATGCACTTCGACGTAGCCCTCTCCTGACAGGTTATGAGCCCGGGAAGCTCTTTATTCAACCTTCCTCATTATCGTCAGCTTCATCTTTTATCGGCCTCTCTATCGACGCCGCCATCACCCTCTATCGGCCTCTCCATCGACGCCGCATTTCTCGTCACTATCGACAAACCGGCCAGGCCACACCCCACCAACAAACACCTACAAACGGTGTCACATATAAGCAATCTCATCAGCATAGGGTTTTTCTCGCGCAGAGTTTTCATCCCACAAACAAAACAAAAACGTCAAGTGCCTCTCCTACGACGCACCCCACTATCCGCTAACTACGCGGTCAAGTACCTCTCCTACGATATACAGCCTCACCGAGTACCTCTCTATTCGAAGTACCCTTTCAAAATAGCCTCAGCTACCACCAGCTTCGCAGAGCTAAAGCTATCAGAGCTCGTTCCTACTCTTATAGGCGAATCCAACTTCGCTTTGTGATCCACCGCACTCAAGTACGCGCTCGATACTAAAGACCCTTGTCTTTTCGATATCCTTACCAATAAGATCGCTTAGCTAGCTTCCGACGATCCAGCCTTTACAGAGTGGCTCCGCTACTCTCGTTACCTTCTTTCGTACCTTTACGCTACTGTCTACGCTTCGCTTAAGCCTTATATCAATACTGCTCTTAACGCTCCCGCTGTGTATCAGAGTCTTTTCAAAACCTTCGCTGTCTATACCTACAATATAGGTTTCGACAAGTTCTATAAGTGGACTACCCTTAAATACAACAATACTGTTACTCCACAGCAGTTCGTTATTATATAGCGTACCGCCTACACCGAGTTCGCAGAGGCTTACGGTCACTCTTATATTTCGAATACGGCTCAGTATTTTCTTTTTCTTTCCGCTGTCAGCGTGAATCCCGCTACTTATCAGTGGCTTAATAGCCTTCGGCCTTCAGTCGATAATCCTTCCGAACAAGTTCTGATCAGTATATTCTCTGACTTCGTTATCTCCGAGAATCGACGTCTCGCGAGTTATCCCAATTTTAACTCCGATCCCGTCTTTTACGACGCAAACGCGGTTCACAAGCCTACTTCTAAAGACACTAAACCAAAGCATTTTTGTACTTTCCACCAGCGAAAGACCGCTTATATATCAGAGGAATACTTCCGGAACCCCGCTAACGCCAATAACGCTAACAACGCTAAGTTAGCTAACGCGGTTAGCACTCCGGCTTCCAGCACCACTAAGACCACCGCCAATCAACCCACTACAGCCAATACCGTCACCGGTAACCCTACATTTCGCTACAACAACCTTTTCGCTACCTAGGTAACGGTTTGCGTTTTATGGGGGGACCTAGCTCCATAGTTTCATGTTCGTGGGGGGTGTCAGATTTCATAGCGTAGAACCTAGCTTCTATAACTCTCTACTCAATCAAGCTACTCACATTCCACCATGCACTTCGACGTAGCCCTCTCCTGACAAATACGTTGAAGGCTGCGTGATGAATCCTCTTGATGATCCTCAGTTTGATAGCAAAAGTACTCTAAGTGTTACAACCTGCCCCTGGACTGGCGAGTTACACACTAGGCCAAAAAGACCCCTAGATCTGAGCATTACGCTCAGATATTCCAGGCTCCGATATATATAGTGCGACATGACACAAAGTGCTTGATTATTTTTGTACACTCACTGCAAATTGTCCAGGAAGTCTTAGGGTGGCCTATTTCGAGGGCTTCTCCGGTCTATAGCAAAGACTTGACCCTTGACGATAAAGGTCAGATGAAATCCTGCAGCAAATTATTCCTAGGTGAGGGAACGGTTTTATTCAGTGACTGTGACTTAGGTAGTCCTTTGCCGTTTGGATAGTACACTAAGGAATATTATCTGGCAACCAGATGGTAAGATTTGTCGGTAAGCTGGGCCTCTGTAGGATTTTCTCCGAGTATATTTGAATTTTCGGCCTAATGGAATATCGAAGGGATCAAAGATCCATTGAACTCTCAGCTCTTACGGTCAACGGAGCTGCTTCCACCCCATGAAAGCGTTCAACAATCGTAGATACGCCGGGTTTAGTATAATAACCACAAATACATTTTTTAGGAGTAAATCCCCCTTGTTATCTCCTATTCTTTGTTAACAATTTGATAGTCATAGATCAACTGTGAACGACTTGAAGCCCGAGGATCAGAAAAACCCAGTCTCCTCCTCTGGCGCCCGCACTTCCTTTCACGGATTCTTATAAATTTTGGTATATTCACCCTCAATATGATTAGTACTACTAGTAGTGCAGATATGGGTATTATATTAGTTTAAAACTACCCCTGGAGCCTTTGTGGGAGCTACCTAAACTATGTACCTAGAGATAAGATAGAAATAGTCACGTGATTCAAGTGAGCTACCTACTGGTCAGCTGATGTGGGGTCGAACTGCGTCCTGTTGCGGCGTCTATCAAAGGCTATCACCGCAAGCTCTCCCCGATTGCCTTCATATACACAGCTTCACTCGTCACCTTAGGTGGAATTTAACCCAATCTTACTTACATATCACAGTCACAGCCTCATCAATATGGCGGACCGCCAGGTTACCCAGCAGACGATTTACACACTGCTAGCGAAGCTTGATGATCCCGATGCCGACTTGAGATACATGTCCTTGAACGATCTATATGGGATCCTAACCAACCCAAACTCTTCGTTCCTCTCTCATGACCGTGGCACATCAACAAAACTTGCAGAAGGTCTGCTCAAGTCCCTGGATGATCAACACGGTGACGTGCAGAACCAGGCCCTCAAATGGTTCGTACTGAGCTCTATTCCCTTCTTGGTCCTGCTAATGTCTAACTCGAACCAGTCTCGGTCCCCTTGCTGTTCGCTTGCCATTCGAATCCCTTACACCTCTCCTTGAGCAGTTGGCCGGCCTGACTGCCTCCCAGACGATAGACACATCCGTCCCCAACACTGCGCTTCGCGTCATCGTCGATACCCTTCCTCGTCCTCAGTCTGACCAGCCCGCATCTCAAAATGCAATTACAGCATACTCTGCAGTTTCGAAGGTCTTGGTCCCCCGTTTGACCGGACCCACACCTTCAAGCACAGGGCGGCGAGGCTCAGTGGTAAAGAGCATGATGGAGAAGGATCCATCACGAGGCTTCAGCAGCGATGCCATCGATGTGCTTATCAAGGTTGTGACCTGCTTTGGGCCTCTGCTCCAAGAGTCAGAGCTCGCTGCCCTCCAAGCATCCGTCATGGCCATCATTCAAAACGACACGGCTGGGACTGTTGTCACCAAGCGCGCCCTGACAGCTATCTCAGCGCTCGTGCTCCATTTCTCTGACAGCCAGCTCAATGGCTTTGTGTCCGAATTGACGAAAACATTGTCTTCCGACATTTCCATGGTGCAGCGTCGACACTTGATCGCTGCAATTGGCGTCATTGCAAGAACTGCACCTGCGAAGTTTGGCCCACACCTGGATACCCTTGCTCCTTTTGTCTTCTCAGCAGTCGGGGAGGATAACATTATCCGGTCAAACTGAGTTGCTATAATCACTGGCCTACAAGTGATAGATTTCTGATCGACATTCCAAGTAGCCTAGACCCTTACATGTGATTCTGAGGGCTGCTCAGCAGCACGAGCTTGATATGCTACATCTAATCTGAATTGGCTATGCGTGTTCACGTCGTGATTATATCGCACCAATGAGACTGTGACTCGCTGAATCACGAAAAATGTACTGGGCTCTGAGACCAATCTCCAGCCATGGACTTCACGATACCCACGTTCATATTGAATACAAGCGCGTCAACATCTACTTTTATATCTATATGTAAAGGTCGGTAGCTTGCCAGGAAGATTGCTCCTGCCTTTTTGTGTTTCAAAAGTAAACAAATGCCTCGAACCCTCGCTCTTTCCTTTTCTATCCTCCTTCGTGTAGAAACTAGCTCATTCATTACCTTTCTCCCAGGGCCTGCTTGTCTCTTCTCTTTTCTCTCATCCTAAATCACGTCCTATCATCCCAACCCATTATCTCTTGCATACCCAGTTGAACATAACATAAGCCTATATACCATTTTCAAGATGCGTATTCCTCCCATCTTGATCGCCGCTTTGGTGACGTGTGTGTTTGCTAGAATGCATGCCACGCCTCCTGTGCATACAGTGTCGATTGAACAATCTCAACCAGCAACTGAGCCTCATTTGGACACTCGCGATGCCCCCAACAATTTGGACTATCGCTGTGGCCCTAAGATTGGCAAATGTCCCGTCGGTACATGCTGCTCTGGTGCAGGTATGTATCAAAGATCTGTCAGGCTAATCAGTTCACTAATGGCATTTCTGCGATAGGTTTCTGCGGCACATCTAAGGCTCACTGTCGCTCTCCGGACTGCAAGATTGACTACGGTAAATGTGACGCTCACCGATCGCCTTATGGACCCCCAACGAAGGAAATTCCCCGTCCTCACATCGGTCAAGTTCCGTACGGTCCTCGCGAGATTCGGTCATGTGCTATCCCAGGAACTGTTGCATTGACTTTCGACGATGGCCCGACACGGTACACTGGCGATCTACTTGATTTACTTGACAAATACGATGCAAAGGCAACATTCTTCATTACTGGCATCAACAATGGGAAGGGTGCCATCGATGACCTCACCTTACCGTGGGCTTCATTGATCGAACGCATGCACTCGAGTGGTCACCAGATCGCCAGTCATACGTGGTCGCATGAGGACCTCAGCAAGATCACCCCTTCACAACGCAGTGAGCAGATTGAAAAGAATGAAGCTGCGCTGCGCAATATTCTCGGACACTTCCCCACTTACATGCGACCTCCCTATTCTAGCTGCAGCCCTGACACTGAGTGCGGAAATGAACTGGGCAAGCTTGGGTACCACATCATTTTGTATGACATTGACACTGATGACTACAAGAACGATAGTCCGGATCTGATCCAGCGGTCCAAGGACATCTTTGATCATCAGCTTTTGCACAGCGACCCACGCACCAAGTCTTGGCTTGTCATTGCCCATGACGCCCATGAACAGACTGTCCACAATCTCACGGAATACATGCTCAAGGGTATCAAGCGGCAGGGCTATCGCGCCGTTACTATTGGTGACTGTCTCCGGGATCCCAGGCCAATGTGGTACCGCAAGGATAGCCGGATTCCCCCTCACAAGAAGAAGCCCAAGAATACTGCTTCGGCAGATCCCAACAAGCCGATCTCTTGGGATGGCTCTTGTGGTTCAAATTACACTTGCCTTGGGTCCAGCTATGGCTTTTGCTGTGGTAATACCAACTCTTGCGGTAACACCACCAGTCATTGTGGAAGCGGCTGCCAAAAGGATGCCGGATATTGTTCCGTTGAGGCTCCTTTCAATGGAGATGCCTGGGACCCGAAGGTTGACACCAAAGGCCACAAGTCCGAAGCGGATTCTGATTTCCGAACCATCGGCACCGCAGCTGCAACGGCGTTGCTCCTTGCTTTGTTCGTTGCGATGTGGATGTGAAGTGGATGTGATGCATCATCTTGGTCTTTGGATTGGATCACCATGATTGCTTGGCCGAGTTTTACATTGTCGAGATTATAGTTATACTTACAGCTGTGGCTTTGTTGTGGCCTATCCATTCGTTTGAACTTATCGGCAGATACGGCAGGGTTAGATAGCTCATGGAATAGGCATCAAAAAGTAGCAGAATTGCAATACGATACAAATAAATGTTCTTCTTCAGCTTGAGTCCTAATAACTATAAGCTCTTGAACAGCTCTTTAGCCGTCAAGTTCTACTCCTCAAAATAAATGTATTTTTTTTTCGATATGGAGACTAGCGGAGAAGGTCTCGAAACAAATTGTCTCAGCTCACACCTAAGCAGGACATTACGAAGTAACCCTACCTTTCTTCCACTTCATATAAATGGGTGAGTGTAGACATGCAACCATGGAAGATATGTAGGTACCAATACCAACAGAAACAAGTAAAAAAAAGCAAAGCAGCACGCCGAGAGCATTCTCTCGAGGGGTATAATGATAGCAGAATAATACAACAACGAACCAACCCAATGAAAGAAAAAAGGAGACGAAACCTGAAATGGAGATCCCGATCAATAAGAAAGCAGAAATCTCTACCTATTTCCGTACCATCTTAAGCAACGGCGCAATCCTCGCCCTCTTACTCAATCCCACACGGTAAGGCACCCCACTCCGCGCCGAGATTGGGCTGTGCTTATTCGGGCCCTTGCCTGTGTTTTGAGGTGTATTGACAGACGCAGCATCGGACTTCAAGGGAGTCTGAGGCTGGGGGGTATCAATTGTAGTTTCAGGGAGAGGATCAGGACCAGGAAGTGGATTGAGCTTCTGGCCGTTGCTTTGAATAGCAGATACATCGTTGTTACCGGTATCAGCTTCCAGCATAGACCTAGGGCTATTGTTGACAACGACCGCCAACTTTGACGCAGGAGTCTGGGCTCCGGAAGGCAGCTTGTTTGGTTCGGGTGTATCAGCAGACTCTGATGGCGTTTCCGCTTGATCAGTTGTCTGCTTTCGCTTGCGTCCGCGTTTCTTGGGTGCTGGTTTTTCGACCTTTTGCGTCTCCTCGACTGCGGGAATCGATAGCTGCGGATCAACAGGGGGGTTTGAGTCGAAAACATTAGAGTCTAAACCCTGTATTAGGGCCTGTGGGGTTTCTGGCAGCGGAGTTGCTTTCTCGACTGAAGGTTCCATGCTATGAGGCTTCGTGTCCACCCATATCACATCGTCATCGTTATCATCGGGCTGAGGTGTGGGTGATGTTTTGGTTTTTTTGGCTTTCTTCTTTTTCGGCTCCTTGAGTCCTGATTTTGCAGGCTTGGGGGCTGCATCTAGATTTTCTTCGTCAGTCTCATCGGGGACTCCGCTCGAGGACGGGGTATTATCTTCCGTGATCTCTTCGCCATCGGAGGGTTCAATCGCACCATTTACGCCAGCGGCATTGAACTCGTGGTCCCGAGAGTTAGCTAGCTCATCGTCTTCGTCGTTATCTGGCATCGGTTGTTTCTTGGGTCTTCTTCGCTTCTTCTTTGCACCGGGCGTCTCGATCTCTGGCACAGTTGTTGGGATAGCTGGGAGAGCGAGCTCGTCGTGCGTGCTTGACTGAGATTGCTGTGGGGAAACAAGACTGGTTCCAGCAGTAGTGATCTTTGCTTCGCTGAATCGCATAGATGCAACGGAGGATATAGGCTCGGTGTCATGAGGAGAACAGAGACTCGTCTGCTGAGACTTGGGCTGTGAGGCTTCTTGGGGTGGGTTTGAGAGTGGGTTCTTCTGTTCCATGGAGGGCTCGATGGCTTGGTGAGGGACAATTTTCGGAGGCGAAGCCATTGGATTAGTGGTGTCAGGGGAAGTTAAGTCATCAGTACTCTGTTTGGTGGGCAACAAAGTCTGATTTGCATCGACATAGACGCTAATTGATGCTGGGTTGTATGTGAAGCTATTACTCGTCGGTTGGGCCATCTGATATGAGTGGTAACTTGGTATGGTAGGAAACGGCGCGGACTGAAATGATTCTGTCGAGTACGGCGCGGTTGTAGAAGGGAACATGAGGCTTGCACTTGAAGGGTCGTCGTCCAGAAGCCTTCTCTGGGCAATTCCAATCTCCGTCATCATGGCGCCTGTATCATCTTCGGTATTAGCATATAGATGATGACAAAGACTGTATTCTTGTGCTTCTAGCTATTCTATCGCAAACATACCAACCGACCCACTTCCACCATCACTGGTTGAGGGGATCCATTTGTCCTCGAGCCGCTGCTGCGACGATGATAGCATTGAGTGGTTCCTTTCTTGCGATTGGAGGAACTCATCGAAATTGACGTTCAGCTGTGAGAATGTGCTTTCATCCAGAGCAGGACCGTGTTCTTGCACTGCATTGTGGGTCGCCTGTTTGGCGGGGGCTTGTTGATATTCCTGGTGCAATGCGGGCTGAGAGGGCTGGAGAGGTTTGACAGAGGTAGGGAGGTCATCCCCCTCAAGGGGTTCGTCCTCATCCGAATCCTGAATGATACGATCTAAACTCATCTGGATTTAGTTATCAGTGGTGTCAGAACTGGCTTTGGTCATTAGAAAAGAAAGTTGTTCAACGCGTCCCTGACACGACAACACGTGATGATAAGGATGGATGATAAACTATCGGACTTTTTCCCTAGGCCTTAAACAGGAACCTTGGTTTTTGTTATGCCCTAGAGGTAAAATGGCTGTATTATTTCCCACAGTTATGAGCCCGGATTCGTTCAACTGGGATAGACTCTACACAAGAAGTCATCTATTTTGAACAATATTACATCAGCCACAACCCCTGAATAGGCGAAGCAGAACCTCTGAAAACCTCCAGAACACACCCATCGGAAGTCGAAGCCAATAAGCAGCGAATGGAGGAATCAACATACCTCTTCGCCTCCTCTCGACCGATATTAAAAGATACAGCATCGTGGGACGCGTGGCTCTTCTACATAAAATCAGTTGCTTATGAGTACGATGTGTGGGAGTTATGCGATCCGTCGCTATCGGTGGCACCAGAGCCTTTAGTGCCACCAAAGGACGTACTGTCAATAGATGAAGCAAGGGACCAATACAAATCAGATTGGTTCCAAATGCTACAGGTGTTGCAAACCAATTGGGCCATACATAATGCAATTTATCTGCAGAAAAAGAAAGGTTTACACAGAGTGATAACAGCTATTAGAGCCACAGTCCACTCAATATACCAATTTTCCATTGTGGAGTACAAACCTCCATGGGAACTCCTCAGTAATTTGCATAAGAGATTCGCGCCTGGGAATAACCCCACATACGCTGCAAGGCTACGCCAGCAATGGAGGAACTTGGACAGAAGTCTAGACAAAAACACCGACATCGACAAATGGCTACTCAACTGGGAGACAGTACAGCTGCAGTGTAAGAGAGCGAAAGTGCCAGGGGCAGAGGACGCAAGTGGTCGATTCCTTAACGCTATCTCTGTAATGTCGCCTGGATTCCACCAGATATGGGTGCTGAGACTGCGAGACAATCCCAATATTGCATTCATAGAGATTCTCAACCAGTACAGAGCCTTTTGGAAGATCACCCACGGCAAGCATGCTAGTCAAAAAGGCATCTCAGAAGCTCTATCTTTCACATGGCAAGGCCACGAAGAAGCCAAGCCCACTGAAGCAAAGCCTAGGTCGAAGAGAAGATGCCCTTGTGGTTCTAATAACGGCAAGCATCCACCATGGAGGTGCTGGGATACCTATAAAGATAACAGACCAGAGTCCTATACACCTTCACAGACAGGAAAACAAAAGTGGGAGAAAGCTATGAAAGCTGAATCTGCATTTAAAGCCTTCGTTGCAAAGAAAAGGCAGGAAGAAAAGTGCCCCCTGATCGTTTGGAGAAACTCAAAGAACCAAAAAAGGATGTGACACAACCAGTGGTAAAACCAAAAAAGACGACAGTATGAAGATGTTACAGAGAATCCCAACAAGTCGCCATCCCCTTGGGGCGCGCTGTCAGACTGGGATATAGCCCCCCTAGGCCCTAAACTTGGTTTTTGTTATGGTCTAGTGGTAAAATGGCTGTATTATATCCACATAGACTCTTATTCAACTTCACTTCATGTTAAGAACATACGCAACCATGGTCGGTATATTTTTTTACGCAGTTTCAATTTTCGATTGTCTGAATTATGATTTGGCAATTGGAAGACAAACTCCGATAAAAATAACCCCATGTTTTGTCGAATATTACATTGCTTATATCAAATATAAAGTCATATTTCCTAGCTTGAAATCCAGTATGCTTATTAATCTATAGAATGGTGGTAGGTAATCTTCAGTAGTAGTGTCTTCTCATTCTGTTCGAGTGCGGTTACAGTGTCTGGGTATATATCTAACCCTAAAGAGCTCATTATTCGGTGCAGCTAACCCAAACTGTCAAAATGTTCTGGCCCGGCGGGCTCCCGGTGGAAATTTGCGGGACTCGGTATCTAACGGGTCTAAATCGGGACTGTTTCAGTGGGAATTTCCAGCCCTGAATTTAATCAGTCTAGGTATGTGGATTGTAGATCTACAGTTACAATATACTATTCGCATAATAGAACTCATTTGGGAACGGCACGATTCCACAATCATTATTGTTTTGCCCAATCATTTTCCTTAAGATGTCTTGCGCAAATATTTAGTAATATTGTGTGCCAACTCCTTATTCCCCTCTTTTATCCTCTTCGTCGGCTCTTGACTAGTGCCATATCCTCATATATTCCACTACGGCCTGATTCGATACTTGTATACCGTAGTAGAATGGGTTATAGAAATGCCGGCACATACCAGTATACCCAGGTGTTAAAGATCTACTCCGTACTATACAGAGTTCATATATTGTACCTGTCGATGAACCTAGGTACTATGAACGGGATACTATACCGAGCCGGAAGCTTGACCAGAGACACGCATCCATATCAGGAAATGCCAAGTGTAAGCCAACGTGCTTATGGAGTACGGAGTACGAAGGAAGTCCTAGAAACTGATATCCGATACGAAGTGGCACATTCTTCATAAATCCTTGGACAAATCAGATCCATCCAATTTACACATGTAATTATCACGGCATATATTGTAATATATTGATTCAGCAATCGGGGACCAATTTAATATAATATACTATATATGTATCCAGATAATATATTCGGCAGATTTTCGTAAGAGATTCAACGTTATCCCGAGGTTACAGATCTGATAAAACAGGGTCTAGGGGTTCCAAAACTTCATAGATCTGATAAGGTAACTCTGTCGCAGATCTGATATAGTTATACATAACTAGTTACATACGTGCACTTACCTATTCTGTCGCGGGTCCAGTCTGAGTCAGCATCTCTCGGCCTTATCTTCCTTGCATGGTGCGGATCTCCGATACTTTCCAGGGCTTGGCACAAATGCAATCTCGGTTGGTATTTATGCACTTCTTCACCTTGTCAGAACTTATCAAACTGGGTGATGTGTTGTGTCGATCTCACGCATGGCGCCTGGGAACCTGGAAATTGTGGCACTTTTCCCCCCAGTTAAGCCACTCAGCAAGTCGAAAATATGCAGATCGTCATCAGTCTATCCATATTCACTCAACAAATTATCAAATTGAACCGAACCCGAGCCTACCTGGACGGTTTTTTTAACTCTTTTTAACACGTACTCCGCAAAAATGGTGATTATATAAAGAGTACCCAGCAGCGCGACATACTCGATTATCACAGAAATCCGAGCATCGATCTGGTGCTGAATATCATGTTATTTTTCTCCTTGTTGGCCCTATTGGGTCCTTCACTATGCCAGGCCGCCTGTCCCTATGCGCACATGGCAGATACCAGAGACCTCGACACAAGCATCAAGCCTCGCTCTGATGTCGTGCTTCCTCGTGCTGTGCCAGGAAAGAAAGGCATCATGTTCTTGAACCGCATCAATCCCTCTTCATCCCAACTGTACATTGCCAATGCGGATGGCACAAATGAGCGCTCTTTGCTGGGCGATGACTCCGACTACGAATACCATGCTTCCTTCCACCCAGATGGTAAGCATGTTGTTTTCACCACTGAACGCAACGGCGATGGCAACTCTGATATCTACATGGTCAACATCAATGGCAGCGGTCTAACACCAATTGCAACCACGCCCTCGGTTGAAGATGCGGCAGTCATCTCTCCCAATGGCAAATACGCCGCCTATGCATCCACAGCCGGCGTCTACACCTCCAACATCTGGCTCACAAACCTCGAGACTGGCGTTACCCGCAACCTCACCAACCAGACCGGTGTGACGGGCAAGCCTGAATCACCGAACGGGTTCTTTGCACCTGCCTGGTCGCCTGATGGGAAATGGATCGTCTTCTCTTCGGATCGAAACACCGCATGGACTGGTCATGACAATGGCACTGGCTGGGAGCATACCCAGGAACTGGCTATCTATGCCATCACCCCCGAAGGAACCGGTTTCCGCGAGGTTTACAGCAAGCCAGGTTACACCTACGGATCGCCCAGGTTCTCCCCCAACGGCAAGCGAGTTGTGTTCTACGAAATGACTGTGCAGGCAACTTGGGATGCGCGGTCGTCTTACTCTGTCAACTCCACAACCAACCAGATCGTTTCTGTGGACTTCAAAACAGGAACTGATGTTATCCAACACACCAACACCTCCGGCGTCAAGATCTACCCACAGTATGTCTCGAACACTAATATCGGATATTTGGTTAAAGGCGGAGACGCTGGCGGTATTCACTATACCTCCAGCACAAAGAAAATTCTCGGCGGTATGCGCTCACCTGCCTGGTCTGCCGATGGCAAATATGTAGTCTACGAGAAGACCGGCTGGGAAATTCGGCCTCTACAAAAGGAGCTGTGGTCCTGGGACTCGGAGTGGGATTACCGCTTCATGGATGTCTTCCCCCATCTTTCTCTTGACGGACGTTTGACATTCACCTCCAAGCAGACCGGTAGCCCTGGCAATTCTTCTGTGGCCGTGATGCCCCCCGGTGACACGGACTTCACCGTGGCGTTCGACACCTACGAAACCGACGCGCTCGACGAAGCCACTGTTGCCAAGGGTGGCGGTGGATCTTTCCAGCCAGCGTGGTCATCTGATAGTGAATGGATCACCTTCAGTCTGGGATCATGGTTCCAAAGCCGTGGCGAGAAACCCGGCTGGATCTTCCGTACAAAGCCCGATGGATCGAGCTACGAGCAGCTCACCTTCGGCAACGACTCCAACAAAGGTTTCCCTAGTTTTTCGCCCGACAACAAGAAGATCGTGTACCGCGAATGGCAGCCTGAATTCGGCCTGCGTCTGTTAGACCTGGAGTCTAACAAGACCACCAGCCTGACAACGGAGCGTGATAACCTGCCGTTCTTCTCCCCAGATGGCGAGTGGGTGCTGTTTACGCGCAACATGACCGACCTGTCCAGGAACGAGTTCTCGAATTACGAGGTGTGCATTATTCGTCCAGATGGAACCGATCTGACGGTGCTCACTACGTCGTTTGCTAACGATGCACACGCCGTCTGGACTGCCGATGGCCGTATCATGTGGTCGACTGGAATGTGGGGATTCCAGGCTGAGGCTGCGACTTATGATGAGACCTTCCAGCCTTATGGGCAGATTATGATTATGAACGTTGATGGCTCGAATAAGACGGTTCTCACTGATAGTTTGTGGGAGGATTCGATGCCGCGTTATGTACCTAACGAGTTTTTGGAGCAGTGAGGTACGAGTTGTTACAGGAGTGAAGTTGAGAAAGATATATCATGATTGAGATTATGGCAGTGTGAAAATATACCAAATCTACAGATCCGAGGCGGGTTGTTTATTTTTCTAACTGAGAGAACAAATAGCTGTTTAGTCAAACTAGTAGTTGACTGTCTTAATATTTTCGAATATTCTGAAGACCAATGCGCTGGTGGTTCATGCTTCCAAGCATCTATAAATCTAGTTGATAGGGTAGCGAGGGTTGTGCACGATCATCATATGTTAACCCCCCAGGGACCAAGGTTGTGCTAAAGGAGAGTGACAAAGAAAGCCATGGGTTGCAGTATGTTAGGTAGTTTCTTGAAAGATGCATTAGGTAAGCTAATTTACGTCTCATCAACTGTTGAATTTGACCAGACATTGGGTACGCGCTACGTAGGTATTACACCGACAAATTTTTGAGAGGCTATAATATTCACTGGCCCCAGCGAACTCACTCTCTCCTTTTTTCCCAGTTTCTCTCTTCTTGATCAAACCAGCCTTCCCTTTCAAGCCGCGTTTCACCTATTTGGTTCCAGTCTCAGCAAAAAGGCAGCTAGCGGCAAATTACACCCGTGTCGTCTATTCTACTCCATTTCCACGTTCTCAAGGCAAGAATGACTGAAGAACTCGGTGATGTAGAATTTACCGATGTTACGTTCCTCGAAGGTCTCAGAGATGATGAGTGTTCGGCTGAGTTTAAAGTGATTGTTCATGGGACCACGTATGCGATGAAACTGGTAAAAAAAACCTCGGGCTTCTTCTGTTGATCCTACTAATGCCTTTCAGTGGCATGACTGGCTCGTAAATAATCCCGATGATATAGAGCGTAACCCTTTTGTCTGTGAAATCACTGCCTATCGCCGACTGAAAGCAAAAGGCCTTTGCGATCGAGGCGCCATTCCTAATTTCCACTGAACAATCACTGGCATCCAGATGTGTCTATTACCGACGACATGGCCAGATAAAACCTACTCGGTTTGGGATATGTTCGCAGAAGACAGTTCACCGCTTAACGCTGTCCTGATCGAATTTATTCCTGGTCTCGAGATAATAAAGCTATCCAATTTTTCACCCAAATTCTTGATGACATCCGTCAAAGCCTAGGTGTTATACCTCGAGCACGAGTTTGCCACGGGGATATGTTCCCCATAGACATGAGGGTATCTCGCGAACAGAACAGAGTTGTCTGGGTTGGTTTCGATTGCTCATGGACATTTCCTGAAACTTCCACCCTTACGAAGAACCAGAAGGATTGGTTTAGGGACGACATAAGTGACATCAATCGCTTTATAAAAGCCTTAGTATGTGTTGCCTCATTTTAAAATAGATCTAAGGCTTACCTGACTTTTTCCTAGACCAAGGACCACAATAAGGGAGTATTGAGATTTGCCCTAGATTACTACCGGAGTGTCTTAGATGGAAATAATCAATGTACTCAGCGAGATGGCAGATTTGCTCTTTAAATTAACAGAAATTCCTCAACTGGTAACAATTGGCATAGAGGAAATATCAGAAAAGATATCGTAGTGATCAAATTGTTATTTCATTTTTTATCATTTCTCTTTTTAGCCCGCCTTCCTATAAAACGGCCTCCTATCTCTTATTATGATAGGTCCCGGCCAAAATACGTACAACAAGATTTAGTGAACGTGTAAGCATCGGGGAGCTCGACTTTGGGATGCCTGGGGACTCAACTGCGGCGCGCAAAACGATCAGTAGGGCGGGGTCACTCTCTAACAAGACAAACTGGAATCCAGCTGGCAGATTTTAAGCGCTACTGGAAAACACCTGCCTGCTAAAGCTTTTGGTGGCAAATCCTGCTAGCGAATACCACTCTGTATCATTAATAATCACAGGGAGTATGAAGTCCAAAAATCCTCACTAGCAGGGTTTACCACTAAATGCTTCATTGCCGAATCATATGGACGGGGTACGGCGAGGATCCAAGTTGGTATGTAGCCGACTTGAAATTTTGCAAACTGTCCAGAGAAGCTCCTAGGGTTTCACTAGAGAATATCAGGTGTATCTTAACACTTTTTAGGGGATTGATCTCAAACAATTCACCAGATTTCTTGAGGACCTCATAGGTATAGCCCTACTACTAAGTCACCCAATTTCCGACTTGGCCTTTGTGCCACCTGGTCCTTGGCTATGACGAAAGTTATACCTACCGCAGCTATTGAATCTAGATCTCGCCTATATTTATCGGCTTTACGCTTCTATACGTCCTAGGCTGGTTTTGAATTAGCCCTAGTCCGGATGTCGTGTATTACTTTAACAAGTTTCCGCGCTTTGTTTCGGATGCATTACTGGTCTTGTCGATCGGTTCACGGCCACACATACCGTCATATGTATACGTGATAATCCAGAGAAATTTGTATACATAAAAAAAAATATATTAAAAACTACAAAAAAGAAAAGGTCGTGCCCGGGATCGAACCGGGATCGGTGGAATCAGAATCCACAGTGATAACCATTACACTACACAACCTGAATTGTTGAGTTGGCCAGGATTAAGGAGTTCATAACCTGGGGGATCCACTTACGCATCGGGAAATGAAAAAAAAAAAGCCCTAAGAGATTCGGAAGGAGCATTAAGGCTAACTCAACCTCTGCAGGTAGTAGAGCTCTCTTAGAAATTTCGGTCTATAGGTACATCAGTTGGAAATTGTTAACATATTATGCCCTCAAGTCAGCGGGTACCCTATCATAAAAATCTCTGTGGCGTCCTTCAGCGTTTGAGTATATATATTTGGAAACCCAGTCGCGGTAAAAGTAGCACCCACCGAGAACGTCATATCGATTGATACCTAAGTTGATATAGCAGAAGCACTGTGACTATCATGGAACTACTGTGACTAAAGTTAAATATCTCGACTCGTAGCTACATAAGATTTGCCGCTGATGAGGTAATACACCCTAGTATTAACGTCTAGTTGCAACGATCAAGAAAGCAACCTAGAATTTACCCTCTAGCAGCGAGCTTTTCACTTGAAAAAAGTGTGGTACCGTTCCTCGCTCTCTGCTTCCAAGCATGCCATCTGTGACCACCACACCCTCGAGACGAGCACTATCTCGGTGTCAACAATGCAAACTGCTATTCCAGTCCCTTCAGTAGGTTACCCTAAGTTCTACCAACAAGCTATAATCTATGGCTATACATAGAAAACTCCTCTACACAGGTTACACCCTGTATCGCTCTTTCATCGCTCTACTATAAAACAAGGAAGGGGGAGCAGATCTTCAGGGAAGACTCCAAGGTCGCCTAAGATGCTGGCCAAAAGGACAGCCAAAAAGACATGTAAGGCTGCATAAGGGCCGACTACCCTTGCGAGTAATCAATACTAAATTATCCGATGGCCGGAGTAGGCATCAAGTTATGACCAGTTCGCGGTAAGTTCTTCAAAGTAGATGCACATAAATACTTGTGGAGCCTTCCATGGACATCTAAAACAGAACACTAGAGGGCAGTCTATCTAACTTCATCTCTGTATAATTTAATGATCCCCTTCCACGATCACCATCTCATGTGTTGTTTAATAATGCATATAATGGGAGCCCCTTCCATCAATTCAGGTTGTGTAGTGTAATGGTTATCACTGTGGATTCTGATTCCACCGATCCCGGTTCGATCCCGGGCACGACCTCTCTTTTTTTTCTTTTTTCTTTTTATTGCTAGGAAATTGCTAGGAATTTTTCTGGACCTTCTTAATATGATTTGCCATAATTATTTCTTTAAATAACAACATTATCAAAGATCAATAAGGCTGAGGCTAAATTGTTAGCCCTGAAGCCTACTATATCACGGAATGACTCCAGGGCTTCCTTCCACATTTTTGGTTGAAACCTTGGAACCTTTATCCACGTGCTTAGCTAATACGGGTTTAGCCCGGGGCCCCCTGGGCACCCCGTAGACTCCGAAAATGGGGGTCGGCTACAATCTCGGGAGGTATCCGACATGGGAAATACACCATGTTCTGTTAGAGTTCCGACTGTCCTGGGTTTGATCAAAGTAATAAGAGACGTGCAAGGGTAGCGGCCATAAACCGTGTCAACAGTGGTTAGTAGTATATTAGAAGGGCGAAGAGATGAATTCAAACGCGCGTGACTAACGGTACACGCCCAAAATGTGGTTCTTGGTCCCGAAATCTTTGTATTAGTAAAATCTTATTTCTGTCAATATCCGACATTTTACAACTCTTTGTCGATATAACCTCATAATAATGACCGGGGGGATTACTGCCGACTCTGTCGAGCATAGAAACAGCTATACCCGGTCGCCATTGCCAACCAGAGTCCGCAGTGCCTGCGAAAGATGTCGTCGCCATAAATCCCGGGTAGAGCCACTCTCAACCCCTCTGAGCAGGACTCAGTTATATATACTAAATCTAACTTGGACCTAGTGTGATCCTGTTCGGCCTTGCTCGGTGTGTCTCCGAGCCAATGTTGACTGCCAACCACTTCCAACGACCGGGCCACGGAGAGCCAACCTGCCAAAGTATGCTGTACTGTGGGATACCTTAAACTTGTTCTTTTACTTACATGACATATTAGGCGCCTGGGTTCTAAAAGAAACCTACGGACTGATCGACACCAATCTAATCTGTCTCCAGTGACTACTACTGAAAATCTGCCAGATGAAAATGGCCCTGGTCGCAATGAAAGAAGTCCTGATCAGTGTAGATTGATAGATGTGCACCCTAGGGGCGATACTGCTGACTTCCCCACTGGAGGGCGGGATGTGCCCTCGTCTCTCAACTGCGGCGAAGCTGAATCCGCCATAGGAATTGCTCGAAGAATCTGTCAACTTGGCAGCCATAATATTGATGAACAAACCACATCCGCCATACCCGGCTACCAGGCCAGCATCGGTGGTTCTATGGCAAACTCAGCAACGGGCCGACGCATTCCGATATCTTCTATATTGAGTCGCCCGTTCCCTCCTATGGAGGTTGTATACAGTCTGTTGGAAGATTATTTCGATGCCATACACTGGTTTTCTCTTGCCATTTATGAGCCGAAATTCAGAAAGAGCCTCCTTTCAATCGCGCATGGTTCTGCATACCCCTCGCAAAGACCGTTTCTCGTGCTGTTAGCTATGATGCTCGCAATGGCATCGTGGTACCGATCCCAGAAGAGCTGTACAGATCCGGCTGCCAGCAGCCATGACATGGAGAAATTGAGTGCAGACCTGTTGGGGCTGGTTGAGTCCAATCTGGTAGAATTAATGGATCAACCTTCCGTCACCTCAGCCCAGACCTGCATTCTCCTGGGATCGCATTATGTCTATCACGGTCGTCCAAATCTCTCCTTTTCTTTATTAGGAGCGACCATAAAGATGGCCCAGTCTTTAGGAATGCACCGAGGACTTGTACGGGGGGATTTCGAAAATATCGAGGAAAGAAAAAGAGTGTGGTGGACGATTTACACATGGGATAGGTTCGCATCAATTACTTACGGCCGGCCATTGGGTATCAACGACAAGGATTGCAATCTTGACATGCCAGCGGATGTGTTCGAGAACCCAAAGTTTGTTGCTCCAGCCTCCGGTCAGGATATTCCCATATGCTATTCAACCTACCAGCGGGAGTTGAACCAGCTCTACTTGATTGCATCGCCTGCGCTCAAGACCGTTTTCGGCTCACGAACCCTAAGAACTTCCGAACAGCTGAACGGTGACACATATTTTGCACTAGTCAGACATGCCACCGAGAACCTCCAGAGATGGCGATCCTGCCTTCCTAGCCATTTAGCTTTGGATCTTAGTCGGGACTTCGATCCCGATGATAGGCCGAGCTTGAGGGCACACGCTCTGCAGTCTCTGTCGCTGCAACTGACTTACGACAATGTTCTCATTGTGCTGCATCGACCTTTGTTAGCACGGCAGGTTGATCATCTATATACCGTGGATAAACAATCACCAGAGGGAAGCAGAACGGACAACATCATGTACCATCCGAATACCACTCCCTCCGTAGCCCAGTCGAGCTTATCTCCCGACTCCACGTTTCCCAATACCCAGACCACAAGTCCAGATCTATGGATGAACGCTGCAAAAAGAACATCAAGGGTGACAGAAATGCCGGCTCTAGCCCAGCTTGCGACCGACAGCCACCTGGGCGCATTTCTTGCAATCAACCTATTCAATGCTGCAATCGTGTTGGCTGTGATGGCTCTCTCAGAGCCTCTTTCCGATACCGCGCAGGAAGTGAAGCGCACAATTACTCGCATTCTTCGCCTGCAAGATCTGCTCGGAAAACGGTTTGCACTATCGAAGCAAAGCACCGCTGTGCTGAAGAATGTTGTTATCATGCTGCTCCGTCGTGAATCAGCTGCGATGCTCGCTCCAATTACCGGAACAAGCCAAGTAATGGGTCACCAGCCTTTACAGGCCCCGCCAGATCCGTCATTGATTTCTGTTGAAGACACACTTCGCATGCCGCTCGATGCCGCATGGGACTCTCGTAATCCTCTTGCTAGGGACCAACGCCTGCCGGACCTCAGCAGGGCTGATCGTCTGAACAATAGCCTGACGTCTGTCCAATATGGTGAGTCTTATAAATTTTGCGAGTTAGCGAATTTGGTGGAACGTGCTGACGCAAATATATATTTTCAGCCTTGGGCCCAGGGGATCTCGCTGCCGGCATACCTACTGGCGGAGATAGCCTTCAGCTTCGTGAGTTTGTTGAGCTAGGCATACAGACACATGAAGGATACCAGCTACCAGCAGAATATGATTGGAGTATGTCTGGTCTGTCTCGGGAACCTGTAGAAAACAACCAGCAGGACAGTGTGGAAGGCGGGTTATATTGGTTATGGGACATGACATGGAATGGAGCTGGGGGGTAATCGGATGTTTATAGAATGTTCAATCTTCATCCTGGGGATAATCCACGATCAAAAAAAAAAGCATGCGCTATACTAAAATCGCTCTTGCCTCTTCCTCGTCGACATCTGGGCCATAGATGACACTCTTGATTCCGCCTCGACCGGCGACATTTTTGAAAGCGTCTTCAGCCTGGCTGAAAGAAAATTCATGAGTGACAAGATCATCCAGCTTAATTCGGCGGGAGTCCAGCAACCCAATGGCCAATTTAAAGTCTCCAGGCCCGTACCGGAAGCTTCCTTTGAAAACAATCTCCTTGTCGCAGATCTGGCCAACCGGAACAGATAAGTTTGGTTTTCCCAATCCCACTTGGATGAACGTTCCTCCCTGAGCGAGGGCGAAGATACCGCAGTTCAGACAAGGCTCAGCGCCAGTCGCATCCAGAGCAATATCAGCGCCATTATGCAGACCAGCCGCCGCCAACAAATCCGCTGCATTCTTCTCCGCTGTCTCAGCGCTCATCTGGTATGTGTGTGTAGCACCATACTTAACAGCAGAAGCGAGCCGAGCAGGGACGACATCCACGGCAACTACCGTTGACGCACCGAAGGCCCGCGCAACAGCGCAGCAGAGTAACCCGACAGGCCCTGCTCCGAATATAATCACTGATTTATCCTGCATAAATCCTGCCAGTTGGCAGCTGTGCACAGCTACGCTGAGAGGTTCGATCAGAGTACCGTCGCGCAGTGAGATGTGGGGTGGGAGCTTGAAACAGCATTCTTCAGGAACGCGGTAGTATGTTGCGAGTGTTCCGTCGTAAGGTGGTGTCGCGGCAAACCGCATCTTCCTGCAGAGGTTATAGCGGCCATTGCGACAATGATTACAGGTATTGCAGGCAACGCCGGGCTCGAGAGCGACACGGTCTCCAACGGCGAGGCCTTGAACACCGCTTCCGCTCTCTACCACGATTCCTGTTGACTCGTGGCCTAGGATTATGGGGTTTTCGACGACGTATGGCCCTATTCGGCCGTGTTGCCAGTAGTGGACCTGTGAAGAGGATTTTGTTAGCTTTCATTTGCACTTAAGAAATAGAAATGGGAAAGGTTGAAGCCATTTCACTAACATCTGAACCACAGAGGCCTGTTGCCATGACTCGGACTATGACATCTCGGTCTGATTGGAGTGTGGGTTTGCTACGTTCTTCAAAAGCAAATGTGCCCCCGGGATGCAGCACAAAGGCCTGATTGGCAGTCTAGATAATTTTTTGACGTGAGCAAGTGCAATACAAATCCCATATGCTTGGGTCGGGGACTGGGATCGGGACTACCTGGGCTTTTGTGACGGTCATATTTGCGGGGGGATTTTTTTGTTTAATTTTCCCAAAGTGTCTGGGACTCTACTAAGCTTTAAATATTATGAATATCCTGGAGATTTTACCCACTCAGCTACATCAAGCGAGCGTGCCGGCGAACGGATCCTATGTCTTGAGACATATCCGGCGGACTGTTCACATCGTCGTCCTCGACCCGAATCTGAAACCCAAGTCGGAATAGTATAGACTACGGGATACCGATATGTTATGTAATTGGGGAAAACAGAACCAATAGGAACTATACAAGAATTCTTGGCTCAAAATGAGGTATGGCACCATTCACAGCCTAAATTCAAGCATATCAAAGCCTCACTTTGCCATATAACCTGGTCAATCCATGAATCTCCCCCACATATCCCGATTTTCAAATCCCGAAGATTCAGGAACCGTGTCTTCCGGGGACAACAACATAGATGTTAAGCAATCGCGGAACCGGTTGATATTCGCTTGGTATTCGCCACCGGAACCGAGAGTACGGCTCCACTATAGTCCCGGAACCGTTTACTCTCCCACAGCCAAAATCGATAGACAGTCGAAGAATACTCGAAAACTTTTGATTACAACATACATGCAGCTCTAAATAATCAGTAATATCGATAATCGGTGATCCGAGCGTAGCTCATGAGGAATGCCTAGAAACTAAGTGTGCTAGCTACCTCCTGTATTGTCCAATAGCAATCCCGGACCTGTATGAAGACATATGGATTCGGTAAACCACCGAAATAGTGACCCCATGGGCGTACCTTGAGGATCCATTATTTCCCCGTCATTCGGGAGAAAATTCCTCTTCCCCACGGACATGGTCTGGGGTTATAAATAAAGCCATTACCCGGGTCAGCTACCAATGTTGTCATAAAATATCTCTTGATCAAATCCACAAGTGGCCTTTGAACTCGTCCACGGTCAATTCTCTTCGGCACTATGAGTGTCACGAAATCTTTTGAGCCGGCTCCCAGTGGGACCATCAGGGAGCGTTCCCTCGCTGTCGCCGCACAAGTCGAAGAACAACAGAGCTGGCTAGAGAGGAAACTCAAACCCAAGAAGGTCTCAGCCAGGTATCCCTTCACAGGCACACCCTTATTGTATGCAACATGTGCCTTTGGCAGTTTGGGTGATGCCCTTTTCGGTTATAACTCTGGTATGACATCCTCAAATATGTTGTTAAGATAGCTGCTAATTTGATAGGTATTATGTCCGGCCTGCTGGTCAACGAGGTGTTTATATCTCGCTTCTTCAAAGACTTTGGAGGAGCCGACGGAACGACAAGTGGAGTCGATCCCTCGATTACAGGCATATCTGTTGCATGTTTGCAAGCAGCAGCAGCGGTAGGATCACTCATAGCCGGTCGTCTTGGAGACATAATTGGTCGAAAGAAATGTGTCCGCCTTGGCGCTTTTATCTACTTCTTCAGCTCTTTTATTCAGATGTTTGCGCCTGATTTCGGAACCTTCATTGCAGGCCGCACCATCCAAGGTCTGGGCGTGGGATTCCTCTCCATGACCGTGCCCATCATCCAAACGGAGATTGCTGCTCCTCATCGCCGAGGCTTGATGGTGGGTATAGAGTACACGTGCTTGATTGCTGGATATATGCTTTCTTGTTGGGTGGACTATGGATTTAACTTTTTGCTGCCACATCATATTTCATGGCAGGGACCTTTCATTATCCAGATTGTGCTCTCTTTCATCTTGTGTGGCATGTCCTTCTTCCTACCAGAAACCCCTCGATGGCTGGCGTTGAATGGTTTCGTGGACGAAAGCTTGCAAACAATTGCAGACCTTCATTCCGATGGTAATACGGAAGCGGAGCATGTTCAACGAACATTCCTCGAAATTCAAGAAGCCGTTATCTACGAGAGCAATCTTGGGAAGTCCAGTTGGAAGGTAATGCTCCCCTTCACTACTTGTGTGACTGGTTAATGTCGTGCATCACTAACCCTGGATTTTCCCACTTTATAGGAAATGTTTACCCGATATCGTAAACGAACTATTGTTGGAATCACAGTGCAGATGTTCGCGCAGATTAACGGCATCAACATCATCTCCTTCTACCTCCCGAGTACTCTCGCTTCCGCTGGCTATGACAATCGCAAATCCCTGCTGTACACTGCTGCGAATGCTATTCCCTACACCGCTGCAACAATTGTTACCTGGTGGTTAGCAGACCGATGGGGCCGAAAGCCTTTACTCATTCTTGGAGGTCAGTTCGCTAGAAGTTCGAGCCGATTACTAAAGGCTAAAAATTCAAATAGGTTTCGGCATGGCCGTATTACTAGGCATTGTCTGCGTCTTCACCGAAATTAATGTGGATGTCCAAGTCAAAGCGAACGGCCAGTATGCCTTCGTTATGCTTTACAATATCATGTACGGATTCACCTGGGGTCCGATGCCATGGCTTCTACCTGCAGAAATCTTCCCACTCCGTGGTCGGAGTAAAGGCATGGCCCTGGCCACGACTAGCAATTGGATCTTCAACTTCATCATTGGAATGGTCTCTCCTGATGCTTTCGCTGGCATTCATGGTTACTTCTACCTGGTGATTGCAGGATTTTGTCTCAGTTCGGCCATCCTGGTTCACTTTTACTATGTCGAGACAGCACACCATTCGCTGGAGGAGATTGCTGTTGCATTCGGTGACAAGGCGTTCGCGGATTGTGATGCGGAGGTCATGGAAATGGCTGATGCCAAGAGTGAGCAGGTGGAATTCTCGGCATGAAGGATGTCTGATGCTTCCAATTGTACATTATCTCATACGTGAGCTTTTGCTTGAGAATCTATCGTGTTCTATAAGTGAAGAATCCGAAGACCCCTTACCATGCGTAGTAATAAGCGTGCTGCGGCTTTGTAGGGCTCGTATAGTCATAGTATTCAATAGTGCACGTTTTTGTAATCGTCAGAAAATTCCCACATACCTAACTTGAGAAACCTTTAAATAAGTGAATTGGAACTAATCCTGGCCAAAAAAAATATTGGCAAAGAAAGAAAAAAAAAGAGGTCGTGCCCGGGATCGAACCGGGATCGGTGGAATCAGAATCCACAGTGATAACCATTACACTACACAACCTGATTTGTTGCTTCACGATTTCATAATTTGATTTATAGATCTAACTAGTTATGTAATTTGTAGTTAATATGACTACATACATAGCAGGGTATGAGAGACGTTTGGCAAGCCACTCTATTTACTAACACATTTATTAACAGCCTATTGAGGTAGGTGGAATCTTCCTATGGCTCCACTATTTGAGGTAGTAGGTCTTTAGTAAATAGCATTTATTCATGCACATGGATGTGGATGAGTTCTATGTTCTTGTTTAAAAAAAATTACATCTAACAAGAATACCCCCCAAAAAAAGTCTGCCAAAAGGCCAGAATAAGTTAACTAAAGCGACATAATAGCGTCAGTCGTAATCCACGACCCACCAATGTCCTGATGATGCCGAGTGAATGCCAACACGAGCAAATTTTCACCAGTCAAGGTTTCAGATCGGCGAACTCCAATATCATGGACCCTTTTGTTTCCTACTGGTATATCATGCTCTGAAGTAAGTCCTTCTGTGCCTTGAAGCTCGATAGCTTTCTCGACTCTGGGGTCGGGGACAGACTTCCAAAGCCCTTCTTTCCAACATTGATATCGAAGTGTCTTTGATTCGACCATCTGGCGAATCCGATGGGCAGAAGTGCTATGTATTAAACAATTCAAAGCCCTTTCGATAGGGTTCCAGGGCATCCTGAACATTAATGTATCTTGTAGAAGTTCAACGCAGACAATCAGAACGCAGCTTAACATAACAATAGACCTCTCAGCTCGACCACTTTTTATTCGACCCCTAACAACTGGAATGGCTTTATTGTACCATATCACCGCTTTTTGGTGGTAACGGGGCTATGGGCAGAGAACGGCCGAAGGCGCTTCTAATATTGCAGAGTGTTCGTATAGAGAGGAAATAGAGATGGCAGCACCCCAGCCAATTAGATCTGGCCAGCTCATCTGAAGGACAATTCCTGACAAGAAAATATCTATTGGCGGCCCCTACAAGCTCTATTGCTGCAGCTCATCAGTGCCTGCGTTATTTCTGGCGGGGTCCTGGCAACAACAGCAGCTGGCGATGCCAGCACACTCCCTAGGCGATTGATTGGCGCAGAAGTATGACTGTAGCTATCACATCGTCGTCTCGTATACAAATACATATAGCAGTGCTGTTTTTTTTATCACATTTTCCTCGACGAATTCATATGGCAGATTAGTATGTATGACGTGTGTAATTTAGGTAAAAATTGATACAGTCTATTCTTACTTGCATGCTCTACACCCAGTCTTAGATTTTTACTGCGAGTCTGTCCTCGAGTGATCGACTTATTTGATGTCATGTACTCCAATCTGGAATATTTGTCAGAGAGTATACCTAAGTTTTGGTCACAAAAAAAATCCAGAAGCTTGAAATTCTGATAACGGGCTGATAAAATTCGTATAGATAATTACTAGAGCCGATAAGGGTAAGAAATACGATTGGGTTGATGACCCTTTTCAGGAGATTCACTTATTTGTGTGTTTTGAGTGATTGTTTGTGCGTAAGACATAAATAAATAAATAGCAGGTGGTGGCCAATCGGCATCAAGCTGTCCAGGTGTTGATTTATGTATCTGTTTCTGGCCCGGGCTATATTCTTGTCTAGTACTCCCTCCCTCCGTGGAATATATTGAAACTTTGCTTAGAGAGATACTTCATGGTATAGGATTATACTAGGGTATTTTTGTGTCATCGATATATATAACTCCAAAGTGGACCCGTACCGTAACTATTATCTATTATGCAGTTAGCTTTCTACTCCGTGTGATGAAAATGAGTAGCCAGAACTCGCTATATCGTGCTATTTCGATGTAAATGTTCAATATATATTAGTTTGAATATCAGACTAGTTTGGTTTGAAATATTGACCAAAATGGGCGCTATGCGCAGAACCGGATTGATAACTGCTGATCGACGAAAGAATCTGCCACGACACATATAATACTACGCTATATTGACATTACCAGATGCTAGATGAGATAGTAAGTCAGAGCTATATAGAACGGTTGACGTAGTTTGAGTCCCAACTAATGAAGCCAGCAGATGGGCCAACAAAGCCTTCACTGAAACAGAAGCAACAAGTCATCCGAAACAATATTTCGGCTTAACCAATCCTAGCGAGACTATATCACCATCAAAGGACTAGAGCTGATAGTCTGGTATGGACATGCAGGCCGCCATAGAATACTAGAGACAATCTCCGTTGACCGCCATGGTCCAGAATCCCCCTGAGTTACCTGTGTCTCACATCCATACTGTCATATATTATTCCCTCTGATTCCACAGTTCTAAAATCACAGGCCTTGCACACCATCCTTGACGGTATATCATTCCTACCTTTATATCTATCACTCATGAGCCCTCTTAGTGACATTGCTATCCTGGCATAATTAAAATTTCGTCTTCGATTGATCTCCGATGATTCTGATATTGAGGAAAAGCCTGCGTCAATTTCTCTTATTTCTCACTGCTATTCCTAAAGATCCTTGCATTTTTATGAGTTACTGTCTTCTTCTTTTATGTTAATAAGATCACCATCATTCATAACCCCAATACTGAGTTTCGATTGCACTGGAGAAATGGACACGGGTTTGTTTCTTGGCATCAGAACCACCAGAGAGTATTCGAAGAAGATGTTCTAGCTATGCCGAGACAGCGATATCACTAACATGCCTCATAACTGATAGATATATAAGGCCAGGAATATATCCCGGAGAGGATAGTATGTGAGATCTGTGATATGATAAATCGCTAAAAAAAAAAAAAAAAAAAAAAAAAGGGCACTAATCAAAGTGTTGATGCCCTGATGCTAACAGCTGAACTATTGCTACCCTCTGACGCCGTAGCTATGTCAAATTGGATGTGTTATGTTAGGTTTTCTTTGAAGAAGCATAAAATGCTGAGCGCTTACATCAAATCAGGTTGTGTAGTGTAATGGTTATCACTGTGGATTCTGATTCCACCGATCCCGGTTCGATCCCGGGCACGACCTCTCTTTTTTTTTTTTTTTTTTTTTGCCAGGGGTTGTGAATATCAAATTCTCCCGGAAGAATCAATTAACCGAGGCCCAATCAGCTCTAGCGTACAAAATAGCACACATAAATACAGCCGGGCCGCCCACTCCTTTGACTCTTTTTCTTTTTTCTTTTCTATCAACTTCACGGGGCTCCACTTTGTGGCTTGCTGAGGCTTATCCGATGGCTTCGGCCTTCATGGGTTTTCTTCCGTTCCCGGCCCTGGAGAGTATAGAAAGGCGTTCCTCTTTATACAACACTTTATAGTTATGCTAGAGTATCTTTCGGGATACCCTATGAGCGCTAGCTGTGGAGAGGACGTCACATACCTTTTTAATCACTTTATGTGGTTTAGTATAGATTTGAACACAATGTCACTTTTTGATGATCAATCTCTTGGATATGTTAGTAAGAAGTAGCGTTTTTAGATGTATGATGCTGGAGTAGATTATTTTGTGAATTCTTAGTCTGTTCTGAATGGTTTAGCGAAGCGCATAGGAAACAAGTCCCTTTGTACAAACTCGTGGTACATCCCCGGTGATACATGGAAAGAAAGTCTGTACGGTTTATGCCTTTCATCGCTTATGTATACAATAATACTACATGTAAAAAAGAACATCTAAACAGAACATCTAAAAAGAACATCCAAAAACACATCGGAGTGTTGTTACACATAATATACCCACTAACTAACTATAACTATCATGGACCAAATATATTTACGTCATTAAAGGCAGGCCTCTCATGCGGTCGACTACGCTTGTTTTGTCTCATTTGAAAACACTGGTATAACATTGAAGCCATAGACGATGTGAATAAACGATGGGAATCTCATATACAAGCTCAGTATGTACTATGCTATAAAAAAAAACACTGGACCAAAGTCCTATGCTAGTCAAGGATATCTTGAAAGAAGTAAAAAAAGAGAGAAAAGGCTGATGCATAATGCTGCGTGGGACGTGGACGAGTAGGGAATAGAAAGCGTCAAGAGAAGCAGAAAACGCCATGTCACCCATAAATCCATTTCCTGAGTACGGTATAAAACATCGACAAAACCAACAACACAACATAATCGAATGGGGCTTACAAAATCAAATGCAACGTAAGAAATAATCCAACACGTAGTCGAAAGTCACCGGGTATCTCAAGCCAGAGACACGTGTGCATCGAAAAAAGAAGGTTGGCCTCGAGAAAAAAGAAAAAAACTCAGAGCACGCCGCCTGGAAGATTGATTTGTCCTTGTCGGCCGCCATCGAAGCCGGCGCTGTTAGGTGCTGATGCGCCGGGCCCTGGAGTACCTGAAGGGTTGTCCATGTGGATCTTTCGCAACATGAACATTGGCTTCCGTCCTTCCTTTTCTAGCTGCTTGAACAAGAGAAGGGGTTTCTCAAGTAAATCCAGGCAACGCTCTTGATCCCCATAAACAATATAAAGCGCGTAGTTCTTCCAGTCAGAGTTGATGTTGTATTTCTTGAGAGCAGCCGGTAGCACCTTGTAACAGGGATCTTCCCAAGAGACTCGGAATGACTTGAAAATTTCCACGCTATTTGGATTTTCGTTGCTGCCTCCGCCCCCGCCACCCCGCGAATCCGACCTGTCGAGTCGTGGGTCGAGACGGGATGCAGTGGACGGTGTTTCCGCACGAGATGATGGGAGCTGACTCGGGGTGAGTCGGTCTCCTCTAGAATGTATTGTCGGGGTCTGTTCGGCATAATCATAGGCCGTGTTGCGGTTTGCGCTGGAAAGTGGTTGGGTATATGATCGTGGATTGAGTGTCTGAGGGTGACCGTGGTGGTGGTGAGGTGATGTCGGTGAAGGAATTCCAGGCGATAGTTGCGACCCTCCATTCAAGGCAGTTAAATGGGATGAGGCGGTTAAGCCAGCGACTGATGGATTAAGGGTGTCGTGATGAGAGCGTCCATCATAGCCCGTAGGGGGAGGATGGGTTGGCGAATTGTTTTTGGGTGTGTTGCCGTTAGGGTGAATGCGCTTGGAGAAAGCCCGCACAATTTTCGATGAAGAAGAGAGTTCGTGGGTGAGTGGAGGTTGGGTATTTGAGGTGAGAGTGGCCGTACTGTCGTGCCAGTTTTCTGAAGCTTGCCCACCTGAAGAGGGTGGAGGCAATGGGTGTGACCGATCTTTTACAATTTTGATCACTGGTAGGATTTCTTCACGCAACCGCCGGTAATCATCTGTGATCCGGCGGAGCTCCGTTTCAAGAAACATGAGCTTTTCATCTCGAACTTGGATCGATTTAATCAGACGCGCGAGATCCTCTTGTGTTGCAGTCTCGTTCATACTCTGATCCGCCGCTGTGATTAAGTGTTAGAAGTGAGGTTAAATCGGGGCATCTGGAAACATACAAAGTGGAATATAATGATCTGCATCGAGGGGGACATCTTGCTTGACTTTGATTTCATACACGCTTTTCAAAATAGTCAGTCGATGTCCCACACTGTTGATGCCCATTTCCTTCAACTCTTCATGCTTTAGGGCAATCAGGGCTTCACCGACGATCCCATTCTCTGCGTAATAGATTCAGGTCAATAAAGAGGGCGAAGAAAGTGTAGCCAAACAAGCCCGCATACCTCGAAATGTACCGTGATATTGCAGCAATCCAAGGGATGTCAAAAATTCCTTGCATTCATCGATTGCCCATTCAGTGATGAGCGTTCGCGGTGAGCGAGGACCATCGATCGGATGTCCGAATTTGGTGGGAGTGTGTTCTGATGAATGAATGTCCGAATCCGTGGGAGAAGATTCCGAGTCGATGTTAAGGTGCGGTGAAGTTATCACACTGCGTTCATACTCATCGTCCGCATCGGAGTCGGCGTGGTAGGAGGTGTGGAGAGACATGGCGAGGGATCTTCGGCAAGACAATATTCACCGAAGTAGAGGAATGATATGAGGGGCTCACAGGCGCCACCGCCAGAGTGGAGGCGCTCGGTTCAACAAAAATAAACGAAATGAGTATCGGCGGTAATGCGCCGAATGCCTATTTGATAAAGCGCAGGCAGAACGAGGGGACGTCGAGACTCGAAGGTTTCAAGGCGAACATGGGCGGAATCACAAGATAATAGAGTAGATAGGGTTCTATTGAGTCTCTCGCGTTTTGCTCGAGATTGGTTCTCGATACTCCTTTCCGAGGAGGGGTGTGGTCGTTGAGTGCGAAGACACGGCAATCAACAAGCTGAGCAAAGCGGGGAAGGTTGCCGGTTCAGGGCCACGGCGGGATTGGGGCGTTGGGAGAAAATAAGGCCACCGGTCAAAGCGAGTGATATGTCTCTGTTCTCTGAAGCGAAAATTAAAGTGACGTCTGGGAGCAAGCTTACAGCAGAGGTCGAGATTAGGCGAAGAGGACGCTGGTCTGATGAAGAGTGGGATTCACGTGACTGGGCCTGGACTCTTCATAACAGTGGAACCTTCAGAAGTATACAAGGACATCTCTTTTTTCTTTCCCTTCTAAATCCCCCTTAATATGTTTTACTTTGAGACTGTAAATCTTGTTCAAGCAGGATATATTCTCTACACAGTCAATATCTCTAGGATAATCAGATCGAACTTATTACCCACCCCACCTTAATCAAAATGACGCCAAGCATCTACAACAAGATCATTACGCCCTAGCAGCTCCCTCTGCAGTTCTCCCTTTACTCCAACCAGGCACCCATTGATCTTCGATAATGCTAAGTTGAGCTTTTTGGGTGCGCTTGAAATAACCTTCGTCGATATGGTCCTCCATATCAACATCCTTAAAGCCCTCTTTGGCAACGGATTTTGGCGTGATCATCAACGAGTGCCCTGCGATCAGGTACACCAGTTAGTGTAGTTTGGTACCCCAAACGATGGGGAATATTTACCGTTGATTGTCCTATCGGTTGCAAGTTTCATCATGCAGATTGCAACATCTTCTGGGGGCGCAAACTCGACGCCTTTGGCCATGAGTTGGGCCTCATAAGCGGCGGATCGAATGGCGCTTTTGATATAGCTATATACTGTCAGTGGTTGACCTTTAATCAATAAAGGATAAGGGCATACCATGGAGCAACATAGTTAATTCGAATACCCTGCTCGTGGGAGTTCCGACGGGCTGTCCGCATCAGGCCTCTCAGCCCATATTTAGTGCTGGTGTATTGCCAGTTTGCCTTGCGTGAGCAAGTATTAGCCTTCTATGATCCATAACTGTTTGCCCAAGAGAAAACTTACAGGCGAGTCAATCCACGCAACCATACTGCCAGTGATAATAAAGCAACGGTCCCGGTCTTCGGTATCGGGTTGCTTGCGGAAATAGTGGATTGCCAATTTCCATGTGTACATTGTGCCAATCAAGTTGACATTGACGATGTTGAGTTCCGGCTTGACAGGAGGCTCGTTGATGTCTATCAAAATGAGTTAGAAGCGAGTTCACACTCCCGGAAGCATGATATAGAATTGTTATCTCACCATCCAAAGGCCACAAGTCATCGCCAGAGGCACGGCTGATACCGGCGTTGGCTATGACAATATCACAGCTCTTGTGAGGAGAGTTGGCAATAGCTGCCTCATACATTTGTACTTGGTCATCCCAGGAAGTGATATTGCATTTCACAAACTGGGCATTACTGCATAGGGGAAAAAGATCAGTGTCCGGACAAATGAATGGTTTCTAGAAGGGGCCTGATGAACATACGGGCTCAGCTCCTTGGCTAACTCCTGGCCTCGGATTTCGTCTAGATCTGCGATCGTAACAAATGCTCTACAATGAGGAGTAGACAATATCAACAGGCGTAGTCTTGCATTTTTTTCCACGATACATACCCTTCTTCTGCAAAGGCGCGCACTGTCGCCTCGCCCATACCATTAGAACCTATGACGGTGGTTAGAGATATGATTGAATATTCAAGGATGCGATGCCCATACCGCCGGTGATAATAACACTTTTACCCTTCAATACTGCTCGATTTGGTGGAATGGTGCAATCCACGGGGCCGGTGTACTCATATCGAGGTAATTGGGGCATATTGATATTGATATTTCAGATCTAACGATTTGTTTTTTGTGCTAGACGCGCAGAATTAGAACTATCATACATTAATTTCTGGCGTGCTAACGCCAATTTTACGTCTTTTATCTCCAGTCTCGGGCTAATGTCCGTGGGGTTTGCCCGCTAACCCCCCGCGTTTCAACCGAAGGGCTTGATTCGGTTATCCGAAAAAAGTAAACCGACGAAAAATCCATGTTAGATGATTTTTTATGAGAGCACCAGATCTGTGGGGATTAAAGATGATCGAATAGACCTTGTGGGGCCTGTATTACCTACTGCGTCATCAAGAACGATGGAAGAATCAAAGCTCCAGATACGGGAAATGCAGTATTTCGAAAAAGGGAATATTCAGAGCCCCAATGTGAATTGGTCTATTCAAATGCAAGTGCGCCCGTAGACATCGTATGTAAACCCATGAAATCTGATGCAGCCAGGCCGAAACAAACTGTACTCCGAAAGAAACCCGCCATGCATGATCGCATTTTGAAATGCTGCTTCCCAGCGTCCGGTGTCTGTCATTATTTCTTATCGCCGTTGGGCGCACTCTCGCCTTCCAAGTCGGCCACTTCTCGTATAATATCCTTCAATCCACGAACACCCTCGTCGACTACCGTCTCCGGAATACGGATGTCGATTTCTTCAATGTACTTCAGAGGGTCGTAAGGTTGGTGATCTTTGGGTTTGTTGCCTTTCCTGATACCGTTGGTATCTTTCGTTCCGTTTGTAGTTTCACCGTTCGCGCTCTTGGACCCTAGTGCGGGGTGGCTTCGGCCCTCTGCCGAAGCGAGTACTGCTGCCATCACATCGTCGAAGGTCTCACAGCGGCCGGCGCGGAGGAGTTCTGTGGCGAGGGTGGTGACTTTGTCGGTCCAGCCCAAGCGGTGGAGGGAGCCGAGGAGATTTTCCTGCAGATCTTCGAGTGCGCAGCTGGCGGACAGCTTGACGAGTAGGTCGGATTCGAGGGCATCGGGGGTGGAGGAGACTCCATTGGTGGAGGCGGAGGGGGGCATTGCGGAAGGTAGGGTTCAATTTTCACACAAGCTCTAGCAAGATAGTAGGACGCAATATGAGCTTTTATGACAAAAGCTCTAGTTCCGAATCGCGCACAAGAAATGGAGTGACGCTTTGTCGCAAGAGCGATGATCGGAGTGGAAGGGCCCGCCCTTTATTTCAATGCGGAATCGAAAGCGGATTAGAATTACATTGCATGTAGTGAACAACAAACATGCATAATGACCAGACAATTGAAGCCGAATAGTAGATATGAAATAGGAGAGTAGATGAATGGGAAGACTCGCATCGCCAAATCGGACAATCGGAATTGTGGGTCCGAGCGGTGAATCGTCTGAATCGCCTCTCTTTTATTCTGAATTAATCTGATCTCCTATGACTCCTAATATTCTACTCATCTAGCACAAAAATATACCTGATTCGGCTTTGCTAGCAGTTTGCAACCATGACTATGTTCTAGTGGATATCCAAGAAGATGACTCTGATATCCACTGACAAAATGATATACATCTTCGGCCTACAACTTAATGTCCTATTTGGATTTGATCTCAAATGGACCGGGCGCAGGATTTGCCAGTGCCCAGGCAATGCCGTCACTCATCACCTCATCCCATCTCTTGCTGTCAGGCAGTTCCTTGTACCTCCTGAATCCATGAGGGACGCCGGGGAAGACATGAACATTGGTAGGAACGCTGGTAAAATATTTAGTTCTTGAATATCCCGAATTTTGAAAAATATGGCAAACTCACCCGTTGGCGGCGAGGTGCTGTCCATAGAATAGACCCTCATCTCTCAATGGGTCATTCCCCGCGATTCCAAAGGTAGTAGGAGGCAAGTCCTTGACCTCTTCGGCGGTGGCGTTTCCAGGGCTCATCCGACGATCCCCATCAGCATCCTTGGTTTCAACAAGCCCAAGAAGTTCAGTGAACAATTGCATTCGAGTTACCGGCAAAACAGGCGCGTTGGCACATTGCACATAGCTCGATAAATCAGGACTCTTGAGCATCTCCAATCTCGGCGCATAGTGATCCCACTGTACAACACAAGGAATCATGAGGACCTGTCCTGCAATTTTCGGGCATGCTGCTAAGCGCTGATCCTCGCCACGCAGCTGAGCCAGCGCCAACGACGCAGTCAACCATGCACCAGCTGAAATACCGCCCACGACAACCTGCTCGCTGATCCCGCCAATCTCGGCGATGTTCTCGTGTAGCCAGACAAATGCGTCTTCCACGTCATTCCATGCAGTGGGATAGGGGTATTCGGGGGTGTGTCGGTAGTTAATATTCAAGACTACGACTGGGGTACCATTCTGGGCACGCGAGGTGACAATCCGCGAGCAAGTAGCGTCTTCAGAAGAGAGTGTCCCGAAAAGGAAACCTCCGCCGTGAAGATGGACGTAAACAGGGAGGCCCTCGGAGATGGGCACGCCGACGGGGCGGTAGCTGCGTGCTTCGAGGAGCGTACCGTCGCGGGCTGTGATTGTGTGGTCGTACAGCTGAACTGCGGCACTGAGGCCGATCATATCTTGGGCGGCGGATGCCTCCCGGCCCTTATTTAACAATGTCTTCAATTGCTCCACAGAGAGGTCTTTGGGGAGCTCAGGCAGCGTCGGCTCAAGAGCGATCCATTCGGCGCTAGGTATACCATATTGAGTGAAGTCGGCCATTTTTGTAGTGGTTAAAAATAGGTTTATTGCTAGAAGATGATGACGACGACGACGAAGAAGAAATAAGTAAGAACATCATCCTCGGGAGTTAATGAACCCCGCTAAGTAGAACGAGCCACTTGGGGAGGGGCACTCCACGCATGTGCTATGTACACATGTACAAAGTAATCAGGTACATTCACTGAGAGGCATATGTATCGCCATCTACCCCACATATCTCACCTCGGTTCGGCTACCGGTATCTTAACATTCGGCAACCCCGCATGAAGATGGACTATTTAGGTATGCCGTGAGCCAGAAAAGATGTAATAGGTATAAGGGTAGATAACATGCGCATTAGTTTCTGTACCTTTTAGATATAGTTGACAGATAACCCCAATTAAAACCTCAGTCATCAAAATCGAAAACATGGAGCCCAACATTCCATCCGATCCCCCTTCACGTTCTCTAGCCGGCAAAGTCGCCATCGTAACAGGTGCAGGCTGTCTGGGTGATGGAATCGGAAACGGACGCGCGATTTCAATTCTTCTTGCCAATGATGGCTGCGACGTAATCTGCGTCGACCTCAACCTAGAGTGGGCCAACAAGACCGTGGAAATCGTGAACTCGAAACCCGATCGTGGACGAGCACTTGCGATTCGCGCAGACGTCACATCTGAAGAAGACTGCCAAGCGGCGGTGCGCCTTGCAGTTGAAAAGTTTGGACGACTGGATATTTTAGTCAACAATGTTGGAATTGGAGGCGCCGCGGGCACTGCAGTGGAAGTTGATATGGTACAGTGGGCGAAAAGTATGGAGATCAATGTTGCCAGTATGGTCCAAATGGCCAAATATGCCATCCCCGAGATGAGTCGAAATGATGGCGAGATAAAAGGAAGCATTGTGAACATGGGAAGTGTTGCTGGGTTGAAGGGCGGTACACCTCATCTGCTATACCCGACTGCCAAGGGCGCCATAGTCAACATGACTCGTGCTATGGCGGCCCATCACTCCCCTGATGGGATTCGTGTGAATTGCGTCTGTCCAGGGGTATGTTCACCATTTTCGCTGTATGGATAGAGCCGGAGCTGATGATACTAGATGCTATATACGCCAATGATGTATGGGAAGGGCATGAGTGAAGAGGCGCGTGAGGCCCGCCGGAGACGAAGCTTATTGGGAACTGAAGGAAATGGATGGGACTGTGCTGGAGCAGTTGTATTCCTTGCTGGACCTCATGCTCGGTGGATGACTGGTGTTATTCTGCCTGTTGATGCAGGGACAACAGCTGCTGTGGGAATTGGCATGACGAAGAGCGCAAGTGTCAATGCCTAAAATTAATGACATATTGTGGTCTTGGTCAAATAATGGGCCCTTCTCTTCTCTCATATAGATTCATAGACCGCTTTCTTTCTTTCGCATCTTTTCATCCTCGATTATACATAGAAAACTCGTCTACACATTTAACGCTATTTTTCGGACCTTTCTCATATCTAGTATAAAGCTGAGAAGGGTGGGGAAATACTTCTATATAGACCTGGAAGTGATTTTTGTCAAATTGCAATGGACTTTGTGAAAAGAGATTACTCCTTGTTGGCCTTGGACTTGACAAATCAACTGCTGTGAGAGATTCTTTTTTTTTTTGCTATTATTTCTCTGGTTCTGTACCTGTGGAACTAATGCCTATGAAATAATAACAGCCCGGTCTGTGGTGGAGAATAGAAAAGACTACCAAAAATGGCATTACAAGGCTGCATAAGCCGATTATTTTTGTCCAGTTGACTCGAGAAGAGGTGAATTTTAGGATACCACCACGATGTTTCTTTTTCAGTTTTCCATGTGTAACTTATGATAACTGAGCATTATAATACATCCTAAATCCAACCCCTCAACACTCGACAGACTCAAAGATATCAATAAATGGATTAAATATCTTCTGGCGCATTCATACAAGATCTGAGACTAAGGCTATCCGATCCTTAATCTTTCCCTCGCCCAATTCTTTGAGAACCCTCGGGAAATTCTGCAACTTGCCCAATTCGACTTGGGGCTGAATGATTCCCCTGGCAATCAAGTCGAGCACCTCTACCAGATCTCGGTACTGTCCACCATATGTGAAGATAATACTTAGTCTCTTCCGAATTCCGATCTTCATGTCAAATTCATTGATGAGATTCAGGGTTCCAACACACAGGATCTTTCCCCCAGGACGCACTGTTCAAGGACAATCAAGCGTTAGCACAATGTAGATCAAAAGAATACCCAAAAAGGATACTTGCCAATCCGTTGCGCATCCTGACAAGTCTGATGACTGCCTACAAACTCCAGTACGGTATCAATCTTCCCCTGCAACCCATTTTCCTTGACAAAATCTTGGACAGACTTCCCAACTGGAACGATATCCTCCGATGGGACACCCAACTCCAGAGCAGCATCCAGCTTTTCTTGCCGCAGATCTGAAACAATAACTCTGGCACCGATGGCACGCACAATCTGAAGCGCATTGAAGCCAAGCCCACCAAGTCCAAAAAGAAAAGTAGTTTCTTCTTTCTTGACCTCAGCACGACGGGTGATACCATGATAAGCTGTAGTGACAGCATCAGTAGCGACAGCAGCAACAGCTGGATCAACACCTATGACTAGAGTTAAGTTGTATACTTGAGATTTCATAGTGAGAACCTTACCATCGGGTAATGGAACCGCGGAGCGAACATTGACCGCAACATACTCAGCAAAGAAGCCGTCTTGACCAATTCCATGGTGCATTCCAGCCGGGCAGAGTTGTGCCAGATCTCTCGAGCATTCGGAGCAGGTGTCTAGGCCGCATCCCGGGACAGCAAGGAGAGCTACTCGATCTCCCTGGAGTTTTAAATTAGTGATGTTTCAATATTTGAGAGTTATAATCCTACCAGTTTGAACCTTTTATCTGTGACTCCTTCTCCTATCTGTATGATCTCTCCACATCCTTCGTGGCCCTAGGAGAAGAAGTTAATTTTGCTCTCGAACGTAATCTATCTTTGAAGAAATGTTGATACCAGCGTATACTTCTCATTGAACTGCGGCCGGTCTTCAATATCTAAAAGGGGCTGATCGCTATGACACACTGCCATGAACAGGATATATCAGAAAAGAAGAACTTGGAACCCGGAATTTGATGTGAACTGGGTAGTACCTCCGGATGCCAGTAGCTTGACTAGAAAACCCGTGGTAGGGGTCAAGGGCATAGGGAGCTCTTCCCAAACCTTTATAGAGTGAGAAACGTACATATATCCTGTAAAGTAAAATTGCTAGCATACTGGTTTTGGGTTTCCTTTATGCTTCCTCCAGGCATGCATTGTGGGTGGTAGTGCCATATTGCTCATGATTTTAGAATTGATTACTGTAATTGGCGAAGAGATAGTTGGTTGAAGAGAACAACAAATTTATTTGTGGATAAATGTATGGCTACTTATGTATGATAAATCGAAATATCCAAGGGTGACGTACAGAGACTATGTCCCAGAAAGGACAGCCGATGCCGGTCGGCTTCGCTGGCTTCCCCGCATATTCCAGTGACCCGGGCAATTCGCCGAACATTTATCATATTGAGTCTACTTTTTTATCCTATAATCCTTCAATTGCTCTAATCAGGCACATACGACCATAGGGTGTGGAAAACAGGGCTTCCCGTCCGCTCAGCCGTACTTAAGCCACACGCCGGTGAGTTAGTAGTTGGGTGGGTGACCACCAGCGAATCCTCACTGTTGTATGTTTTTGTTCTCTCTTTTTGAGAATCATACAAATTTGTGACGAGAACGGCTGGCCTTGAAAGCGCGGAAAACTCGTGAGGCCCATGGCCAGACGACTGTATACTTAGTAGGGCTTCCGACTAATCAGAGGCTTATCCAGTCAGCCAATCATATATCACTAGTTTGTGTCCAAGTTATTTTGGTCTGTGATCAGATGCCTATTCCTTACTTCATCAAGACATTCACCCCGACACTCTGCGTGCTTCTTAGATATTTCTGATTTTATTTTGTCGCTATCATAAGATGAATCCGCGTTTGCCCTTCGATGATGCTGCCTGGGAAAAAAGCGATCAGATTGAAGACTCCTGGCTGGATCTTCTCTTCGATGAAGACATCTACAATGAGATTGGAATTTTTCTCGCTGAACATCATTGCCCTCGCCAATGGGCTGATTTCAAATTCTTCAAATCCGGCGGTTTCAACGCTAGCTTCCTCATGACATTCACCGATACCGATACTAGCGGCGCTCTTTTAAGACTCCCACTGCCTGGTGTTCATATGTTTCCTGACGAAAAGGTTCGTAATGAGGCCTCTATTATGCGATTCATCACGGAAAGAACTTCACAAAAAATGCCGATTCCAGTTCCTATAGTCTCCCGCTGGGGAGAGAGAAACGAGAGCCCCTCAAATTTGGGTCCCTTTATAATTATGGGCTATATTGACCACGAGAGAAGTATATCTGATCTTCTCGAAACACCAGGACGCCTACAAAAACAGCGTCCAGAACTAAATCCGGATATCAGCACAACAAAGCTAAAAGCTCTATACAGAGAACTAGCCAATATTGTCTTTTCTCTATCTACACTCTCTGCGAGCCGGATTGGGTGTCTGAGACAGACAGTTGAATCAGCGTGGGAAGTGGTATATCGACCATTGTCTATTTCTATGAATGAAATTGTGCGTCTAGGGACGCTACCTCGATCGGAACTCCCTACCGCGACGTACGATAGAGCGTCTTTGTACTTTGAAGCCCTAGCAGAGCTACATATTTCACACCTCAAACACCAAAGGAACGATGCTATAGAGTCGGCCGACGACTGCCGACGTAAGTTTGTTGCTAGATTCTTATTTCGGAAACTTGTTCGAGATCGGGAGCTTAGGGACAAATGGGTATCTTATGAGCATGGCCCATTTCCAGTTTGGTGTGACGACTTTCGACCACAGAATGTTATGGTTGATAAAGCTGGAAAAGTCGTTGGGGTGGTGGATTGGGAGTTTACATATACCGCCCCAGTTGAATTTACTCATGCTCCACCCTGGTAGCTTCTTATCGAAAAGCCGGAATATTGGACCAAAGGCCTTGATGACTGGTGTGCACTGTATGAGGACCGGCTTCAGGTCTTCCTTCAGGCAATGGTGGAAGGACGCGTACCAGACTTGGAACGAACGACCTAAAGAAAGCCAGCGACTCTCTAGTCGGATGTGACATAGCTGGGAGAGTGGAGACTTTTGGATCATGTATGCTGCAAGGAACAATTTTGCCTTTGACGCCATCTATTGGAACAAGATCGATCAGCGATTCTTCGGGTCCGATATATCTGACGACAACATATGCGATGTATGGAAGAAAAGACTTCATCTATTAGAACCTGAAGAAAAGGAAATCATGGATAAATATGTGGATCTGAAGCTCCAAGAGAATGAGACAAGGCTTCTCTGTTGGGACCCAGATCAGTATACCCTAGAATATATGGCCAGGATGGAAGCTTGATCGCTCTTGTAGAACGATTTAGGAATTTCATCAAAGTTCCATCGGATTTCATCCGTTTCTAGCTCGAAGTCCTCTCTCCTACAGTGTAGAAGCCCCCAGTCTGTCAATGACCATGGTATAAATAGGGTTTAGTATAGAGGAATGGGTCGCCCGGACATCTCATTTTCAAGGAAAAAGAATAATATATACAAACAGCAAACAGAAAACAGCAAGACCAAAAACGGCCCTAACGACGGACCCCTACGGTCCGATTTAAAGGAAAATGAAAGTGTAAGGAAGACGGCGAATTCACTATTTAAGTGGTTGAATTGAGAAGTAGAACGGACATCTGTGGGATAACTATCCCTTGATCCCTCGGAACATATCCAGGAAGTTTGACACTTCCTTTGCTTTTTGGGGGGCGAGTACGGGGGTCGCTGTAGCATAACCCTATATATTGAAGTGGGGAGCGCTGTCATTGGCGCGGGTAATGCCTGTCTGCGAACCAGACAAAACCAGGACAGGTTCTTGAGTAGCGGAAGATAGAAGACGGAAACCCAGGGGTAGGTAGTTGGTAGAAGAAAGGTTGGTTGATTCTCTTGCTTCCAGCACTTAAATACACGTATTCCACTTAGTCGGTTTACACTGCCATTTCTCGTGTCCCTCTACAATATATATCTACATCTCACTACTACTACAAAGACTACTGCAAAAACTACTGCAAAAACTACTGCAAAAAAGCGTAAATATGTGCGGGGACGTCGCACTGAACACCCGGATATGTATTGATCAACTATGTGCACCAACATCGTTACAAGCTTCATATATAGTGTGCTCCCCGAACTCTTGCGGCTCAGGAAATCGATGTTGGAATTTGTGCGCCATCAAGGGACCCGAGAAGCCTGCGCCGATAGTTAGGACATACATTTTGCGTAGTTTATACGCGTAGTCTGTGTTCAGCGGGATAGAGTTGCTCGATGAATGTATGCCATTGTGCCCATTCGTGAATGATTGTTCAGGAACATGGTCCATTTTAGGAATTTCAGACACTTCAACATCTACTTGTGCTGGCACAGCAGTCATTTTAACAGTTAATGGGGGTTAAAGAGGCAAGGATGCAAAAATCGTGATACGCTGAGGATTCCTATGCCTTTTTACTCGGTGTCTGACTGTATGCTGCAAAAAAGGCCCATCAAGAACTGTGTACGACTGTCCTGAGTTGAAAAGCGTTGCTCAGAGATCTCTCCATCATAACTTGGTTTTGAAGCCAATTACCTGTATGATTGATGATCGCAGAATTGATATATTTAAAATACCGGCCCAACACGCCAAGTAAACCGAAAATTACCACCGGTAACAATCTGTAGAGCCGAGGGTAATGGAGCTTGGCAAGGAATTTTGCGGGGGACAGCTTTCCCCCGCCTTTCGGTGAAGATAGTCGATATTGGTGCAATTGCACCTTCAGGTAGAATTTCAATCATGTCGCCCCCGCTTTGGCTACAATTCACTGGCAATCAAACTAAAAGGAAGCGCGCAGAGCTTGCCTGTGTGGCGTGTCATAGCAAGAAGGTAAGCTACCTAGCTCTCGGTCTTGGCAATGAGACTAACGGCTGCAGATTAGATGTGACCTGCAAGTGCGAGGGGCTCAAGGGTATAGTAACTGCACCAAGTGTGAATCTGGCGGCAAGGAATGCCGGTGAGTTATTCTTCCAAGGCTTTTCGGATGTTTGACCTGACCCGGTCACAGAACGAGACCATCAAAACGAGGTCGGCCCGCTGCAAGTGTGGCCCCATTGACACCTCCCGTAGCCGAGACCAATTCCTGTGCCCAGATAAACCGACATGGCTCTATCCCGGATCACCTTGCTGTCAGTCAACCGTCCTCTGGACCGCCTGAGGGCGGGTTAGGAAATGATAGCCGGTCGCTGGACTTCCCCAGAGACCTGCTCCAGAGATCTTCTATCTCTCCGGCACATGTCGAGCAAGCAAGAACTCAAAATTTTGAGAATATCAGATGGTCACTGAGAGATGAACCATCCCCGGGTCAAGTGCCTCTTGACCCTCAGGGCAGGCCTATGCAAGCCATGACCAATGATTCTCCCGCTACTCAACGGACAGAAGACCACTCAGAGCATAATGACAGCTACCCAATTGGTCATGTCTTTCTACCAGAGCTACAAACAAATGCCCGAGCCCAGGAGCGGCTCATTGCTGAAAGAATGCCTGAGGTGCCCAATCTACCTGATCCAGACCTACAACAAACATTCGCAGAAACATACTGGGAATACTGTTACACATGGTGTCCAGTACTAGACAAAGAGACTCTCTCAGATGAGCTTGCTCGATCTCCACTACTCGTCAATGCTCTGGCAGTGGTTGGTAGCAATATCAAGCCGCCCATGATTCCACATGATGGACCTGCCGGCTATTACGAGCGAGCTCGCACCAGATTCTACAACGACGAAGAAGCAGATGTAATGACGTCGTTGAAAGCTATTTCTCTTTTTTATTGGTGGAGTCCGCGGCCGCCAACTATCCTCCATCGCCATTCTTCTTGGTGGTGGACTTCGGTGGTCATCCGACATTGCCAACAACTAGGTGTACACCGAGAACCAGCACAAAACCATCCACTGCGTCAGCAGATAGATCTCAGTCTCCGGCGTCGAATATGGTGGACGGCATTTGCGCGTGAGCGACTGACTGCTTTGTGTCAAAGTAAACCATGTGTCATTGACCCCGAAGACTGTACTCTATCAGAACCCACATTGGACGATTTCTCTCAGGACGTGGATAAAACCAAAGCCGAGGTTTTCATCTACTGGGTCCGCTTATGTGCTATCATTGGCAAAATCGCAAAATATCTCGCTCGTTCCAGCGACGCTGGATCCTCCGCATTCCCAGCATCTCTAGCCCGCGATCTCATCGCCTGGGTCCAGTCACTCCCTCCCCATCTGCAACTACCGATTGGATCGGATCGTACAATCCATTTCAATAGAGATGTGCATCAACTCCATCTTCCGTATCTAGCCGTCATCATCATCATTCATCTCCAGCGTTCCTCCCCCACCCAACCTCTCCCACAAGCATATCCACCAGCAATCCTCGCCGCGTCATGTATGGCTCGCATAATGCGGGACATTCTAGCACGCGGGGGAACCCGATTCCTCATGGCAATAACAGGCTGGTATTGCGGTACCGCTTTTATCGCGCTGCTCCAAGCCCTTCGAATCGAAGGTCTGGCCAAGAGCGCCAATGAAGATCTAGATATCTTGACTTTGGCCGTGGACCAGTTGCGCATCATGTGGCCCACTGCCGCAGTATTCCACTCCGGCTTTGGTCGTCTGCGACCTGTCGCTACCGCGCCGGACTCCGACTCGCAACGAGCGCCTGGTCCGGAGCTTGGTATGGGTGACGGGTCGGTGTATATGGAAATGGCAGATGGTATTGATTGGACTGCCTACTTCCCGTTCGCGACTACTGAAACTAGTGGCATCGCTGGTAGACTACTAGTCCCACATACCGAGGAGCTTTTCTTTGATGATGATGCCTTTGCTGATGCTATGCTTCAGTTTCAGGATTTATTTGAGCCTTGCGATACCCTTACTGAGATGAATCCTTTTATGTAATAATGTTGAATGGACTTAAAGTGTAGAGATAATGCACCGGTTGTTTCAGGTGTTGTTTTCTGAGAATTTCCCAGGTCATCCCTAGTTCCAAAGAGAAAAGTCATCTGTAGGTGGTTCAGGCCTTTTGCCGCCTTTTTACCTTTCTAGATCCAAAAATCCGAAGGGAGAAAGACACATGAAACGACATCTAAAAAGGATATCCGAGAAGGCACCCAAAAAGACTGAACAAGGCTGTATATTCTTCTATTGTGTAAAACTGAAAGTATTTCCTAACGATCTATAGACATATCATTTAAGCACCAAATCCTTATACTCTCTCATGACCACCTCTTCCGCACGCTTTCGGTATCCAGGTGCTGGACCCTGGTATCGCGCAATAATTCTCTTCTGTTTGTGCGCCAAATTCTTATTGACACCAGTCATCCAAGAATCAACATCATTGGCAAGCAATCCCACTGCGCAGTTATGAACATGCTCCGTCCAATCCAAGACACTCTGCTCTGTAGCCGCAGCATATGTAATATCCCGATTCCGACAGAACTCAATAAACCGCGCCACCCACCTCGCAGCATATTCCACGCTGCGAGGAATATTTCCAAACATTTGATGCGGTCCCATGACCATCATCATGTTGGGGAAGCTTTCAACAAATAGACCCAAAAACGTGCGTGGACCCTCGCTCCACTTATCCTTCAGTTGAACCCCATTCACGCCTCGGAAATCAATTGCCGTGAAAGATCCAGTCACTGCGTCGAACCCGGTGGCATAAACAATCATATCGAACTCGAAGGATTCATGCTTGGTTTTAATGCCGGTCTCGGTAACACAGTCAATGGGGTTGGTTTTCAAATCAACCAAGCGCACATTGGGCTGGTTATACGCATCGAAATAGCCCGTTTCCATAGGTACTCGCTTGGTTCCGAAACCATGACATTTCGGAATAAGGATTTCCGCCGTAACGGGGTCGTGTACGCGTTCGCGAATTTTATTCGCGATAAACTCGCTAAACAGCGCATTCGCCTCCTTGTTCGTATTGATATCGCCGAAGTTGCTCATCCACTTGGCAAAGCCACGCCGGGCATAAAGTTCCTCCCAGAATACTTCGCGCTCTTCGGGAGTCAGGTCGAATGTGCTTCGCTTGTCGGGGACATGCATGAAGCAGTGCCAAGACTCTGCGCATTTCCGGAAGATCTCTGGGTAGCGGGTTTTAATTTCGTCCATTTCTTCTTGGCTCAGGGGCGCGTTCCGAAGAGGCAGACTCCAGTTCGGGGTTCGTTGGAAGACGGTCAGATGACCTACAGTCCTGGAGACTTCTTGAATTACTTGGATGGCGGTTGCGCCGGTGCCGATGACTGCGACGCGCTTGTTTGAGAAGTCGACCTGCTCTGCAGGCCAGCGGGCTGTGTGGAAGGCTTCGCCTTTGTAGTCATGAACTCCGGGGATATTGGGCAGGGTGTAGTTGTTCAAGATGCCAATGCAAGTAGTGAGGAATCGGGAGGTGTATTGTTGTCCCTTTTCGTCTGTTAGGAGCCATGATTTGGTGTCGTCTTGGAAATGTGCTGCAGTGATGCGTGTGTCGAATTGCATGTCTCGACGGAGATCTAGTTTGTCGCACACGAACTCGCAGTACCGTAGTGTTTCGGGCTGCGAGGCGAAATGTTCGGACCAGTTCCATTCATCGAGGATTTCTTGAGAGAATGAGAAGTTGTATGAGTAGCTTTCGGAGTCGAATCGTGCGCCTGGGTAGCGATTCCAGTACCACGTTCCGCCGACACCTCCGCCGGCCTCGATGACTTTCGCCCGCAGACCTAATTGGCGCATTTGATATAGCGAGTAGATACCAGAAAGTCCGGCGCCAATGATAAGAACATCATAATCGAGATCTTTGTTCTTCTGGCGGAAGTTTGGCTCTTCGATGCTACCCATGATTTCAAGGACGACTTGTGTTATTCGGAGTTGTCAAAAAAATGGATGCAATATTGATATTACGCCTTAGCTATCAATATATGATCCTTCTTATTATATGTAGTTTCTAAGGTTGCGGTTATCACCCACATGGGCATCTTCGGCCGATACCTTTAGCCGGAAGCATCCCACGATAGATAAACGATTTGCGGGGGAGAGACCCACATCAATACAGCCGGTATGCGCTTGTATGAAGCCGAGATCACATGGCAGTGAAAATACATTCTGTACCTTGGCTTTCTCCTTTTCATTTGGACATTGCCGCTTTTCCCTCACCGAGACTGAGCACGCCTCTGACCTCAGTGGACTTTACATAAGAGTATGCTGGAATTGACGCGCGTTAATTCTAACCCCGGATTAATATGCAAGTCGGGGTCCGTCGGCACCGTGATGACCGATAGACGACCAATATTCAATTAGATCAAAAGAGAAAAACGTCATACCGAAGTCTTATAGGCACAGCAGAAAATATGGTATAAAAACAGGGCGCAGGCTTGTGCAGGACACCTTTGCTATTTAAGCAGGCTGAAATAATCTCTGCAGCTGGGCATGCCTTGGTATTAGGAGATTTGAGTAATACTAATAATATTCAATGAAGATCCTACTTGTTTCGATTTGTCCAACAAAGAACTATTCCCAATGTATCAATCAATTTATTATTGTTTTGTACTCTCGAGGTCAGATTCCTAAGACAGCCAATTATTCGAAGTTTACTTCCCCATTGACGACGATCGCCATCTCTGCCCATTGCAATGGCCCCTACACCTCGGATCGTTGTCGGGAAAGTATTCCAACGTTGAAACAATATGATCCAAGATTTGAGGCACTTAAGACGCATGTGCTGTTGCGGAGCACATACGGCCATTTATCGGATAAGCCCTTACTCGGTTCGGGATCTTCCTTGTTGATCTATGCCGATCGTGATCGTCATAACCTCACAAATGTAACACTTGTCCATTCGAAACACCTTGTGAGCAGCAGCTTATTCGTTATGTCACATTAGAGCAATAAACGCGAAACCCAGTCCCCGCTAAGTCCGTATGCTTGTTTGTTTCGAGACCTAATTTCCGATTCATGGCCCCCTAAGGCATGATGCAGTGTGTAGATTGAGTTAGCTGGTGGCTGGGAATATATAAAGAGTTCAGGATTCCCAGAAGGTCTTGAATATCACACAATCATCCCACACATCATGTTGACACTCAATCTTTTAACCGCATTGCTGGCACCAGGTGTGCTATCAGCTGCCTTGCTCCCTCGCCAGTCAGATGATCTCAGTGCATTTGTCAAGTCCGAGTCTGCTATTGCTCTTCAAGCCATTTTGAACAACATTGGTGCCGATGGCTCTGCTGTTTCTGGGGCCTCTGCTGGCATTGTGGTAGCATCCCCATCTAAATCGGACCCCGATTGTGAGTTTCCCTTCCCCAAATTCGAACTGCATAAACTAATATCCGCCAGACTTCTATACCTGGACTCGTGATGCAGCTTTGACACTGAAGGTGTTGATTGATGACTTCATTTCCGGTGACGACTCGCTGGAATCTACCATCCAGGACTATATCACTGCTCAAGCGAAGCTGCAGACCGTGTCTAACCCATCCGGCGAATTGTCTGATGGGTCAGGACTTGCAGAGCCCAAGTTTATGGTAGACCAGACTGCTTTCACAGGTGAATGGGGTCGTCCTCAGCGTGACGGGCCCGCTCTACGAGCGACAGCCATGATTGCCTATGGTAACCATTTGATTTCGAGCGAAAAGGAGGACGTCGCCAAGGCGAACATTTGGCCCATCGTTCAGAATGACCTGAGCTATGTCGCGCAATACTGGAACCAGACCGGTTTTGATCTGTGGGAGGAGGTCGAGGGCTCCTCATTCTTCACTATTGCCGCACAGCACCGTGCATTGGTTGAGGGCAGTGCATTTGCCAAGGCGCTGGGAGAGACCTGCGATGGATGTGATTCCCAGGCACCTCAGGTACTATGCTTCCTGCAGAGTTTCTGGAATGGCGAAGCTGTCGTTTCCAACATAGCCGACAATGGTCGCACCGGTCTCGATGCAAACTCCGTGCTTGCTTCGCTCCAACTGTTTGACCCCAAGGCTACTTGCGATGACGCAACCTTCCAGCCTTGCTCTGCGCGTGCCCTGTCTAACCACAAGGTATACGTTGACTCGTTCCGTGAGATCTATGGCGTGAACAGCGGCAAGGAGGCTGGAAGTGCCGTCGCTGTTGGACGTTATGCTGAAGATACCTACATGGACGGCAACCCATGGTAAGCAAAAATTTCGATTTCATCTGGTTTTGGTGGAACTTTACTAACAGTTCTAGGTACTTGACAACACTGGCTGCTGCTGAGCAGTTGTATGATGCTGTTTACCAGTGGAAGCAACAGAAATCGCTGTCCATCACCGAGCTCAGTCTTCCTTTCTTCCAGGATCTGGACTCGTCTGCCGCCGTCGGAGACTATGACAGCGATTCGGACACTTACACCTCCCTCACTGCTGCAGTCACCAAATATGCCGATGGGTTTGTGTCTGTCGTTCAGGAGTACACCCCCAGCGATGGAGCTCTAGCCGAACAATTCACTCGGGACAATGGCGACCCAGCCTCTGCCAGTGACTTGACCTGGTCCTATGCGGCATTTGTGACTGCTGCCGAGCGTCGGGCTGGAACAGTGCCCGCTGGCTGGGGTGCATCGGGTGCCAATAAGGTTCCCGATACATGCGAGGGAAGCTCGGCTGAGGGTACTTACGCGGAGCCATCAATCGGCTCGTGGTAAATATCATGGGAGAGGAGAGTACATATTACTCAATTCCGGTAGATAAGAAAGTGCAGACGTGAGAAATATAAATAGAGTGGAATGACAACCAATATTTGATGCATTTCGTCCTAGTTTTGCAATCAAATTACTTATTACAGGCAGCTCTAATCTTTCCGACCTAAAGTTGAATGCTCGCTGGTAATTGGCCATAAGCAACAGAAAACGTTCTCGGCGTTTTCTCAGAGCTCACAGGGCTGTTTGCAGTCGATTGTTAAGGATTCTACTAGTATAGTCCAGATATTAAGACATTGTCAGGACAAATATATTGAAGATAGCCAACCCAAGCCAACGAAGACTTTGACCCGCCAAAGTGCCTCAGATTTCCCCACGCTCTAAGAAAGCGACTGGAATATCAACAAACTTGGATCTCAAATACTCACCAACATTCTTCCCGAGGAAGTCAAGCGTCTTAGTACAGCTAACTCCACGGTCAAGATGGTCATAAAGCAGAAAGTGCACAGCTCCAATATTAGGCAATTCAAATCGTTCCTGAAAGGAAACTGTCAGTCATTGGAAACAAACACTTCCACAAATATAGTAACTCACGATTCTTCCGCCGTTGTATTCTTTTGCTAGAAGTTTTTGGATCTTTTCGACGGTTAGAAGCGCGCAAAGCCACTCGTATTCATCATCATGGCAAACATAGAATCCGACATTTGCATTGGAGCCTTTGTCTCCGGAGCGAGAATGAACTATCCAGCCCAAGGGTCCTCGTGTAGTTGCACCAAAGCTGCCAACATCGACACGCGGGGATGGTTTTGAGGGGACCGCAATTTCTCTCTCTACCGCTGATGGCGGCGCAATGTCAATTGTCCGTCCATCATGGAGATGGATACGGTGATTGATAAGTGATTGAGGGAGCTTGGTCACGAAATACTCATGGGTCTCCCTGGGGAGAGCAGTCCGCACGTCCATGTGGAATGTTCCACCCGGGTACAGCTCCATGGTGGTCTCGAGGATGGGTTCCAAGAAGTTGGCAGGTTCGAGATGAACCTTTTCAGATGCCTGAGCAACGACGCGGAAGCATACAGTGGCAGATGGTTGATCTTGAGGGTCTTCTGCTGCCACACCATTCAAAGTGAATTCAAGCGAGCTGAGATTCTTCACCCGGTGACCCAGTTCCTCCCGGATTTGTGCCTTAAGCATCCTCGCTTTAGCTTCAATATCGAGCCCCACCAGCCAGAAGATCATCTCGGCATGATACGCTTCCTTAGCTGTGATTCCGACTTTAGTGGTGGCAGGGGGTGGACCACCATGGATTCCGGAGAGAAGCACCCGGTCAGGCCCAGTTTCCTCAAACTTGACTCCGTCTATATATGCCGTGACATCAGAGTTATAGTAGCGCGGACCCTGAATCTCATACAGTAGTTGCGACTTGCAGGTATTGATCGAGACCAAGCCGTTGCTTCCGCGGGTTTTAGTGACAATAACCTGGCCAGAAGAATCAATTTCGGCAATTGGTAGACCGAGGTTATGCCAGCCACGATGCTCCAGATCTTTGAATCCGGTAAAATTGCCGCCGGTGACATAGGAGGAACATTCAATCAGGTGTCCGGCCACGAGGGAGTTGGCAAGTTGATCGTAGTCCTCCCGGTCCCAGCCGTGCCACCAAAACGCAGATCCAATAACGGGAGATGCATCTGAGACTCGACCACAAACGACGATATCGGCGCCTTGTGCAAAAGCTTCGGCGATTCCGAGCCCGCCCAAATATGCCTGAGCGGATATTGGTTCATGTTTCCATTCGCTCAAAGGCTGGTTTGTGCAGAGATGGCGGAAATCAAAGGTCTTCTCCGCTTCCGCTTTTAGTACAGCCGGTAAAACCTGATCGCCTTCGACCCAAGCAATCTTCAGAGGTACATTCTTTTCCTTCACAAGGGCAAGGAGGGCGTCATGAAGCCCCTTGGTATCCGACGACCCGGCGTTCGCTGCAATCTTGATGCCATACTCAGCTATCTCAGGTAGTACGTCTTCGAGGGCAGAAATAAATGTCTTTTCGTAGGCGATCCCTTGTCCTGCTTCGGTTAGATATAAAACCCAGGTGCACCGGTGCAGATACGATAAAGAAACAAGATACCTTTGTGATGTTTTGTAGCGTTGAAGGTCATGTTGGCTTCAGACATCCAGTCTCCAACGAGAATATCAAATGGGTCATTCTTATGGTTTTTCACAGCTGCCGCAAGCAGCCTTCTGCGATCCTGGGCCGATCCAGAAGATCCTACAAGGTAAAAAAAAAAATCAGCTTCCATCCCAATGTCTCTATTGTACAAACACTGACCTAGGATGCGAAGCGGCCGTTTGGTCTGTTGGGTTGGCATGTCGTAGTTTGTATTTTGTCAGTTGTGAGGTGATATAATAGAACACTGGGCTCTAACACAAAACGCATTAGGGAAATCATCCCGATACTTTTTATATGATACCCCGGTCAAACGGATGTTGATCCCCAGAGTCAACCCCAAGTAGCTTATTAAAGAGATCCAAGTACACAAGGTGACCCCAGTCTGATTAGCATAGATCCGAGTCAGAGTGGGTCGATATTCCCCATTAAACAAGGTTCAACGGTTTTTATTGGCCAGTTGTTCAATTTATCTACTTGCCGAGATCCCGGCCTCTTTCCAGAGATCATGAGAACACTGACTCGATTGAGCACGAGTCAGAGTTCAGAAACAAGATCATCAACATTATGGAGCCTCCTAGTGATTGCCAAACACCGAAATATGCTATTAAAGGGGCCAGGTCTCTATGGCAGAAACATCAAATTCAAAACGTTAGGTGGAAACTTTGAGCCAGTCTCAAAACTCGCCCGTTATGACTTGTGATGCTCAGAGTGATGAAGCGTACTCTGTGCCAGCAGAGGCCCAAAAGGTTTTTCTGGCTGGAATCCTTCAAAATCCACTGATGAAAGACCTGCCTGTCGAAATTCACGATGCCGCAGCTGTCATCAAATTTGTTGGGTCAGATGAACCCAGCATTGCGATCAACTGGAGATTCGCAGAGAGCATCGCTAGTTTGAAAGCATTTGAGGGAGCAATGTTGAGTGTTCTCTTACAACGCAAATATGGGATCAAGGCACCGGATATTGTGATTGATACGTACGTAGGCAGGGATAATTACTTTCTTCCCACTTTCTAGCTCTCTCTTCGCATATTCTTTTGCTGTGTTTCCGAACACGAGAAACCCCAGCTGATTATGTACACAGTGATCATAGTCAGCTTTTTGTCATGTCCGCCATGATCTGGACGCTTGATCCTGAGGGCGACCCTATCGAATCTTCCTTCACGCTAGCTCGGGATGGTGGACGTTTTCTCAACTATTTCCCTAACTGGGACACCAGCAAGGCACAGGCCAACCTCTATCGATCCCTGTGCACTAATGTGTATAAAACGAAGGATGACCGTTACTTCCATTTGCACGGTATCATATATTCCTACCTCCAGCCATTTATTTGCCCAGACTAATCAATCTGCTTCTACAGGAAGCATGAACCCAGAGCCAACCCTCGCGGGCGTGGGCCTTCCGCCTTGGGTGCCAGAGCTTGACAATAGTCCCCGTGAGGATGTTGTTGAGTTTTACCAGGAACATGTGAAACAATTCGATTCCGCCGAGCTTGAGCATCTCGCATCAGAAGTTCACCGCCAAGCCGGAACTATCTGTTGGACCCCCGAGGAGTATTTGGCCAGCGAACATGGGCAAGCAAATGGGAAAGTCGGGTTGTACGAGATTCATCACCACACAAGTCTGAAGCAAGAACCTACCTGGTGGCCGTCATCCCCCGAAACCAGTGCTAGCAGACCTCTAGCGGGACTCAAAGTCGTTGACTTAACTCGAGTCATTGCCGGCCCCGCCATCACTCGAGGCCTCGCCGAGATGGGTGCCAGCGTCATGAGAGTTGCTGCCCCCCACTTATGTGACTTTTCCTTTGTGCACTGTGATCTGAATTGGGGAAAGTGGAACACTTTACTGGATCTCCGATTGGCGCAAGACCAAGACCGTTTGAGAGCTTTGATCGAGGATGCCGATTTTGTTGTAACAGGGTATCGCCCAGGCGTACTTGATAAGTATGGATTTTCGGAAGCAGATATTTTGAAAATCGGCAGCGACCGTGGCCGTGGCATCATCTATGCTCGCGAGAACTCCTATGGCTGGTATGGCCCATGGGCAAAGCGCAGTGGTTGGCAGCAGATCAGTGACGCAAACTGTGGCGTCGCTATAGAATACGGCCGCGGGATGGGTCTTGATGAGCCGGTCATACCCGTTTTCCCCAACTCGGATTACTGCACAGGTGTTGCTGGCACCACCGGAATCCTGGACGCCCTTATACGACGCGCCACTGACGGTGGATCGTATACCGTTGATATCGCCCTCAATTACTACTCTCAATGGCTAGTTCGTTCTGTCGGAACCTATTCCGAGAAAGTCTGGGAGAAACTTTGGTCAGACAATGGCCGCCCTGTTTTCCGTCACTACCACACCATGTTTGATACAATCCCAGCTCACGTGCAATTGCTGAAGAAAAACAGCGGTGATCGCGTCTTCCACCCACGGAACTTCCAGGATCTCCACAGTCCTCAACTGGGCGTTTCGGTCAGGATTCCCAAGCCCGTTCTCCAGTTCCCTGAGGGCCCAGTGGAACTCAAATATAATGTGGGAACCCGGACCAACGGTGTCGATCAACCCAAATGGCCGGAGGATCTCACCGTGGAGGTCGTGGTCTAAGTCTATGAGATATGACCTCCGCCCTGCTAATTTCATATTAACTGGGGAACACTCGGTTAATAGGGATGCCGTTCCTTAATAACTACATATGTACCGAATGCTACGTACTCTTAATGGATTCGTTACTGTATGAACAGATTTCTATTCTGATAAATGATTCCAAAAATACAACTTACTAGTAAAGAAATCACAAGCCATGAAAAGAATGTTTAAAATGCACAACAGAGGTGGTCAACATGTGATATATCATGATTATATACTCTGTACTAGATGAACTCTCGAATTAGTTGGAAATTATGATGTTTACTCTGTGTTGCAGGTATTCAGAGATGAGAGTTGGTCATTTCGTCATTTCCAAAATCACTGGGTATTCCAATTTAGGAATGCCATATCAATCAACCGTCGTGCGGTTTGGTCTCTTGCGGGAAAGTGAGGGTTACCCCTGTCCAGCTGGTTTCCACCTCAGTACCGAGGTCGATCTTGTATAGCCGAATAATCAAGTTGCTCGCGAATGGGTACCTCAACCAAAATATGCATCTTTTAACCCACATTTTTATGAATACTACGTTCCTAAACATATTCGAATATATCTTACAAAAAAGGGCAAATTCTTAGATAGTGGGCCATGAGATTTAATATATATTTTTGACGACCTAGTTATATTCCATTCATTTGCCTCGATGTCTGCAAATCCAGCCCACTTCTGCAATCAGAAATCCGCCTGTGGCACTATATTGATAAATTCTGGGTACTGGTGGAAGAACTGAGGACCCATTTTCCAATTTGATAAATCTGCGGCTTGCTGAACAAAGAGGTCACTTGGGGTGTACCGAGAGTCACCATCAAAAGAGTAGCTCTCCTCAAATGAGTGCGGCCAATGGAAGCGGAAACATTGCTGTACGGCCGTGAGAAACGTGCAATTCTCCAAATATACGCTATAATGGGTGATCAGGCGATCACGAACACTTGGCCAAGGGAAAAAGTCGATAGCACATGCATGTTGCTCTTTTAATTGCTTCTCTGTCGGAAGTTCCCACGCGGGTATTTTGAACCGTGTCTCTGGGCTCGGATGGAAGATATACCGCATCAGCTGATAGCTTTTGTATGCAATGGCAACCCTGAAGACTTTAGGCATTGGTGACCAAATGTACTCATCCATTCGTTGGAGATTGCACAGACCCGGGTTTGATCTTTCTTCGGACGTTAAACTCTCCCATCCTCGATCAATTCCCCGAATCAGGAGACCAAAGTTCTCATTCGAAAACGTTTCGGAAGTATGATAAGGAAAAGCTTGACTGAGTAATTTATTCACCGTGTACCAAGCAGAACATGAGCTTTGGTATGATAAGGCGTTATGAGGCTCTTCACCCGGGTCTCGGTTGTGTGATGCAATGACAGGCATCGGCAGGAGATAGAGTGGACTGCATAATTGGACTTGGCGATGGAAACATGGATGTTGGATGTGTGCATTATGTTGTCGCCCTTCACGAATTTCCATAGGAGAACAAGCTTGGTGGACATTTAATATTTCCGTACTCCCTGAGGTCGAATAACATCGCTCAAAAAAGGGGGAGTTTGTGTTTGTATTCACCCCATAATAATTCAACGGGGCCCGGGGAAAGAATTTTGGGGCTGTGACAAATTCTGTTGGCTTGGTGTGGCCCGCCTCTTCCGAAAGGACCAACGAGGCATTTTGGATAACTTTTTTGAGACGTATGATCTCGGCTTGAAGTTCCTCGTTTTTTTCCAGTAACCGGAGAACAGTGTCTTCTGATGTCTGATCCCGTAAGGATTGGATTGTCTCCTGCAGGTGCTCTATTAGGGCTTTGGTCTTTTGTCGGGATGTGCGCTGGGCGGCTCGATCCCACGCGCGTTTCTTCTCTCTGCGCACTTCAACATTCGCTGCATTGATTTTAGTCATTTTTGAATTATCAATTTGAAGTGTGAGACCGAGACATTCAAGATCTTTAACGCGGGGGGAGGGGTTTATTGTGTGGCCAAGTCCGAGAATGAGAAGTGGCGAACCTGGGCAGACCACCACAGAAAGGACAACAAATTGGCTCCGCTCATCCCTCAATATGTTTTGTTTCCGAGTTAATGGTGGTGCTATTGCTGAGGATACGAGTACATATACATCCTGCCCACCTTGGTACGCATTTAACTCCTTGTCGACCCATCCTAGAGTCCCTAGAGTTGTCTAGAGTCATTTTGTTTGCACAATTGGAACTGTACGTGTAATAATATGAATATGCCCCGCTTCTAGCACGTCTGGTAAAGCCTAGAGAAAGAATCTTGGAAGGGTTTTGCGGATTGGGGTGCTCCACTAAAATTATGTACATATAGTAGATACCTTTAACCTATGCATTTATACTCCGTATTAAGCATAACATAAAACTATCTTAATGCTCACTTTTTTTTTCGCAGAAGTTTCATAAATGGATTGGGAAGATGAGTTAGCACGTATTTTTCCTTAATGAATTTGATAGGTGTACTAGATTAGTCCGATCGCTTTGTTTTGAGTGCATTTTGCTGTCGGTTAGGCAACGAGAGTTCCTATTCACGGGTATATAGGATATTTCCAAGAGATTCCCCCACAACTCCTACAAAATCCTCAGGGGTATTACCCGCTTCCCCGCATATCGCAACTCCCGTCGGTACAAGGTAAGTCAGTTTACCGGGCGTAGGCGGGGTACTTGTCTTCACTGTATACTTTTTTTGAGTATATTTAGAAACATATGATATATAAGCAGATCAAGGGCGTTTATCCATTTCATAGTTACTACCAAGTATAAGAAAAACAATATGGTGATCGGAAAAGCGATTGTTGCCCGGGAGCCGGTCCATCCTCTAACCGTGAATTGGTCATTGGAGGAAGTGGATGTCAATTCACCAGGTGAAGGCGAGATCCTCGTCGAAATGCGCGCTTCGGGAATATGTCACACCGATATTGTTCTGACTTCAGTGCCCAATGGGGAACTTGGTATCACATATCCAAAGGTGGCGGGACATGAAGGTAAAATATTACCCTTTTGAACTACATTCCTCTATGAACCTGAGACCCAGTCATGATGGATTGGTGCACATAATTTCTGATTGGTTTTTCTTCGTCACTATGGTTTCTTAGATTTCATCGGGACTTGCTAATGGTTACAGGAGCCGGGATTGTTCGCGGTGTCGGCAAAAATGTTCATACTGTTGAAATTGGCGACCCAGTTCTTCTCTCTTTCTATTCGTGCTCATCGTGTCAACAATGCGCGGACTCCCATCCTGCGTACTGCAAGGACTTCGCGCCGGGAAATTATTCCGGCCACCCTAATCGGATGTCAGTACATGGGAGTGGCGAAGAACTATGGGCGAGGTTTTTTGGCCAGTCCAGTTTTGCCCAGTATAGCATCGTTAGCGAAGCAAGCGTTCTCAATGCCAAGATCCTCCTGGAAAACGACAACGAGCTCCAACTTTTCTCCCCACTAGGCTGCGGATTTCAGACGGGAATGGGTGCCATCGAAAACACAACTAACGCAGGTCCGGCCGATACAGTATTGATCCTAGGATTGGGGGCTGTTGGAATGGGGGCTATTATGGTACACACACTCTCTATCTCTCTGTGTTATTTTACAATGTGGTTAAGTCGAAGTTGCGCTCAGAATTTACACGTACTGATTTGACTAGACTGCAAAGATACGCAATTGCAAAGCCATCATCGCCGTGGACCGGGTCAAGGGGCGTCTTGAACTGGCCAAATCTCTTGGAGCGACACATAATTTGGATACCAGTAGTCCAGATTTTACTACACTAGATGATGCGGTCAGGAAATTGCTACCCAACGGAGTCTCCATTGTGATCGAAACGACAGGGGTGCCTTTTCTAATCGAGCAAGGACTCCAATCTACACACCAGCGAGGCAAGATAGTACTTATTGGGGTCCCCCCGCTAGCATATCGCTTGAGCTTTGACGTGACAGAGCAGATAAATGTAGGTGACAGTACTTCGCCTTTCGCTGGGTCTATGTGACTAATTTATTTTGAAGACGGGCCGATCGATTTTGGGATGTATAGAAGGGGATTGTGTCCCCCAAATTGTGCGTTATTTGTCTTAATATTTCCCGTTCAAATTCAACAGGTGACTGATTGAAACAACAGGCTATCCCACAAATGATCAAATGGTACCGGGAAGGTCGCTTTCCTGTCGATAAACTGATCAAGTTTTTCAATGTTAGCTGCATAGACCATTATAACTTCGTACAAAGTCAAAGCTAACTTTGTTTCCCTTACACAGGCTACAGATTACCAACAGGGGCTGAATGGCATGAAAGATGGAACCGTGATTAAACCGGTTCTGTTGTGGACGGGACAGTAGCTAGCGAGCTTTTTGCAGTGTGATTATGCAGTAATAGCCTACGCAGAATGCATATATTCGTGAAAGACGATCATTTAAATCCCCAATGGTGGCCAATGGTGGGAGTCAAATGCGCTTGAGAGGGAAAGCCCAGAGTAACACGCGATACCTACGGCCTGGACTCAAGCCTCCGGAATTCAAAGGGTCGGAAAGGGAGTTCCGGATTGCCCGTATTAGTCACCATAATATAGCAGCGCCTGGGCACTTGCGCTGGTGCCCTCGGCGCTGCTCAAAGCCATGCTCCCCGCAAATGGTCGATCGCGTGGATCGATATGGATTTCTTGCCTCGAGTGTGAAAGTAGTAAAGCTGATTCTTCAAGGCTGTGTGATGTTCATAATATGAAGTTAAATGGCGAGATTATTCGGATCAGCCCCTCTACATTCAGTCAGATGTCCCCCCGCCCAAGTACGAGCATGAGAGGCTCTTGACGATCAGAGGGTCTGCACTCCTTTACCTGGGGTGCGGGGTACAGCCATATATTAGCCCCGGGGATGTCTGGGGCTTTGTGCCAAGTATTCCTAGCTGCCAACATTTCTCTCATCTGGTCACATCTTTTGCTAGGCGAATCCCTGAAGACAAAAAACCCGACATATGGATCTACATACTATTAAAAGTCCTCTTTCTCTACGACCGGACCGCTATCGCCGGACACGCAATGCGTGCTGGAGCTGTCATCGCCGCAAGGTGAGATGTGATGCCACGACGTACGGACGACCCTGTACCAACTGTCGTCTTGATGGCTTTGATTGCACGACTCGGCCTAAGAATTCGAGAGAGTCCAGACAGGATTCAACCATTGTGGATTTTGGTCAAGTTTCAGTCGCAAGTGGCAGTCAGGAAGAACAGACTGTTGTTTCCACAGCGATCAAGAGTCAGACCGACGGCTCCAAGGTCTCTGACATGAACGTCATCAACGATCAACATAGCAACAACAACCACGACGACACTTCCACGAATTCCGAGGCATTGCAGACGCAGCAAACACCAAATACTTTCTCATGTTCGTTCTTCCATTTTTATCTTACACTCGATAAACGGATCGCCCGGGTATAGGGTGGGCACTCAGAAGAACCAGTGCTGATTTTTGAACCAGGTGACAAGAACATGATGGAAGATTCGGCTGTTTTCTTTTCCTTCTATCGCTACCTACGAGCACCCAATCTGCATCAACTACAACCAGCCGAGATGCTCTTTCTGGAATCCCAAAAGAGTCTGCATGTTCCTACAGGGCCTTTGCTAGACACGCTAATTTCCCACTATTTTCTTTACGTTCACCCATGCCTGCCAATCATCAACGAAGCAGAGTTCTGGCCGATGTTTCATGGTACAGAGACAGAAGGTTCTCCCTTTTCGCTGCTTGTATTTCAAGCGATGTTGTTTGTCGCTTGCAGTGTAGGTTTCCATACCCAATCCCCCGCGAATACACCCTACTGTCTAAGAAATCTATTACTCACTTGTGCCTAGTACATCTCATTAACCGATGCCAAAAAATCAGGGGCTGAATCGATCCTCATCATGCGCAATACATTTTACCGGCGTGCTAAGGTGTGTGTGCGCAGAAGCCTTAGATAGGCAGTATCCCGAGTCCCAAGAGATATGCTGACAAAAAGCTAAGATGCTCTATGATTTTGGCATTGAGGGAGACAATCTTTGCCTTTCTCGGGCGTTGTTATTACTTACTTATCAAAGTACCAGGTCAGACCATTTGAGCAACACCACTTGGCTTGTTCTTGCAATTCAACAGGCCCGCGCTGCGAATGCACACCTCTATCGCCATTATCCTGCCGAATCAAAATACAAGCGATCGGACCTCAAGCGACTCTGGTGGTGCGTTGTCGTTCGGGACAGGATAATTGCTTTGGGCATGCGGCGACCGCTGCAGATACTCCCGGCTCACTTTGACACCACATCACGAGACCTATTGCTGGTTGACGACTTATATGATGAGGTCTATTCCTCCAAGGTCTACGACCCCGAGAGTAAAATTATGCTTTGCAAAATCATGACCAGCCAGTGTCAGCTTGCTCTTGCCTTGACGGATTTGATCATGATAGTATATCCCCCGGGCATACATATGGGTCCACAAAATGACCTGACTTCGGAAGAAACTCGAATAGATGAGATCAAATCTCGTCTTAATGACTGGAAGTCCCAGAACATGCTTCAACTGTCTCCAGAAGACTCCTGCCTTCATGCGTGCATCGTATTTTATAAGCAATTGACTGTCTTGTACTTTGAGTAAGAGTCAACCCCGCCTCCCCTCCTGACTTGGGACCGAGTTGAGCAAGTAGCTGATATTATTCTGATTTAGAACCGCCCGTTTGGCGCTGTACCATCATATTTCTTTCAGGATTTATCAACGCCAGCACCGGGAAAGTTGGCCCGATTTGATGGACGCAGTCACAAAGATAAACGACACGGTGAAGCGTTTTGTTGTTGATGGTACCGCCGGCCACTTGCCTATCAGTGTTGCCGCATACACCGTGTTACCCCAGATAGTGTTGAACTTCAACCTTCGACTTTCTAAGGACGGCATAGGCCGCAGGCGCCAAGAACACACCTTGAGGCTTTACAACGAACTCAATCGTCAGCATTTTCTACGCTACGACGTCTCCCATGTTACGCTCTGGTTCAATCACATCCTCCGTATCTTCGAGTCGTCTGTGTCCTGCACCAAAAATCGTGCAGCGGATGTTTTTCGCTCCCAGAGATTGTCTCTGGGGAAACCTTGCTCGTATATGCTTGAAACACAGCCAGAAATATACTTCAAGCTAACTGGCATTATGGACGCTTTAATGGCTACTGGTCAGCTCTCTGTAGAGCACTCGGAAACAATGTTGATACTCCCACCAGCAGAGCTTTCTATGCCCCAGATATACCCAGAGCTTGCGGTAATATCTCCTACCCGTCTCCAGTCCACCCCCCACCAAATTGGCCACTCAATGAAATTTGAATCTGCATGGAACACGGGAAGCACAGTGGAGCTTCCCAGACAAAAGGATACGGACATAATGGTGGGACCGAGTGTTGGCAATTTGTCGTCCGATGACATATACTACACTCTGGAGGAGGAAGATGGGGATATGAATGATGACCGACTAATTCCAATTAGTTCAGTCTCAATTGGGACACTATGTAGTAGTATAGCGCTTTTTGGAGAGTAAACCACGGGACTAAAATTCACCCCTCGCTTTCTTTCTTTTCTTTTCTTTCCTTTCCTTTAGTTTATTTTATTTTCTTATCTTCTCGAAAAGAAATGATGTAGATTTTATAGATTACTCACTGTGCAGAGAGAGAGAGAGGAGCATGAATTATGCATGTATGTTATGAACAGGTCCACATACATTATGGCCACAATCGCCTCCCGAATAAAATGATCTCCAAATCGAGCAATTCGGTTCACTATGACTGGACGGGAGTTACAATAACGTCATAGTACAAATGTACAACTATACCTATGATCAACAGATAGTGTACATCTGCCTCTCCCTCGGTCCTGGGGGGTTTTGCGGGGTCTCGGCCAAGACAACGCCATGAATCTTAAGATTTCTGCTTGCATTCCCCGTTGCCCGCATCTCAGAAACCCACCCGAGGCCTTGGCCCGGTTATATAAATTATTATGCAGCCTTTTTCATCGATATTTTGCCTATTTTAGACATATATATAACGATACATATGTAGCTGAAAGTAGTCCAGATATCATACTTCCTTAACAGGGCAATAAATTCTCATTCATTTTCGACTCACTCCCTCTGTCGTCGCACATGATGGTCTCATACAACTCAGAGGTTAATTCCCCCAGTGCGATCCTGGCACTCGCGGGATTCAGTGGTTTAACCGCGCATGTTTTTCTCTATCGTCACGGAGAATGGGATCTCAAGGCCCCGCGCCTTGTGATCGCATACATACTTCTCTTCCTAGGTGCTACATTCCTGGAACGGAACATGAAAAATGAGCTCCCACTTGACGTACCAAGCCATTTGGCTGCCAAACTTGTAGGATGCCACATCTTGGGTATCTACACGAGTATGCTCTTCTATCGAGCCTTCTTACACCGTCTGTCACGGTTCCCTGGCCCATTTCTTGCTAGATTATCAAATTTCTATGTGACTGCTCTATCTGCCCGAAAGCTTCATCCTTTTGAGGAGACTGAGAAGCTACACAAACGCCACGGAGACTACGTACGCTTAGGTGAGGAACAATCTTTCTCCAATTCTTCTTTTTGTGGAATTGGGCTAATCGAGGATACATCGTTGAATTATTAGGGCCTAATGAGTTGTCTATTACGGATCCACGCGCAGTAAAGGCAATATACAGTGCTTCCGCAAAGGTCTCCAAAGGGCCTTGGTATACGGTCTTGGAACCGCAAATTTCCTTGCATATGGCCAGAAACAAGCAGGAGCACGCGCGGCGAAGGAAGGTTTGGGACCAAGGCTTTAGCTCCCGAGGTATGAAACTCTTATTTCCCGAGATGACCACACATGGTATGAGAGGCAAGTTCTGATTTCCTCTAGCACTCCGTGATTACGAGCCTCGCGTCGCCCGTTACACGGACCAACTCATCCAGGTCATTGAAAGGGAGGTGGGAAATGAAATGGACATTGCCAAGTGGTTCAATTACTACAGCTTTGATGTCATGGGTGATATGTCGTTTGGAAAATCCTTCAACATGCTTATTGATGGCAAAGACGGTTATATCTTGAAGCAATTGCATGCCGATGTGAAAGCCAATGGACTTTTCGGCCATCTCACCTGGCTCTTCCCATTCTTCAAGAAAACGCCCGTGATCAACGCGGACTATCTCAGGTTTTGGAAATGGGTGGGTGAGCGGGTGAATGAGAGGATTCAGGTTAGAGAACCCCTTCTGAATGATCCAATAAATGGGAGGGAGATCGAAGTTCAAAATACTAATAAGATGCTGGAATATAGAATACTCCAGATCGCCCAGATGTGTTCTCGTGGATCCTCAAAGCATATGAGCAAGGTCCAAAGACGAAGCAGGATCATCTTAACCTTAATGGTGACGCATACCTGATTATCGTAGCTGGAAGGTACTATGCTATCTCCTTTGTCCCAACTTCCATCTCTTGATCAAATGATTAGCTTGTGCTAACTTAATTTATTCAAAGTGACACTACCGCTGCGACCCTCACCAACCTTTTCTTCCATCTTGCCTCGGACCGCACTCTATACAAGACACTCCAGACAGAGCTGGATTCTCTCCCGAGCCTGTCTCATGACAAGCTAGTAGGGGTAAAACTACTCGATGCAGTAATCAATGAAACGCTCCGGCTCCACCCTGCCGTGCCTTCAGGAATGCAGCGTTTGACTCCACCAGAGGGCATCACTATCGGCAGCACGTACGTTCCCGGGAACGTGATGGTGTGCACTCCCTTACACACTTTGTTCAGAGGTGAGAAATCAGTTGTCACACGTCCTTGACTAGTGTAGAACAAGATCAAAACAAGTACGGGCAAAGGTTAACAGCGGTTCAGATGAGCGCATATTCCCTCGCCCACTGGAGTTTTTGCCTGAGAGATGGGATACGCAACCAGAACTCGTCAAAGATCCTACTGCATTTATTCCATTCAACACTGGTATGTTTTGTCACATTGACTGGTATCTCTACTTTGCATATCTTGCACAGGGATAATCAAGACCTAAGGTTCAGAATGCTAACAGTCAATTAATTTAGGCACATATTCGTGCGTTGGGAAACAGCTAGGCCTGATGGAGCTCCGCAGTGTAACTGCTGAGATACTCGCTCGGTATGAAGTCTCGTTCGCCCCAAACCAAACGGCGTCTGCCTTCCTCGATGGAAAGCAGGACGCATTCACTTTAGCTACGGGTCCATTGAAGGTAGTATTCCAGAAGAGAGAAAATAAGGAAAATTGATGTGTTGCACAAGAAAATGTTTGGTTCAGCTGCACTTTTACAATCGTGTTTTCATCATGTTCAATGTCAGCTGATCATGGCTAGTCCTTCATAGGTAGCTTCATAGTTCCGGTTTACACCTATGAACCTTTTTTCTTTTACCCCATTTCTTTATCACTTATTTCTATACTTTGATCAGCATCAACTATCCAAATAGCTTGCCTAGGCCTTGAATACCTTATAGCTAACTCGGGGTCGTAGGCGAGATGTAACAGCAGCTATAGCAGATACGGCAGATAGTACAGACCAAGGATGAGGCCAGGGACAAGATTAGGAAGCATTGAATCAGTTGAAATAATCATTTTTTTACTACGTAAACCAGAATTAATAGAGTAATCACGGCCCCTGAGTCCCGACAGAATAAGCCTTTCGGATAAATTGAGAATCCATAAGCCATGACATGTATCGAAGGTCACGTACCAAGCTGTGCTCCCTTCAATTGGATTAGGTCTACCAATATATACTTGATCTACCTCTCTCCCCCTCTTCCCTTTGACAACCCCTTCGCATCTCTAGATCTTCTAGATCCCCATCATATCCGAAATTTATAGGCTAAACTGTTATGCGCTAAGTCAATCCACGAAGGAAGACCGCATTCAAACTAGAAAAATAAAAATAGGGAGAAGGAGAGAAAGCAAGTGGTAGATCCCTGAGGATTAAATAGCCAAACCTAACCCACGGTGTAAACAAATCCCCTTCTCAAATAGTAGTAGTAGCAAATTAACATTCAAATCAGTCATAAGTCCTTACTGAAATTGCATATCCCATCCCCACTCGGCAATCTTCCGCAACCATTCATTGTCGATTATCACGTTAGTTTCTCTTGGTGTTTGAGGACTTCGTAGGAAAAAGAGATGAAAGGTAATAATGAGTGGTCCCCCGGATATTTTGACTCTATCGATCTCACTTTCTGAAACCTCAATATGTTGGGATTTAAGGGATGTGCCATTGTCATGACCCCATACCCACTTGTCAATACTAATCATGGGTCGCTCGCGATTGATTTTGATTGCCATCGCAATATTGGCATTCCCTCTAACAGGGTCAAGCCAGAGATTGACATCACGGTCAAGTTTCCTTTGAGTCTCTGACACAGCGACTTCCAAAATCACTGTAGGCCGCTTAGGACAGCCGTGAGGGGGTCTTCTCGGCCCCCAGCCCATATCTACCTGTTTCATCTGCCCATTGACATCGATGTCGACACAATGGTAATTATGGATGGCTTCGTCAAGCCCCATACGTCCAAGAGCCTTGTCAATTGCTTTGTGGACGGCGAAGGCGATCTCAGTGTGTTCACCAGTGACCATCTTGACAATAAGTAATTCAGTCTTCGGGTTGAAAGATGTCCGGATCGAATGAATAGGGATGATATCCGGACCAACGAAATCCTGTTGAAAAGTGGTAGGATCAATGGAAAAGATAATGTGTTCGGTGGTCTCAATATTTGGCTCTGTTTTGGCACTGCCGGATGCCGTATCGATGTTGGTCATTTCACGAGAATTCCGCATTGAATCAAGCAGGCGTTCACGTTCAAGTGCAAGTATTCGAGAAAATTGATCTTTTCCTTCATAACTATACCGTCTAACAGAGGGAGGTAGACCTTCCAAATCATCATCGGGCTCATTTTGCATGATATCTTGATGCCGAAGGGATGTGTTAAGGTAAATCCCAAGACTGCCTATAAATGGAACAACTTTGACTCTTCTCTTAGTGAAGGGTAAACACTAGATATATGTTACGGGACATCTAAGCTTCACCTTTCCATGTTTCTCTTGCAGACCGTTAAGAGGAGTAGCTGTAGAAATGACGGAGTCAAGATCAATGCTGTTTGATTAGTAAAATTTGCCGACCCGAACCAGAGCAGGGCTCCATTTTGAAGTTCAAGTACATAGGTGACTTTACCTGACGCTCACAATGATGATTTCGCTTCCGCAGTCCCCTCTCCAACTGACCTTACATGATTGAAATGGAAAAATCTAGAGGGAAACCCCAATTGCGGATTCTCTAGTATCCTAAGCTAGTTAGGGTTGTGTGTTGTATTCTATGCAGAGATTCACGTTTAGCTTCAACAAAAGTATCTCATCTCAACGCTATTAAAGCAAGCTGATCTTTTTTCTTATCCGAAGTGGAAATGTGGCTCATTCAAGTATTCCCTATATTTCATATACTATCTATTCATCTCTTTTAGGATTAATAATCTCAGTTAACATCTGATAAATAGCTTTTGTTACTTCCAAAGCATAGTCCGGAGTCAGTGGCAACCCATGAGAAAGAACATATAGGGTTAAAAAAGATATCATCCTGCCTGATCGCATCAATCATAATTATATCCAAGTCACGTATGTCAAAGCGCGGGTCCGAGTGAAGCCAATCTAGCACATCTCGAAATTTTTCGAGGTACTTCCCAGCGTAAAGAGAACGTATATTCTCGACGACCATTTTAGGTGACCTAATTAGAATTTGAGGTAATTGATCAATGGCAGGGGATCCATTTGAGAGAGATTCGACTTCCATGGAAAACGAATATAGTACAATGTTAAGGTAGATTAAGGTAGAACTCAAGCAGTCTACTAGTTATTGTTGCAAGGGAAGAAGAAGAGATCAGAGATGTAGATGATTGAATGTCCCAAAGCGAATCGGTGTGATCCGATGGCATGTTGAGAAATAGACGCGGGAAAAGGGAACCTATCAGTATATCCAGAAGGTCCACGGAAACACTGCACACAGGGTTGAAGAATTGATTGGCAGAGAAAGAATAGTATTTGCAAATTTATTTTGAAACCAGTACCTGTGGATAGCTCTCATTAAACCACCTGCAATGTGGAGGCTACATGATGCAAATTACGGTGAGCGATGTCTGCCCGGATTTCCAGACATCTGCCTAGGTAGATCGAGATCATTCTTACTTATGATATCTATTATAAAAAGTTATGTTTTTACCGTTTCCTCCTCCTTTATTCGTCACATCACGGTTGTCTTATCCTAAGACTCTTCTCGGGGTTTTGCGTTCCTCCCAAAGCAATCTGGAATCTTGATGATTGATTGATCAACTATCAAGCCGTACTTCTGACATTTCCTTTAACAAAACCCTATATTACCTCTCTAAATTGCACCACCAAAACTTCCCATATTCAGGTAACGACGACACGACCGAAGAGTTCAAAAAGTGCCTGGAATTACTTTATTACGTGCATGCTCTTTCTGTTACTCCAACAAGACGAACTTCCGCCTTCTTCATCGCCCTCTTCAGCCCATTTGGATCTACGCGCGGCAAACTGCTTGAACCCGAAGAACCATATTCCGAAACGGCCCGAAATGAGTTTGCAATGCAGGCCGTACACTACATTCGCAGTATCTCCTAATGCCGAGCATATACGAAAACAAATAAAGAAGATGTTGCCGGTACCACGCACTGGAGACTCGACAGAAGGAAAATCAGAGCAAGCTCAAAAGTCTCCAATTAAGATCGTCCAGGTCGCAGGCGGCGTGTTTTATGGAGGAACCGATCTCCAGGAGAAAATGACAGACCTAATCAAACAAATAACGAAAATTTCTAGTATTGGAAAGGTAAGTGTAGCTACAATCCATTTGAAATTGCTGAGCTTACTCGAATAACAGGATTGGAGATATCTTGTATGCTATTTTCATGGATGTAAGCGGATTGAAAACGAGCGGTGCCACATGTATCTCATCCCATTATCGCCAAATTCTACCTCCGGAACAGTGGAGGAGAGACAGGCCGCGTACATCAAGAATAAGCCTATGCTTAACCCTGGCACTAGTATCATTATTCTCCTCCCTCCTGCCATTCAGATACAACAATCCGAGTAAACAACCGTAAGTATTCCCGTGGCATATCGTTGGTCATCCAGTAGCTGACTTAATGGGATAACTAGGACGATCGGGACAAGCCGAGTATGGATTCGGTTATATGAAGTTGACAGCTCGATTTTTTATTCATATCTTTCTATCTACATATTGGCAATCTTTGAAGACTCAATTCATCACATCTCAAACATAACGGTCAAACGGAAGTCAATTCCACCCATCTTGAGTCCTCGCGACAAAATTACAAGATCCGCGGGCCTTCTGAGGTCGGGAATCATCTTTAAAACATATGTAAGCCTCAACTAGGGGATAGAAAGACCGAATAGACCAAATATGGTGAGGCTACCTAGGAGTGGTCGTACCTCCTCCTATTGCCAGAAGGTAAATAATATTTAGACATAATATGACTCAAGAGAACGCGAAGAGACTAGCTAAAAGAAAAAATAATAATCAATCACATAGAGGCAAGTTGTTACGAACGAAATAGTTCTCGCAAACATGCCACGCTGAAGAAGAAGAAGAAGAAGACAGGCTGCAAGGATCAAACACCAGTTGTACATTCCAATCCATTCCGCCAAAGAGTATGATTCGCTGAGATGAGAAGAAACGCCATTAAATGCCGGGGAGAGTTCGTGGTATAGTCATTATAGATCACCGTCTGTGTCAGTCGCCACCATACGCTGTTTCTGCTTATCTTTGCTCTTCGCCTTCAGTGCGTCAATTGTATTCTGTACTTCATGCCTGGCCTCTGTTTCGAGGTTGGTGCGTTCATCCGGCTCAAGTGTTTCCTTATCGCCGACCCGCTCGTAGAGCATACGAGAGATGGAGCGGTTGATGTTCGTATATTGCTCTTTTGAGATGGTCTTCTTCTTATAATGGGGTTTTAATCCTGCGCCCACCATTTTCTGGATGTCGGCTTTGAGGGCTAAGGATGGACCAGCTCGAGTGGGTGATGAGTCGGGTGAACGGGAGGCCCCGAGATACAGTGCACGTTGGGGGATCCGGGAGCGCGGACGGCCGGGCTGACGGTGTGGTTTGTCTTCTTTGGCGCTATTTGTAGATGGACTACCCGATGCGGACACCTCGGGTGAGAACGGAGGAGATGAGGGTTCGGCGGGGGGAGGATAGTTGAAGAGGAGAGATGGGACGGCTTCGTGGGAAAGGCGGTGGTGTGGCCGCTGTGAGGAGAGGGGAAGAGTAACGAGATGAGGCAGGAGATATGGAGGGAGAAGAGGGACCAGGAGATGGGTGGTCGGTAGGAGCGACAGATGTTGAAGCTAACGGTCCATAAGAATGATTCGGTGCGTCTTCAACTTCCTTCAATAGTGATGACAGAAAACTTGGTCCGATGGCATTGTCACCACTCGGTCTTACATTGGAGCTCGCAGCTCTAGATGATTCGCCATTTTGAGTTTGCTGTGCGCGAGCTGCGAGCTCCTGCGGCCTCCTCGTTCGAGGACGCTTCAACTTGCGCTCTGGTTCCGTGGGCTCAGGGGACGGCGACATGGTCGGTTCTTTGCGCTTCCTGGCTGCACTCGGGTTGTTTTCGATTTCCCGGGCCCTCTCGAAGGCGTTCCAAGCTCGCATCTCCTCCAGGGATTCGGGTTCCGGTGTCGGAACTCTAGGCACCCGAGGTCGCGATGGGCGGGCATGGTCAAGATCGAACAGGGATGCCGTGTCGCGAAACCGACTGCCACCACCTTGTCGCTCAGCGATCTCAAAGCGACGTTGCCAAGCTTGGAATTCACGTTGGTTGGCCTCCTCACGACGGCGTTGTTGTATCGCACGTTCAGCAGATCGATCGTCATCGAAAGGGAAATCAAGATCGAGATTCAAATGATCCCAGACAGATTGCCAGACTCGTGCCCAATGGAGAGAATTCGTCTGGGTTCGATTCTGCAGTCGTCTCTGCTGAGCCCTAGTTCGTCGACTCCGTTGCTCGATCGCCCGAGATGGCCGAGCCGATACCTCGGGAGCCGGTCCCATAGCACGTAGCTCCATGCATTGTTGGCAGTACCATGATCCCGAAGGGATCTCGTCCAAACCTAGACAATATAGATGGGAAGGTGCATCACACCCATCGCATAAAAGGAGGACATCCTCGTTGTCGGCTTGCCCGCAAATTGTACAAGGTTGAAAATCGGTAAAGTCATCCTCCACATATTCAATTATCATAGAAGGGTCAACTTCGGCCACTTGAGTTCGGTCTTGGACAGCGTAAGATGAAGTAACAGTTCCTATATATAACAAATAAATATAGTTAGTACTTGTAATAAGAGAGGACCATATTATATAAACCAAAGGAAGGGGGAGCGTCATACCTCCGACACTATCACTCAACTCCACCATATTGAAGCTGCGCCGACATATCGGACAACTATTTGCCCGTTCAACCCATGGCTTTAGACAATTATTATGTAGGACATGACCACAGGGAAGTAGCTGAGCGATCTGAGAGTCTCCATTGAAGTCGCCATCCTTCAAATCAAGGCTAACAGGTTCTAGGGGATCGCCCGCTCCTTCACCGAGGTCGCCTAAACAAACAATACAGGTATCGGACATGGACAACAGATTTATGAGAGAAGGCGTAGTCCATGAAGAGCGAGAAGTGTAGAAGCGAGAAAGGTGTGGGGAGCGCCTTTTGAAGGTGGGCCGGATTACCGGACTAACGCAAAGCAGGAACGTGACGGAGGCGAATGATGTCCTGGATTGGCGGGTTGGCGGGTTTTGGGGGATACTATTTCGATCTTTTAGTATTACAAAGTACAAGGACTACTTGTATATTTGGAAATAAGTTAAAAGGATTATATTTCTCTTTTTAGTTGAACTATTCTTTGTATATAACTTACAAAATCCTGTAACCATCCAACAAGGTCCCCGTACAACAAACTACAATCCCTAAAGAAGCAAGGTGGCCGATCTACAATCAAAAATGACTACTCCGTACATTAGGCGCCCATGATTTAGCTGAAACCCAAATCACCCAGCGTTGGGGACACCTGGGCATTTCTCAACTTAGTCATCGTGTAAGATCTTCAGGGTTCTGGGGAAAACACCCAATAGCCAACCAGGATCGTATCAGGGTACTATATCATGTGGGTCGGGGTATGCCAGGCACCCGGTGCAAATGTTCAGGTGAACGTAGAAAGTACGAAGATATAGTCCGTGGTGCAGTCGATCCAGGCATTCAAGACACACTCAAGACAGTGCGATACGCTAAAAAAAGACCAGGTGACCCTCAAACCAAGATCCACCGAGTCTACGTGACTGTCCAGCGCCTGAGAAATCACAAAAGACCACAAGCCTGCAGTCCATCCATATGATTCACACGGTCGCAGAACATCGAAGTAATCAGGTGGAGGATCTTGGATTGACCGGTGAAATTGTCTATCATGTAGGCGACCGAGGCGAACTTTTGAGGGACCAGTCACATCGATATACGGTATACTCGGAGCGAAGCGGACATTGCACAAGAATTCGTAATCCCGAATTTTTTTCATTCATTTTTGGTATTCAGACGTAACCGTAAAGAGAAATGAAACCACACAATCCTCCCATTTAGACCTCAGCGATCTCACGCAGACGACGGATGGTGGAGCGGGTGGCAGCGGCAGCGGGGGTGCTGTAGAGAAAATAGCCCAGTTAGTAATCTCCTCTCGTTTTGTGTTGCGGATCGCGACTGTATGCGCCAACCCAGGTCTATCCCCGGGTCGAATCACAGCCTCGTTCCTTGCGATGGTGTGCGACTTACGAGACGACGTAAGCACCGCCGGCAACAGTCTTGTCGCAGCCCTTGCACTCCCAGATACCGACAGCCTTGCGCTTGACGGTGTTCTTTCCGCAGAAAGTGCAGACGTAGCGGGCGTGCTGGGTGACTTCCATCTTCTTCACCTGCTTACGCAGGGAGGCACCGTATCTGTTGGAATTGTTAGAATCCGTGTCGTGTAGGAGCATTTCGCTATGGGTCGTGTCTCTCGATCGAAATCAAAGTCGTGTAGGCGCGAATTGGGCGAATGTCATACCTGGTACCATATTTACCGGTGATGCCGACCTCTGTGGAAAATTATTAGCATTGAGCAATTCGGTAGGCAGTGTGTTGAATTTGATAAAGGGGCACGTACTCTTGGTGCGCTTCGTCATCTTGGCTGGTGTAGAGGATGAAGATGGGTATTCAACAGGAGACCAAAAAAGACGCTTTGAATGAGGGCGGGTTGTGCTGTGGATTCTCGCTTAGGGCTCTTGGCTTGGTGCGATCACCTGACCATTTTGAGTTAGTGGGCTTATGTCAGTTTGATGGCCTCAGGCTTCAAATGCTTACTTTGTGTTTCGAATGATCCACAAAAGGTCCACCAGATGAAAGACGATGACGGTGTTAGTGGATGTGATTTGGATTGATTTTGATTGAACTTGGGGTTTGATTCGATTTTGAATATTTAAATTTCTTTTTAGTGGGAATTTTGAATATTTGATGCCTATTATTTCAGGTGTCTAATTCCGCGTTCAACTTCCCTCTGCATCGGACATGTACAGGATCGAAATGCATGACCCCGTGCAATCTTCTATATTCAGGTCTATCCTAATTCGGTCTAATTATGTTCGAGACCGACGGGTCTGCTTTTCTCGGACTAATTGATCTATCCGGTCACGTGATTGTCCTCGGCCCTTCGATATAAACACCAGCTCCCAGATTTAGTTAGTAGAATCTTGTGTAAAAGGTTTTGCTTCTGAAACGTGAAGTTTCAACACTCTTTCGTGGCTATTCTACCTGCTGCCATCCTCAATCCCTTACGCTACATCTTCAAACGTGCCGAGGAGCTTGTGATATTGCCGAAAGCTCCGTTGTTCTGCAAAGCTACATCATAGACTGCAAACCCATCGAGTCAACCACCATGACTTCCAACCGACAATATGACTTGGTCTTGCTGGGCCCAACTGGCTACACTGGCCGATTCTGTGCAGAGCACATTGTGCAGAACCTTCCTACCGATCTGAAATGGGCTATTGCAGGTCGCTCCGCGCAGAAAATCGAGCCCATCGCCCAGGAACTAAAGGCTATTAACCCAGATCGCGTGAACCCAGGTACATAAATCTTATGGTCCCATTTATCTACGGCCTCTTTACCTTAATGCTCACTCTGATGTGATCATAGATGTCCTGGTTGTTCAACTGAACTCTACCGAGCTCAGCGAGCTTGCCCAGAAAACGCGGCTGGTTATCAATTGTGTGGGTCCATACCACTTGTATTCGACCCCAGTCGTGGAGGCATGTGCTGTCAATGGAACTCACTATGTGGATGTGTAAATTTTCGTTTTGTTCAAGTCATTCGAACACTTGCTGATCTTTACAGTACCGGAGAAACACCCTGGGTCAAGTCGATCATTGAAAAATACCACGAAACAGCCAAGGCCAATAACTCTATTGTTCGTTCTGCCCCAAATTTCTATCAGATATTCCTCATGCTAATTGCAAACAGATAATCCCTTGTACTGGTGTTGAGAGTGTCCCAGCTGATATACTGGCATGGGCTCTGGTCAAGCGAGTCCGAGAAGACCTTTCGTCTTCAACCCGCCAGATCAACAGTACGATCAAGGAGATGGTGTATGTAATTTCATGTCTACAAAGAAGCAAATCTCTAATTCGTTCACAACAGATCTTCCGGTCCCAGCGGCGGCACTCTGAGTACTGTTTTAACCACCTTCGAGAGCTTCTCAATGTCCGAGCTATCCAAGTCGATGACTCCCTTCGCATTAGCAGCATCCCCGCCACCAAAGAACATCCCCGGCGAGTCAATCCTGGCAAAGCTCTTTGGCGTACGCTCAATTCGCGACCTTGGTACCGTGACAACCTCCCCGTCCGGTATTTGCGATATGACCGTCGTCCACCGCAGCAGCAGCCTGATGCCGGAGTTGTACGGGCAGAACTTCGTCTTTCATCAGTTCTTGTCAGTCCGCAACGCGCTGATTGGCGTCGCCATCCACATCGGCTTCTTGATTGCAGTTTCGCTGCTTGCGCTACCACCGGTCCGCTGGCTGGTGCGGAAGTTCGTCTTTGCTCCTGGCACTGGCCCGCGCAGAGAAGACTCGAAAAATGACATTCTTGAGTACCATGCCATTGCTACTGCGGATAGTCCTTCACCACAGCGCGTGTTCGGTAAGATCACTTACCACGGCGGCATGTACCCCTTCACTGGATTGCTGCTAGCTGAGGCTGCTATGGTCATTCTTAATGAGGAGGATAAGATCAAGAAGGTCTCGCGTGGTGGCATTGTTACTCCCGCTACGCTAGGTCAGGACTATGTCGACCGCCTGGAGAAGGTCGGCTGCAAAATCGAGACTAAGCTGTTTCAGTACTAAATAGGTTCATTGCTTATGGGGTGAGTCCCAGCACTGTGCAGTTATTCTGGCTCAACTGCTTGTAACTTGTGATGAAGCGTATATTCTTAATACTTCGACGATATGAGATACGTACTTTCGCAATAATCAATCGATGCTTTTCACTACACCACTATACCTATCGTTTCTTCGTTCAGAGCTTACCAATCCTTCCATCGGCAACGAACTGGTCCTTCAACCAAGTTCCAATAATCTCATTGACTTCCTCAGGCTTCTCCCACAGAGCCCAATGCGCAGTATTAACCTGCTTCAGGGTCAGTCGCGGGACCTGCTTCGCCATAGATTTACCCAAATGAGACGGCAAAGCTTGATCTCTCAGTGCCTGGATAAACAGCGTAGGAATTTGGATCACCCTGTCGAGAATAGCAAGTTCATCTTCATAGTTCATGTCGCGAATGCGGTACCAATTGACTAAAGCGATAATCAGCAAGAGCCCGACCAATGAATCCAGAAGAAACCATACGCGGTCCATGAATTCCACTCCGAGCATATTCATTCGTATAAAACTCCAACTCCTGGAGAAAGTCAGCATACCAGCCCCCGAATAATTAAATAAACTCAACTTACCTCCTCGCTCAACAACCTTGAAGGCTTCAACTTGCCAATCTTATCAAACAAAACACCTTTATGGGCATCAAATCCAAACTCGCCCGCCTCCGTGCGCCCCCCATAGAGCGCAAGCAATAACTGGCGAATCTCTTCCTTAGACTGGATAACTTTCTCCACTTCCCCGCTCTTGAACTGCAGCTGGTATGCGAAGTGCGGTGTCGCCTTACGGACGAGTTCTTCAATGGAGATGTTCTCGGCCATAGGTCGTGCATAAGGCACGCAGACTGTAAACAGGTAGCTTACTAGCTCTGGATGCCAGAGGGCAATGCGGTAGGCGAGTGCTGCACCCCTGTTTCATATTAGCTGTGTAGCTTTGGGAAAGATAGGTTACTCGGGGCGTGACTTGCCAATCATGTGCACCTAGGATGATTTGTGTTTCTCCTAGATGGGTTGCTAGGGCTTTAATGTCCGCTGCACAACTTTTGTGCGAGTACGGGGCGATTTCGTCCGGGGCGTCCTTGTTAGAGTATTATTAGATGATAATTCCCTATTGTAGGGTGGAAGACTCACTGTTCGCCCATATCCGAGGCAGTCGGGAGCTACCACCCGCAATTCCATGTCTACCAGCATGGGAATCTGATACCGCCATCCCATAGAGAGATCGGGGAAGCCATGGATCTATGGAGAGTATATGTCAATGGGTGTGGCTTTTTATTGAGCTGGATGCTTACCAGGAAGACAGTGGCTTTGTATTGCCCTGATTTAGGTTGGCTGAGAAGGTAAGCTGAACATTGTCAGCTCAGATTTATTTCATACAAAAGGCATTAGAGTACACGCTCTTCTTTGAAGCGCGGTATGCTCACAGTAGTTATGGCCGTTGAGTGTAGTGGTCTTGTACTCAATGCGGGAGTCACCTGATACTCGGATCTTGTCGACCGGCATGACTATCGATTCAAGCAGCAATGGTGATATTTTCAAGTTCGGTATTCAAGCGAAATGGAGGTTTATGTGGGGAGCTTGAAAATACGGGCGCCTTTTCAGGGTCCAAGCTTTGAGATACTATATATAGCTGTGCAACTTCACAGGCTATCAGGTGAAGTCGATAAATACACAAATCGAAAATGATATGATTCGAGAAATGATATATATGCCAGGATACAGATGAATAATCATGCATGAAGCTAGAGGATACCGGATAGATGGTATACCCCTCCTCTGCCTCGGCACGCTCCAAGCCCCAGTGGGGGTGCCAAGACCTTAGTTTTGGTCACTGTGGGCCGCCCAGGCGCCAAGTTGGTTTCTTCGAATGGCCGCCATTTGAAGTTCTTCTTGTATCCTCCACATTAGACCTTTCGTCTTTCGCACTAGTGACATGATGGCTTGACTTCGCACTTCAACCGCTTTGCCTTCCAGGTGATGCAACCTGTACAAGTGGAGACTCGAGTCAATGTTGTGGACAATATGAAGTGACAGTCTGTGTTATTGATAGAAAGATGCAACCTCACTCTAACTTACCATTTCGACTCTTTGTCTGTTTTGGCTTTTGTGTCCCAAGTTTCCCCCGCGCTGATGCCGGGTTGTCGGGCGAATCTAAAATCGGTGGAATTTTAGTGCTTTCTATATCAAGTCGATGTTGAAACCCATTCACACGGAAGGAAACGAGATATACAGAAGAGATGGATGTTTTGAAAGAGAGATAAGAGGCGGTGACAGCGAATGGTATGTGGAAGATAGGGAAATCCTAGATGATAAGCCAATGCGGGGGTACCGATCTTGGGGAATTTCGAGGTGCGTTTTTTTTCATTGCAATCTCAACTGGGTACCGGCTATGATCTATCATATGGCCTTAATTTAACAACCGAACAGGTTAGCTTGACTTTCCAGCCATGTGTGGATATATTTAAGTATCACTCTATATAAATAACATCGTGCGGGGATCATTTCTCCAACATTACGTTAAGACTACGGATACAACCACAAAATAATGTCTTACAAAACAAAAGCGAAGCGAAAGATGTTTCATTGAAAAAAAGAAAGACAAACGGTGGCTGAGACCGCCCAAGTGAGGGGACAGACACAAACAGTCTTCTTGAACCCAGCTAGTACCGTTGCCGGTACTTGTTGGTGGATGGGGCCACCACAGGAAGGGAGTGCGGCACTGCGGGGAGTGGTGGCACCACAGGAGGGAAAGAAGGCACCATGGGAGGGAGGGAGGGCACCACGGGAGGAAGGGAGGGAGGCAGAGTCATGGCAGCAGGGGGGGCGGAGGCAGACACGGCCGCAGGCTCAGTGCAGACATCCATGTCCGGGGAGATATCCCGGATCATGGTGTCAATGTAGACACCGGGGACGGACAAAAGTTCAACGCCCTCCATGGGCAGCACACCCTCCAATTCCTCCTCGATGGGGGAAGGAGGGTAGTCGAAGTCCTCCATTGGTGGGAGGATATCATTGTTGTTGCCAGCTGTGGATTGCAGCTGGCCGGAGGAGAAAGATGAGCTGTAGGGCTCAAAGTGAGCCCACAGGCGACGGACGACGGACTTCCACTTTTCACCAAGCCCCATGTTTTGATGGAGGGCCACAGACGCGGCCAGGGGACGGGAGTGGAGGAGGTCGAGGAGGGAGGAAGCAGAGGACACTTGGGCTAAATGTGGGTTAGCATGTAGCTTTCCTTTGATTTTCCATGACGAGTACTTACCAGGGTGTGGCATCCCTGCCCAGTGCAAGCCGAACCACGCAAACTCGGGAGCGAGGACGACACGGAGGAGATAGGTTTGAGGGGAGCCAACCCCCACGACGATGACCATGTTGCAAAGGAGCTCGGTCAGCTCCCAGGTCAGAACAGACATTTCGGGCTCGGAGCCCGCGGCGAACAGCTGGTCGAACAGGGACAAATCGTCCCACTTCAGAAGAGGACCAGCCAGGTACTCGCCAGCGAGTATCTGGAGGCCGCTCTTCGAGAACGGAGCCATGGTGTCCAGCACCATTTTTGAAAAAAAGGAAAGAAAAGAAAAGAAAAGAAAAAAACAAGAAAACAAGAAAACAAGAAAACAACAAAAGGAGAAAAGGGAGTGAGATTTACAGAAGGAAAAGAAGAGATCGAATGGAATATTTTACAGGGTTTATATATGTAGCTAAACAGTATTGAGGCTATTGATAGTTGACTTGAATGAAGCTCAACATTGTTTCTCTAAGGTAAATAGCTCTATAGAACGTGAGGTGAACGATCCCAATAGATCTCTCTGCCATTAAACAATATAGACTTGAATAGGGCCTATGAATAGCATTGTTCAATCGATTCGCCTGTCAATGCCTACATTTATATCTCATACCTGTACCTGATGGACAATGTATGCATATTATTGATCACCTTGCTGAAGTGGTCAGTGTAGTGTAATGTGGTTGATTGAAATTGGACCAGTGATGAGCTTTAAAAAGAAGGATTGAAGTGATGTGCTGCTAAAATGAGACCGAAGTGAAGGCAATGTAAGGCCCCAGTGAGACTGATGTCAATTGAAATTAATGGAGTTTAAAGTCAGAATGCAGGCAACAGTAGTAGGAATGCTCAGAAACCGATGATGAACACTAGCGCTATAAAATGCTCTACATAGTCCACAGGTATATTACATACATGAAAGTCTTGAATTGTTAGAGCAAGTTCATTTCTTGGTGCTGACGTGCAAAAATAACCGCGATCTCAGGCCGAGTACTGGCTAAGCAGCCAGCCTGATTTTCCCATATCTCTCAAAATGCCGTCATCTTCACATTCTCGGCCTAGGTGCTTTAGCTGAGAAAAGTCATCACTTTCTGGAGAGATACAGCTTTCTACAAACGGACCTAGATTTCCAATACCTTTGAATTTGAATGCACACTGCCGCCATTACCGCCAGTGCTGACAGTCAGTACAATGTGAAAGACACGCCTCTGGCTGAGATACTTGATTCTAGAAGCTCCTTAACATGCTCCACTCGCTCCCAGCAACCAGCCACTTGGTTCAAAAACGACAAAGTGTGACCATCGTCTAATATCACTTCAATCCAGTTGTTGCGCAAGTTTTTGTTAATGGCCTATGTTTTGTCCACGTCGTCCATAACAAAGGAGTGGCCATGATCTTTGAGGACGCAATATTTGCCTTTGCTTGTGTAGGTCTGAGATCATGACCGATCCACGTGATGACGGTCCGCTTGTTTCATAAATGGGGTCGGCTAGTACGGTCATTATCTCCCCAATAAGCGAGCTCACGGGTAGGTCTCCTGAAGGCGGCTGGGCTTGAGACTGGGGGGCTAGGTAATTGGTAGACATATCGGCGGTCGAGGTACTGATTGTTAGTCAAAGCTGATGATCTGTGCTATCCCAGGTTATCTGCACATGTGGATGGTCTCCTGTTGTGATTTAACTGTTGGCAGGTCATATTCAAACTTGTGACATCCAAGTTCGGTGGTAAAGTGCGTTACCATGCGGGAAATTATAAAGATTGGATGGATATAGAAAGACGGAGAAGAGATAGTACAAGTCGTACTGGACAAGGGCAAGAGGAAAGTGAATAAAAAGCCCCTCTCCGGATCAGGATACAAAAGGTCTACAGGCTGTTAGGACAAACTGGCCTAAGAGTTTTGCGATAACCATTTGTGATAATATTACCAAATGAATACAACACTTTATTTTCTAAATGTAAGCCAGTGTGGCCATTGTCTACTTGTATGCACAAAAACAAGTATGATTTATCCAGAATGAAGTGAAATTGAAGCTTCTTGGGGAATAAGATCGAAAAATGAAGCTGTTTCAGAAAAAGCAGGTATGTGCACAGGGCGCAGATTTGGGGCTTGAGTCATCATACCCATCTAGGTAATCAAAAAAACATGACCGAAATCCGGGTCGTGTCGGTCACGAACACTGGAGGGGTTGTTCCCAGTCCAGCTGCTCCACCCAGAGCCCCTGCTAGTCATGGGGTCGTCAAACCCATCTGCGCAATGTTCACGGATCCTCGGGGTCTGAAGTTCCATGGCGCGCTGCCACCATGCCTGCCAGGATTTTGAGTAGCATTGCAGGATGCTACAAAAACAGGTCAAGTGACAGGGGAATCTCGTTGGGTAATATCCGGGTCCGCATGTTCGTTGATATCCTCCACTCGCTGCAGGCAGGCGGCGCCCAAAAAAACCCCCCCAAGTTGAAGGAGGTTTAGATAGTCCATCTCCATGATGTGTTTCACGTGTTCACGGTTGCAAAGCTTGTAATGTCATTTTTGTCGTTGCTAGACTGAAAATTGTAAACCCGCCAGACTCATGCTTAGCTCCCCTCCACTTGGACACCAAGCCATAAGCCAGGATCATTGATTCCTGAAACTTTTCTTTTGGTAGAACAGATCGGTCCTCGAACTTCCCAGATTGATGATCTTGGGACATCCATCGCGGTCTTTCTCGAGGCGCGTACATTCAAAGCAGTAGAATGCGTCGCTGATGCCCTCGCCGCCGCAGACGACACACTTATTCTGGTAGTTTCCGAAGGAGCACTCGTCGCAGATGCGTACGAGGGTTGTTGGGCGGACGTAGGAATCGCACACGGGACATTTTCCGTCGCATTTGTCACACAGACGGCCGATAGAGATACCGGGTTGCTTGCGGCACATGACGAGGTCAGGGTGGTGACGAGACATTGTGATTTGAGAAAGGTAACAAGAAAAAGAGAATCTCAGAGCTGTAGAAAGTGGAAAGAGTTATGGTTTAGCACTCGCTGGGAAGTGAAAAGATAGTAAATGTAAAGGAACGTAGGAGAAGAGAAGGTGAAGGTGAAGGGCCGAAGGCAAAGTGGTCTGTGCACGTGATTACAAGCAGTGTGATTCTAAGCAGCGTGTCGTCCTGTTATTTTGCGACGCTTTCTCAACTCCAATATTTGGCCCAGATTGCAGTTAATAACGTCGCTCCTTTTCCTCCAATTTGATTCTTTCTTATATCCAGCGTCGTTTGCCGATCAACATGTCGGAAGGGTATGGTTCCCTACATCCCGTGCAACCCGCGCGCAAGCGTTGTAATTAGAGCACTCTAGCTAACGCGCATGTTATTTTGACAGCCCTGAGACACTCGCATCAGCAGTGGCTGTGCCCAGTCAGGATACTATCCAGCAGTCTCCGGAGTTGACAGCGAAGCGACGAAAGTCTTCTATTGCCGAATACGACACTAAGCGCCGACGACTCAGCTCTACGGACAACACCTCCCCGAATTCTCAGCGGCGTCGACCATCATCCCCTCCACATGCGAGAGATGAGTCTGTAGAGAAGCCTACGCGGCCACGCGGAAGCCGAGATGAGGATCGCAAGCGGGGCCAGCGGTTATTCGGGGGGTTGCTTGGTACCCTCTCGCAGAGCTCAAGTTCCGCGGCACAGAAACGGCGTGCTGATATTGAAAAGAAGCAGCAAGAGAAGTTGAAGTTGCGGGATGCAGAGTACGGCGAATTGAAGAAACAGCGGAAGGAACAGCGTGATGAGATTCGGAGGAGGGAAACCCCGTTATATGAGCGAGAAGCGGTATGTTTTCTCTTCACTTACCATTGCTGTATAAAGTGATAAAGGTCTTACTGACAATTTTTCATTCTCAGATGCAAACACGGCATTCCAATATGCTTGCCATGGCACATTTCCTCAAGACACAGGCAAAGCCGGCTCTGGTGAGTGATGCTTTCCCATTCGTATATAGTAGCCATCGGCTAACCTTGGAACCCATTTCAGTATTACAAACCATGGCAACCCAGACCTGGCGACGATGAGGCGATAAAAAAGCAGATCGAAGAAGCAGAGGCGACTGTTGCCCGAGAAGTCGCTGAGTTCGAAGCCCGATATCCACCGGAGGCATTTGCACCGAAACAGCCAACCCAGGCTGAAACACAACCAACTCGGGTTGAAACACAACAACAGGCAGTTGAAGAGCAGCTGCAAAGATCAGAAGAGCAGCAAACACACGGTCCTCGAGAACAGTCATCGGCCCCAGAGCACGAAGCGGATCCAGCAGATTCAAAGTCTAAGGAAACGGCTCAGGGTGCTCCGGACACGGTGGGTGTAGACATTAATGGCCAAATCCCCGATTTAGCTAAAACGGAAGAAAGCACTGCTAACGCGGAGGAAAGTGTCGTTCAAGATCAGCATGATGTCCACCGAGAAGATGACGGAGGCGAGGTCGTTGAGGATAACGAGGACACTGTGATTTATTAGTTTGTAGTCGACTATAGTCGACCTTTTCATGTCAAATTATGCGGTGAGCTAGCTTTCGTTCTTTAGGCCGACACTGACAAATACCCGGAAGCCTTCCAAGGTTCTTTGTTGCTTTGGATATGTGTATGTGAGACTTATCTTGGAATTCATCAGGCATTGTCCAAGGCATTATCCATACTATTCATATAACAAAAATGACCACCATTTGAAACATCTAATGCCTTATCCCAAATTACCCTATGGAATCATGGAATACCCAAGTTCACAGCATGAACCTATCCATCCGGCTATTCGATTTGAAAGCAGTTCAGCTATTGCTAGATACAAATTTCCCCCAAGGCTAGCTATCGGGATTCAGTATGGAGATCCCTCTCCATCTGTATAGAAACACTTCGATTCATAGCCAACACGAGGAATAGCCAACACGAGGATTGAATGAAACCTTGATGTGCGTACATTCAACAAATCAAGGACATCACCAAGTTGAACCCATCAAATCAACTCGTTTCTCTTTGCCTAGTATTCCGAGCACAGACATACTCTGATAGCTTGCATATGAGACCGTGGGATTGCGGATGTTTGCATTCCACTTTCCTTGGCTAGTATCTTCTAATTCTCATACAAGTTAAATATATCCATGACTCTACCATAGATATTGAATGACTTGAACTCACGGGTCTTTGGCCACGAATTTGTTGGGAAATTCATTATGCACATACATAGTTAGGCGAACATATCAGGGGTGTATTCCGTGGGATCTGCCAATGGCTATGGGAAGCCCAAACACTCAGCCATGGCTTTATCAAAAGACTCGCACGAGAACTGGAATTTGATCTATGCGGACCTGCATGGACCTCAACGACGTTGATATCCATGTAGGTAATGCACCGGGGGCCCTCTGCCTACACTGTCTCAAGTGGGCTACGAAGAGATGGTCGTCGAGAGGGTTGGGGAAAAGAAGAGAAAAAGAGAAGAGGAGAAGTGATGGGAGTTTTTTTATATTTTCATATACCACGTACCTTCCCAAAATGAACACACCCTTTGCTCTTGCCTTTGTTTCCGCTCAGGGTTACTGTTGAAATGAGAAATCACCACTCACGACGGGTGTCCAGCACTGACCTTCCAAGGTTGGCGAACATAATTCCCTCTGTTGCTCATAAAAACTACAGCAATACTTAAAAGTGTTATATTGCACGCATTAGAAATCTGGCCCCAACCCCTTGTATCTGGCCATGGCCACATTTGTCCAGGAAATATCAGATCTAGCACGGATTCTCTTTGGAAACTATGCCTTTCAAAGAAGGCATCCGAGGATCCGATCAATGCTTTGACCATCGTACGAGCAGAAGTTGCTCCAGTTCCAATTCTACCTTGGTTCGTCTCTCCGGAACAAGCAATAACCTGGCCAGAGTCTAGCACAGTGCTGCTATATTTACTACAGCTATCGGATCAATGCCCGCTGAGGCTGAAAGTTTTCAGCCTCATCAACAACATAGCCTATCTATACAATAGTGATTTACCGGCCGGGGCGACGAGGCCTAGCAAATCCCCGCGCAGGACCTTGATCTCGTACCGGGGTGACTTCCTCTTGCAACCGATCACCGGTGATCTCGTCAGGGCTAGAGGCTTCGATCTGCTATTTGTGAGTATCCAAAACGACCATCCACGACATGGGTACGCATACCTTTTTCTCAATCTTGAGTCCTTCCTGCTCCGCAACCGTGATAGCGTTCCTTCGGGAGCTGGCGTGCAGCATACGCTCCTTGATCGAAGATCCGGTGGGGCAGGTGTACACGAAGATCACAATATCGGTTCCGGGATAATGGTAGAAAGAATACCGTGGCGAAGAGGAGGAAATGTGTGAGGCGACAGAGCTTGCCTCGACTCCAGACTGAGAGTCGGCCAAGACAATTTTCTCCGTGGGAATATCAACCGTCTCCTTGAAGTTAGTTTCAAACTTCACAGATCATATCTACATTGCCCATTTCTTCAGCCGGGGTAATCACTTACAAGTTGTACCAATCCACCATCTCGCAGATCTCTCAGCGCAGACTTAGCGCTCTCATCAACCGGCATAGACACCCTCATTCCAGAACCAGTGCCAAAAGTGCCGCCAATGCCAATATCCCTCCCGGGAGTACCACTCCGCGCCTCGGCCTCAGCCCTACGAACAGCCTCCAGTTCCCTCTCTTTCTCGCCCATCATATCTTCACGGGAGATAACATTGGGGCCCTCGCCGTCACGCTCGCGCCACGCATCTTGGCCCAGGATCTCGTCTTCCTCGGTAGCAAAGACGGTAGAAGCGAACTTCTCCGTGCCCAGCTCACGGGTCAGCGTCGAACGGGTCGAGGCAAAGAGTGTCTTTGCTCGCACGGGTGCATTAGACGGGATATAGGTCAAAGCGATGAGTGCAGCAGCCGAGGCGTTCGATGGGCGTCGGAGGAGGAGGTAGATGGGAGTTTTAGGCTGGAGGACAGAGGACAGCTGGGGGAGGGCAGAAAAGAAGGCATTTGTCGAAGGGGTGCCCTGGAAGGGGATTGGGGCCAGTGGTGTTAGGGTCTCCGCTGTGATGGTTACCGGCAGGCAGAAGGTTGAGGAGTCGGAGTTGAAGCTGGCGAATGCATCTTGCAGCTCCGTAGAGACTGGGTGGTTTGTTAGTTGGGTTAAGTTCAATAGGATTTTGTTCGAAGTCCAGAGTTAATGTATTCGAGTTTCATACCTGTAATTCCTGACTGCATGATGCTGCACTTTAGGATGCAGCTGTGTCAGTTGTTTGGGGTTGTTTATGAGGGGAGGGGAAGCGGTGAATGAGGGGTCGCATGCCATGTCAGCGGTCAGGACTGCCCGCTTTATATTGACCTTTCTACATCTATCAAGTCTATAATACAGAAAAAGAAACAATTGATTCATGATTATGCTAACTCGATAGAAATATGTTCTTGTGTGGTCGTTACACAAACATCGCTTCGGTGTATCTATAACCACTTGGCAATTCATGGACAGATCCCTAAACACCTAACCACAATTGGCGAACGACTCTTCAAAAGTCTTGAACATTCTCTATTTCAGCTCAAAGCGCACCAGACAAGGTGGTATATGAAAAAGAACTAACGCAAAGCACAAAATATTTACAAAAAAAATAAGCCGTTTCAACCGGCTTGCAGTTAAACAGCTCTGTCCGAGACAATCCAACGTGCAAAACAGACCACCATGCCGGGCCAGGTATCACAATGCTTTCCCAAAAAAAAAAAACTAAGAAATTTTGTCACGTTTACTCTTCGAAGCTACCACCAACGAAAGCCCAGTTAGACCTCTCCAGCTTACCCTTGAGGTACTCATACACAGTGAAAGTGACAGCCTGGCCAGGAGCAACACGCATCACACGGGGGGTGATACCCTTGTAGAAAGCGCGAGTACCCTCCGTCTTCCACATATCCTTGGCAATGACCATGATGCGGGAGACAGCGGACTGACCGGGCTCAGCGCGGGTCTTCTGAAGGCGAGTCTTGATGGTATCGATGGGAGCGTTGGAGAAGGGGCCAACGGCACCCGAGATTAAACCAATCATGGTGGTCTGGTAAGCAGGCAGCTGACTGTTGCTGTATTCAGGTTGCCACCGCTGCAAGGCAGCCTTCAATTCCGTGTATGCGGTGAAGTTGGCGGCCTGGTTGGTTCCTTGTCGGAGGGCTGTCAGGGAGACACCGCGGTACAGGACGCTGAAGCCTTCTTCCTTGACCACGGTGAAGAGCGCATGCGGGGCGCTGCGGTACTTCGGGGCGTCCAGGGGATCAGCCAGACTGTGGTGCTGGGCTTGGAGACGAATTTTGATGACTTCCATGGGGTTGACGACGGCTACGGCTTCGGTAACACCAGCGGCGAGACCAGCTGTGAGGATTGTTAGCTTTCCGTTGTGCATCTTTCAGATTGTTCAACACTTGACATACCCAGGAAGGTGGCTTTGCTGGTCACAGCGCCTGTCTCCTTATCGGCCAGCATGCCTTTATATGACTCGTATGAGGTGAATCGGATGGCCATCTTCGGGATGATACCACCCAGCACGGCACCAAGGCCCTTGTACAGACCCAGAGCGGTCTCCTTCTGCACGATTTGAGCACCGGTGGCAATGAACCCACGCGCCTTAACCTGCTCCAGCCAGTATGGTTAGTAATGACTTCAATTGTTGAATGGCATTTTACTCCAACTCACCCCAGGTGCTGTGGCTCTCTTTGACAGCTGCATGCGGACCTTGATTGTGTCTAGCGGATGGCACACGAGGGCCTCCATCATACCGGCACCACCACCAGCTAATCAAGCAAAAGTCAATAGCTGTATATTATCCCAAAAGGGGGTGTCTACTCTACCGATCAAGTTGACCGCGGGCGATGTGCGCTTCTGATTGGCAGTTTTGGCGGACATTTTTTTTTCAATATGTGTTGGTATATATGCACAGAATTTGCACTTTTGTTCACGAAGATTTCACGAAATCTTTAATCGGCCGTCTCGGAAATCGAGTTGCGCAGATCTTCCGATTGTCGCAGGGGAGAGCCGAAATTGCGGAGAAGCGGAAGTATATAACCCGGAGAATAAACAGAAACAACCGGCAATTGGAAGAGATGGTATATCCGGAGTGTCCGAAGAAGATCAAGAGATCAATTGCAACGATATTTATTCTTCTTTTTAAAAAAAAAGAAAGCCGAAGTTCCACAGGTATATGATTCACGAGGCAAAGTGGCGGCAGTGCCAGACTTTGTGGGGAGCTATGACGGGGAAGCGGAGGAAGCTGGACGAACGGAAGTGTATATAACCTCGCACAAATGAGAAGAACGGAGAAGTAAGAAGTAAAAAAAAAGAGGTAGCAAAGCAAAATACCTGCCGAGGGAGATTCTCTATATAATATTTAAGTCCTATGTGTTCCGAGAGTACAAGTTATGTATACGCCTCCAAGTCAATCCCGAGGCCTTCGGTAACAAGGGCGGCTCTCTATCCAGCGCGGCGGAAGTCACCCCAGATCTCCAATGATCTGATTTCACATGCCTTTGGACCGTCGTCATAGTTTTGGCAGCTTGTGATTCTATACTCTATTTTCAGATTGGATCGTACAATGTAAAAACAATGTATAAAATGCCTGTGTCTTGCCCTACTACATGTATAGTATCTTACACGCAACTATGCCCGTGGACTACACCAGTATAAAAAGTCCCTAGTTTTTCCATGGAACTAGATTTCTCCGGGGTTTTTGAACAGTTCGGGAGTTGAACTTCGGAGGAAAGTAGCGAATTCCGCAGGCTATTTGCGGGTGATCTCGGGCTACCGCTGGCACTCCTCCCAGCCGAGGTCCATACCCAGAGGTCATGGGACGTTCTGAGTCAGACGGACCGTTAAAGTATTTAATGGTTAGACATGGGGCTTGGTGTATGCTTGGCTGAAATTGTCTTTATAGTCCGGGGTTTATAGATTCTTATCAAATGCTCATAGTATATGCAGTTGTTACAGTGAGTGACGTTGATAGAGCGTTATTCTATCGGATGAACGTTTTACCGAGCTTCTGGATGACCCATGGAACCTGGCATTCCAAGGTCGTATATACAACATACAACATGTGAATATTGAAGAGACCTACCTCGTTGCACAAAATATGAAATCAACATTTTCAGCACGGACTATTTTCATTCAAAGTACTCTGTACCTCCACATGCATCACATATCGTATCCGACGTCATTCAACCCGATTGATATTATCGGCTACCCGATTTCGGCGACCCGGTTCTGGCCTTCTAGATTTGATGTCCAAAGATGCAAGGGATACACATACATCTCCATATAATGATTGATGTCACAATTTGCATCATAGTAGTACAACATATAACTTCAAAAAGATGATGCGATTCCTGTATGCGCTATGGACTCCGATAGATCGGACTAATTCCGATTACGCAATTTTCAACACCCCTACATATCCCCTACGTACACCTACGTACTCCTACATGATCAACTCGCCTTATAGAGTCCAAACTACCCACAGTTGTACATATTGAATATCCATGTCCTCATTCCTAGACCAAAAAAATGGAAACATCCCTGGATACAGCACAGCCGCGGTGGCAGCAAGTGGTGAAGCGCATCGCAAGTCTAATCCTCCACCAATGGCTCCTATTCGGGATCGGGATCGTATGCGCCCTGGCATATTGCTTCCCGAACGTGGCCAAGCCCGGCGGCACTATCCGCTCCGAATACAGCATCATGTACGGCGTGATCGCGATAATCTTCCTAATCTCCGGCCTGAGCATCCCGCGCCAGAAGCTTATCTCGCACGTTCTGAATTGGCGCCTTCACCTGATCGTGCAGGTGATTTCTTTTCTGTTTATTCCCGCACTGATACTGGCCATTGTGTATATTATCCTCGCTGTAGATCCTGGGGGCAAGATTGATCGCGCCGTGTTGGCGGGGTATATCTTTACTGCTTGTATTCCGACGACGATTGCGTCCAATGTTGTCATGACGAGGTCTGCGGGTGGGGACGATGCGGCTGCTTTAGTGGAGGTCTTGTTGGCTAATATTCTGGGGCCTTTTGTTACGGCTGCATGGACTATTGCGTTGATGCCGAAGACAGTGGAGTTTGATCCCTGGCGGTATGGGGGTGGGGACTTGGGGAGTATGTATAAGGAGGTTTTTCAGCAACTGGGGCTCAGCGTGCTACTGCCGCTGTTTATTGGGCAGCTGGTGAGGTGGACTTGGCCTGATCGCACTGCGTGGGTCATGCAGAAGACCAAGCTGCCTAAGCTGGCTAGTTTCTGTTTGTTATTGTTGATTTGGTGAGTACAACGAGCTTCCTATACTATCCCTGGCTCTCTTTTTTCTTTCTTTTTTCTGACCAAGCATTCCTAAATATCAGGGCAACATTTTCCTCCTGCTTCGCAACAGGAGCCCTCCAAACACTTTCCGCGGAGAGCATAGTCTTCGTGGTCCTATTCAACATCATACTCTACATCACTTTAACAGCGGTATGCTTCTTCTGCTCCAGACCACCGCAGGTTTTCAGCTCTCGGCGCTGGTCTAAACCCATATTCAAACGCATGTCTCCACAGGAAACTATTGCAGTGTGCTTTTGCGGGCCAGCGAAGAGCACCGCACTCGGTATCCCGCTGCTCTACGCAATGTGGCAGCCAGTGGATTTATTCCTAAAAGCGAAGACATCGGTACCGGTGTTGCTCTATACTACAGAGCAGATCTGTGTGGCGCATTTCTTTGTTCAGTTGTTTCGGTGGTGGCATGCTAGGATCATTGAGAAAGAGGATGTGGATGACAGTACGGGCGATGATGTTGAGATTGGTATGGCTGAGGAATTACGTGGAGATTACGCTGGACGTGATCATGAGCATACGACTGTTTGATACCCTTTTAGAATATATTATTTAGTTTTCATTCCTCTGTGACAATGACTGCTCTTTAGACCGAGCCTTGGTTCGGTTTTTTTTTTTGGTAACAAAATATACCCCTGTGAGACTTACTCCATATGAATGACTGGCTTAAATTCTCAACTGAAATAGAGCCAGCTAGTTAACTATATTTTACAATCTAATTCAATCAAACTAGATCCGATTCAAGGTTAATCACAAATAAGGAAGGATCTTTCTATCTGCGGACGCCTACACAATATTTCTTAGCGTCTATCATTAAACTGAGAAGAGAATCTTGTTAAGATTGTACGCGCGTTTTATTCCAAGAGATTATCATTCTGTTGTGAGATGGAGAGACGACCTTGCCAGAGAGATGAATCGCCCTTGGTAAAAATTGATCAAGCTTCAAATATCATGGACTGGCGTAGACAAAAAAAGAAGAAGAAGTCGCAGTGAAAGTTGCGCACAGAAGTGACAACACAAATTGTACACCTAGGCGGAAAGATCCTCCTCATCTTGCTCAGTCGTCCCTAGACCCTCCAAATAGTCAGTAAGCATATCGACTTCCCATCTAGCACGATTTGACACATTCTGATCCTCATCCTAGATAGGCTTAATGATCCTCATATCTGTCTCATATCATTTTTCATAGAAGTTTAGTGAAAGCCAAAATATGCCAGTGCAGTATTTGCCTTAAGAGATCCCATTAGTGGTGAATTGATGCTCATGGTATCATGCTTGATGGTCATGATGTTCCAATGGCTCATCTTTGTCTTCACGCTTGATAGCGTGTTTCTTGTTTTATCCTTGACAGAATCATCGTTGATGGTTTTCTCTTCTTTGCCTTCATTTTGTAATGGTTGTTCAATTGGGATAGTTCTAGAAGCCAAAAGACAGTTTCCACCCCCTCTTTGGTGGAAAATGGGACAATGCTGTGTCAATATGCGTGCTGCATGCTGTATTATAGTCAAACCTGAGCATCTTGATACGTGGTTGATATAAGTCCTATACAACTTGTATGTACCGTTGTTGAGCCAGTCTAGGAGGCTATAGAAGGATGTTGTGCTAGATCGTTTGTGCTCCGTCTCAAATGAATCAAAGGTGTATACTACTTCCACCTACCTACGCAACCTCCCCTTGGGCAACCGTGCCTATTCCCCTTCCTAGGGCGCCTGCCCCTCCCCTCTTTATATTCGTTTCGCCCCTCTATACAATACTCCTCTTAATACAAAAGGGTATCCCTTCTACCTAAGCGTAGGCTTACTGCCAAGTGAATTCATCCCATACTTTCTCCTAGGCTTCAATTCTTAAATTTAGGTCCCTTCTTTGTAGTATATCTCTTCAACCAAAACAGCGGCGGCTCTATCATGTTCAAATTCAGCGCGATATGTCTACAATATCGAAAGTATTACTCCGTGTACAGCAGGGTTACAAACTAGTATGTTATTCAAAAAAGCAAATATAAATTCTGGCACAAATATTTGTCATCGACCTCCGTACATGATTCTTTAAAGTACAGGTCTCAATATTCTTTGTACTTACTTACCATGGCACACATTGTCTGACGAACCACATCCCGAGTCCTGTGTCAAGGTACATAACAAGGGCGGCTGGCCTAATGGTAAGGCGTCTGATTTCGGCTCGAGTTTCACTCATCGCTGCTTCTCAGAAGACTGCAGGTTCGATCCCTGCGTCGCTCATCGCAATTTTTTTACAAGTCCTTCATATATCTTTTATAAGATCGAATGAAGTTCTTGTTTTTTTTTACTATTGGTACATTTTTCACATGTGAGTGATTTATCCTAAAACACATAGTAAATGCGATATTTTTTGCAAACATATCTCAACAAACGCATTTTTGTTTGATTTATCTGTCGCTCGATAGTTATATATTTTATTGGGTTAGGCTTTCCACTACGTTACTAGTAAGTAGCCTTGCCTATAAGTTATACATGCCTGCTCCGTACATAGTTAGTTATCTAACTAACTAACTATGGCACTGATAGGTTGCTTAATAAAACATGGATGAATCGTATACAAGTTCCCATGTGTTTTGACCAATCATGGCGACAAATGTATTGTGTGCATTACCAACAGTTCTTTGTTGGGGATTTCATTACTTCCTGCAAAAAAGGTCTGTATGTATACCCCATTCTCTTCTAGCTTCTAAAAAAATATGATCTATATCACTTGGGTGAAGATCGTATATATACTAACTAGCACAGGTTGGACGGATACCCCCGATACTTTGAATTATATGCTATAAATACTGATTAATATTAATTGTTAAATGGAAGAAGATAATGTCAATTTTAATTCACAAAAAAAAGCGATGAGCGACGCAGGGATCGAACCTGCAGTCTTCTGAGAAGCAGCGATGAGTGAAACTCGAGCCGAAATCAGACGCCTTACCATTAGGCCAGCCGCCCTTGATTATGTAAATAGGGATGACATTGGGAACCTCGAAATTTATTTTTGCTGTATGACCAGCCCTAGTAATGTTATGCCCTCTCTCTCAAGCCTCACTGCAACTACAAGCCTACTAGCCGGCTACATAGCGAGGACTTCACCTACGAAAGGGACTAGGGGAATTGAAAGAGAACTGAGCGGAAATACAAGTTCCCGCTGGAGAAGACAAATCTCTCATCACTCCAATTGAAAAAACATATGATTGCAGTGTGGATCTAGGTAACTTTTAACAGTACCCCCAGGTTTTAGCAATTCTCGATATCTTTCCTTTTTTGCCCGCCGTCAGAAGAATGGCGGAGGGAATTGTAGGGGCTTCTTCAAGATGCTGCCCATTCGCGAACTGCTCAGAGCTATGAATGGCATCAATGAATGTCTGCCGCTTAACCACCTCCACTGATTGAGTAGAGAGGCCTTGCAATGGGAGAAGCGCAATTTTCAAATTTGAGCTTGCTCATGGAATGCAGGTGAGGTTCCCTTAGGCAAGCAGCGCTCTAAGTGATGACGCTGGAGAGTTTGAAGAACATGACATAAGATTTTCCTAAAGATTAAGAAGGAGCGCACAATCCTCCAGTGCGCGGTGAAATACACTGTCCCCGGAGAGTTTCAAATCGGGAAAACAGGATATTGTGACCCAGATATCGCTAGGCCTAGAAGGTGAAATGAGTTGAATGGGACTAATGTTCGGGTGTTGGCGTCGAGGCCTGGTGTTTTTGCGGGGCATTTCCATGCTCAAAGAGTTAGGCATGACCAGTTGCGATATGATGAGTTTTTGGACGGGTATACGTGGGTACTATTTTGAAATTTACTCTACATCGAGGAGATTTGCTATGATCGTGTTGTTAAGCCATTGTTTGCGACTGATGTTGCTGAGCCCGCCCGCTGTTTATATGCTCAGCCAGCCTCTCAATGTTTCTATTGAGGCTTTAGATGTTGTTCCTTCGAGTGAGGGTATTCAAGTCTACTATTTTGGGATAGATTGATTATCTTCTATAGGGAACGAGCTAATGCTATTGTTCCACAGCTCAACGATCTCTTACTGTATTTGATCGGCAGTGGAATGAACTTACTCGAAAACAAGCCAAAGCATTTCACGACGGTTATCTTTGAAAAATACTGGCTGAGACAAATGAAAAATCGGACTTGGATAAGAGTCAATTCAACCACACCTGGTGGCAATCTGGTATGTATGCATAGAATACATGAACATAGAGAATCACAAAGGGAATCACAAAAGAAAGATGTATGCAAGAATGACCCCCAAGAATCTTGGGAGCCAACTTGATCATAGAAAAAATGTACATGACAGCCATGCAATGTGCGTGGAGATCGTGGCCGTTATCTCAGATATAGCTCACTTTGACACCCATTCCGGCCGTAGCTTTGACCTTCTGCCAAGCGCCACCTGTGATTCGTCGGACGCGATCACGCACACCCTGCCGACTCATCGCCATCAAAATGCCAACCACGAAAAGTAGAGTGCGTACTATTGACATGGGATTCCCAGACACAGTCCGGATGATCTGACGGAAGATGTTACGCAGTCCAAAGGCCACGGTCCGAGTTGAGCGACCCCGGGGTTCAGTCTTGTCCTGCTTCTTGAAATTTTTGGAGCCGGATGATGAGAGAGAAGTTCGTGGCTTGCCATTTGACTCCTTGTCTGTTGATTGCCTGGCTCCTTTGCCTTTGGGCGAACCCTGCGGGCGGCTTTTCTCAATTCCATAGTCGACTTCGCTGGCACTACGTTTATGCCCATTGGGTTGTAGTTTTGCTGCAGCTGCCGCTGCTTCTTCGGCTTCGCGGCGCTCATCCTCTCGTTGCCGTTCAAGCTCTGCATCTTTGGCTTGCTGTAATTCGACTGCACGCATTTCACCCCGCTCTTTCTCTTCCTTCAGGCCCTCAAGAGTCTGTAGGAAAATATCTTTGCGTTCTTCGTCGAGAACTTCGCTCAAATTGATGAATTCGGTCGAGTATTCCCACTCATCATTGCGGGGGAGGACATGCAAAGTAAAGAGCTCGATGATCTTTACTCTAGCAGTTAGATCTTTCGGGGTATCAGCCCCGCTTGTTGTACGCATAGGGCGCTGCTCGTAATCATCAGATGGATCCTGTAGACGATCCGTGAGGTCGAAATTGGGTTGTCCATAGGAAGAAAGATAGGTCTCGAGGCGTTGTTGGTTCAGGGATTGCGAAGATGAGTGGGTTAAAAGTAGGGTAGCGCTAATATTGCGTTGTTAGTATCTCAATTTGGGTCAGGGGGTGAAGTCGAAAACTAACAGGTTATAGACCACTTCGGCATCCACCGAACCCTCGCGGCCTTGGTACCCGACCTCGACCACGGTCTCCCAAATTGCACCTTCTCTAACTTGGGAGGCAATTGATTTCCACTCCTTCTGGCCAAACTGCTTCTTTCCCTCCTCCGCGCCGAGATCAACTATTGCGCTGAGGAGGGTGATGTAAAGGTTCCACACCTTGATCCTCCACGTGCCGGCGGCCGTGGCGATCGGCGCAACCGGTGTTGAATTGTCGCCATTTGTGTATTGGTCCTCTTGTGGTGCTGAAGGGGTAATAATCGGCTGGATATTTACGAGTGCTTCTGGTAAGCGCCGTGTGAGGTAAAGTTGGGAAGCTTTCTTGTATGTCTTGGAGCACAACTTTGTGGGGGAGGCCGAGGATGAAGAGTGGGTGTGAGAGTGAGACGACATGGGGGATCCGTTGGCCATTGTGGAGGCCGAGATATAAGAAAAGCAATATTTATTTCCTTCAAAGAGTAGTAAAAGGAGTAATTATAAAAGTGAAACCATTCAAGTTGTGTCGGGGCTGTGATCGGCTTTCGTTTTCCCTCGGCTCATCCAAGTCCGGGGTTAGTCACGGGACTGGCCTGTGAGCATCTACCCGTGATATCGACGGGTACCTAGGTATGTTTAGTCTTTTATCACTTCTCAACTTCTACTTTATTTTACATTGACCGACCCCTGGGCTATTCAATAAGAAGTGCTTCGCCTAGGAAATCGACCACCCTAGGCTACTCTCCAAAATGGTCCGGTCAATGCATACCGAGGACGCAGGCTAGACAGGAGTAACAGCCTCTAGTTTCGTTCCAGTTGAACATTGGAGCAGTAAACAACATCATCCGAGTGTTGCCTCAGTCACTTGTACACATCCGACTGAAGTAACTCTCAGAGATAATATAGGTCATGCATCTTACGAAGGTATATATTGTAACTATTTCGGAAAAAGTAGAGAATTCATTTCAATCATTTGCTAAGAAATGTAGAGAAGTCAAGTCAAACTTTTGATTCCACTGCAAGTGGTGATTTTATAGGGCTTGATAGCATTTAAAATTCCTCGAGATCTATTGTATCACTACCTCTTTAGCCCTCCAACTCTCTGCTTCTTCTTACTTTCCTCCTATCACAGCTCTGATCTATGAGACTTGATATACAGCCAAGTAGACCAGCAAAGGTTCAAGCTCTTAGCTTTCGATAAGATTACATTACCCTTTCAACAACTTGCGTTCAGAACGGTTTTCTTTCTGATCAATGAAGCTCGGACACCTACCTTCCCAAAACATACTCTTTCACGTTCGCAACAATCGGTTTTCAGCAATCAAAACCGCAACAAAGCCAATCATCTCTCTCCTTTTCGCCTCTTATCTTCATTGACCAAGCTCATACTTTGATGCCGTTCCCAGCCTCTTACCAAGATGGATGTCACAGCTGTCACCTTCCCCGATTGCCTCCCCGCTATCCTCAACGACATCGCCACCAGCTGCTTCGTTTCCGTGGACTTCGAGCTCTCTGGAGTTGCCTTCAAACCAAGCACACCACAGTCCCGGCCCCAGACTGTACAGGAGCGATACGTGGAAGCTAAGGCGGCTGCCGAGCGGTACCAGATTCTCCAAGTTGGCCTCACAACTTGTCATGAAGACAAGGAAAATGGTACGTAGTTAACCCCAATTCAAGAGGTATCTCGCTTACTCTCTACAGCCACCTACACACTGAAACCGTACAACATAAATCTGAGTCCAATCACCCAGCATGAGATGGATGTGAATCGGGACTGGACATTCGGAAGCCGCTGTATGTCCGATATCTACGACGAACGTTGAGCATACTACTAATAGTTTTTCTTTAACAGCAATGGAATTCTTGCTCGCGAACCACTTCAGTATTGACTATATGTGTACCTTCGGTGTGCGATACCTGTCTCGAGAGGAAGAAAAACTGGCAATCAGAAGAGCCACGCAAAAATGTTACTCGCGGAATCCGGTCCAAGTTGCGGATATCAAAAAAGACGATCATGAATCTCTCGAGTTCCTCGAAACTGTTCGGACCAGCGTCAACGAGTGGCTGGCACAGGGCGAGGTAGGACGTTACATCAAACATTGATCTGAGCAAATCGATTGATATATATAGAAACGCCGGGAGTGGCTCAACATCCCACCACCCAACAGTGTGCCGATCATCCCGGGCCCCATACCTACCGGTTTGAGCAGCATGCAGAAATGGCTGGTACACCACCTCATCAGCGACGAATACCCCAACTTAACATCGCGGGGCGCGTCGACGTTCGTCCAGATCGAATTGCGGGACCCGTGCAATGAGCAGTGTACCCTCGAAACGAAATTGAAGGTCAAAAAGGAACGAGTGCGGAAACATATCGGGTTCCGCTGGATCGCAGAAGCACTGGTGGGTGGGAGTCTGGAAGAACTTGAGACAGACGCTTTCCATCCTCTGATGAAGATGATAGAGCAGCCGGCTTTTGGGATCCAGCAGTTGTCAGACAAAGTGAAGAACCAGCTGAGGGAGAATAGACCCGTTCTAATCGGGCACAACATGTTCTGTGATCTTCTCTTCTTCCACAGGTGCTTCCTGGGTCCGTTGCCGAATACCCTCGCCGAGTTCCAGACCGCCATCCACGGTCTATTCCCCGTGGTAGCCGATACCAAGTACATTGCCACCCATGACTGCGGCTCTCTAAATCCCATGTCTTCGCTCGAAGAGCTCAACACGACTCTAGCTGGAATAGAAAACCCCAAGATAGGTAGGGCATGAGTTATATCCTTGGCAGCAAGCACAGCTAACCATTTCGCAGACGTTGACCCTCACTTTTCGAAGTACAAGTTCCGGAAGCGCAGCCACGAGGCGGGATACGATAGCATGCTTGCCGCCATGGCCTTCATCAAACTGGCAGGTGAGATACAGCGCAACCCTGCCCAACCGGCCGTCAAGCCCCAGCTATACACGCCCACAACGCCTAGTTTGGTTGCCAGTGTCATGGCACAGTCTATCAATCAGACTGTTCCCAATAGTGAATTCTGCAACTTCTTTGACGTTGACACTGAGACCCTTCCGAGGATTGAACCAGCCCAGATTGCTCGAGCTGGCAGATCTCTAGCCGACACTGGTTCCGTGCGTATAGCTCGACTGGTCAAGCAGGGTAGATTACTGCCGCGTCTCGGAGATGTCTTCTGGGATATCTACGGGAATAAACTACGGGTGTTCGGTACACAGGAAAGGATGGTGCAACTAGGAACCGAGGCGCCAGAGGAGGAAGATTTGCTGCTGGAGATCTGAGGGCAGGTGGGAATTCCCGGTCCTGGGGGAGAGAATGCTTGCCAGGAAGATATGGAAGGGAGAGAATACAGCGAGGAGAGAGAAAAGGAAAGGCAGATACGGGGAAATGGATCTTAATTTAAGCACGTAAGACTAAAAGTAAAGGGGATGTCCGCGGCAACTATCTAACAGTACGCCTTGATTAAAGAAGGTACCGCTAGCGAAAAAAAGGCCGCGACCTCAGGGGAGCTCAATCTGAGCACCTTTAAATGATCAACCGGCCGTAGAATACTGGACGCAGTGATGATAAGAGATGCTTAGAGAAGAAAGGAAAACGAAAGGTGAATTTTGAAATTTAAACCGCCCGAGCGATGACTAAGCCCAATCGGGCCTGGCGACAACGTGACCTGGATGGATCTTTTTCTCGGGGAATACAAGACCACCGATCAGCCCCAAACACATTGCCATTCCACCCTTGAACATGTCGTCAGGATCTAATGGTGCACGGCGCGTAGCCTCGCTACTGCGTATGTCCAATTGAAGTTTTCCCCGAATTCTTTAGGTCCAAATACTGACTCCGCGCGCAGGGCCGTCAATAGTCGACTCCGGCGTATGCAGAAGCTGTCAAGAGACCTTTGGCCGCCGCAGCTATTCCTCGGCAGCACCAGCAATCGAATCGACATCTGCATCAACGGCAGCCGACCCCGCCGTGAAGCCAGCCTACACCGTCAACGCGGGTGTAGTCCTCTCCCGCCCTCCCCAAATCACCCGTGAACTCGAACCGTTCGAGAAAGCGTTCTTTTTCTACCAGAAACGTCTGAATGAGCGTCTGGCCCTCCCCTTTACGAAATATTTCTACTTCAAGCGTGGAACACCAGCCGACGAAGACTGGAAGAAGAAGATCCAGGAGCGCCGGACTGCCGCGCGTGATATCGGAAAGTACAACGCGTACGACGCCGACGCATGGAATGACGAGCTCCTGCTGGGAGCACAGGAGTCTGAGCCTGAACACCAGATTGAGGCCCTTGTCCAGGACGCAGAATCCACTGCCAATGCAACTTCCCAAGATACTAGCAAAAAGGAGGAAATCCCTCGGCCGTACCCTCGGGTCACGGAGGCAGACGAGAAGAACGACCAAAAGAGTCTTGATCGTTTGCTTTCCCGCACTCTCTATCTCCTTGTTCAGTCTAAGGAGGGACACTGGAAGTTCCCCAGCTCGCCAGTCGAGGAGGGCGAGACCCTTCGCTTGGTGAGTGCTATACTAGTGTTCGAACCATATTAGGTCTGAAAATTATACTAACATACTGATTTCCCCCTAGGCTGCTGAGCGCACCCTTGCCCAATCCGCCGGTGTCAACATGAACACCTGGATGGTCGGCTTCCACCCTGTCGGATGGCACTCCTTCAACCCGCGCCGCTCGAAGAAGGCGGACAGCACAACCGTGATCGAGGCTCCCGGTAGCAAGATCTTCTTCCTGAAGTCTCGTATGATGGCCGGCCAGGCCGATCTGTCCGTCAACACCCAGGGCCTCAAGGACTTCAAGTGGCTCGCCAAGGAGGAGCTCCCGCAATACCTGAACACGCAATACTACAGCAACATCAAGAACATGCTGGCCGACCGGTAAGGTGGATACCGGGAAGCAGCTGAGGTGTTAGAACTGGGTGAGAAGGAGAACGCGAGGTTCAAGGTTCTTCGGATGGAGATGAAAAGGCATACTTGTTCCGATACTATAGCGCACCGTTGGTGGCGCATTGCATATACTCTTATTGCGCATGCCATGTATAACTAGAATTTTCCTGCACTGTCAAATCAAATTCATTTTATTTCATTTCAATGTTGATACTAATCGATTCCGCGGTATCATCAACGCCTCTCAAAACGCCATGCAATGTACAAAGTGAATCATAGAAAAGAAAATATACAACAGCCTAGAACCAACGCACAAGCACCTTATGCCATGTTGAACTTCTGTCCTTGGACAATAGGCTGGTCCTTGGCCGACTTCCCCGCCAGATTCTTGCCGCACATGGCACAGGCTAGTATCGTCAGCATTCGCAACAAGCCAAGAGAAAAGAATAGAGCAACATACCATTTCTCTGATATGCGCAGCGCTGACAAAATTTCTTCCCCTGCTCCGTCTTCACCTTGCAGTTATCACAAGACGAAGCATAAGCCGCATAAGGATTCTTCGCTTTTGCGCTGAGGAGTTTGCTCTGCAGAGAAAGTCAGTATAAAACTCATCCGAAATAGGAATTCGTTCTAGTTCGTATAGAACAGCAAATTTTAACATACCTTTCCGATTCCCGTAGCGCCTAACGTCGCCTTGGCTTTTCCCTTGCCTGCACCGCCACCCAGTGTACTAGACGGCGAGCCGTAGTACATGTCGTTCTTATTCTTAACGCCGGGGGTGGCGAGCTCGGTTGCTTTAAGCTTCTTTTGGCATTTCGAGCAGACCATTTTTACTATGATGAGATGTTAAAGTGGGAGTTGTTGGTCGAGAAAGGCCGGCGAAAAAGATGATGTTGTCGCGGGTTTGTTCGCCACCGCCTGGTGACTTGCCAAGACGTTTTGTCTACTTGCTTCTTCATGTTTTATAGTTGATTTTTTGATTTGTTGTGTTTTTTAAGTTTCTGTGGTATTTTTTGAGATATATGGAAATATTATTTATACAATATTCTATACAAAAAGGATTGCATTGCTATCATTCGCATCGTTCCTTGGGTATCAACATTAGTCGGTATATAAGTAGCCAACATGAAAAGAGAGCATCACTGTGTATGGAAACACTCGCAACATCAAAACAGAAAATCTTGTCACAAACGTGAGGGAATCAATAAGTACATATCAACAAAATCCAACCTTGACTTCATCGAAGCGAGGCACGGAGCGAGTGGCGAGCCGGAGGTTGTGTCGAATTATCATATGGTTCGTAAGGAGCAACATCATATGGGTGTTGAACCAGAGGATATTGTTGACTGGGAGGAGTGGACTGAGGCGAGTGCTGACGCGGGTACTCACGCGGAGGAGGGTTGTTGTACTCATAGCCGAGGGCTCTCCACTGATCACAGCACGTGAGGATACCAAAGTAAGTGCCGACCCAGAACGCGAGCTGAATAACAGCCTTGATAAGGTACAGATAGTTGGGAGGGCTATAGGCATCCATTATGCGATAACGAATGGATATGACTGCCCAGGTGAGACACACAATGAACCAGGGGACAGCGGCGCCGACGAGTGCAGTAGCAGGCGTCTGAAAACAGGCAGTTAGTTTGAGTTTTTTTTTGCTATATGTAGGAAGAATTGGATTAGATGGGGTTGGTCCTCACGCTTGATACGGATCGATAAGCAGTGGCCTTTCTATTCACGAACATGCTCCAAGCGAAGACCTCCACGGACAGCACGAAGTAGACGATATAAAGCACACCATTCAGCCGTGACCAGCCCAGGTCTTCAAGGCCATAATCTGATGTCACCTGTCCTACCAAAGTAGCGATATACAATGCGCATTCGGCAAGAGAAAGCAGCAGGATAGCAGTAAAGAAGAGATAGTGGATGATTTTCACTGCCACGTGCGGCTTGCCGGAAAGTCTAATCAGGCCCAGGAAGCGATGGATGAAACCCCAGAAGATATTGAAGGTGAGACAGATCGCAACCACCAGGAAGAAGTCATGGATCATGAAGGCGATCACATAGTACATCGTCACCTCCGTCCCTGCGATAGACATTGCTGCCGGGACGATAACGCATATTTGGGAGCTAGCGATTGACTGAGCAAATGATTCATTTCATGTCAGATCTGTCTACATACCATATAAAGCAATTCAGGGCCCAAATGATTGTGGTCAGCGGGAGAGTACGACTCTTGATCGTACATACCCAGATGAGGAACAGGATGAAAGCGAGAAGAGAGACGCATTCCACGGCAAATTCGCCGTAAAAGAGATTCCTGTCTGCTCCCACTGATAAGTAGGCCGTCTCTTCCCATGGTGCAGCACGAGCATAACCTCTTCCACTTCTATATTTAAGCGTCATTTTGTTCTTGCAATTTGATATGCTTAGCTTGGAGAAATCCAAGAATCCTTGATATTCACACCTTTTTTACGAAAGCCTGGAATGGACAGCTTTTAAAGCGGAGCAGGGGGGCTGAAGCAAATGCCCGCTATCTTGAATTGAGGCTTGCCCCGGAATACGAAGCCAAGATATCGACAGGGCGGAGTTAATTAAGGCTATTTACTTAACCGAAGGCAGCAAGCGCAGCAAAATACCAGTTCACTTCGCCTCGTGCGTTGATTCAGGGAGTTCTCGTGATTTGGCCCCTCCTTTGGTGGAAGGGACCTGCACTTCGCCCCGTGCATATTCGGCTACGGAATACATGGGTGCATGTTAGCGCCGGGCGCTGTAGTCTGTAGGATTTGAAATTTAACAGAAAGAAAGAAAAAAATTATAAGAAAGGGCGTAGAAAAATATGTTTCATGTTAGGCAGAGAAAGGTGGAAAAGAAGCTAGTTAAGTTGCGCCCGAAGTTGCCAACACATCACCGTCAAATGAGTTGGAAAGAGAAAGAAAGTCGATCACACAAACTAAAGCCTTGGCGGAGCTATAAAAAGAAATATATCACCTGATCTGTAGATTTTACTTCATTTTTAACACGAAATAATGAAGTACTGACAATAAAGGTATAGATAGAAGGGAGAAGATCAAATGTGGGGAATGGATCTTATATGATATCTTATATTACATTCTTATTATATCTTATATCACATCTTATATCCAAGGATTCTCCAAACACAATTACCCTCTTCAGCCTCGTGCAGAGAGCACAAAAGGTGGAGAGAGAAATCGCGTGGGTCTGCAGAGATTAAAAAAAAATCCCCAAACATATGAAGCCCTATTTCCCTTCTCCTGTAACATGTCAAACCGACCAGGGAAGATCCCAGACAATTATCAGCTTTGCCCCGAAATCAGAGTTCCACCCAGTTCATGCGTCCTGCATTGTTCCGATCGATCCTCGATGAGTTGAAGTATAATCTACTTTCTTGCCAAATGATAAAATATTTCTCCAACGGCACGTTCTTTCAGCTCGGACAAGTGTCAACTGCACCAAGTTCGCCCTATTTCTTGTTTTTGTGGCTCACCCCCTCCCTTGGGTCCTTTGGGCCCTAAAGGACCTTTTGATTCTCCTCTCAGAAGCTCCGTCACATCGTGATGGATCCTCCGCAGATGCATGGTGACCCCCCACTTATGAACTGGCCCGCAGCTCATCTGTCGCCGAAGCGATGCAAGCACGCTTCTCTAGGGCTACCCTCAAAGGAATTGACCATAAAGAACACGACTCTAGCGCCTCGCTGAGCCCAACAGCTCGGTTCAAGTCCCCAGCACTCTGGTTCTGCTTCCACGATAGGGTCATCCCCGGCCGGACTTCTGGGAAGATCATCCCCTGAAATCCAGTAGGACACGCACACACAACACTTGTTTCTCACTATATAAGTACTACCTAGTTCTAATAATTTATTCGATCTTCTTTTCCCTTTAATTTTTTTTTTTTTTGCTGTCCTTTTGCTTTTTTTCTCGGTGTTCCCATTTCCAGGTCTGGCGCAACCCGCATTCGGCGTATCCCAATTCTCGACTGCATCGTATCGTATCCCAACAATTCTTGGTTTCTTTTTTTTTTTTTCCTCTCTGTCTTCTGCAAAACTTGCATGTTTCGCTTCACTTGGATTAGTGCGCTTGCTTAAACTTTAGAAGCAAATGCTGTGATCCCAGCGTCAGTGAGGATTTAAAAGAGTATCAACAGCTGCATCTCATCCGGGGTGTTCCTATTTTCGAGAAAACCACCCAGAGTGACTCTACAATTATTTTCCCTTCTCTCCAATCTATTAAAAAGCGATTGGAAGCCCAATTCAAGAATTCCAAACCCCCCCAAAAAAGCCCCAAAAAAGATGCCTCCAGATGGATCAACCTTCACGGCCCTAAACCTACCCCCGACATTCGAACTCCCCCAATGCATGGAATACTTCACCCTCCGCGCAGGCCCAAACACAGACCTCTGGCGCAAACCACCTAACGGCGAAACCTCAACAGCCCCAATCGTCTTCACATCCCTCCGCCACGCCTTCGTCGTAGCAGAAGTGACCGTGAGCGCAGACTGGGAAATGGAATGGGACCAAGGCGGGCTAGTGATCTTCGCCGGCGCCGCACCACAATCCTTCTCCTCTGACGTCGATGGACGAACGCACACGCCATCAGGATCAGGACTCCGCAGCGCGCCACGCTCCCCCTGCAAATGGGTGAAAGCCGGCATGGAGTTTTCATCCGGGACAGTGAACGCGTCGTCTGTGAGCGCGACAGCCGACGGGGCGGACTGGTGCTTGTCGCCGCTGGCGCAGTCGGCGCAGGCGGGACTGGCGATTCACTCGCTGCGCATTAAGCTCGAGCGGGTTGGACATGCGCTGTGGATCTGGTACCAAGTTCCATCGGCGTCGGTGTTCGCCATGTCGCCTGGGGCGGTGGGGAGTAGCTGGAAGAAGTTGCGGGAGGTGACGTGGTTCTTTTATGGGGTTGAGGATAAGTTTGTGCATGTGGGCGTTTATGCGAGTCGGCCGATGGGGTTGTCGCGTGGGGGCACTATGTGGGATGCTATGCATGGGATGACGCTTGATGGTTCTTTGCCGACGGGTTCGGCGGATGGGTTGGTGGTTGAGTTTGAGGATTTGGAGATTTTTTAGCTGTGTTTTGATTTTGCTTTTGCTTTTTTTTGTTTTGTGTGCGCTTACACTTCGGGTTTTTCTTTCGAGTCCTGGTGATACATATTCCCCATCAGCGTTTCATCAGTTTCATCGAGCGGTTATGGCATGTCTGGAGTCGTTTTTCTGTGAATGTTTCTGTTAATTGCGTTGATATCGTTCAATGGTATATTTCTTGGTATACTTGAGGTTTTCTAGGGTTGCTCCTTCCAACTGGACGCGTGTCACTGTCTACATGGCACGTGCATCGATTTTCCAGCTAGGCGAGTTCTTTGTAGTGATAAATTTAGAAGTCCTTTGGTGAGTACAATGATCATGGCTCTATTCTTGTGTTTATTGTATCAGATTAAACTAGAGAAGAATCTAGAGGAATCTAGAGAAAAAATGAATTGTTGATATGAGTTGGTTGTTGCGGATGTATATATTTTGAGGTTGGACCCCTGCGAATCAGGCCTAGAGACATTGTATATATTAGTCAATTGAACAATAGGTATCTAAAACACTAAGCCCTAAAAACACCCCCAATATATAGAAACCCCTACAAACCCAGGAAGAAAGACTATATACAGAATCCTTTAATATCATCGAAATATACTTGATAATATCACTAACCAAAAGCGGACTAGCCCAAATTCGATATAACCGGGGAAGTCACCGAACATTCCACATCAACAAAGTAAATTCCCAAGACACCCAGGCTACAATGCAATATGACCTGCTTGACCCTTCAAGTCCTGCATGCAGTATGCAGACCTATGTAGCCTCTGGAATGGAATGGGCTGATGTCACGGGGATGAGTCAGCTGACGGGAAAGCCGTTCCCTCGGCCCGGGAGCTAAAAAAAAAAAAAAACTCTTTACGTCGAGGGTCCTCCATGCTCAATTGAGGCCCGCCAACACTACTGATTAGCGATAAAATAGCTCGGTTGTCTTGTGAACCCTCTCTAGTTTGCTCTCACCGTCTATTGTAGGCCAATGGATGGTAGTTGTGGCGTAGTTGTTCGTTGTAGAGCGGGTCAAATACTTGCAGGACCCGTAGCAACATCCGCTATAATGGGGGAAGAATCAGAGCCCCCAGAAACGAAGGAGCTGTTTGTTTTCAGATCCACTGGGGTTGTAGCTTTGTTAGCTTGTCTACGTGGAGGTTTGAGCTTTTCGAGTATAGAGTACTGAGTCGATAGCTCTTAAACCTCCCCATACGTTGATATTTTCCCCTTCACCCCATGGGTGAAATGGTGAAAATCTAGAAAAGAAACAAGGAAGAGAGATATCTTATACGGCCGTCAAGACGCAACACAGAAGAGTTTTTTTTTTGTAGTTTTTGGCTCTTTGATAGGTTGGATGGTCGATGAGGGGGTGGGCCATATAGGACTCTATATGTACAGAAAAGGAAAAAAAAAGTTGTTGTAGATGACGCTGAAAGTAGTACATGGTAATACATCACGACCAAATACCCTCGGCTGGGAAAAAGCGATTCTCTCTTCTCAAAAAAGCCCCAAAACCTTTATATTGGAAGACATTTTGTTTCTTTCTCCAAAGAATCCCCTTGAAAAAACACCCGAGTGAATAATTTAGACGTACTTGCACATCATGGCAACCATGAGATCGAACAGACCCATGGCCTCGACGAAGGCAAAGCCAAGAATGGCGTAGGAGAAGAGCTGACCACGGAGGGCAGGGTTGCGGGAGACACTCATGAGGAGAGCGGCGAAGACGAGACCGATACCGATACCGGCACCACCGAGACCGATGGCAGCGGAACCCATACCGATGTTCTTGGAGACCTCGACCATGGCGGAGGCGACCTCGGAGGAGTACTGGCGGCGGGCGGCAGTCTGGAAGGCCTTAGCCTGGAGGAGAGTGGGAGACTGGATGCGCTTGGGGGCACCGAAGGCGGGGGCCTTCTGGGTGAAGGTGCGCTTGGTGGCAGCGTTGAGCTGGAAGCGAGCAGCAGGGCGGGCGACCTTGGAGGTCTGGGCCATGACGGAGGCCATGCGGGAGGCGAAGACACGAGTGGTGGCCATTTTGGATGGTATAGAGGGATTATAGGGTTTTGGGGGTGGAAGAGGAGGAAAGAAGGAAAGAGGAGAGAGATGGACTTTTCAGGGAGAAAAAGCTGGGAGACTACGGGAGACGGCACTCACTAGGACATAAATACTCTACGGCCAAATTTTCGCCCGGGCTAGTGTGTTAGTTCTTGTATTGTTGGTAAGGTAAGAAAAAAAAAGCCCTAGGTTTTGTGCGTCTCCGGAGTATTTTCATATGCAAATCACACTATTAAGGAATGTTGGGGGGATGGTTTTGGTATTGTTTGAACCTGTTTTTTGATCACTTTTTTTTTTCTGGTTTAGTCTTGTTTAGTCTTGAATTCTGTTTTTATCCCATTCTTACCGTATTGCTGTCGGAATCACTCGGGTATTGTTCCAACTGGGTCCACTAGGATTTCACTGTCCTTTTTTTTTTTTTTGTCTATCTATCAGAATATAACCCCTGCATTAAGATGAGACCCTTCACTTTGTATTTACTTATACATTTTAGACAATTTTTGTATCAAAGATCAAGGGATAAATGAAAAGGTGAACATAATAAAATAATACAATATAATAGAAAAAAAAAAAGATAAAAAACAAAAGAAAAACAGAAATTAATTTAAACTGCCCTTGCAGTGGATCTTAAGCATGTTCCAATCCAGTGGGTCGATCCACCCACAGCTCACCCTTAACCAATCATAACCCACACCGGTCCGCTATAATTCTTGGGATTGTTCCCGGCGTCGCCCAAACCGGCCCGACTCGGATTCCAGGTCCACCAACTACGGAGTCACTGGGCAACCAACACAATCGTCGGCTGAAAGGAGAATGGAAATGTGGAAGTGGATATTCCCCCCTTTCATCCTTCGGTAATCCACTTTACCGAGTGGTCATATTCTGAGAATTCTCGGGGTTATATGACATGCCGATATAGAAGAAGAGAGACTGCATAGAACCTGCAGGCGAAGTACCCGATTGCTTTATATAAATTTCTAGACTCAGGGGCTCAAAAAGAAAATCACCGAAGACAAAAAAAAAGGGTAAAAAGCGAAAAAAAATCAAAACCGGGTTATCGTGTCCTCTCACCGGTCCACTTAGACTGGATTTCTGACCCGCCATAACCCGACTATCAGAAACAGGTCTCTTTCCGGATCCTGAAAGGATTACACATTCACAGGTGAGAAATGGATATCCCAACTTCCCCCTTCAACGGGGCTGAACAACCCTTTATATACATACAAAACCCCCCAGTTCAATTTTTTTTTTGGTCACAATTTAGTACTTCCTAAAGGGGCTAACCAGAGGCTCTTTCAGCATTTCTGCCGGGAATTCGATTTTGGGTAATTTCGGCTGATCGCAGCTTGGCAGGACCCACACAAGCTCGATTTCAGGGCCATTACGCGTTTTTTCCTTGCTTCAAGCTATCACAGCCATTGAGATGGGAATTGCATAGAATTGTAATCCTGGCAATTGCAATTGCAACGAAAGAACAGCAATTGAATCAAAAGAAAAGGAAATGAAGAAAAAAAAAAGATAGTTGTGATAGGGAAGTCGTAAGATTAGGGATCTCCGATGCCGGGTGTATTCGGGTATAATACCAATACACGTATGGTATCCAACTCGACTCATCAATTCATCATTGACCGGATGTGAGGTCATAAGGCCAGTTGGCCATCCCGTATAGCCTCACGTATAATAGAATAGTGTACGGAGTACCGAGTACAACATACGGAGCACATAAGTATTTAATAGCAGGTATCCATAGCTTAGTTTCTTAGATCTATATCCACTCTCTCAATTCAAACATTTGAACATAAAGACCGTGTGTCCCCGGCACATCTATCTCTTTCCCTTGAACCGCCCTCGGCAGAAAACCACATGCAACCAGCCTAGTGTCAGCGCTACGTGTTGCAGCTAATGCGTCGGACAGCACACGCCAGATCCTGCGGGTTTTCCGCCAATATATCCGCATCCGCCCCCACGGATAAGCCTATGCAGTAACGGAGTACGGAGATACGGAGTCCTCCGTACCTAAATCGCCAAACAAGTTTTTCATCAACGTGTCCGAGAAACGCTATTAACCGCGGCATATGATCCAGCAACAGCGTCTACCAGGAACGATATATACCAAGACGCGTCCCTTCACGCCCTTCCGATCTGACTGAAAGCGTCGATTCTCGCACCGACTGCTCACATCCCTGATCAACGCAGTTTGATACCCTTCGGCGGGCACAATACCCGTTCCAGCCTCGATGCAGCCCACAAAGCAGTCCCGGGTTTGCGCGCACTATCATAGATACGCGTCACACCGTCTGCTACATCCAGCCACCAAGAATCATCATCCCTGTCACAGATAGCTAGAGGGAGATCTGCATTGTAGACCGGTAGACAGGTTATTGCATACATTGTAGGCTTTGGCGTTTCCCGTCGATCTCGGGGCTGCGGATGTGTGCAATAGACCGGTAGATATAGACTTTGCGAGAGGGTCCGCGTTCCGTTTGGGCGAGATGGTTGGCTCGGTAAGAAGGACTGTGTCTGTAGATTGGGTTTGTTGAGTGTAGATTTATCGGTACTTGTATCGCGTTCGCGTTGAGGGATGTGTGGTGCTTGACGGATACATCGGATACCGAGGGTATTCCAAGTTATCCCCGGCGATGGAATTTCATATTCTCGGGAGATGAAACTGCCGCATATCACGACATTGACTGACCCCAGGTACTCAGTTGTGCAGTCGTTGAGGTGTGTTAACCGGAAGGTTGGACTTCACCACAGCCCCTGTTACTCAACAACTGTGCCTACACCGAGAGTATGCATGAATTCTTAACAAATGATCATCTCGAACATATATACTCCGGGATTAATATAACATATAACATACCTTATTATTGAGATTGTAGGCAATAGTATCCTGAAGAGTCTCTTTTCACAAAGTGACCCCGGAGCTTTCTTCAGCCACCAATACAGATAAGATCGTCCGCATCCACAAGCTAGCCGCAAATAGGACTAGTCTTCGATCTATGCGAGATCTGACAACGCCAGTCTTGAGTCCTAGTTCCAGTAGAGTTGCAGTGAATCAATTCTCTGAAATAAGGATAATCCCTAACAAGAGTTTCAAGCTAATTAAAAAAAACCTTCGAAGCAAGCAGGTCTTACTCCATAGAAAAGCAAGAATACACCTGTGGACCTGACCAAGGACGATTGTATGCCAGCATATGCATCCCTAAGAATCAGCAACAGCACTCTTCAAAGCACTAGTCAAATCCACATGGAAGAAAGGCCGGTTAATTCCCTCAACAACAGCCATAACAGTCCCGATGCCGGATTTCCCGGGCCGCCGATGAGTATTAACCTTTGCATCCCTCTCAGTCCCCATAACCTGGATATCATCCTCAGAAACACCCATCACCGACGAGGAGGCGCTACTCTCCTGAACCTTCAGACCGGTCTCTAAATCCTTTGAGTCCTCCCTCAACTCGACGACCTGAGATTGAGCCGCCGCACTCGGTAAACTACCATCCAGGATCTCCGCAACGTTAAAAATCGACCTCTGAAATCGGGGCCCTGACCCGTCAGAGACAGCAGGGAACCCGAACCCAGCGGCTGACAGAGCACGTTTCGTCCATCTGTTCTGGATGTGCGCGAAGTGCCACTGCACGCTGTCTGGGGCTGCCCAGCGGTCTAGCTGGTTCCGGACGTCGATGAGGTTCTGCACGGATGTGACATCTACGTTGTTGACAGCTGCAAAATCAAGGATTATGGCGCGGAGCGTTGGGAGCGGGGATGTGGGTGTTTCTGCTAGGAGGATTCTGCGCTCGGCGCGCGTTGGACCTGGGTCGTTCCAGGGTCTGTCGCCTGGTGTTTCCCATGCTTGGGGGTTTGTGCGGCGAGTTTCTTTGAAGACGTGGCTGACTAGATGGTCTGTGTAGTGGTTTGCATTGGGGTAGTTGAATCCTTCGGAGACTCTGTAGATGAAGATCCCTGGTGCTGGCTGGTGGATTTTGATTCGGGGGTTTGTGCCGCCTTCATGTTCGGTTGGGAGGTAGATTCTTCGGGATATGTTGGTGTCATCGTCGAATTCTGGGTTTGGATCTCCCTGGGATATGTTGAGGATGTGGTCGCCCACGACTGAGTGAACCTGGACGTAGCCGAGGAATTGGCCTCGCGCTTTGGCGAGTCGGAAGAGGAGTACTGCGAGCGATACGCCGATTGTGCAGTAAATTCCTGTCTCGATGGTTGAGAATATGATCACAGTCACACCCATGAAGAAGATGAGTGCGTCGATTGGAGATACGCGCCAGAATTGGTAGGTGATACGGGGCGGTGTAACGAGATCCCCGACTGCGTGGATGATCACGGCCGACAAGGAGGATTTGGGAATGAAGAAGAACAGCGCCGGCAGTGCATAGATTGCAAGAAGGACGACAACGGCAGTGATCACACCTGCGAGCGGAGTGCGTACGCCGCACTTTGCCTTGATAGCAGTTCGCGAGAATGAGCCTGTAGCTGGATATGCGCCTAAAAATGGTCCTAGTAGGTTTGATATGCCAATCGCAATGAATTCCTGCGATGGGTCGATCGTATAGTTATTGACACGACCGAATGATTTCGAGATGGCAATGTGCTCAATTAACAGAACAATCACAGCAGCAGGGAGCTCACCAAGAAATGCCTTGATAATTGGAATATCTATTTTGGGGACTCCTGCAGCCTTGAACCCCCGAGGAACATTACCAAGTAGCTTAAAGGCAGGGTGTGTACGTCGATGGAGGTTAACCGCAGCGCTGATCATGGTGTAGAAAAGAACGACGAAGGCAGTGCGCAGTGTGGACAGAAAGAAAAATAGTTTTGCCTTGTGTGGTTTCTTCCTTGTTCCATAATTGCAAGCAAACCGTATGCCATATAACATTGCCAAAGCTGTGACCCCCATAGCAGCGTCCATTTGAGTAGATGGAAGATGCTTCAGCGTATCAATAATTATCTTGTAGGTTGCTCCACGCGTAGAGAAATGCGCTTTCTCGCCGAGGACCGTCTTCACTTGGCCAGCACAGACATTGATCGCGGACCCCGTCATGAAAGCAGTGATAGCAGGAAGAGGGATGAAGTCAACGATGAAGCCCAGATGAAGCAACCCGAGGAACAATACAATCGCACCGCAAATGATTGCCATAGCAGAAGCAAGGACCGGGGGAGGTATCTCGGGGTGAACTGCTTGAACTCTGATGATGATTGAGCCCATGAGCGTGGACATGACCGCCACAGGCTGAGAGTGTTAACTTTTTCAAATAACAAAAAAAAAAACAGGGACTGCTCTTACCCCGATAGTGATGTCCTTGGACGTCGCAAAGAACCAATAGATCAAGACCCCCATGAATGAAGAGTATAGACCGTACTCCGGGGGTAGCTTGGCTAGTTCAGCGTATGCCATACCCTGTGGGATGACCACAGCGCCAACAGTAATGCCTGTCAGAGATTATCTATTAGTATCTGCATATATTTGACTGTTTTTAATGGGGCTTCGCTCACCTGCCACGAGATCCCCAACCAGCCACTGCACGTTATAATACCCAATCCAATGAAGAAAAGGAAACAGGTCCCAGAGATAACAACGAACTTGAGGGTCAGTAGGTGTATGACCCCGAAACCAGTCTCCCACGGTGGGCTCATGCTCATAATAGCCATAAGTCCTGGCCTCATCTCCCACAACCGGAGGAGTCGGACCTAAGTCAATTCCTAAAAGTCTTGCGAAAGCGCGGCCGACTCGAGTCGAGATAGTCTTCTCCATTGTTGCGTCTGGTCTTCTCCGGTTCTTCGTAGTCTAGAGGATCATGGCTGGCCCTCCAGGTTGCTAGAGAGAAGATGAGCTGAAGGACGAAGAAGAAACAGGGGATGCCCAGTAAGAAAGGCCATATTGAGTCCATCAGACCCGGACCATAGGGCTGATGGCCCATATACTTCGGTACGGGCGATGTCGTGATTTTAATGTTGATTGACCGAGATAATTGACTTTGACCAATCATGGATGGGTTGGACAGTAGGTCATTCTCGCGTCAGGGGTGATTACTCCGGGTTGAGAGAAACTTGAGTGAACAATTTGTGTAGGATGTGAGGATTGAACATGTCCGTATCAACCTGGAAGGACTGGGAAAGTGTAAACCGTAGGGCTGAACGCTTGGACCCACCACGGATAGGGCTGATTTCCTCCTTACTGGACTATAGTAGTATACGTGTTATAATGTTCTATACATTTATATAACTCTGCTGCCTAGAGTTGGTTTGGACTTTTGGCCTGTGGGACGTGCCCTTTGTATTACGAAACCTATGATATTCTCCAGGGCTTGAATTCTCCTTTCCGGAGAATATTATTTACTATATGTATTCCTATATGTGCTCCTATATATAAATACATAGGCAATGAGAGTGAGGACGGGGAAATGGGTCCATAGATGTGTGTGCATAAATATGTATGCACACATATACGTACATACAGGTGCCTGAGTTACCCCACATTCTGTTCTGCAAACCTGTGAATCTCCTTCTGGTTAGCTTCGCTTTTTCAGGTTTGGTGCCCCAATTATAATAGGTCTAGGTATACTATCCCGAGGTGATCGGATGATTCCCGAGGTGTTGCGTACCTGATCCTAACAGATACGGGATGACCGGCAAGTCAAGCCACTTCTCGAATATTCCACCCAATTGTGCTGCAAGGCTGGTCTAGAATTAGCACTCCCGCCCTTGAAATCAGCTTCCTTTTAATGAGGAACTCTCCAATTGAGCTTGAATATCTTACGTGCTAGAAGATGACGGAATTTAATATATCAGAGGGCTGAATTGTTCACAATTTGTATATAAAAAAACCCCGAAATACACTCCACTCCACTAAATCACGAGCTAATCTCACTCCCAGAGACAATCGTGGCAAAGCCATCAGCCAATTCACTAAGAACCACCGAGACCACAGTCTCCGCATCCACACCGGGAATATTACGATCTCCCACAGCGTCCCGCACAACGAGCACATCATACCCAAGCTCACTACCCGCACGTGCGGTGGTAGAAACGCAAATGTGCGCCATGTAACCCACCAGTACGATCTTCCGACCTACTTGACCCAATCCCTGCAAGTAATCATGTAGATCGGTCTTGGCAAAAGAACTCGGAGAGTTCTTAGTGATGACTTTCTCGCTCGGCTTGGGCGTCAGCTCTTCGAATTCCTGCGCGAGAGTAGTGGCAGGCGTGAAGACGGGTGCACCGGCAGGCACCTCGTGCACGACATGGACGATGTTCTTGCCGTTGCCATCCTGTCGGTATTTTTCCAGGAGCTTGGAAATCACCGTGCGGGTTTCGGCGACTTGTTCAACTGCGAGAAGGCCGGTGGCGTACTCGTTTTGAGCGTCGATGATTATGAGTGTTGAGTCGCTGGTTGAGGCGGAGGAAGGGGGGATGCCGATGATTTGGCGGAAAGATTTGACGGTGGAGGACATGGTGAGATGTGGAGGGTGAGATGTGGAGACTGGGAGGATAATCAAGTGCTTTGTTCTTTTGGATTTTCGACCTTTCTGGATGTGGTGGTTTGATATACCTTGTGAAGAGGGGTGCCTACGCCATACGTGGGGTCGGTGAGCTTCTGTACAGCTCACCGTATGAATATTGTGGGCAGTTTATTTGTAATACTCTTCTCAACAGTTTAACGTAATAGAATTGTGTCCCTGCCCACCTGGGCAGGTGGCTAAGGTTTGGTTAATAATCAGTTAAATCCCGGGGCCCCGGGATTTAACGAACGTCAGATATCTGGCAAATTGTTTCTTTACCTACAGAGTGGGAAACTTAATCCTCAAACTGGCTATCAAATACCGGTATTCCTATACGATGTCATAGAATACGAGGGTGTCAACATCATATGTACTCTACATACTAAGCTTTAAGGTGTCATTACTATCAACAACTATCTCCAGCCTAAGTGAAGGCTGATTTTTAGTACTGATCAAGAGTTGGCGGTCTTTCGTTATTGAGTCTTCCGACTAATTAGTTGATTAGTCTACTTGAAAGCCAACTAAGGTATTGTGGAAGTCAATATCCTCATTATGAAACAGATGATGATTATTCATTTGCTCCATGCTTCTCTTTCTGGAACTTCAGAGGCTCATACTCCTGGAAGTCAGCCAGACAGGGTGCCACAAATAGACTGCGATTGAAAGCCCCCTTCAGCGTGAAGAGCGACACCACGATCCATTTTAATAAAACGCAAACGGCTAGTATCTAGGATGAGTTAGTCATTTGAACCCGAAAAATTTAGCGTTGAAGTATCTTACTGTGCCCAAAACCTTGAAGAACCTGGAGGGCATTTCTTTACCCAGCTGGATAGTGCAGGTCGTAAACACGCCGAGCGGGAAGGTGAATGCCCACCACCCGAGGTTGAATGGAATTTTCCTCGAGCGAATAATGGCAGCCATTGCAAAGAACAGCCACAGACAACCAAATGACCACATAAGAAGACCCATCATGAAGCCGATGTCGTAGAATATATCGCCTGTTCCGGGTCTCAACGTCCCTGTAAGCGGAAAGACCTTTTGTGCAGCCAACCCTAACTTTTGAATTCTATACAGAAAGGATCCATGGATTAGTGTGTGACTCGCATCTTCTAGCCATTTCGGAAGTACTTACCCAAATCCGCCTTGACCAAGAGGACCAAGAGGCAAGAACGTGCTAACAATCACTGCTCTAGGTGGTAGTTTGTACAGCATAAGACGCAACAAATAAATCACAATGACCATCATTGCCAGAGGCACTCCAATGCCCCATAGAAAATAGCTTGCAATGATAGTCCCCAGAGCATGCTGGGGATTCGGGAGTACATCAGCCACAATAGCTCCTGATGCCGCCGCAACGACACAAGATACAATGGGAAGCAGCCAAGCAGCGCCCATTTCCTGTATTTCAGTGTGCGCCGTTCGAGTCATCCTAGAAAACGAGTTAGTCCTGGTATCTTCATCAGGAGATATATGTACTCCATACACAATAAACGGTATCCCGAAACATGTCATAACAGCTAGAACAGCATCTACAATCCACAGACCCAAGGCAAAGTAAGCGGCCCAGTTTCCCCAGGCTGGCACGCAGACATAGCAAACCATATTGATGATTGTGGCGAAGCCCATAGGAAGCGTTCCGACGAAAAGCGACTGCGAGGGATGGGTCACCATGAGGTAGAAGGCCTTTGGGTAGAGGATATATCGCAAGATGGTGATGGCGAGGAAGATGATGAAAAGCAGCACATTCAAACAGAATATCACCACTGATATCCAGTATAGCCATCTGCCATTATAAGGTAAAGTGTTGAGCAGAGTAGAAACGATCCCGGTGCCCATATTCACCGAGAACCAACTTGAACAAGACGAGTTAGCAAAGTCCAGAACCTACGCCCGAGATACTTACGCAGGTGTGAAATTCCGCACGAGATGGCGCCAGCCATGATTATGCTTCGACTGATATGAATCTACATTCTCACTTTTCGGTGGCTGTGTGGTATCGTTTTGATTGTCTCGTGGCGACATCGTACGAATATGAGTCCAAGTCAAGTTCCGTTAGGTTTTTGAACGGTCGCAAGTGGGAGAAAGAAATCCATTGGCATTAATGTAGGTCGTCGCTGTTCATTTCGTTTAGATGTGCGAAATTGAAGAAGATGATGTTGAGTCATAAGAGCGGATTTTTTTTGGAGAACTTGGCGAGTCGGCCGAGATCAATGGCGCTATACCCCTGGTCCAAAGCTCGATACAATGACGGTTCATGATGATTCATAGGTGTTCGGGGAGACCAGCGCTCTTTGGACCGGGTGGGTCTATACGGATCCTACGGGTACGTCGATTACCAGTTCGCCACCTTGGGTTTTGCCATATTTTGTATGTTGTGTACATCTATAAATTAAGTGCAATTCTCGATGTCTAATATATAATCTGTGATGTCTGAACAATTGATGTTTTGTGACATGACGGTTTATTGGTGATGTGGCAGTCGAGTCAGCTTGCGACTCAAGCGATGCGAAGACTTCTTGCCACTACTTTCAAAAGTCCGACTTGATAGTGAGTATATGTAGTCGGATCATTCAGTCTTATGGACATTGAGGTTTTGATTGGTGTGTGGGTGTTGGTTGTGCGGCTGATATCACTAATTAAGCTCAGAAGGCTTGCAGGATCCGATTGCATTTTTAGTGGCTTTGTTTGAGGCTCTTGGCAACGTGGAGGATATTCAGCAGACATATAAGGCAAAGCTAGGATTTACTTGAAGAGCCGATTTTATAGTCTACTTTGTACATCGCTGTCGAGGAAATACCTCAGATACGGATAAACACGGCTTTTTTTAATATGAAAGGGTGGATAGGAAAGAAGAGAAGAAGAAACTGTCTGAGAGTATCATGTCGTTGAAGCAAATATCAATCTGCATCGCAGTTACCTCATAAAAACGTAACATGACGAGAAAAGCCCTAATTAATGTCGATTTAGTATAAGCATAGAACACTAGTAGATATCTTCCTCGCTCGCAGGTTGATATCGGCTGACATGGAGACACCTTGGAAAGTCCATTTCCAGAGGATGTATCAGCTAATGAGGACTTGTATGTGATTCCCCCATCCGTTCACTTGCCAATGCCTGGATTTCTAGCTGCTGTAGCCGCTCCTATTCCGCTACTTATGTCCCAGAACTTCCTTCTCGAGTTGCTCGCTGTGCCGCTTGATGTATTCCTCTGCCTCTAGCCTCGGCTTTCTATCTGTTAGCACTTATTTTATCATATATAATTGTTTCCCTTCCCACGTATAAGATATCCCTCGTCTGTGCTACACTCACAACCCACACAACGTGAAGATCCTACATATTCTACCTTGTTGAAGTTCCGAGTGGTGTATTTTAGTATTTTAGTACCATATTACACCTATGGCAGATAAATGTGTAGTCCTCTCGCCAAGGGGGCGCGGGCTCTGCTGATGCGGGTGGGGATAGAGTGGTCATATTGATATCGTTCACAAAAACAGGGGGTTGTAGGTTGTGATGCAGGTGCATTTTTATTGAGGAATCCGACCGTCTGATTTTTCCACGCGAGGAAGATTCATATCTATTCATACGCTTATTTTGAGATATACATGGGGAGATATGAGGATCAAGTGTAGGAATAAGAATAACGCTCAATTTGGACCGGTGCATGCGACTTGCAATTACTTACTGTCTTGCAGAATACATGCAGAATTGAGCGCAAAACAATAGTCAACTGCATTGATAAGGATGCGCCAAGTCAGTACATAGCAATCCTTGCAATTGCCCCTTTGAATCTTTGATGTTCAACTCTAGATCAATATCAATGGCAAATGGGTTCCTTTTAGCTACTATTGTAGAGTTCACTAGATGATCCGACATTTTCCGGCGTCTGACCTATTCCGACTATAGTACTATGGAGTAGGAGGGGTCATGAGATGACTATATAGCTTTTACTCCATATAGCGTACTATTTTTACCCGTTAAATTGCCCCTTAATATTCCCACAGTCTCACGATCTCTTTCCGTTCCGGGACCGGGAAACCGATCACACCGCCCAGTATGTATATCTGTTCAATAAGAAGTAAATGAATGTCGGAACGGAAATGAGTACTCCTAGGAGCTGCAGATTATTGCATGGTTTTGTGCCGGAAAGGCTTCTGTGGGTCTAAGAGGCAGCACGCAATGCACGAGAGCTACTAGTGTGAGGGCACGAGCTTCATTTTGTGCAATGTTTATTATGGAAATTGTAGAGAGTAGGAAATAATATAAAGGGAGATCCGTGGTGTTCCGCATATATGGGTCTAGGAAGAAAAACTTTGGAAGAAAAAAGTCATAACATCAGCCAATCTTGGAGAATATTATGTTCCTTTTGAAGATCACTGCAATAATATGACTCAAGACCATATGACAGGTGGATAAGAAGTGACCTACCATTGGCGCCTTTTTATCAATAGGGTCATTTTTTAGCGCCTAATTTTCTATTTGACAGACTCATCTTTTGGATTCTTGTGCAACTATGTACGAAAAAAAAAGAGAGACATACATGTACTTCAATACTTCCGTACTTCCATAGAAATCATGTACATCGTAAGGTTGTACATGTTGCAAAAAACGAAAAGAAGCAAAAGAGTGGCCAAACAATAAACCTCGGCGCAGCTTCACCGCATATTGAAGTGGATATCCGGATGAAAGAGCCCAAAATTAACGAACAACCATTGGACGTTAAGCTTGAAAGACGCTAAAAAAGAAAACTAGAAGAGGAAAGGTGTATCGCAAATAGTGTATGGTCACTATGCCAACTGTTTCCCCACTCCGAGCTGTGCCGTGGGTTTTTTTTGTACTTGGGCTGAGATTTTTTTTCTGACTTTTCCCCCTCCTCCATACTCTCACAATAATCGCTGCTCTGTGAGCTTGTTTCTGTACACGATAATCTAGCGTTAAATCTTTGCTGGTCAAATTGTGAAAATATTCCTAATACCCATCCCCGATCAGCTTTTTACGACATTACGAATTTGAAACGAAATAAACCATGGCTACCGTGCAAGAGCCCCTTATCCCGGAAAGCCATGTGCTTCCTACAGATGCACCAGTTGAGCCCATTTCATCGATAGATGGAACCTCCACTGCCGACACAACTGAGGCAGAAATGAGCGAATCCACCGCCACCCTGGTTGAGTCCGACACAGCACAGCAATCTAAAGATTCAACCCAAACCGGAGTCCCATTGACCGCAGCGGAAAAGAAGAAAGCCAAGAAGGCAAAGAGGAAGCAGCAAAAGAGACAGGAGAGTATTAGCTCCATTGCTGCCGCCGCCGAACAGACTCCCGAAACCCAAACTGCAGAACCTGCAGTAGAGGAACCGGCATCAATCGAAGCTCCCAAGGAGTCCGAACCCGCTGCTGAGCCAGTGGTTGAGGAAAAAACCACAATTGAATCAACGGAAGAATCAAAGCCTGCTGAGAAGGCCGTCGATGCTACCGAGGCGCCAGTGCTCGAAGAAAAGCCTGCCGCTGAAGCTACTGAGCCAACCTTTGCCGAAGTAGTGGCCGAGGAGAAGCCTGCAGCTGAATCAACCACAGAACCCGAGGCTGCTGAGAAGTCCGCCGAGCCCGTCACAGAAGAATCGAAGACTGCTGAGGCCGTTTCGGAAACTGTCGCAGAGCCTGCTGTAGAGGAATCCAAGACCGTGGAAGAGGTTGCTAAGCCTACCACCGAAGAGGCGAAGCCCGCCGAGGCAGTTCCCGAAGTCGCCGCAGAGCCAATTGTCGAAGAGACTCCCGCCGTGGAAGAATCTCAGATCGAGGAGGCTGTTCCTGAAATCGCCAAGGAGACGCCTGCTGTTGAGGAATCGAAGCCTACCACAGAAACCGCCACAGAAGAAAAGGCCGCCGAGGCCGTCCCCGAGACTGTCGAGGAGACTCCCGCCGAGAAGGTTGCTGAGCCAACCTTTGCCGAAGTAGTGGCTGAGGAGAAGCCTGTAACGGAATCAACCGCAGAACCCGAGGCTGAGAAGTCCGCCGAGCCCGTAACGGAAGAATCGAAGACCGTCGAGGCCGTTCCCGAAACTGTCGAGCCTGTTGTCGAGGAATCCAAGGCCGTGGAAGAGGCTGCCAAGCCTGTTACCGAAGAGGAGAAGCCTGCCGCCGAACCAACCACAGAACCCGAGGCTGCTGAGAAGGTCGCCGAGCCCGTCGCAGAGGAATCAAAGACCATTGAGGCTGTTCCAGAAACTGTCGCAGAGCCTGTTGTGGAAGAATCCAAGACCGTGGAAGAGGTTGCCAAGCCTACCACCGAAGAGTCGAAGCCCGCCGAGGCCGTTCCTGAAGTCGCCGCAGAGCCAATTGTCGAGGAGACTCCCGCCGCGGAAGAAACTAAGACCGCGGACAAGGTTGCTGAGCCTATCACCGAAGAGAAGCCCACCACTGAATCCACGGAAGAGTCGGAGCCCGCCAAGTCTTTCGCCGAAGCCGTCGCTGAGCCAGCTGTTGAAGAGACTTCCGCTACGGAAGAAACTAAGACCGCCGAAAAGGCTGCTGAGCCTATCGCAGAGGAGAAGCCCGTCGAGGAAAATGCTTCCGAAGCCGTCCCCGAAACTGCCGCCGAGCCTGTTGTCGAGCAGCCCACTGAAGCTGCCGTAGAGGAATCCAAGACTGTGGAGGATATCGCTGAGCCCGCTAAGGAAGAGTCAAAGCCCACCGAGGCCGTTCCTGAAGCTGTTGTGGAAGAAAAGACCACGGAGGTCGTTCCTGAAACCACCGAAGCCGCTGTGAAGGAGACTCCTGCCGCTGAAACTGCCGTCGAAGAATCGAAGACTGTGGAAGCTGTTCCTGAAATCGCCCAGGAAGCGCCCGCCGTCGAAGAATCCAAGGCTGTGGAGGATATTGCTGAGCCCGCCAAGGAAGAGTCAAAGACTGTCGAGGCTGTCCCGGAAGCTACTGTGGAAGAAAAGACCACGGAGGTCGTTCCTGAAACCACCGAAGCTGCCGTAGAAGAACCTAAGGCTGTGGAGGATGCCGTTGAGCCCGCTAAGGAAGATTCAAAGACCACCGAGGCCGTTCCTGAAACTACCGAAGACGCCGTGAAGGAGACTCCCGCTGCTGAAACCGCTGTGGAAGAACTGAAGACCGTGGAAGCTGTTCCTGAAGTCGCCCAGGAAGCGCCCGCCGTCGAAGAATCCAAGGTTGCTGAGGAGGTCGCTGAGCCTACCGCCACCGAAGCCGCCACAGAAGAAAAGACCACCGAGGCTATCCCCGAAACTGTCGCAGAGCCTATCGCCGAAGAGACCCCCGTCGTGGCGGAATCCAAGGCAGAGGACGCTGTTCCTGAAATCGCTAAGGAGACGCCTGCTGCTGAGGAACCCAAGGCTGAGGTTGCTGAGCCAGTCGCCGAGGAGAAGCCTGCCACTGAGGAAAAGGATGTCAAGTCCTTTGCCGAAGCCGTTGCTGAACCGGTTGTCGAGGAGACTCCCGCCGCGGAAGAATCTAAGACAGAGGAGGCTGTTCCTGAAATCGCCAAGGAGACGCCTGCCGTTGAAGAATCTAAGCCCGTCGAAGCCGTTTCTGGAACTGTCGCAGAGCCTGCTGTCGAAGAGACTCCCGTTATGGAAGAATCTAAGACCGAGGAAGCTGTTCCTGAAATCTCCAAGGAGACGCCTGCTGTTGAGGAATCGAAGCCTGCCGCAGAAGAACAGGCCGCCGAGGCCGTTCCCGAGACTGTCGAGGAGACTCCCGCCACAGAAGCTGTTGTGGAAGAATCAAAGCCTGCCGAAGCCGTTTCCGAAACCGTTGCGGAGCCTATTGTTGAAGAGACTCCCGCCGTCGAAGAACCCAAGGCTGAGGAGGTTGCTGCACCCGCCACTGAGGAGAAGCCCGCTACTGAGGAAAAGGACACCAAGTCCTTTGCCGAAGCTGTCGCCGAACCAGTTGCCGAGGAGACCTCCGCTGCTGAAGCTGCTGTGGAAGAATCAAAGCCTGTTAAGGCTACTCCTGAAATCGCCCAGGAGACACCCGCAGTGGAGGAATCCAAGGTTGAGGAGGTTGCTGCGCCTGCTACTGAAGAAAAGGCTGTCGAGGCTGTTGCTGAAGCCCCAGTGGTCGAAGAATCTAAAGCCGAGGAAGTTGCTGCATCCACCACTGAAGAGAAGCCTGCTACTGAGGAAAAGGACGTCAAGTCCTTTGCCGAAGCTGTCGCTGAGCCGGTTGTGGAGGAAACCCCTGCTGCTGAAGCTGCCGTGGAGGAATCAAAGCCCGTCGAGGCTGCTCCTGAAATCGTCCAGGAGGCACCCGCAGTGGAGGAATCCAAGGCTGAGGAGGTTGCTGCGCCTGCCGCTGAAGAAAAGGCCGTCGAGGCTGCTTCTGAAACCCCTGCAGTCGAGGAACCCAAGACTGAGGAGGTTGCTGCGCCTGCCACTGAAGAAAAGGCCGTCGAGGCTGTTTCTGAAACTCCTGCAGCCGAAGAAGCCAAGGCTGAGGAGGTTGCTCAGCCTGACACTGAGGAAAAGGAGGTCAAGTCCTTTGCCGAAGCCGTCGCCGAGCCAGTTGTCCAGGAGACCCCTGCCGCTGAAGCTGCCGTGGAAGAACCCAAGACTGTCGAGGCTTCCCCTGAAACCATTAAGGAGACACCCGCAGTCGAGGAACCCAAGACTGAGGAGGTTGCTGAGCCTGCTACTGAGGAAAAGGACGTCAAATCCTTTGCCGAAGCCGTTGCTGAACCAGCTGTCGAGGAGACTCCCGCCGCTGAATCTGCTGTGGAAGAATCTAAGACTGTCGAGGCTGTTCCTGAACCAGTCCAGGATACCCCAGCTACCGAAGCAGCCGTGGAAGAGTCCAAGCCTGCTGAGGAGCCAGTGACTGAGAAGGCAGTCCAGGAACCGGCTGTGGAGGCAACTGTCGAGGTTTCCGAGCCCAAGGAGGAAGTCGTCTCTGAGCCCACTAAGGAAGTGACCGAGGAAGCTCACGTTGAGCAGCCTGTTACTGAGGAATTGACTGCCGAGCCAGTTAAGGAGACTGAGGTTGCCGAGCCTGTCAATGAGACTGAAGCTGCTAAGGATTCTGCTGTCGAGGAGCCTACTGATGTTGCTGCTGCGGTGACCACCACCGCTGAGCCGGCTACCGAAGCGACTGAAGAGCCTGCCGCAGTTGTCGCCGCAGAGGCTGCTACTGAGAAGGCCCAGGAGCCCACTAAGGCCGAGTCTGTCCAGGACACCACCGAAAAGGCCACGGCTGTTGAACCAGTTGTGGAGGAGCCTGTGGCTGAAATTGCTAAGGACTTGACTCCAGAGGAGTCTCCCGCTGTCACCGAGGCTGCTGCCGCTGCTGCTATCCCCGAAGAATCTCCCGCTGTTCCTGAGACCACTGAAGCTGCTGCTATTGAGATTGCCGCTATTCCTGCGGCTGCTGCCGTTGCTGCGATCACTGAGAAGTCTCCTACCGTCCCAGAGGCTGCCGCTGCTATCGTTGAGGAAAACGCCGCTTCTACTGAGTCTGTGCAAGAATCAGCTGAGGAGGTTATCCCCGCTGAAATTGCCAAGGACGTCGTCGTTGAGCAGCCGGAGGCTACCAAGACCGAGGAAGTCACCGAGCAGGCTATCCAAGAGCCCGTCGCCGACAAGGCCACGGAGGAGCCCGTCGCTGAGACCTCCGCCCCAGAGCCGGTAGTCGAGGATACTCCTGCTGTTGCAGAGACTCCTGTTGAAGAGCCTGCTAAGGAACTTGCTGTCGAGGAGCCTGTCAAGGTTTCCACTGAGACTCCTGCCGCTGTTGATATTATTGCGGACGAGAAGGTCGAGGAGAAGCAACCCGAGGTTGAAGCTGTTGCCGAGCCAGTCGTCCCTGAACAGACTGATACTTCTGTCGCTGTTGAAGAGCCTGTTTCTCAAGATACTAAGCCTTCTGCCGCCGAAGCAAAGGCCGTGGACGAGCCAGTCACTGTGGCAGAGACTGCTGAAGTTGCTGCCACCCCTGAGCCCGTGGTTGAGGCTGAGACTAAGGCTGAGGCTTCCATTGCCGAGCCCGCTGTTGCTGAAACTCCTGCTGCCGAAGAGAAGCCCATCGATGAGCCAGTTGCTGTTCTGGGAACTGCGGCTGAGCCCACTGCCGAGCCTGTCCCCGAACAGACTCCCGCTGTGGCTCCCGTTGTTGAAGAGCCTGCCACTGAGGCACCAGCTACCGAGAAGGCCGAGGAAGTGAATGAGCCCGTCATTGTCGAGCCCACCACCCAGGCTACTGAGGTTGTTGAGGCACCAGTTGTGGAGGAGGAGGAGGAGGAGGTTACTGCAGAGCCTGTTGAAGCTGCTGTCCCCGTGGAGAAAACTCCCGAGGCAGCCCCAGAGGAGGAATCTACCACCAAGGACCTCGAGCCCGAGACAACCGTGGTGAAGGAGAACGCCGTGGAAGAGCCTGCACAGGAGGAGGAGGATACCAAGGCCAAGGACCTCGTCCCAGAACAGTCTACTCCTGTCGTGGAGACAGTTGCAACTGAGGAACCCTCCAAGGTTGAAGCCGTGGAGACCGAAGTTGTGGCTGAGACATCCGATGCGAAGGAGCCGATCCAGCCCTCCACTACTGATGTTGAAAGCCCAGCACCAACTGAACCCGAGACTCAGCAGGAAGAGGCCGCTGTTTCTGCCTCCGAAGAAGTTGCTACCAAGGATACTGGCATCGGCGCTGAAATTCTTGGTGTTGGTGCTGCCGCTGCCGCCATTGCCGGTGCAGGCGTGGCCGCTCTTGCTCACAAGGACCACAAGGAGTCCGAGACTGCCCCAGAAGCCTCGAAAGATCAGAAGGACATCCAAGCTACTGATGCCGATAAAGAACCCGTTACTAAGGCTGAGACCCAGCCCCAGGTTTCGGCAGCAGATGCACAGCCTGCCGACGGTAAGCCAACACCGTTTTACCTTTCATCCCAGCCGTCTGCCATCTCGTTCGAAACTGATCCCATTCTTGCAGCCCTCGCTGGAGACCGCGAAGCCCTCCTTAGCAAGCTCAACCAACCCTCTACCGACCAACTGTCCACTGCTACTCAGCAACCGTCTGCCGCAACAGTCGAGACTACGACCGAGCCCCAGCCTGCCGCCGAGGCCAGCAAGGGAACCGCCGAATCCGCTGCCAAGTCGACTGATGCCAAGCCCGCTGCCGACGAAACTCTTGCACCCAAGAATAACGATGAGGATGATGCTCGCCCAGCGAGCCAGAACCGGTCAGTGACTGCTGTTTCTCTAAATGGTGCACCTGACAGCTGGCTCAAAGCAATCCTGCGCACTGTCTTTGTGAACTTTTTTGGGGCCATTTTTGCACCCTTCCGTCGTGGAAAGGCCTCAAATTAGACTAAATCCTGTGTTTTTGTTTTCTTGTGCTTTTCTCTAGCCAGTTCTCCTTATTTCCTTTTATCGAAGAAATCGTCGTCATGACGCAGAGTCTACTCATTCAAACTAATTAACTGACTGCTCGATCAGCAATTTGTTCTGGATGGCGATTTTTGCGGTGCCTATTTTTGCAATTTTCTGGCGTTCCTACTTCACAGACAAATAAGTGGTCGTTGTCGACATCGGCATCATCGGCCACAGGGGGCGGTCGGGGGTCACGTGCCACCCAAAGCCCCAACTCGAGCCCAACTGAACTATACCGTGGCACTACGAATAGTGCGTGGCACCACGAAGTATAAAACTTGAATCTCCCCCAACCCCTATATTCCCCTGTATTATGTCCTGTTTCCTATTTACGAATTCCATTTGCGCTTTGCTTTGAATATTTCTATGGTTCATGATTTCCTTTTGTTGTCTCACTTGTTATCTTGGTGTTGGCATGGCCGGCCGCCCTCAATGGGTCTGCCTGACTTGCTATGTATCCAGTATACTTAATGACATGATCTTAATGAATAACTTATATACTTTTCACTTGCTTTGAGCTTGTTTGCCTGTAGTATTTTGAATTCTTTGAATATCTTGAAGGTTCTATGCCAAAATTGCTTTAGTTCTTTGACTGATGCACACTTTGCTATGCCTTGGTGTCTGTGTAACGCCGGTTGAAAGTTGGTATATAATCCATCTTCTGGCTTGCTTTTTTTGGAAGAACTTCCCTCTTTTCATTGCTTTGCTGGTGTGATGGGCGTCTGCCATCCAATGTGTATAAGAGAGCCTGCATGAATGAACAGACTTGACTCATCAGAGAGATGTAACCATAGAGCCATGGGTCGTTCCTTCGGTATTGGATGATGAACAATAGTATTGAACTAGGCAATGAATCGTGCTTTCCTTTCGAACCTGAGAATGGCTGTCGCCCCCGGGCCCCGGGGCACGTGCTGGGGCTGCTCGACCCCGATCTCTTCGTCTTGTTATTGCCACACGCGTCCCTCATCCTCTTCTTCTTTTCTCTCCAAATCATCATTAGTAACATCATTTTCATCATTTTCTTTGACAATCATCAGAAGAAATGGCGAGAGATAGTCAAGGTAAGTCACTTTTCTTGGGTTGTGAATCATTCACCACCTTTCACCTCATGGAGTGTCTCTTTCGATGGACTTGGGCCTCGTTTCGTTCGAGTTCATCCAAGGAGCGAGGCCTTTTTTTGCCAGAACCGCCTGTCTTCCTGTAAGATGGGGACATTCTGTCTGCAGAGCTGTATCTCCTTGCGGGATTGGACCAGCCTGTCTGCAGGATAGCGGTTTTTCCTGAGATTGACCTTGGCTTCTGGGAATCCGGTCCCTTGCCATACAGTTGAGTATGATTCTTTTGAATCAAGTCTCTTCCTTTGGCATTGGAATTGGTTATTCAGAGTCAGGTCTCTTTCTTAACATTGGGATCGGTTCCTTGGAATCAGACCTGTTTGACTCTGTGCGAGCCAAATCCCTTTGTATGGTCACCCTTTCTATAGAAGCAGGTCCTGTGGGCAAAGGAACTATCCATTTGCCAACAGAATATGCCTCGAAAGAAAGAATAAAGAGCGATATACTCAAAAACATGAGAGATATTTATCACTTTGGCCTTGCATGGCTAATTGATAGCTGTCACTTTCAGTTCGCTTCAAAGAAATAAGGGCAGGGTTACTGACGCTTGATATACTTACAGATACCGATTCGGAAGGTCCCCGCGGCCGTACTGGCCGTCCTGAGACACCATCATCTTCTGCGAATTCGTCTCTCTCACGCCGTCCCACTCCTCGCGTACACTTTGAAGAGCCCGACATGTGCAACCCACTAGCATCTCCTCGTTCTGACGTGACTGTCACTGCGGTCCCGGTGCCTGTGCCTTCCAAATCGACCAATCCGAGGGTTGGTGTGCCTTCAAGTCTCGCAGAGGGTTCACAGTTCGTGTTGCCGCCTCCTTCACATGACAGACGTAACGCTTTCGCTCAACGCAAAGCAAAACTCGCGGCTCAGGCTGCTGCTTCCTCCCAAGCTTCTTCTTCTTCTCAACCTCCCCCTCGCCCCTCTTCATCTCACCCTTCTCGCTCTGTCACCCGTGCTTCTTCCATCCCTCCTGTTCCCCCTTTTCCTGTTTCCATCCTGAAAAATCGACCGGGCAACATCTCCATTGCTCAAGTTAAACCTCGTTCTTCTTCTGCTCCCCCATCTCCACCAAAGATGGATGACAGCTCCAATGTTCCGGGGGGCAACAACAAGCCACTCCCTGTGTCTCCCTCCAGTAAATTCGAGCCGCACACACCCAGCCCTCGTACACCCAGCTTCAAAAAGGATGGCATGCACCGTCCTAGCTTTAGTCCCATGGAGCGTGTTTCTGGTGCTAGTCCTTCTGGTGTCAGCCCGACCACCTCTCATCGGTCTAGTTTGACTATCAAAGACCTTCCTGAGGCAGTCCGATCTCTCCAGTCACGTTATGAGACAGACCAAAAGCGACTCAGCAAGAAGCTCGACGATATGAACAAGCTCGAACAGAAGCTTGAGGGCTTTATTACCTTGACACACGACTACGTTAAGGACCTAACGGATGCGCTATTCAAGGACATGACTGAATTGTCCGACGAATTTTCCCAGGCAAAGCTCGACGCAAAGGAAGCCAAGGAACAGGTCCGCAACCTCAAGGAGGAAATTCACGAAATGCGGACTGAGATCAACGGACTCACCTCGTCGCTGAATGACCTGGGTGCCAAGGTCGACATGTGCCTGTCTGGAATCTGGGACAACACCGCAGAGCCATTCGTGGCCTACCAACGTCGAAAGAATAAAGAGATCGACGAAGACATCCAAGACATCGGTGATCAAACCAACGAACAGAAAGCGCAAATCACCTTCATGAGACAGATGATAATTCGCACTCAAATTGCGCTCCGAGTCTTGCAACAACAACATGGTCTCACAGTCGCTGATGATGTGGAAAGAATTCTTCCTCCAACCCCTTTGCCCGCTTTGCCTGTCCTCGACCCCATTTCACACACCGGTACATTGAGGACCCTTCCTCTCCCCTCCCCTGGGTCTGAAGCAATCGCGACATCTTCAGCTACCGCTACCTCGACAGCAACGCCTGCCCCAACGCCTGCTCTCCCGACATCTTCAACTACCTCGACAGCAAAGCCTGCCCCAAAGCTCGCTGCTGCAACATCAGCTCCTCAGACAGCAAAGGCGACTCCACCAGCATCGGCCACCGGCTCATCGACTGTCACTCCTCCGGGCTCTTCTACCGTCAAGCAGAGTTCAATTCCCCGTCGGACCAAGAAGAACGGTTCGAAGAAGTCCGCCAGCTCTACGAGCCCAACTCAGCGGCCTGCACCTACTCCTTCGAGCGAGGCCCCAGTCTCTGCTCCCCCTGTGCCAACACTCCCCCCTGGCATCCGTGTGCCGGGTGGTCCCGGCAATATTCCCTTCGGGGACATTCACCCACTCTTCCGCCCTCAGTTCCGTGAGGCAAACGCTCAAGGGATCCCAGCGATCCCAGCGATCCGCGCCCCGGCCACTGAGGAGGCCACCAAGGTTGAGACTGGCAAAGAGCCTCGCAAGTAGGCGAGCAAGCCAGTGCTCACCACAAAGCTACTGTCACAACGAAAATTAAAAAAAATTAAAAACAAAAAACCTCACAAAAAAAAGTACACCCAAAAACAAAAAAAAAAAAAAAAGAGTCAGATTTGGAGGACTTGGTCAGGTGTGTTAGATTTTGTTGTGTAGATTAGCATGTCAATTGAATATGTTTGAGTACAATTTCTCAAGAAAAGTAGACATCGTAGCTGAATATGCATGTAAAATTATTCAAAACAGTATTTACTTAGAGGAAACCATCATCTTTTCAATCTCCACTGCCGCCTCTCGCACCTGTGGACAGTAATGCAAACGTAACAATTCACCCTCCCACACCGTACCCGCAAAGACATTGGTAGCTTCAACATCAGCAGCATAAGCATTGAACACACCATCGCCCTTGCGCTCCTCGGTGTGCCACAGCGAAGCGATACGACGCCCATGATATTTCGAGACCTGGTTCATGAGTGCAAGCGTTGCAAGAGCAGACTTCTCGGGCAACTGGAGCGAAGTCGTCATGAGACGCTTGGAGAAACTGGCAAGTCTGCTTGGAGGCGGGGTGCCGTGTGCGCGGGATAAAGAGTCGGCTGCAAGCAGCGGAGGAGGAGGACCATCGGGGTCTGGAAGTTGACCTTGTTCTTGGAGCGGGTCTGGGAAAGCTGGTCGCCTTGTTCGGAGGAATTGGGGTCGGGGAGGCGGAGGGCTGTGTCGGGGTTGAATTCGACATCTGGGTTCATAGAGAGGGAGTAGAGGGATCGGTAGAGGTGCTTGATGAAGAAGTTCAGGTCGAGGTGGAGACCTGCGGCTGCTTTGCTGGCTTCTTGGCCTTCTAGCAAGGCAAAGGCGGTAACGGTGCAGAGCAGCGTCCTTCGGCGAGCGTCCCGGGCTGCGCTTTCGGCAATTGTGACATGGTCCTCGTCTTCGTCGTCTTCCTCATTGACGACCTCTTGGTCGCCTTCCACACCCATTTCCTCGCGCTCTGCGTGGTTAATAAGGTCTTTCAAAGCCTCGAGCAAATCACCGAAGAAGTCCTGGTTAATAAGGTGGGCATATTTCGCCAGACCCTCAAGCACAGGACCCATCAGTGCGGGAATGCGGAGCTTGAGAATACGGAAATAGAGACCGAACACAAGCTTTAGTGTTTCGGCCTGGTTCTTGTCTCTTTGTTCGTGCGATACCACTGCCTCTGCTTGTGACATATCCTTTTCGACTTCCTTCCGCTCCTTCTGAATCTTGCGCTCTCGCTTCGTGCGGAATTCGCGCTTTTGCTTTGGCTTCTTTCCATGGGAGGGCTCTTCTTCTTCCCGATCCACTCGATCTCGAGATGCCTTCAAGTGGAACTCACCAAGCAAACGAAGGTGGAGGAATGTGTCCAAGACACTGGGGTGGATGTGGAAGTCTCTGGCCTTCAACATCTTTGCGAGAAGACGAACAGCTTCGAGGGAAACAGTTCCATCGTCATCTTTGGCGAAAATCTGCTCCATAGTTTCGCGGCACTTGACATAGTCGGCATCAAGATTTCTCCGTGCAAGACGGTTCACCAAGATCTTCAAAAGCTCGCTACGGAAGTTGAAGTGTGGTACGGCCAAGAGCATAGTGCAAGCCATGGAAATCGCGAAGCTCCTCAGTCCAGCATCTGTGGGGGCATCCCCCTTGGCTGGCTTGACGAGCATAGCAAGCTTCTGAACATAGGCTCGATATCCTGACACAAGGGACTGTTCGAAATCTCGGAGCTTGCGCACATCTTTTGATACCCTACCGGACTGGTCTTCTTCGCTCAATGGACGAATGCGGTATCCAGGGATGACATCCTTGTAGATGGCTGCCTGTGAGGCCAAAGCCAGTTTTTTAACTGTGACATGTGTGTTTTTCTTCGACACCATCTCAGCCATTGTCTTGAACAGAGAGATGTTCTCCTCGGGATCCTCGTTGATCAAAGTTGCGATTTTCGCTAGGTCTTCCTTTGCCTGCAGGATTTGTGCTTTCACCGGAATCTTGGGTGCTTCTTCCTCCGATTCTTCTCCGTCCTCCTCGTCCCCAGAGCCATCCTCCTCATCATCATCGGTACCTAGGAAGCTGTCGGTCTCTTCGCCCTGATCTTCAGGCCGAACTTCAGCCTGGACAAAGCCTTCAGAAGTCTTGATTGGCAATCTTGCGTTCTCGCCGGCTTTCTTGGTGTTTTTGCGTGGGCGACGTTCGTAGTCTTGCTCAACATCCCACTCTTGGTCGGCTTTAGAGCGGGACGAGGAGTCCTCAACATCCGCTGGAGGACTCAATCGTCTCCGCTTCACTTCTGGACCACGCGCCATTTTGTAATTAGAGAATTGGGGGACTGACGGTGAAATCTGCGGAGAATAGTAAAAAAGATCTTTAGAGTGAAAAGGCGGTCCCGAAAATTCTAGGCGGAAAGTCAAAACTTGCTCTGATTGGCTTTTCATGTCCATTCCATCGCTATAAATTTCAGGTCCACTTCTGGGCGGTAAGATATTGCCCGACTTTAGTTTTTTCTCACTTCCCGACAATACAAGCTCGCTACTACTCAACTTTTTTGCCATATCTTCAGCTTTATATCCGACAATATGAGATCTCTCACAGAAGTGCGTACCTATTCCATAATCATTGGCTGCTTTGACTAACTCATGCCTCGTATAGGAAGAGACACGGACGCTCTTCACGAAGCTAGCTTCCTATACCGGCCGCAGTCTCAATGCTCTTATTACCCCGGCTGAAGATGGTACCCAGAATGTTTTCCGCTTGCAAGGGTCCCGGGTTTACTATGTGAACAAGGAAATTGCCAACCTGAGCGTTTCATTTCCTCGCGATGGTACGCTTTGCTTCAGCTTTGACGTGGTGTATAAAGCTAACCAAAAAAAAAAGTTTTGCTCAGCGTTGGAACCCAAATTGGGAAATTCACTAAAGTGATTAGCTCTGATGGTATTCTGTTATTCTGATCGATGATGCTAATATTCTGGCAGACTGGCAAGTTCCGCATCAACCTGACAGCTCTGGATCTCCTGGCGCAACACGCCCGGTACAAGGTCTGGATCAAAGCAAACGGAGTTATGGTAAGCTTGTTCCAATTTCCGATATGATGTACTGTCCTTGCTTACAATTTTTAGCCTCTGCTCTATGGCGGTTCGGTTTTGAAAGCCCATGTGGCTAGATTCAGGTTGGTTATTCTTCCAATGACTATACATTCACTATATTAACCCCCAGAAAGCGAGGACTGCCCCGAGAATGCAGGCGTTGTGATATATGACTCGAACGACGTACCCCTAGGATTCGGAGTCACAGCAAGATCATCCGCGCAGATCGCAAAATTGGACCCTACCAGTATCGCGGTCCACCGTCAGGTATGCGAAGCTTAGGTCTGGGCTCTTAATTACATTGGCTAATACAAACTAATAGGCGGACTCGGGAGAGTACCTTAGAGAGGTGAGTTAGCTATATTCAAATTCTCCAGGACCAAATTGCTAACATTCATATTAGGAGGATACCTTGTTCACAACCTAAGCAAAATCGACATGACACCGAATCTTACATTTTTGCAACTCGCAAAAGGCGTTTGGGAGTTTTACCTGATCTATTTGATCTTACAAAAGTTGACTGTACTTTTTAGCATCGAATCCTGTGCTCATTGCTTCTATGTAATGAATTGATGGCAAATGTTGACCAACAACTTCTCTGTAATGATTACTACATGAAAAACACATTTTGAATACACACAAATCAATATCCAATGTAATGAAAATCAATAGTCATGCCAAGTCTATCCATACATGTATAGCCCATGTTGTTGATATAGGGTGGACTTTTTCGGAGACTTGATGAGTCAGCAGGATGCCATCCCGATCCATTCAACCTTGGAAACGCGCGGGATATAACTCACTACAGACCTCATAGCCCTGGTGTTTCTTTTATCTACCAAGCCAAAGAGAAATTCTCTCACACCAGCACTACAAAACAGGCGCTTCCATTCATTCACTCAGCGCGTTTCTATCACTTATTGTGTTTCTCCCCCGCGTAGTGGGCACAGATATTGCCCACCCCCACCATGCCACCCTACACAACCACCCAGAAACATCAAATCGCTGAGTTTATCAGCTGCACACGGACAAAGGAGTCTGTTGCTACTAAAGTAAGTAACTTCCATGCTTTCCCGCATGTTCTCCCTTCTGCAGTCCGTTTGAGTATCTTGAGACGCTTCCTCCGGGTCACGTGTATCAGAAGACTAACTTTCTACTATAGTTTCTTAAAGCATGTGGTTGGAGTTTACCTCCAGCACTTGACGCGTAAGTGCTTGTCATCACACTTGCATCGAACTTTTGTCGTTCTTTGTTTTCTATTGGATTTGTCTTCAACCTCTGGATGCCTTTGGATTAAGTCCAAGATGCCAGCAGATAGATAGAGCATCAAAGCTCCAACATTTGCTCTTCTCTTTTCGGGGCTTGCTTAAGTCTCACTCAGAGAAATTATTGATCTCTCATCACACCGTTCATTCCAAATGCCTCGAGTGAAGAAGACGAAGAAGATGTGCTTGCCATTCCCCATCCCCATGATAACACACCTGACCATCTTACACTGGCGAAATCATACATGGTCCCCGCTTGAAACACCCCGAAGCTAATATTGTCATTGACATAGTTTCTTCGCCGCTGCGTCTGGCACCGCTGCACTCATGACCTCAGAACTTACAAAGACCTTCGAACGCTACCGAGGTACTTACCCACCTGTGACTAGTTTATTTATACTTGAAATACTCACATCTCCTCAGATGACCCAATCGAAAGCCCAGATACCATCGGTATCACGCGAGCAATAGATTTTCTCGGTGATTTGAATGTCGAGCTCGACGAAGTAACCTGCCTAGGCATCGCCGAGCTACTCCAGTCACCATCGATGGGCGAGTTCACCCGCCAGGGATGGACGGACGGATGGCTGAAAGCTCGGTAAGTGCGAATTTCAACACGAAAGAACCCCCACCTTAAATCCAGACTCAAAACACTGTCAATGTCCCACCCATCAAATCTAACAATCTAAGCTGCGATAATATGCCAAAAATGCAAGCGTACGCTAAGCTCCTCCGGGAGAGAATCCCTCGAGAACCAGAGACCTTCCGACGAATCTACAGATACACATTCCCTCTCTCACGAATGCAAGGACAGCGCAACCTTCAATTCGAAATCGCCGCTGAGCAGTGGCGTCTCTTCTTCACGACTGATCATGGCGGTGTGGCGTGGAACACTGAAACGACGCCGTGGCTGGATTGGTGGATTGAGTTCCTTGAAGAGCGCGGGAAGAAACCTGTTAATAAAGACCTGTGGGAACAGGTTGAGGTGTTTATGCGCAAGAGTCTGGAGGATGAGGAGATGGGCTGGTGGAGTCCTGAGGGAGCTTGGCCCGGTGCCCTGGATGACTTTGTTGCTTGGGTGCAGGCTAAGAGGGGGAAGGGGTCGGAGATGGAGGTTGAATAGGGGTTCTCCCTGGTCTATTCATGGATGCTAGAGATGAGGGATTTATTTCGTCTCGTTTCCGGATGGGTTGGGACATTTATCTTACCCGCTTGTATCATCCACTAACATCCCTCCTGTGTTTCGAATCTACTATAGTTACGAGGGAATTAACGATGGCCTCATGTGCCCGTTTTATGTTAAGGGCAGTCGCATTTCTTCTAGTTCATCTATTTCGACATACATATGTTTATAGAAGTATAGATTGGCAGGAGAAGCAATGACGCAACCAACTCAAACGGAGACAAAAATATAATACCGATCTTCAAGGGGTGGAATTGAAATAAAACAGAGATATAAAGCCATTCGTCATGAGATTGAGTGATAACATCAGGGGGAAGATATCTGCGGCATATCAAGATGCATGGTGTGTACATGGATTTAGATCAACACCGGAGAATATGTAATAAACAAAAGAAAAGACAAATCGATGACTGCAAACAAGGCATAACCGACACACATAGGTCTCTGACGCGTCCAAATATGTTTGCAGTCAATTGCGGACTCAGCCCATTTAAGGGAAGTCGCGCTTCTCGTAGCCGGGGTCGCGACGCTGGTCATAACGCTGTCGAGTCGTTAGAAATCAAGTCGCAATTGTCGCAATTCCGATTAAATCATACCTTCCGGAGAGCTTCCAGACGCTTCTTCTTGGTGTGGGTGTTGACATAGGTTCCAATGAAAAATCCAACAATGTTGAAGAAGGGCACCCAGGTGTGCTCAGGGAGGAACTTCTGAGCGAAGGCCAAGCACAGGGGCGAGGTGACCCAGCTGACCTTCATGACGGGCATGAAGCCAGCCTTGACGGTAGCGCGAACCTGGTGGATAGTGCGCGCACCGGCAATAATAGCCATGGAGGTCAGATAGACAACGTTCTGGATGGGGGAGACCTGGGAAATGAGGATATATTAGCAATGTTACGCGTGGTCAGGTGATCGGACGACACGTACAATCAGATTGCTAGCGAGGATCTGAAGAATCTTGGCCTTGAGGCTTGTGCGGCCGGCGAAGATCCTCTGCAGGATGCCAATGAGGACGTGGCCAAGGGGCGCGCTGATGAACATTCCGTACAGCGACATCTTGGGAATGCGCGAGCTGAAGTAGTGGCCGTGCTTGCCGACATCGTGGGCGATCCACGAAGCCAACAGTTCCTGCAAACCGGAGAGCACACCGGAGGTGAGCATCTTCGTGCGCAACGGGTTCTTCTGGAGCTGGAGCAGGTAGGCCTAGCGATCCATTTCCCGGATCAGTTGTCGGTTCGATAGTATTGAAGGGGGGCGCCGCATACCTGGAGATATCCAGCCGCTGTATTTCCACCAGTCAATCGCTCACCGACGCGGTGGACGAGGTCTTCGGACTTGCCGCCGCCCGTGACGGTGCGGACGGTCTCCTCTTGGAACTTGACGGACATTGTGGTGATCGGAGGGGTTTGGGATGACGAGGGGACGAGGGGACGACAGAATTTAGGAGGGTTTAGGAGGGCTCTTCAGGTTAGAGACGCTCCTAAAACAAGTTAATAATTGAATGAGATTACTATGTAATGGATGATAAGGTGCCAAGTGGAGAAATGGGAAGACGATGGGGGGTGAGACCCGGGGGGGGAACTTGTTTGTTTATGTTGGCCCGAGGGTGGCTGGGCTGGGATAGGGAGGACAGCCGAGGTTCTCAATATATAACTTACACAAAATGTATCTCCCAAATCCGTTGAATTGTTGATGAATAAAACCAGTCGGAAGATTACATCCAGAAGAAATGGAGACGGCTATACGAACAATCGGCAGATGGATCCCCGGCGAGATCCATTGGCGGAGCACGTCGGAAACCCCCGACGGCTTTTGATTGAATCTGGGGGGGGTTTGACGACTTTTCCAATTTCCCAACACCCCCTATCATTAATAGTATCTACAAATGTAGGTATAATGCTATAAGAAGTATATACTTTTTTAGATAGATCCCAATAACCTTGGAAGTTTTACAGTTTGATATTTTTGGTTGCCCAGGGCTTTCATGGTCACGGGGTTGACAGTCTCACTGCCTCTTTGTAGACGAATTGTCGCTTTCCAAAGAGCTTCGTTTTAGGCTTGATTTGGGGTTGTTAGTCAACAGTAAATAGATCGTTTGTAGTGTACATACATATCCTGCCCCTGTATGGAGTACAGCATGTACATACATTAGGTGGTACATTAATCCTTCTATACCTGCACATCATATTTGCGTGGGATTTGCCATCAACTATATTTGGACTTCTTCCTCTTCAATTGTATTAATCTAGTAGCCTGACAATCCAACCTCTAGCTTATTAGCCCGCTTTCTTTCCAAGAAATAGGCACTGGAGGCAAAGTAATACAAGAGAATCACCGTAAATATGTCCACATAGTTGTTAATGCGCGCATTTTAGCAACATAATCCCTTACAGGTTGAGCAGTCATGAGGCGAGCACTTGCTCAAATGTGTCATTCAAGCTTGTTATAGCTTGCGTCCTGTCCCAACGTCCGGCATTGCGCCATATTAGCCAAATTTATAGATAGGACAACGAGCAGCAACCAGGCAATATCAACCGGAGCGAATAGATGCACAGGACTGGTGATTCCAACATCAGAGTATCAAGGGCCGCAAAGATAAAAGCCTCTGATAATCACAACTGCACTCTGTACCATGTAGATAGTAGGCCCGACGAGGTCGATGAGCTCCATGGGAAGCTCCATATTACCGTGTAAGAGCTGGGATGACCTGGAGGGTATACCAGTGGGCTCCATGGAAGCTTCACATAGCCGTATAAGAGCTCAGGTCGTCGGGGACAACGATGTCCTCGTAAATGATCAGCCAACCGGCGAACGCAGACGACTCAGCGACGATGTCATCCATAGACGGTGCAGCTTCAGGGTCTCCTGGAGCATCTTATTCTTCCCGTCACTCCCTCTTTTCTGATCACCCTTCCTCATTCCATCTCTTCATTGTTTCAATCTGATTTCATACATCTGTGTATTTCTCTGCCCCACGGGCGAAGTCAAACCACCTCTCCTGCGTGTAGGCTGTCTGGCAGCACACCCACGAGACATTATCTGTTCACACTCAATCATAACGACGTGTTTCCCCGGCGCTCAGTTGCCGGCCGAAGTATCAAGACTCTTTCCCGCGTGTAGGCCTTCAGGCAATACACCGGCACATTACCTTTCACCTCTTCTTTCATCTTCGCAATAGTCTAATCTCTGTCGGGGACGTGACACCCCGACGTGACATCCGCCATGCCTTCGCGCCACTCCGACATGGAGGCGCCGAAGCCTTCCGGTTTCCAGGCCGAGTCGCAGCCTGAAGAGACGACAGAAGGCATCCCCGAGGAGTCTGGTGTCAGTTCAATTCTCGTGCCACCACACCCCACCGAGAGTGATCAGTCTGCTGCAATTCGTGTAAACCCTGATGACGCATTTGCCAATATCATTCGAGAGTACTTTCCATCGCCCCAGGGCACAAGTTCCGAATTTGCCAGTCGCCAAGCCAGCCTTGATTTTATGCGGCATCTTTTTGAATTCGCCGGTCGCCACGATGACCTTAATTCCATTCCGCAGATTCGTGAACTGGCCAGTCGCCAACGCGACTTTGAAATTGCTCTTATCACTCTTCGCCAGGCTAGAAACAGTCAGCAAAATTTCGAACATGATAATTCTCAGCATCGGCGTGGATCGGCTTTGCTCCAAGGTTGCCTGTTGCAGACTGACGAGATCGAAGGCCACACCCTCCCCCATCCAGCTCCACAAGAGCAAACCCGTGCAGCCAGCTCTGTTTCCTCACATGAGAGTAACGGCCCATACTGCAGAACCAACCCCGATAACAAAAATGAACCTCTGGACAACGGCAATTCTGGTGATGATGATGACCCGTCGAGCGACCGGAATTCCCAGTTACAACGCGGCAGACCCCTTCGACGACCCACCGACAATTCTGATGGTTACCCATCTCGGGACCCAGGTTCTCAAGTACAACGTGGCAGATCCCTTCGACGACATGGAAGCCCCGTCAGCGATGCGTTCCATGCGTCTCAGGGCAGCAATCACTCATCAAGGGACCGTTCTCAAATACGACGCGGGAGAGGACTCCTCCGAGCTTCCAGCATTGTAACTGATCCGTGGGCTGATCTTTGGGGTCCTGTCAAACTACCGAGTGAGCCGGGTTCCCCAGAACGACGTGGCAGGACACATCTACGAGCTCCTAGCATTGCCACCAATCCATGGGCTGAGGTTCCGGGTAACAACCACCCACCAAGGGACCCTTCTCAATTGCAATGGGGCAGAGCATTTCTGCGAGCTTCAAGTGCTGTCAGCAATCCGTGGGCTGGGTCTTGGGGTCCCACCAGCCTACCAATTTACCCGAGTTCTCGAGTACCACGCGGGGGAAACCCTGTCAGCGATCCGTGGGCTGAGCTTCGGGAAAGCATCAACCAAATGGGCGACCCAAATGCCCACAGACCACGGGGGGCAAGCCCTGTCACGTCTTCTGCGGCATCCGGCCGCGAAAACTCGGGGGACAGAATCCCCAATTTCATTTCTGCCCTCCGAGCACCTTTTACCAACTCTTCGGAGTCTGAGATGAGTTTCGGGGGCAGTGACGAGGGGGAGGAGGGGAACCAGATGGTGAAACGGTGGAGCAAGGAGGTTCAGCCGGCACGTCAACACTCCCCTGGACCACGAGGCTGAATACGCCGGGGCTCCTCCACCCCGGGTACAACAGCTAATGACTGGTCTCGGGGAGCGGGGCTGCCCGCTGAGGGTATATATACTTTTTTTTTTTCACATTGCTATATTCACAGGGGGAGGGGAGGGGAGGGGAGATGAAGCCGGGGTCAGAAAGAGGTGGATGTGAGGTGAGGCCGCAGTCAGGTGGAGGTGAGCGGGGGATGAGCCGCATGTGAGAGTATGAGGAGGATGAAGTGTGGAACTAGTATTTCACATGTGAGAGTCAAGGATTTTCCAAAAATGAAGAATTTCCAAGCATGATTCCGAGTAGAACTAAAAATGAAAATCTTAGAGATGTAAACTATGTACACCGTAAGTAATATTAAATTGGGTATTCTGTAAACCCACATGTATGGAACTAAGCACATAAATTGGACCTCGGGAGATCAAAGAGATACATACATGCATGTACTCCGTATGTATGTATCATTTACGATGGTACATAGTAGTTTGCCTATGTATTGATACAGAATACCATTAAATTAGGAGAGATAATTATGAGAAAAAAGATATCCTGTATATGTATGTATACAAATTAAGTGAAGTGTACATCGGTTATCAGCCCGGGAGGTGAGGCGATGACTAAAATACTGGGGGATAACCCACGGAGATTAGATTGAACTTCCTTAAGTTCCGAGCCTCGGTTCCGGTCGTGACATTTAATCCAACATCATTTTATTTCATTATTTCTCATGTTCATCACACATAATGTCCGACTCTGAACATCCTCCAGGCGAGTCGACTGACGTCCAGGCGGGAAAAGCACCCGCCGGGAACTTATGCGCAAAGCGACAATTGTTGGCCGCCTTGACAACAACCGATGTGACAATCCGCCGGCTGAATCTGTAAGGCATCTTCGACCCCGATATGCTAGGCCAGAAGCTCGGCATGCGACGCAGATCAAGAATATCGCTGACGGCTCTAGACTACTCTCCGAGGCGAACGGACAAGAGCGAGTATTAGCAACTGTCAACTATGTCGCCTCAATGCTCCACCACCTCACTGCATCAGCGCCCTGGATAGCATTGCAAACAAGGCTGGGTATCCTTGCGCGATTGAAGGGCCGCATACCCACCAAGAACGTCACTCCCGCGTCATCAAAATCGAAATTCATGGCTCTTTCCACCCTCGCATCGGAGACGAGATACAACTTGCGCCTGTTTGGGCTCCTCCCTTTGTGGATCTGGGGAGTGGAAACCCTCAAATCACCGCCTGCCGACCCCATAATCCATGCCCTGACCGTTCTGCAGGTTATCTCGAATGTGACATACCAGCTTCTGGAGAACGTGGGCTACCTTGCTTCTAAGGGGGTTGTCTCGAAGCGCTTCGTGGACAAATACGGAGGTCTTGCCAAATGGGATCTCTGGAGTACTCGTGGATGGTTTGGGCACATCGTCTTACAGTTCTTCGTGCTCTGGCGCCAGAGTGTGCTGCGCAGACAGCGCTTAGCTGCACAAAGAGCGGCAGCCGGCACAGCCGAGACCAAAGAAACCAAGGCTGAAGACAGTGAGGTGCTGCGTTTAGAGATCCGGGCTTGGCGAAAGAGCTTGGTGAATAACACCTTTTGGGCACCCTTGTGCCTGCACTGGTCTGTCGAGAAAGGCATCGGTATTCCCAGTAGCCTGACAGGGCTTATCAGCTTCTGTGCTGGGGCTTGGAGTCTCCATGACTGTTGGGCTGGAACCGCAACAGTTAAAGCATAAATCTTAGATTGCTAGTGGAGATCCTCGGCCTTTTCTCGTCTTCTTTTTATATTTGTATAAATCTACTCTTACTCGCACATATACCTGATGTTGGCAGCGAACATGTTTGTCATTAGCTTTGCATTTTTAGGTCTACGCCGGCTTGTTTTTGGAATATAGACTTATGTTGACACATTCGATCCGATGGCTATACCTGCTGGAGTTTCTTTCAATCTTCATTTGTCGCTACAACTAAAGATATTCGCCTTTTAAGTGTATAACCTTCCTGTCAAATAAGTCCCCATCTGAGGTCTCGGGAGATTTGACGTTGTCCGGCATTGCTTATGTGGTGACAAGTATGGGCTTTTGCTTGCTGATTTCCTTGTCTTAGTCCAGTCACGCAGATCCTTCAATTTTGAGGGAAATGCACCATGGACTTTCTTTTTGTCCTTTAGATTTGCTGTAATTGTAATGTAACCATTCCAGAGTTTTGATTGATCCTCCAAGGTTGGTAATCATATTTACTGTAGCAACTATCAGTTGTTGCCCCAGGCATCAAGGCCCTCAATCGACTGAGTTCCATGCGCTTCGTTGTGGCGGACAGCGCGATGACATAAGCACAGGGCTTAAGTCATCATCATCAGTCCAGCAGAGGTACCTGGGAAGCTCAACATCATCATTCCTGTTACCTACCTCTATCTCCACTTTGCCGTAATCGGATTCGCTCTCTGATTCTGATCTATCGGTTCATTTTCATTTTCAGTACTCATTTTTCGTTCTCTTTTAAATCCGCATCTCGCTCCGCCTGTTACTGGGCACTGGACACCTTTGTTCACTCAAGCTTGCTTCCATCAACGTCACAACCTCATTTACGGCCATCATGTCTTCCGAGCCGGATCACACGCACGACAAGAAGAGGGTCCAACTGAAGTACGTTTAATCTGAACACTTTTGGTTATCGAGTATGCTAACTGGACTCCAGGGACGGCTCTGGCGCCGAGAAGAAGGAGGTAAGCATATGCTATCGGACAGCTTACAAAAGTCTCGGAATTGACGAAAAATGCAGGAGCTCGATACTTCCACCGCTATCTTGAAGAAGAAGAAGAAGCCCAACTCCCTGATGTGAGTAGCTTATGAGAGATATCCCGTTGGGAGCAAGGAGCTAACAGTTTTCATGCAGTGTGACCGATGCCGTTAACGATGATAACTCGGTGATTGCTCTGTCGAACAACACCATGGAGACTCTCCAGCTCTTCCGTGGCGATACAGTTCTCGTGAAGGGCAAGAAGCGCAAGGACACTGTGCTGATCGTCCTCGCTGATGACGATCTCGATGATGGAAGCGCCCGCATCAACCGTGTTGTGCGTCACAACCTTCGTGTCAAGCACGGCGACATGATCACTGTGCACCCTTGCCCAGATATCAAATATGTAAGTTGGGCATTTACACGTCATTTCACCATGATCTGTTGACTAATTCTATCTTCGTCATCTAGGCCAAGCGCATCGCTGTCCTTCCCATCGCTGATACCATTGAGGGCCTGACCGGCTCTCTCTTCGATGTCTACCTTGCTCCTTACTTCCGCGAGGCCTACCGACCAGTTCGACAGGGTGACCTGTTCACAGTACGAGGTGGTATGAGACAAATCGAATTTAAGGTTGTGGAGGTCGACCCTCCCGAATATGGCATTGTTGCCCAGGACACAATTATTCACTGCGAGGGTGAGCCCATTCAACGAGAGGATGAGGAGGGCAACCTCAACGAGGTTGGCTACGATGATATTGGTGGATGCCGCAAGCAGATGGCTCAGATCCGTGAATTAGTCGAGTTGCCTCTCCGCCATCCTCAGCTGTTCAAGTCCATTGGTATTAAGCCGCCTCGTGGTATCCTCATGTACGGTCCTCCCGGTACCGGTAAGACCCTGATGGCTCGTGCTGTTGCCAACGAGACTGGTGCTTTCTTCTTCCTGATCAACGGTCCCGAGATTATGTCGAAGATGGCTGGTGAATCTGAGTCGAATCTGCGCAAGGCCTTCGAGGAGGCCGAGAAGAACTCCCCCGCTATTATCTTCATTGATGAGATCGACTCCATTGCCCCTAAGCGTGACAAGACCAACGGTGAGGTCGAGCGCCGTGTCGTTTCCCAGCTGCTCACCCTCATGGACGGTATGAAGGCCCGTTCCAATGTTGTGGTAATGGCTGCTACCAACCGTCCCAACTCCATTGATCCTGCTCTTCGTCGTTTCGGCCGTTTCGATCGTGAGGTCGACATCGGTATTCCTGACCCAACCGGTCGTCTTGAGATCATGCAGATCCACACCAAGAACATGAAGCTTGGTGAGGATGTCGATCTGGAGACCATTGCCGCCGAGACCCACGGTTACGTCGGCTCTGATCTTGCTTCCCTCTGCTCCGAGGCTGCTATGCAGCAGATTCGTGAGAAGATGGATCTCATCGACCTCGATGAGGACACTATCGATGCCGAGGTTCTTGAGGCCCTCGGTGTCACCATGGAGAACTTCCGGTTCGCCCTGGGTGTCTCCAACCCCTCCGCCCTTCGCGAGGTTGCTGTGGTCGAAGTTCCCAATGTTCGCTGGGACGACATTGGTGGTCTCGAGGAGGTTAAGCGCGAGCTTGTCGAGAGTGTCCAATACCCCGTGGACCACCCCGAGATGTTCCAGAAGTTCGGCCTCTCTCCTTCTCGCGGTGTGCTGTTCTACGGTCCTCCTGGTACTGGTAAGACCATGTTGGCCAAGGCTGTTGCCAACGAGTGCGCTGCCAACTTCATCTCTGTCAAGGGCCCTGAGCTTCTAAGCATGTGGTTCGGTGAGTCGGAGAGCAACATCCGTGATATTTTCGACAAGGCCCGTGCTGCTGCTCCTTGTGTTGTCTTCCTTGACGAACTGGACTCTATCGCTAAGTCTCGTGGTGGCTCCGTGGGTGATGCCGGTGGTGCTTCCGATCGTGTTGTCAACCAACTTCTTACTGGTAAGTTTCCGCTGTTATATTCTCTTCTTTGCTCCGAATATTTACTAATGCCCTAACAGAGATGGACGGTATGACTTCCAAGAAGAATGTATTCGTCATTGGTGCTACCAACCGTCCCGAGCAGCTCGATAACGCTCTGGTCCGTCCTGGTCGTCTTGACACCCTGGTCTACGTTCCCCTGCCTGACCAGGAGTCTCGCGAGGGCATCCTCAAGGCCCAGCTTCGCAAGACTCCTGTCGCCAGTGACGTCGACATTGCTTTCATTGCCAGCAAGACCCACGGCTTCTCCGGTGCCGATCTCGGCTTCGTGACACAGCGTGCTGTCAAGCTCGCCATTAAGCAGGCCATCTCCCTCGATATCGACCGTCAAAAGGAGCGCGAGGCCGCCGGCGAGGACATCAAGATGGACGATGAGGATGAGGAAGCTGAGGATCCCGTGCCCGAGCTCACTCGCGCTCACTTTGAGGAGGCTATGAAGTCTGCTCGCCGCTCCGTCAGCGACGTCGAGATCCGCAAGTACGAGGCCTTTGCCCAGAGCCTGAAGAACACTGGAGGCGGCAGCTTCTTCCGCTTCCCATCTGCTGGGGAAATCCCGGAGAATGATACCTTCGGCGAAGCCGGCAATGACGACAGCCTCTACGATTAAATGCTTCTTTTGCTTCGAGGTGATATGACTTGTTTTTCCTTAGTTCAGCAATGCCCGGGTTTCTGCGCTCGGGTTCGCTTATGAATAGATCGTTTTGCGTGCCCAGGTGGGAGGAGATGCGGGCCTGACTGCTGGGGGCTTCTTTTCGATTCTTTTCTTCCTGTTTTTGCCCACATACAATGTGCCATAATAGCCAATACAGGTGGAGAAATCTCAACGTTCATCGTTCTTGTAGAGTTTTATCGTATTGTAAGTTTGCTTTGGTGTACAATGAATCTCCCTTTGACTGCGCAATATGCAAATTATGACCATTTAGATGTATACATGTAATTATCCATGTCTCGTCCTCGTATTCATTCTTTTGATGGCAAAAACAATAGCCGGAAACAATATATGTCAAACTCCGGTATAATCCCCATCAGCCCTAAGAGGTATAAATATTGACTCATTGGGAGTTCAGCGGAGGTCTGCACAGGAAAGGTCCATTTTTTTTTTCGGTGTTTAGGTGAGGCCGAGGGTGAATGTTGGACTTTTTTTTCGTACTTTGTCTTGACTGGTTTGCTAGGTTTCATGGAGTTCGGGCTTTTTTTCGATTTTTGTAATTTGGCGTCATAGACATCAACATGATTTGATCTGACGCATATGCATGAAAAGAAGGCCCTCGAAGATAGATGGCATTACCTTGGATCCTTAGTTTGCGTGTCTCGGGGGTTTAAGTGTCGGACATAGTGGAGGAGCGAACGGCCGATATTACATCTAGTGAATGAGAATCTGTATCCCCGAGTCCGTTTCCTTCAAGCCCTGGAGGACATCTGGGGCAGGAGGAGAAATAGCATGTCGCTTATATTGTGGCCCCGAGGACCATATAGTGCTTGTCTTGAGAGGTTCTTTCCCAATGCAGATTTCTCTCATATCACACATGGGCAGACTTGCGAATACACCTACCTTCATACTTCCCACATACATATATCGTATTTGGAGCAATCATGAGTCCCCAGCCATTTGACTCGACTACAACCACACCTCGCCTCAGCATGGAACAACACGGTTCCATCGAGCTAGGCGTCACCAACACTGTTCATGATAAGAGCGAAACGGATGTCGAGGACGCGATCGATACCCTACAAAAGCCCGATGACTCCAGCAAAGTCTCCAACCTTGTGGACTGGGATAGCAAAAATGACCCCGAGAATCCCCAGAACTACAATAATCGGCGCAAATGGATCATCACATTGACTATGTCCTCCATGACAGTCTGGATCACCTTTGCATCTAGCGTCTTTTCCGCTGCAACTCTAGTTACTGCGAAGGAATTCAATGTGTCGACTGAAGTAATGGTTCTCGGTACCAGTCTGGTTGTCTTTGGTTTTGCTCTAGGCCCCCTGTGCTGGGCACCATTGAGTGAGCTGTATGGTCGTCGCATCCCGCTATTCTCAGGATATCTCATCTTTGCCATCTTCCAGATCCCCGTAGCTGTCGCCAAGAACATCGAAACTGTTCTGGTCTGCCGGTTTTTCGTTGGTCTATTTGGCTGCTCTCCTTTGGCGGTTGTTGGCGGTGCCATGGCTGATATCTGGAATCCCGTGGACCGCGCTGTAGCTATCGCCCTATTCAGCTCGGCTACTTTCATGGGACCTGTTCTTGGTCCAATTGTGTGAGTACTCAAAATCAATATTCAAATTACCCTTGGAAGACAACCCCCCCCCCCCCCCCCAAAGCACTATACAGAAACTAAAACTCTTTAGTGGGGGCTTCCTCACAGATTCACATCTTGGTTGGCGCTGGACTGCATGGATCACCCTAATTGCATCCGGCCTCTTCGGTTTAATTGCTTTCTTCGTCGTTCCCGAGACATACGGCCCAGTCATCCTGCAAAAGAGAGCTGCCCGTCTTCGCATCGAAACTAACAACCCGGCCCTCCATTCCTTCTTGGATCAACACAAGCCCACAGTGTCAGACATCGTTACCAAATACCTCTTACGGCCCTTTCAGATGCTTGTGCAAGAGCCAATCCTGCTCGCCATGACTATTTACCTTGCTTTAGTTTACGGAATCCTCTACATCTTCTTCGAGGCCTACCCAATCTCTTTTGGTGAAGTCCGCGGTTGGACCCACGAAGGCGTAGCTGCCCTCCCATTCATCGGCATTCTAATCGGTGTCTTTCTCGGTGTCTGTCTCATCGTATACACCACGAAGACTCGTTTTGCGCGCAAATTCGCAAAGCATGGCAAAGTCATTCCCGAAGAGCGCCTCGTACCGATGATGATCGCCTCTGTGTTACTGCCAATCGGTTTGTTCTGGTTCGGCTGGACTTCCAGCCCCAATATCTCATGGGTGCCACAGGTCATTGCTGGCGTGCCTATCGGCCTGGGTATCCTGGTTATTTTCATGCAGGGTCTCAACTACATTATTGATGTGTACATGATGTTTGCCAACTCTGCTATCGCGGCAAATACTCTCATCCGCTCAGCACTGGGTGGCGCTTTCCCACTCTTTGCTACGCAAATGTACCGGAACCTCGGTGTAGCTTGGGCATCGAGTGTTTTGGGTTTCATTACTTTGGCTATGATTCCCATTCCTATTTTGTTCTTTATCTATGGTGCTAGAATTCGCGCTATGAGCAAGTTCAGCCCTAAGTTCTAACTAGGTGATGGATCCATCTATCTCTCACTTTTAGGCGCACAGTCAATGCATAGATCACATTTGAGTTTTGCTTTTTACATGCATTGTTATGATAGTAGACCTGTGAAGTCAGGTCCCTTTTATTACAGAACACCTACTCTGTCATTTTATGACAAGAGCTTGTGTATGCTATTAAGTATATTTCAATCAATACTATTGATATCTTCAGAATTCTGGACACAAAGGATATTTAAACTTCCATTATCCAAAGGCTGCTTTATTATGGGCCGAAAAGAACGTAAACATTTGAGACTACCAAGTGCGAGCTAGATCCTAAATAGGTAAATATGAATATAACTATCAATATTGTATCAGACTTGTGGATATATAATCTTGCCAGGTTTATTTCAAAGTAAATAAATGATAAACTGTACTGTATGACACCTGTAGCACCAACTTTGTAGGGCAGGACACGGTCCCGTGCGACGCGTTCTGGGCGGTCAACCTCCGCTCAAACTCCCGTGTTGAAACTCTCCACCTCCCCAGTCCATGTGAGAACTGCGACCATCCACGATGCCTTCGCGCTCTCGCCCAGGTCCTCCCGAGGTAGAGGAAGACTCAGGGCTTCGCAGTCTGTCTTTCAATCAGCCGCTCTCATGGCGCGTGGGGCGCTCCGCGATCCCCATTGCGGATCTCCTCGAACGTCTCCAAACACTCGCGCAGGAACTCCGCAAACTCGACCAGGAGGAAATTGATAAGGAATCGCTACGGAAGGTGTCCCAGGAACTCGCCAGTGGGAACTTGCTCGCCCACAAGGATAAGGGTGTCAGAGCATGGGCTACTTGCTGTATCGTTGATGTATTGCGACTATGCGCACCAGACGCGCCTTTTACGCGCAATCAACTGAAGGTGCGGAAATTGAAGATACACATAATATGTATCTAGTCTGTGCGATTGAAGAATGTACTGACGGAGCCCAATTTAGGATATATTCACATGTATCGTATCCTCGATTATCCCCGCTTTGGCCGACCCATCCAACGCCTACAATGCCCAGCATATATACGTCCTTGGATCTCTCGCTGAGGTGAAGAGTGTGGTATTGATGGTCGATCTTGACCACCCAGACTCACTCATTGTCCCGTTGTTTACGGGCTGCTTCGACATCGTTTCGGGTTCCTCGAAAGCATCCACAGGCGAGGAGGTGGCTAAAAATGTCGAGTTTGATATGACCCGAGTACTTGTCACCGTGATCGATGAATCGCTCGTCCTGGCCCCCGAGGTGGTGGACGTTATCGTTGCCCAATTCCTCCGAGTCGACCCCCGAGTGATGGACAACTCCAACAAGAAAGGAAAGCGACCAGATGCGCCCGTTGACGCCAAACAGGATACCCTTCTACTGAAGGACTACCCGGCCGCCTATAACATGGCCAAGGCAATTTGTCAGGCCTGTCCAGAACGAATGACCAGTCACATCAGCCAGTACTTTAACAATGTTATCATCGATGCGTCAGTGCCAGCTGGCCAAACAAATGGCTCTAAGCATTCCCGGAAACCCAATCTCGATGATTCCGATGAGGAGGGAGAGGATATCAAAGAATTGAGCAAGGCACACCGTCTGATCCGGGAGCTTTGGCGTGCTTGTCCAGAGGTCTTACAGAATGTTATTCCGCAGATTGAGGCAGAACTCTCTGCAGAATCCGTGGCCCTACGTTTATTGGCGACTCAGACGATCGGAGACCTCGCAGCCGGAATCGGTGTTGCAGGTCCACCACCCCCTCCTCCCATGGACCCCACAACTTACCCGCCAGTGTCGCTAGTGGATTATGACAAGACAATTCCCCAGCCCAATGTTTTGTTGGCCCCCGTATCCCCCAAGCCTTTCTCTCAAGTCCACAACTCGGCGTATGAAGCATTCTTGAGCCGTCGCCTTGACAAGACACCATCAGTCCGTGCTGCTTGGGTCACAGTTGTGGGGCGAATCCTTCTAACTTCAGCTGGAGGCTCTGGCCTACACGAAAGCGAGGAGCACAGTCTTGTCAGAAATCTCGCCTCGATGCTCCGTGATGTTGATGAGAAGGTTCGTGTGGCTGCAGTGGATACTGTTGGACAATTTGGGCTTTCCCAAATCGTCCACAAGCTAAGTGTAGATGGTGGCTGTTCGTCACCAGACTCGGTTCTTGCTATTCTTGCCGAGCGAGTGAAGGATCGCAAGCCACATGTGCGTGAACACGCCATGAAGATTTTGGCTCGCATGTGGGCAGTGGCTGCTGGCGACATCGAGCAAAATACGGAGCCTGTCGTGACCCTTCTCAAAGATGCACCATCCAAGATATTTGATGCATTTTACACCAATGATCAAGAAATCCATATTCTGATCGACCGCGTCTTGTTTGAGACGCTTTTGCCCCTTTCTTATCCCCCTATTAAATCAAAGCTTTCTCGAGGCAACTCGAACCAATCACAGAAACAAAAGGAAAGCCAGGCGCCTGAACCCGAGCAAGAGACTGACGTTGACAAAATTCGCGTTCGTCGAATTCTTACCCTGCTCCGAGGATTGGATGAAAAGGCGAGGCGAGTATTTTTCGTTATGCTGGCCCGTCAATTGTCGATGAGGTCGGCCGTAACGCTTTATCTAGAGGCCTGTGAGAATTACAATGGTGGCGTTGTCGACAAGGACGAGGAACTGATTAAAACACAATTGTCCAAGATCATTGAGTCATTATCCAAAACTTTCCCAGATGCCGCGCGCGCATCGGCAGACTTGTGGAAATTCGCCAAGGTGCACGATCGACGAAGCTATCAGCTGATTCGCTTCACCATGGCTGCTGTGAGTGATTATCGCACTGTTGTCAAGGCTACGAAGGAACTCCAGCGGCGGGTACAGAGTGCAAACAACTCTTCTCTGCTGGAAACCTTGACTCCTCTTGTGTATCGCTGTGGGTCTTTGATTTTCAACCGAAGCCATATCCCGGCGATCATGAGTTTGTCCCGAACAGATGAGAACGGATTGGCCAATGCTGCACAGGAGATGTTAAAGCAAATATCATCTCAAAATCCGGAAGTCCTAGAGGCACAGGTCCAAGAAATGTGCAAGGATCTCGAGGCCCAAGCCCCCAAGGCTTCATCGGCTGGTGATGGTGGTGCTGAAGACATTTTAAAGGCTTGTGCTGGTTTCGCTAAAAAGCTTCCTGCTAAGCTCCCCAAAGAGCGCAAGTTCTTCCAGGCTATGGCCAACTACGCCCTTTATAGTTCATCACCGCATTCTGCGAAACATGCCATCTCAATTCTTATGGCCACGGCTGACCGAAAAGAGATGTATGCGAAAGATTTGGTGCAGAAGTGCGTTGAAAGATGGACATACGGCTCTGATCGATTCCTCACTCGCTTGGCTGCCCTGTCGCAGCTCAACCTTCTTGCACCGAGAGAGGCAGACGAAGAAAGTGATGCTATCATTTCGATTGCTATTAACCAAATCTTGCTCACCAATCGCACACCCGAGCCAGGATCTGAATACAACTGGTCAGAGACAGTTGATGATGAGACGAAAGCTAAAGAATGGGCATTGAAAATTATTGTTAACCGTCTTCGGGCTAAGGATGGAGCAGACAATGAAGCTGACTTCCGTGCCCACGCAAAGCCTGTCTACGAAACATTGAATAAATTGGTGGTCGGTGAAGGCGAGATATCTAAGAAGAAAGATACCCCTGCAGGCCAAAAGCCGCGCCTTCGCCTCCTCGCTGCCAAGTCTTTGCTCAAGCTGTGTGCTTCCAGCACTGTCTGCGACAGTCTGCTGACGCCGGCCGATTTCAATGCACTCGCTTTGGTTGCCCAGGATCCACTCTTGCAGGTGCGAAGTGGATTCATCAACCACCTGAAGAAGAAACTAGTGCAAAAGTCGCATCTGAGCCATCGATGGTATATTATCCCCTGTTTGCTTGCTTTCGAACCTGTTCATAGTCTAAAAGAGAGCACGCTCACATGGCTACGATCGCGAGCGGCATATTTCGCCCAACAGGCGCAAGCTAGTGGGAAACGGACAGAACAGACCATGGTCATGGAATTGATCTTTTCGCGGCTCCTGTCTTTGCTTGCCTATCACCCTGATTACCCGTCTGAAGATCTGGATGAGGCAACAAAACTCGGCGACCTGACCGACTTCTCTCAATACATCCTTTTCTACCTCTCCGCAGTTGCCAATGAACACAATATGTCATTGATCTTCCACGTCGGACAGCGCGTCAAGCAATTCCGCGATGGCATCACCAAATCAGACGAGATCTCTACTCGCCTCCACACTCTGTCTGATCTAGCGCAAGCAACTATTCGCCGGTTCGCAGATGTCTACTCCCAACAGCACAAGTTTGGCGGTGCCGCCGGCGCAACCAACATCTTGCAAACCTACCCTGGAAAGATGGGTGTCCCCAGCTCCCTCTTCACCTCCATGAGTAGTCATCGAGAAGCCCAAGACGTCGCCGACAAGAACTTCCTTCCAGATGACTTGGATGATTTGCTAGATCGCGTTGTCCGAATTGCAATGAAGCCCAGGAATAACTCTACCCACGGTTCGCAGGGCGGGGCAAGCAAGAAGCGAAAACCCTCTCTTGATACGAACGGTAAGTCCTCTGTAGCCAAAAAGGCACGCAAGGAAAAGTCTTCTCGTCCCGCTCGCAAGTCCACATCATCGATCAGTGCAGCTGCCAAGCCGAGACGGAAATCAAAGAACGACGATGGTTGGTCTTCCGACGGAGGCGCTGGAGACGCCACGCCCGCTTCCTCTCGTAGACGCAGCGTCCGAGGCACCGCGAAGCCGGAAGTCAGCTATATCGACAACGACAGCGATGATGCCGACGAGGAGATGGCAGAGTGGGATGAACCTGAAGAAAAAGACAATGGCGAAGATGACGCGGAGGAAAGTGAGAACGAAGAAGTTCAAGAAACAGATGACGAGCAAGAACTCGCTGAGGACGATGAACCAGAAGCCAGCGAGAAGGAACCCACGCCGCCTCCTGCAAAGAAGCGAGGCGGAAAAGCTAGTGCTGCGAAGGGCAATGCCAAGAAGTCCGAGGCAAAGAAACCTCAGGCAGCTAGCTTGCCTTCGCGACGTTCTTCCCGTCGTGGATAAGAACCTCTCTAGGGCTACATGGGACATGAAATTCGCCCGCCTGTATGTTCACATATGGGCCATGTCTCTCTTTTCGCCCAAGTCTCACATCTTCAGTGGTCATTTATTCATGAGTTCTTAGCCAAGATCTTCGGGACATAAACGTCTGGTATCTATCTTACTGTTCTCAGGTGCCAAATAAGTTGTGCGATTACCGTGCGGATCGTTCCCGTTGATATTCATATTCATATTCATATCCTGATTCCCATGTTATTTTCATTATGGTCTCACAATTTAGTCCTCATCATGTGTGCTTCTTTTTTTTCTTGCAGTCAATGATGGTCCGAGATGTATACCCCATCTGCCTGTTTTTTTTTTTTTTTCTACTTGAACTTTGCATGGGCCACTCTTGTGCCCGAGTTTTCACGAATGTCTGTCTCTTCACGTATTCCCGTCAGATATATGCTTTCTATCTGTAAATGAATTGAACTTTGCTTCAAATTTACTTCTTTATAGTACAGCAAGGTAAGATGTAGCACTAGGGCAAGGCATATTGATAGATAGACAGGCTACAGTACATATAGAGCATATGCACTAAAACTAATTTCTCGTCCAAACGATTCAGCTCGGATGAGCCTGCGTATACCACTCGGTAACAGTCTCCTCCCCGTCAAAATACAACCTCTCGCCCGTCATATTCGTCGGGTCATAATACGCCGTGTCGTTATTCTGGCCCGAGGCCAAGACCACTGTTTCCGAATATGACAAGCTCTGAAATATGTCCACGGATATACAGGGCTACGTAGATATGTAGCATTGAGCAAAGTCCCTCTCTTCAATATCAATCACATGCCTGCATCTCATATACTTCTTCTGCTAGGTAGGTTCACCGGCCCAGAGCTCAGCACCGTTAGCAATGCAATCCCGGACCACGGGCACAATATCCAGTACTATAACGGTGAGCTCCCTGTAGGAGAGACGGGCATTTCGCTGCTAGAAATTGGTACAGTGTGATAGTCCGATATAGACAGATGGTAGCATGTGACAGTGAGATAATTTGCCTCCGGTGCGCAATTGATGCAATCACCGATAGTCAGGATCCGTTCATCGGGAAGCTCTGCGAGGGAAGGCATAGCTGAAAGAGATGGAAGCAGACAATGGTATGGTGTAGTAGTTGGAAGACAAGATTATGGAATGACTATTGGAAGCGAGAGAGGTATGAGAGATGAATCCATCAGGGAGAAATGCGTGCAAACAGGCCTTAGGCATTGCAACAGATGGAAACAAGCGTTCTTTGGAGATAATCGTAAAGACATACAATACAAGTGTTGATTTTGATTTCACTCCTACTAGGTCATTCCATAAAAATAATAGAAATATTTACTAAAGCTCAAACCGTCTCTCAAACTGCTATTGCACATGATCCAGCGAAGCAAGAAAAACACACAAACACCCCGGAGAAACATTGAGCGCCAACAGAGGACATCATGGCACTGAAAAACCAAAACCTATGCAAGACCGACACGAGTGGAATGGGAGAGACTTCGTGAGTATGGAGAAGAAAGTAGATGAATTGAATTGATCAAATGTGTAAAAGAATATGAGCGATCTGAAAGAGAGGTAGAAGTAATCACACAGGACGCCGTTGTCATCACTTCATGAACGAAATTGACTATGGCTGAGATCCACTGGCTGAAGAGGGGGAGGCGTGTGCTCCAGGGACTAAAGCATTCCCGAGAGCTGGACTTGCGCTCGAGGGAATTCTGGTCCCAGGGGCCGGACTGGCACTCGCACTTCCGCCATCAGGGTTGGTAATACCGCTACTGGTCTTTGTGAGTCGCTCTTCGACGCGTTCCTTGTGCTGCCGGTTACGAAGATGGACTTCGAAGTTGTCCACTGTCATACCCGGGCCGGGGGTGTACAGCTTTCCGGGGCAGTCGTGGCAACGAATACGGGGGAGGTATTGGTATTTGATATTTTGGCCAGCCTGGAGATTGTTGGGATTTGCCACGGGAGCAAGAGTTTCAGTATCGACGGCAGAATAACGCATCACCCCTTCGAAAGAATCGTTGGGGTGAGATTGCTTCAACTTGCTGAGACCGGCTGCCAGCCAGTTGGGTGGTGGGGGCTGCATAGGCACAGGGTCAGCCACGGGCCAAGAACTGGGGTTAGAATCTACTCACGCCAGAGACACCAGGCTGCGGAGGGTTTGGTGCATCAACAGCACCGGTTTGTTGGGGTCGCGCCGGGGGATGAAGTCGGGATTGTTTATCGGACGGGGGTGCCATCGTTCGTGACGCTTGTCCTGCACTGGATTGTGCGGAGACAATGCGCCTTCCGTTTCTCAGATCGACCAGCTTGTCGCGCGAAATCTTGAGTCTCACTATCAACTTATCAGAGTCATCTACACTCTCTTCTCGATATTGCTGTCTTCGGGCCGAGACCCGAGGCTCGTGGTACACTGGTTCAGGGGTTGCCGATTGTCCAAGGCTGGCACGAAGCGCCGCATGGGCTGCAGAGGCCGCGCCTCTCATACCTCTAGTACGAGCAGTGCCCTGTGCGAGGTTGGGCCCAATCGCAGGAGAGCCAACAGAGGAGTCGTCACTATCAAACTCGTCTGAATCATCATCCCCCCGGTGTCCGGTCATTCCACGACGACGACTAGAACCGGTACGTTTAATCACATTGCTTTCATCAAGGGAGCCCACTGAGTTGGGTATCACGGACGAAACAATCATGGTACGAATCGTGCGTTGACGGTCCTTAAGATCGGGCAAAGCAGGCCCACCACGACGGTTGATTGACCGTTTCTGACGACGTTGCTCTCGAGAGATTGAGATTTCGGTACGTTCAAGGTCTGCCTCATTCAACTCATAAAGATAAGGTGTATGCTCTTTGGCGGATTGGTATGGTCGGAAGGCGGAAGCCACAGGTGTAGGGAGGAATGAGGTGTGTAGATCTGGGTCTTCGATTGGACGACCATCGAATGGGTGAGCGACAATGTACAAGGATTTGGTGAAGAGTTGGGACTGTTCCCGGATTGAATGGGCGATGGCGGTGGTGAATTCACCAGAGAGGGATAAATCATCCGTCATGCATAATGCGAACTCTTCGGGGGAGTTATTAGGATCGTTAATATCCCATTCAAACTGGTCGATGAGGGTGTGTTGACCAATGGTGATGTTAAGCTTGACCGAAATGCGCATCTCGTCATTTTTGTATGCGGTATAGGGTAGCTGAGGATCAAGAGGGTCTTCGTGTATGTTAATATGCGGATAATAGTCTATCACCTGCTCCTGGATGCTCTGTGAAATCATTCTCGTCAAAGGGACCGAGCTCTCTACCGCGAGGCCCATGTCTTCGACCAGCTTCTCCGCGAACAAGTCCGGAGACACCACACGATCATGAAGGTTCCACGTGAAAGTATCGCGGATCTTGACTTTTTCCCAATCAATGTCCAAGCGAATAGGAACCAGATCCTCCAGCTGTTCGTTCTGCGTCTTTGCATCGCGTCGTGAAATGCGTAGTTCTCGCGTCTTTCTATTTCCGGGTCGGCGTCGATGAGTTGGGTAGAGAAGTTGAGGGTGTTGATTGCGAAGGTCGGTACGAGGGTTTCCAAATCCCTCATAGCCAACACCATACAATGCAGCTGGATTTAACTGATTCTCGCGTCGTACCCCCAAATAGAAGTCGCGTTCGGCTCGCTTGTTCTTTTGTAATTCCTGGCTGGGATTTTGCCAGGCGGTTGCGGCCGAGTGCTGAAATTCGCGCTCAACATACTGCGCCAGGAGAATCTTCTCCAGTGGCGGTTCGCGGGCGCGTACGGCCATGACCCCAGAGACGTCAGTGGATTGGACAGCAGATCCATCATGGGATCTCTTTCTTGCGGAACCATGCGTCCCATTTGAACGGGGCGTGCCGTTGGAAACCTCACTGCCGGGTTCCGACGAGGCTGACACACCGGAAGCAGCTAGCATAGCCTTTGCGCTTTGCTTTCCCTCTGCAATTGAATCTGGCGTATTGCCATTTGTTGATCGACTTGTCCCAAGGTCGATGCTGTCTGGACCTTGGTCCCCCGTGTCCGACGCGCCAGAGCTGTTCTGGGCGCCAGACTGAGGGTCCCCGAATGATTGTTCTGAGGGCAGTGAGCCACCCGTCACTTCAGGGGATGGCATTGCGGATAGTCTACTGAATGCGAAACGAACGTCTGATGCCACTCGTATAATCTTCGAAGCTCGGAGTGGCTCTCAACGCGACAGGGATAGGTTCGGACCGGTTACCGTAGCATTATGGGATGGAACCTGTCCATGCGATCAAATCATGATTAGCAGGTATTTTCAGATAGTAGACTACACTATCCATCACCGTCGCGACCGTACATCCAATGTCACTTGGGGATGAGCTTGATGGATGGACATGTCGCAACGGGCGCATGTCCCGAACACGCCACAAGTCACCCGTCAAGGGTGTGCGACAGATTGAATGGGGACAGCATATGGAAATTATGGACAGGAACCCAAATGGGAAGGAACTCGAACATACCAGGGCCAAAGGGGGGAGAGAGCTCTTGCCGATGTTTCTTGAATGGACCAGTCGGGAGTTCCAGCGCAGAATCCGCTCCGGATCGGTTGGGCTAAGTCAGCTGACTTTCTTCTTCAATCGATTGCGATGATCCCAATCGATGTGATTCCTTCCCCGGAAGATTCTTTCAAGCTGGGGAAGCTGTGGCAGTTGTGTTTTTTTTTTAAAGGGTGATGGTGAAAGAGGCAAAGGAGAAGGAGGGAGAGTACCCGTTACAAGTGTCCGCACCCGTCTAAGATTGTAAAGCAAAGAAACGCGCCATTCACTTTCTATGCCCAACAACCATGAACATGTTATAGATCAAGGTATAAAGTCTACATCTAAGATATTTTGAGGTTATTCCCAATGCTCGTCTATGGGCTCCCGGCCAACCTATGACCCCGTTTACCAATTTTACATACCGTCATGTGACCACGTGTATGCTATGTTACATAATGTTTTCCTAACCTCGGAAGACGTATCTCTTGGCATATTCATCCATTGGTCTCTACATGTAGTTACCCATATAGTCTTAGAGTGTCAAGTCCACAATAACAGCGCGGTGATCCGAGCTCAAAACACCGTCGTCAAACTGATTCCCTAACACAGCATAGCCAATGACTGCCAACCTCTGACCTTGAGTCCCGGCGGGTCTCACCAAAACATAGTCAATACGCGAGGCTGGCTCATCATCGTATCCAAATCCAGTCCAAGTGATGTAGTTACCATATCGCTTTGAGCTGTCAATTTCCTTGTATGTATCAAGTAAGCTTCTTGTCAGCTCTTGGTAGGCTTCCTGGTTCTCTTCGCTGTTGAAATCGCCGGCCAGGAAAGTGCCCGAGATGAGCTCTGCGAATTTATTCTGGCTGTATTCGGACATCTTCCCGATAATGATATGTGCAGCCTCGAGACGAGATTGAGATCCCTGATCGTCAAGATGGGTGTTCATGGCAAGGACCGTTTTCTGACTAGCTCGATGGGTGAAGATGCCAATGGTGACAATGCGGATGGAGGCTGCGTCCCAACTCTTGGACGGGGTCTCGGGTGTCTTGGATAACCACACTGTCTCCCAGTGTAGTAACCCCCAAACTGATGGCCTGTAAATGATGGGAGAGTATTCCCCAGCCTCGTAGCCATCATCTCTACCAACACCGATATACTCCCATTCGAGTGTCCCAGGCTCTGCGTCCCCATTCAATCCAGCCAGAATATCACCAAGTTGATTGTGAAGAACCTCCTGTAGACATACGAAAGTTTCTTTGCAATGGCGAGTCTCATATTCAAATTCATTCAACAGCAATTGTTTTCGTTCAGCCCAGGGCTGTTCGCCTTTGAAGGGGGATGTAGTCGCATATCGGATATTGTGTGTCAAAACCCGGATGGGAAGTTTTGCAGAACTCATAGTGTGGAATACAGAAAACTAGGTTAACTACCAACAATGAGTAGGTACGTCCATGGATATGTAGCTGTGTCATGGGTTTACAAATAGTGCCCAGGTGAGGGGAATGTTACAATGCCTTAGGCGCTCCTACTATGCCCGAGACATGCCACAGTGACAGGGCCCACTTTCAGTCACGACCGGAGGTTACTTACATAGTATATCGATGGAAGTAGGCATTTTACAGGGTATTTTTATACACACATGGGAAAAGTTGCTCTGTATGTATGGACTGTACTTTGCACGGGTATTCTAAAGTTGGTGGCCAGTGATTCCTGCTGGCTACAACCCTGTGGAAGGGAGAAGGAAATCAAAAAGACATCGAAAACAAAGTCTTTCGAATAATCTCAAGCCAACTGGATATATATTTCTAGGTCCACCGTCACTAAGCCATTTTCCCTTTTGTACCTAAAGAATAACCCTCTACCGTCCCAATGATATAGACTGGGATTATGTCCTTGAGTTTGTTAATATTTGAAGTATACATGAGTCTGATTTACTTCATGAGGATTGAGCATGTTGAATATATCCATACAATTGCATGCTAACTTCTTCGCTTTCCAATGTTGTACTACAGTCAAGTTCTATATGGGACCTCATGTCTAAAATTTGCTGTTCCTGTGTCTAAGGACCAGTAATTTCGAAGGATAAAAAGCCCGGTTACATCGATGTACTTCTCAGCAATATACATGAGGGGATGTACAAGGGAAACACTGGTCAGGTGAGGAGAAGTTACGCGGGATTGGAGTAGAATGGGGGTCTGAGCGAATCCTTGATTGTGGCGGAATCCGGGGTATCAGAGAATATATTTACAGTCTATATGACCAAATAAATACTAGATTTACCTAATAGCTATAGTTATATGTTTCCTCGACTCCGATCAACGGCGTAGCTCAGTATGAAGTCAAGGGCGATATTGCCATGACGTCTTCGGCAAAGCCCTAGGTAGCGGGCCTGAAACATCAGGCGACCACCACCCAACCCCACCAACGCTAAACGCCCGCTCCACGCTCTGCACACGACTCGATCTCGGTCTATTTCTCTCCTCTAGCTTCACACGGATTTACAATCCGAATACTTCTTTTAAAACCACTTACATTTACTTGTTAGTTACAGCTCCACGAGCTCAATTCACTTCACAATGGCGGAAGACAAAGCACCCGAAGTTGGTATGTAAACTCCGTCGTGGAAAGCTCTGACGTTTGTGGGCACAGAGTCCAATATGGGTCATGAGCTCGCTGGCACTCATCACAACAAAGAAAACATGTTCAGCTCATAGATCATAACTAACCATTCGATTATTTCTAGATTACACCCTCAACAACCCCGACACCTTGACCAAGTACAAGACCGCTGCGCAAATTTCTCACAACGTCCTTGACGCTGTTCTCGGTATGTTGCGCAAAAACTTCTTACTGTCCCACTTTGTGATCTAACATCTACATAGCCCTTTGCTTGGAGGGAGAGAAGATTGTCGAGATCTGTCAGAAGGGTGACAAGCTCCTCGACGAGGAGATTGCCAAGGTCTTCAAGGGCAAGAAGATTGCCAAGGGTTGGTTCACCCCCTCCCCACCCAATTAGTGGCAGAAGAACCACATAAACTGATTGTGACTTGTAAATCAAGGTATCTCTCACCCCACGACTGTCTCCCCTAGCTCATACGTGACTCCCTACACTCCTCTGGTGTCCGATGCCGCCGAGGCCGAGACCGTTCTGAAGGCCGGCGAGCTTGTCAAGGTCCAGCTTGGTGCTCAGATCGATGGATTCGGAACCATTGTTTGCGACATGGTGGTCGTCCCCAAGAAGGACTCCCCCAAGGAAGTTGTTACCGGCCGTGAGGCTGATCTCATTATCGCTACCCACTACGCCAACGAGGTCCTCCTGCGCCTCATGATTCCCCAGGGTCTGCTGGCTCAAGGTACTGATGAGGAGAAGAAGAAGGCCGCGGCTCAGAAGGCCCCTACTCAGGCCTACATGTCTTCTCTGCTCGAGAAGATCGCCAAGACCTACGACTGCACTGTCGTTGAGAACACCACCAGCTGGATGTTCGGCCGCAACGAAATTGAGGGTGAGAAGAAGATCATTCTCTCCCCCGGTAACGGCGTCCGCGGTGACGGTGTCCCCGAGGTCGGCGAAGTTTGGGGTGTTGAGATTGGCCTCAGTCTGGGATCCGGCAAGGTCAAGAACCTCGACCACCGTGCTACCCTACACCGCCGTACCACCACCACTTACGGCCTGAAGCGCCCCAGCTCCCGCCAGACTCTGTCTGAGGTTGTCAAGAAGTTCGGCACTTTCCCCTTCAGCTTGCGCCAGCTTGATGACGAGAAGGCCGCTAAGGTCGGTGTTGTTGAGTGTGTTCGTGGCGGTGTCCTGCGCCAGTACGAGCCCGCCGGCGAGACTGATGGTTCCCCCGTCTCCCGTCTGCTGACTACCGTTGGTAAGTACCGTTGAATTTGCATGGAGATGATTTGTACCTGTAAGCTAACCCTCATTCACAGCCATCACCAAGAACGGTCTCACCAAGCTCGCCGCTGCCAAGCCCGTCGATCTCGAGCAGATCAAGTCCGACAAGAAGCTCGAGGATGAGGAGATCCTCAAGATCCTCGAACAGCCCCTTGCCCGCTCTACCGGTAACAAGAAGAACAAGAGCAAGAAGAAGACCACCAAGGCCACCGAGACCACCGGCAGTGCTGAGTAAATATGAGTCAATGCTCTCAACAAATTTCCATGGTCATCATTTTCATGCAATACACTTTGACATAGTGTAGGACCTTTTGTCCAATCTGAATGCAAAACCGATATCCAATGACGAGCCTCGCTGCAGGTCATACGAAATCTATCCAAAAACAAAAGAGAAACACTTGATTTTTCCAATGACATGCGACAGGGCTGGCAATGCCAACCCATTTGTTTGGAAACCTCGGTATATACTTTATCGACGAGCTTGGCGCAGGGAAATCTCCTTCTTGTGCTTTTCCTTGGATGCCTGTCTGTCTGTCTTGTATGTAGCAATTGGAGCAGACTCCATGGACCAAATCAAGACGTTGCCAGTCTGTACTTGTGTGTATTGTAAACCTATATGGAGATGTTCTATTGAGATGGTGGCCATTGTAGTTCTCTATTAATTGCGTATGTTCTTGCTCATTTCGAATCTCAATCTGTAATCTGTTCCAGGCAGGTTGTTGCTTGAGAGAGAGGTTAGGACTAGATACATGTGCATTTCATGGTCGACTAGTCAATAGAAGGACGATGTTCAAATGTTTGTAGGTCCGTGACTTTCTTTCGGAGTATGCAATGGCAGGGCACTAGAACACTATCCTAAGTTACCTAGGTGATGTTTGTTTACTGACTGGCAATGATAGGGAATAGGTAACCGGTCCGTCCCAACTTGCTGGTGTGTGTAGAGTCTTGAGGCAATATAATTAAGATCTCTGTCTCATTCTTGTTGACTATTGAATCCCCATATGCAGAGATACATAGAGCCACGGCGTTTGGAGTATCTAGAGAGTGTATTCTATCCTAGTCACCATTTACCCGTGAGACATGCATACAATGGACAAACCCGTCCCCTAAGGTCAATATAGAGCCTGTCCACTTGCTTGGATGTCTAAGGTACTTGCTACACGGCCAGATTAGGTCTAGTAGAGCTAAGGTTAAGCAACCATTGAAGCTTTATTCACATGAAGACTCGTATTCTTTACATCAATAGATCAATAAAAGCTATTGTTCTCTGTAGGCATCCTCAAGGGAGACACCCAGGCATCGAGGTCAAGAGGTGACATGTCACCTGGACTCCTATCTATTCTATTGTCCCCGTTTGTTCTCAGTAAAAAGAACAATAGCCCTGGCCCAAAAAGGAAGGTCCCCCATTCTGGCAGAGTATTTATTCCCTCCCCCATCCCATCTTCTTCTTCTTCTTTTCTCTTCTCTTCTCCACGTTCTATCCATTTCGTTATCTCACCGTTAAAAATGGATGCCGTTCGAAACACCGTGCGTCGAGTCTCAAAGCGACTTCTCAACAAGAAGAGTAAGTAATGATCCTCCATCTAATCCAGTCCCCTTCCCTGGTATCCAGTCACATCTGTGACACGGATATCGCAGGCCCTCTGTTCACATTGGAAGATTACCTCATGCCATGCTTCTTTGTACCATGCTGTCCCTGTCTCCAGTCTCAGGTCCCCATACCATCATGTCTCCAGTCTCATGTTCCCATGTCACCACGTCCCTGCTCCCGTTGTGACTGAGGTGCAACACCTTATCTGTCTCTTGACCTGCACATTTCTCGGACAAAGACAAGTGGTCTTCTTATAACATTCCTCTTATGTCATTAAATGCCTTTTCATCTTCTGGAGCGGGATGTGCTCTGGCACTTGGTTCACTGAGCCCTGAGGTGCATGAGACACCACACTCCGCTCTCCCTCTCAAACAAACCAAGTCATGTCATTGAAACCACCATATCATTTTGCTCGCTTTAATATAAACGATACTTGCTCTTTCTATCCCACTGATCTGATCACTGGTCACTTCTGAGATGGGAGAGAACAAGATGTTGCATCTTTCAGGTGAAACTGAGAGATTACCCCACACTTTTTTTTCACTCATTTCCAAGATGAAACCAAACACTAACTTTTTCAAATAGCTGAAGCCGATAAGGCCATCAAAGAGAAGCAGGATGCAGCTGCTGCAACTGCTGTTCAGTACGTTGACTCCAAGAAGTTAGGGCATGGAGCGCGTGGCACTAACCCTAGCAGGCCCCTTCCGCCCGCCCCTACGGGGTCCACCCAGTCCGAGAGCCGTCAGGGCTCTTCTCAAACCGCGAAACGACGGAAGCTTCAGAAGAAGCCCCCGGGCCCTTCGAAGCCCACCCCCAGTATCGGACAATGAAACCGATTGGGGAATACCCATCGACCGCGGAGTACCGAGCTGCTGGTGTAGCTCCTCCCTCTGAACGGGCGCAACGCGTCGCGACCGTGCCGACCAGCGACCCGCGCAATGAAGCTACTCGCCCTTCCCCCGTCAACGGGGTTGAGAGCCTCACAGCCGACAAAGATCATTTTGATGTCGCTGAAGAAGCGTCACTTGCCTCAATCTCGCGCGAAGTCGAAACCATGGCCAATCGGGCCGTTCGCAACAGCACCACCCCGGCCGATGCAGCCACTCCTACCTCTACCTCCCCGGGCGCGGACGACACCAACAAGTACGTCACCGTGCTGATGTCTCTTCCTTTCCATCCCTCCGACAAATATGATGTTCGCAAACTCCGCGCTCTTATCAAGCAATCCATCATCAACGCAACCAAGGATGACAAGGAGCTGGTTGCCGTCACCCTTCTTTACTTCTGGTCCAATGCTGTGGACGATGAATTCCAACTTTCTTTAGTTGCCAACATGGCCGATGGTGAAGGAGATCAGCAAAAGCAATTTAGCCTCCAAGCCATCCTTAACGAGTCTAGTCAAGAAGCCCAACAGTGGTATCAGAAATACATTCGCGCTACAGCTAATGCAGCAGTTCTTCCCCCCGCAGTGAATCAAGCATGCCATCTGCCAATTCTATTGACGCAGAGCCCAGCTTCAAGGTCTCCGATATTTATCGCGACACAAGTGGTCCTCGTGTTGAGGAAGCTTTCCTGAGCGGCAAATCGAATACCGCTCCACTCAAGAGACCCAAGAAGCCATGCCGAGTCAATGAGAATGCTTACAAACGTAAGCGCCAATGGGAGATGGATCCTGATCACGAGGAAAAGATGCGAATTGTGCGTGCTCGTCTTCAAGCACAGTCTTATTCGGAAAATGACGCGGTTGTTCGGTACAGTGCAATTCGCACCCAGATTGGTCCTCCAGATGCCATTCAACATCCCTACAACATGGAGAACATCGACACTGGTGTCGATAAGGATATCGAGGAGATCAATCGTTCGCGCTCCCTCCCCGCCCAAACTTCTATCCTCGACATCCCTATTTCCAAGGGTCCGGAGCCCGAGGCTCCGTCTGTCTATTCACCATCTGCTTCGGTCATCGCTCGCAAGGCTGGCCAGCCTGTCTCACGACGCCAGAAAGCAAAGGCTAAGGCTCCTGAGCACCCACAGCGTGCGCGGTCGCTTTCTGTTGATACCACAATCTCAACTCTTTCTTCGCTCTCAAATTCTTGCTACTCAGTTCGATTTAACAACTGGTCTGGCGACCATGAACCACGCCAAAACCCGAATTCTATGTACGTGATTTCTTGGCGTGACTTGGCCCAGTTCTATGTGCTAACATGACATCTTACAGTGAACCCCCCGACAACAGCGACGATTGCCACCAATGTGGAAAAGGTGGCGATTTACTCTGCTGCGACACATGTATTAATTCTTACCATTTCGAATGCTTGGATCCCCCCTTGGATCCCAAGAATCCGCCAAAGGGAGAGTGGCACTGCCCCCAGTGTTCCATTCGCAACAGTTTCTCGACCCTGATCGCACACTCCAAACACTACAAGAAGACAGAGTTCCAACTTCCCCAGGATGTCAAGGAACATTTCGAGGGAGTGGATGAAGGAGTTGTGTTTGATGAAGACTATGCCCGGAATTTGAAGCATCAACGTTACTACAAGTCCGCGCCCCACCTGCCGCGGCTGACTAAAGCACCCAAGCAGGACGGCCCTATTATTTACGCGAATCCCATGCTTCTCCGTGAATACGACAACAAGGGAGACTGCATCCGTTGCTCCAAGTGTGGTTTTACATCCCAAGGTACACGTCCCATTATTACTTGCGACTACTGTCCTTGCCGCTTTCATCTGGATTGCCTTGATCCTCCCCGCGCACATCCCCCTAACCCAAAGGTCGGGTGGATGTGTCCTAATCATGTCACGCCTGACGATATGATTGCCACCAAGGATCTTAATGGCAGCGATGAGCGTATCCGCCGTATTCGTCGAACCAAGAACATGGCCTTCATTGATTGTGACATCATGGTTCCTGACGACCCAAATCAGAGTTTGTTTGACGAAGACTGGAGAGAGAAACGAGCCCGTTTCCTCGGAGGTGATGTCTGCTTGAATTTCATCACTGCTGTCAAAGAAGATCACCATGAAAGTCAAAAGAAATATGCCAAAGATGTTGAGCAAAAGTGCTTGGACTTGACCAAGCAAATCACCAATGACTACATCAACCGTGCTGAAACCGCCGGATCCAGCACCAACATCACCCAAACAGGTCTTCCCACCGACCTCTCCCGAAATGTTTCTTACGCTGTTAACAGCATGATCGTCGGCGCTCCCGTTTCCAATGACGAGTTTGACGCTGCCGCTGCTCTCCTCAGCATGGCTGCAAGCCAGCCTGCTCCTCCTGTTCCTGCTGTCGGCGAAGGCCACATCGCCGCAGCTGCCGGGCCTACCTCGCCCGTTGCTCAGAAGACTTCGTCCGGCATTGATGAGGAGTCCACCTTGGGATCCTCTCACGCTGCCAATTCTCCCCCCCCTCAACCCCGAATCCTCCCGCCCTCCTTCGGAGTCGCACCCCGACTCCGAGGTTCTCCCCCGGATCCCTGTGTTCAATCGCAAGCGATCCCGCGCTGCTGACCAGGGATCTGGGGGAGAACCGGCGCGCAAGCGCCAATACTCCAAGTCCAAGTGAGGTGAGCCAGGTGGCTCACCTCAATTCAGAACGCTGAGGCCTTTCACCTCAATTCAAAGTACACATGAAAAGGCCCTGAGGTGAAAGGCCTTGGCGTTCTGAATTGTGGATTTGTTTCTCTTGTTTTTTCTGTTTTGTTTTTTTTTTTTTTTTTCTAAAAATGTTTCAATTTCCCGATTGCCAGGGAGGCAATCGGGTGTTCCTCCGGGCTGCCCGGCCACGCCAGTTTTCTTTCAATGATGTTTTTTAACTTGCTTTGTTTTTTTTTTTGTTTTTTTTTTCTCAAAAAAAAAATTGCGTGGCCGGGTGGCTCGGAGGAACAATATGTACGATAGCATGGGCCAAAGGCCAAATGAATATTTGTCAGATTACTTTTCTCTCACTTGTAGATGTAAGAACTCTCGGATTTTCATGAACGTAATGATATTCGTACTCTATACATAATTTCTGGAAGGATAAATCAATACCGGTGCTCACCTCCGGGCAGGGCACACTTGTCAATATTATGAGTATCCCCCCACCCTTCATCACACAATGACTCCAGACAATACAGATTCAGATGGGACCAGGGGGTGAGGGGAAGCGAGGGACAAAACGGGGGTGCTCAAAGGAACTTCTTGGGCATGTTGGCCCGGCGACGCTTATAGATGACGTAGGAGATCACAAGGACCACCTGGAACGCGATCAGCAAGAAGATGAAGAAGCCCATACGAGGGCTAGAAGCGGTAATGACTATAAGATGAGAGAAAAGCAATTAGCAGATTGAACGAATTGAATCATCTGAACAAAGCAAGCGGACTTACCACTCAGCAGGTGACCCTGCAAGTTCTCACTCAGGCTGAGGTGGGATGAGCGCAGCGTCTCGTGGAGCTGGTTGAAGCGTCCACTGTAGTCCTTGCTCTGGAGAGCGACGCTTTGCAGTTCGGACTGGACGACCTGGAGCGCCTGCTCGACACGCGAAAGACGGGCATCGAATTGGGCGAGCTGGCGTTCCTGGGTCAGGGACTTTTGGACAAGCTCTGCGTGGCGCTGATCGGCCTTCTGGGCTTGGTTCTTGATTTCCTGGAGGATGAGGTTGGTGGCCTTACTGGCCAGCTGGATGCGACCGCTGAGGTCGGTGATCTGGGTAGCCAAGCCGTTCATGTTGACTTCGGCGCCCGAGTTAATTATCGGCTGAGCAGGCTGGTCAGGAATTTCATTGACAATTGGCTGCTGGGGAGTGCTGCCTTGGTTGGAGGGAATTGTCGAGCCTTGGCTTGCGGCGGACTCGAGGATGAACTTGAAGACCTCGAATGTATCTGGGTTTTCGGGAGTGGCTGCTGTGATACCAAAGGTGTTTCCAGCGGGTAGGGTGACCTGTGAAGGTTAGTATGTTCAAGGTGGGTGCAGCATGATGTCGGCGGGATATGGTGTGTGCATACTTTGTTGGTTGAGAAGCAAAGCTTGTCGTCAATGGTGACTTCAAAGATAGAGCTAGTGTGTTTGAGTTTGAAAATTGATGGACGGCCTAGGTTGCGGTAGGAGTAGTCGCAGTGGCCAAAGGCTAAGTTGTCTGGGCTGTTATGGCTTTTGTAATCGATGGTACCGTCATTCAGGAATCCACGGACACTGCCACCCTATAGGTAAGGTTAATCAATACGCCTCGACAATACGGGACAGGGCCAATACGCACTCTTCCACCATGCGTATCAATTACTAGAGCGAAGCCATCGAATCGGCCCACAGTATAGATGCTCGAGGTACCAATGCTAGACTGGCCTTCCTTGGTATACCATAATTGCAGGATTCCACCCGCTCTTTCTGGTCCGCTTGCTCGGAATTGAAGTTCTGCTGACCATTCCGACTGAGAGACTCTATATCAATGTTATTATCCGGTGTCCGGTATCACGGCTTGAAGCCCATCACTTACGGACTTTGCGCCCAAGCTGATCCCCGTGTGTTTCCAGGGTACGGCGGCGTTAAGATGAGCTTGTCTGATAGCTGTACAGCTGTTAGATCAGTTCGGCCATGTTTCATATAGGCCGACTCACAACAGACGGTTCATGGCCCTCTCCTCCGATTACCCATCCGGGGATAGAGTCTCTGTGTGGTGATATCCTGGTCTGAAGGTCAGCTCAGTCAAAGGCTGAACATGGGCATTATACTAACGTTTGACCGGTTCCGAAGCTAGAGCTTTCAATAATCTGGGCTGTGGACCCTACGGCAAGCAATGCCAGGGAAGCTAACGTTCTGATCATGTTGTGTGATTTAACGGCTCGTGGAGCTTGATGATGATATAGATTTGCGGAATTTTTGCGCAGCAGATATCAGCGCTTGCTATGGTTTGAGTCGCGGTCACAATTCCGATTGCAAATGCTGGAGACAACACTAGTGGTGATCCAGCCGACAACAATGGCAATAATGCAGAGGCGAGCTTCCTTCGCAATGACGGCGGCCGATGGTGAGAAATCAATGAAGTGATGGAGTTGTACACTATTGAGAATCGTGTGGCGGATTCCGACGTCTGTGAAGTCCATACGGAGAGTGTGTTTCTTTTTGACTGATATGCGTTGTATTGACTTATCTGTCCTTACTGCCCAGGTGTTTGGCTCCTGATTTGACCTCCGACCTCCGCATTGTCACGTGTTCGCAAAATACCGTGCGGAGGAAGCTACTCACTTCGCCGATTTGCGCATTCCTGCATCTTGTGTCTTCTCATTTCCAACACCGCTACCCCATCATGCGCAGGAGCTCCAATGGCTGACTTATACCCTTCATTGGCGCAATGCGCCATCGTTGCAGCTGCCTTCAAGGTGCTGCTCTTCCCCGCATAGTAAGTCCCGCTCGTCTTGCCACAGCAAAAAATATCAAGGAGACAGGTGGAAAGATATCGAACAAGCACTGCAAAACAGCTGCCAAAAAACTACAAAGGAGACCCAACGGGAGTTTGGACCAGGATATCGGGGTTACCAAATGAGCTTTGCTGACATGCTTTTGTTTGTGTTGTAGCAAATCGACCGATTTTGAGGTCCATCGCAATTGGCTCGCCATCACCCATTCTCTCCCAATTCAAGAATGGTATTACGAGGTACGCTCAGTCGGGGCGCATGATTATTGGGCAAGTGTCGTCAGTGTTGACTTAGGTTGGTCTAGAAAACCTCGGAATGGACGCTCGATTACCCACCGTTCTTTGCAGCCTTCGAGTGGCTGATGTCGCAGGCTGCTGCGTATGCAGACCCTGCTATGTTGGTCGTGAAGAACCTTGGCTATGACTCCTGGCAGACTGTCTACTTTCAAAGAGCAACTGTCATTTTGACAGAGCTAGTTCTCGTCTATGCACTTAGTCGGTATGGCACTCGATCTTGTCTTTTCATCGATTGAATGGAATTCTGACTGCCGTTCAATAGATTTATTAAGTCCGTTCCTTTGCCGAACAGGCAGGCTGCACATGTGGCCAGTCTTTCCATCCTGCTATCCCCCGGTCTCCTTATCATTGATCATATCCACTTCCAATACAATGGCTTCATGTATGGACTCCTGGTCCTATCAATTGTCCTGGCTCGCAAGCAATCGACTCTCCTTTACAGTGGCATCCTCTTCGCGGTGCTGCTATGCATGAAGCACATATATCTCTATCTCGCTCTCGCCTACTTCGTCTATCTGCTGCGCACCTATTGCCTTAGTCTCAAATCAGTTTTCCGGCCCCGATTCGGTAATATTTTCAAACTTGGATTCTGCGTGGTTGGCGTTTTTGCAATTGCCTTTGGGCCATTTGCCCAATGGGGCCAATTGATGCAGCTCAAGGACAGGCTGTTTCCGTTTTCCAGAGGGCTGTGTCACGCGTACTGGGCGCCAAATATCTGGGCTATGTACTCCTTTGCTGATCGAGCACTTATTTCTGGTAAGTGGTCTCTATCGCTCCTGCCGCACCCGAAATACAATTTTATCTGACAACGTCTGTAGTTGCTCCACGGCTGGGCCTTCCTGTGAACACCGATGCTCTGAACAGCGTCACACGAGGACTGGTGGGAGACACCTCTTTTGCTGTCCTTCCCGAGGTTACAAAGGAACAAACTTTCATATTGACATTCTTGTTCCAGCTGGTAAGTGTTCCTCGTCTTGTGTCTTTGGCCTTCTCTCACAGTTGCCTAGGTTCCTCTCGTCAAGGTATGGTTCAACCCAGGGTGTTGGGATACTTTTGTCGGTGCAATCACTCTCTGTGGCTATGCATCATTCCTCTTCGGCTGGCATGTGCATGAGAAAGCCATTCTCCTCATTATCATCCCATTCAGTCTGATCGCCCTCAAGGACCGTCGCTACTTCAGCGCCTTCCGACCTCTGGCAGTTGCAGGGCATGTCTCACTCTTTCCACTCCTATTTACAGCAGCCGACTTCCCCCTCAAGACCATTTATACAGTCATGTGGTTAGTGCTGTTCCTCTTCGTCTTCGACCGAGTTGCACCTGTCCCCGAGCGGCCCCGAATTTTCCTATTCGACCGGCTTTCGCTGCTTTATTTGACCATTTCTATTCCTTTGATTATCTACTGCTCCCTGGGGCACCACTTGATATTCGGATGGGACCGGCTAGAGTTCCTACCATTGATGTTCATGAGCAGTTATTGTGCCCTCGGCGTTGTCGGAAGCTGGGTTGGGTTCATGGTGGTTTATTTTACATCTTAGATTTATCAAAATAAGGATCAAATAATTATTTCATATCTTTGGCTGTCAAGTATGAACTTCAAACCTCTCGAGGTCATTTGAAGTGATTCACAGGGGCAATATCCAGATGTAGAATGTTTGCATTGTTTGTTTCCACGTGGATAAGACCCACGGCTCACAGAGTCTATTCCCTCACTAGTCCCAATCTGGTTAGTCTCCCTTCATCCATGGTAGGCCTGCAGCCAAATGCAGGTCGGATAGAAACATGGGGGAAGATTTCTGTTTTCTGTTCTTCCATTCTAGGACTATGCTGGCAATTTGGATGTAAATATCTCGGTGTTCTCTTACCTATTTGGTTTATTTACTGGTATAGGTAATTGTCTGGTTATCAAAATTCATATATACTGCACATATATATTTCCAAATGTGAAAGTTCGCCTTAACCAGCTTGTCTAGATATTTTCACCTTCCACTAGCTACTAACAGTTATTTCAAGGTTACTAGGTGAAATTACAAGCAACCGGGCTAAAGCAACAAAATATCAAACATATATACCCACAATGATTGTGAGTGGCGGTTTTACACATAAAGCACGTTTGTTATTCACGTCTAGCCGCGCGACAAACAGTCACAAAAAAAAGGGTGTGATGAGATGTAAAAGAGAAGCTCTTGAAATCCAGTAAGTATAGGCAGATACGGAGTACTGTTTATTCAATAATAGATATCTGGGTGGCCAATGCACTTGTGACACCGTGGCTGAAGAAGGTGTATCAAATCTACATGGATGCCAACCATAGCTGCTTACTTTCTAAAGAATTATAAAGGTGATGTATAGTCATCAGCCAAGATACCTGATCTAGGATGTGCATACAAAGCTCTTTGATAATCATGACTTGCACCTCAGTGGAATACAGTCTCAAAATAGATCTGGGTATATTTTAAGTATGAAATATGACTACATAGGTAGATGACGGTAGGGTGAACAAATAAGACCTGAGCAATTAAAGCCAAAGAGAATATTGTTGAAAGGTTGATGTTTCATGCTAAAAATACAAACAAAGCTGGTGGTTGGCATGAACCCGTTAGTTCCAATTGATTGTCCCGATCTTAGCCCCCGGGGTGGTGACCGAAGAATAGGCGAGAATTGATAATCGCATTCAAGAATAGAAATTTGACAGAAACTTGAAGTGAAAAGGATCTAGATAAATTCTCCTCAACCAGAGGAGTCGAATGAGGGTAAATACGGGTAGAGTTGGGAAAGAAAGGAAGAAATAATTGATAGTCGGGGGGATGACGAGGGAGAGGGAGAGTCGAGGGTCCCGAGGAAAGCCCAGCGTTTTTCTGCTGGGCTTTGGCTCCCGCTTGCTCCTCCTCTCCACCAATCAGCATCCACCGCTGATTCGCGGTCCTGCAATGATCTACCGCTTCCTTTTTGTCTACCTTTCTTCTTTCCTGCTTCCTACATCCTCAAATATTCACTTCCCCCCCTCACCTGATATTATACCAGCTCATCACCTCAGAATCGCTTGGTTCGCCAACTTCATACTAGACGCGTTCTACTCCGGTAAGTCCGCATGAATTCCCGAGGCATCGCTATTCCACTGTTCGCGCGTATTCTGGATCTGCGACCAGGCCTGATCATGACAATTCCCTCCCACAACCGCCACCTCCCCACGCAACGGTGCACCCGAGTAACTGGAATATCTACAATCTATATCACAGCTCCCGTTACCTCCGCCGATTGCGTGTCTGACGCGGTCTCTACCTTCACACACTCAATCGACAAGCTTCACTCGCTAACTAAGATCGCGTTTTGTTTAGTCCCGTTCATGATCGATTCTGTACACGGTAGCTCCTGGCCGACTGGCGCGTCCACACTTAATACTTAAAGCATCATGGTATGCAACACCGTATCCGATGGAATGATTGCGGAGATGCCATGAAGAAAGTGGTGAATGTTACGGAGACAAAGAGACTGACGCAATTGCATGGATAGGTTTTATTCAAACGGAAACCGGTCCAATACCTCCCACAAACTGTCATTGAAGATGATAGCTCCGAGGTATGTATTTTATTACGCATACTGCAGACTTTCTCGCTGATCTTCTTTTTTTTCCCTTCCAGGTTTGGGTTATTCCGGAGACCAATGAGGTCTTCACCAGCTATGAGCCTTATCTCCAGCGAATGGACTTTTACAAACAACGCCGTTTCATCTGCGAGATCACCGGCCATTCGGGCTTAACCTTTTTCGAGGCGCTCCGTAGCGAGGTATGTTATAATATGGGCACCAAGTGATGGATATATGCTAAGCCTTCACTAGACGGAGGAGTCGCGTGAAGTTAACAACAGTTTCCCCGATGCGCTGAGAGAGCCTATTCTGCGCAGGATTCAGTTCTCTACAGTTTCGAGGGTGGACAGCCTGGGTATGCTATTCCTGTCATTTCTAGTAGTTTGAAACAAGCTAATATTACTCTTTCTCAGTGGATGAAATATATGAAGTGAGATAATCCCATCATCTATTAACAACTGATCTAACAAACCTAGGAATTCAAATCAGACTTCTACCCAGGCGAAGCTGTGCTCATTTTGCTTGAGGATAGTAGTCGGCTTCATGGTACCATCAGAGACAAGGCAAACTTCGCAGAACAGTTATATGCCGATGGAACCATTAAAACACCTGCTTTTGCCAGGTATCTGGTTAAGATCCTGGATCGACAAAATGAAGAGGCCCTGCTGGACCAGGACCACATCACGCGCGACCGAAAGGCATTCACTAAACTGATGCTGCGCGGATTTATCAAAAACAACGTCACCAGAGAATCCTGGACAGGTGCCCCCTGGTTGGTCAAACCATCTGTCGCAGAGACATACAAGATTCCAATCGAGGTGCCTAAGCATCTGCAGTATGGTGCGAAGGTAGCAGAGAAGAAGGCGATGAAGAAAGCGGACCAAGATGGCTTCTTCGGTTTCTTTTCTTCTCAGCAGCTGCCCGAGCTGAAACCCGCAGTTAAGGGACAGAAATCAAAATTATCTGCACACGACATGGCAAAATCAAGGGAGGCCCAGTACCAAGAGTATCAGCGGTCACTGAATGGTAACCCATCATTCCTTCTGCCTTCCAACCCTTTGCGCCCCTCCAAACCGCCACTGGTTGGCGATAGGAAGCTTGCCGGACTCCCGGCAGTTGTCATCAAGAACGAGCCAAGAGCACTGTCCCCACCACCAATCAAGTATCCTATCGAAGATCTGGACCTTGCTCCTAATTCTGAAAAGCAGCACCGGCCTACCTTGAAATTTATGATGGTAGGCGAGTCTGAAGACGATGGTGCCGCGGACCTTTTGCTTGATGATCTTGAGCCGGAAACGGTGGGTTTGCTCCTGGAGACTTGGGACACACTCAATGTCTACTGTGAAGTATTCGAACTGGATTCTTTCACCTTTGACGATTTCATTCAAGCTATGCGGTTCTCATCCGATGAAGTGGACTGCGAGCTGTTTGTTGAAGTGCATTGCGCCGTTCTTAAAAAACTTGTCAATTCATCAGATGATGATGGTGCTGTTCAGATTTCACTCCCAGACTTCCCTGCTGAGGATTCCGACGAATCTGAATCCGAAGAGGAGGAGGAAGAGGAGGAGGAAGAAGAGGCCGAAAAGGAGACCCCAGAGCCTCAGGCGAAGCCCGGGAGAATGACAACTAGAGGAAGTTTGGCCAAGGAAGAGGCAGTCGTCATCAAAGCACAGATTAATGAAGACGAACCCGAGGAGATAAAGATCCATCGTGCCGGCGAAATGTTTGAGAAATATGGCTGGATTGATCGTCTCCGCAAACGCGATTTCCGCAATGGTGGATGGCAGTTGGTGATGGTTGGACTTTTGCACCAGCTATCTATCCGTCCTCGCTCGGAACAAGTCTGCAACACCATTCTCAAGCATCTGGCACCCCTCGATCGCGAGCCTACACAGTATACCGTACAGGAGCAGTACCAAACACTTGATATCAATTTGCGTACCAAGGCGCTTCAGATGATTTGCATGTTGAGCTTGGAGACCAAAGCCATCCGGAACTATCTAGAAGAGTGCAGCAATCAGATGACAGAGTTGCGCAAGGAGAAAATCGAGTATCAGAAGGCGCGCAAAGCAGGGTAAGCCAATCCTTGACTATTGTCATTTCAACTGCTAACATCGGCTTTCAGACTCATCGAGCTTCGTCAGCTGCACCAGGAACGCAAGGCTGTTCAGCCCGAACCCGAAAAGGCCGGCAAGTCACCTACGCCAGTGCCCGAGCTGGACGGCTTGGATGATTCTCGGTTGGAAGGGGACTCTGAAATGGTTGGGGACACAGAAGACGAGGATATCCCTCGACCACGCTCATTACGCGGAGGGATTGATCGGGCCTTGGAGCGTAAACGGAAGCAAGAATTGGAAAAGGAGCGTAAGGAGATATTGGCGAAGCAGCCTAAAGGGTCCAAGCAATACCAGCGAGTCTTGAAAAAGATTGACGAGCAAAAGGCAAAGATCGAGAAGCTCCAGGATCAGATCGAGACTGTGGAGAACAGCCTTCGTGAAACCGACTGCCCTCGAACCCGATGCCTTGGACTGGATCGCTTCTGCAATCGCTACTGGTGGTTTGAGCGTAATGCGATGCCCTACGAGGGTATGCCGGAAAGCTCAACGGCCGAGGCATGCTATGCCAATGGCCGCCTGTGGGTTCAAGGCCCGGATGAAATGGAGCACGCCGGCTTCATCGACGTGACTGACGAGCAGCGCAAGCAGTACCAGAAGCATTTCCAAACCACCCCTGCAGAGCGCAAGAAGAACGAAGAAGGGCCAACCCATGTGTCAAATGCCCGTGAATGGGGCTACTATGAAGACCCAGAGGCAATTGAACAGCTCGTGGTGTGGCTGGACTCGCGCGGCAACCGGGAGTCCAAGTTGCTGAAGGAGCTGCTCATCCAGCAAGAGTACATCGCCAAGTACATGAAGAATCGCAAGGCGTACCTAGCCGAGACGCCTGATAGAGCTGAGTCGGAGGACATCCCGGCCAAACGTGTCACCACCCGGACCAAGACCTATGTGGATGTGAATGAGAATAGCCCCCGCTGCCTGCGCTGGAAAAACACGACGGCGTTGTCCCAGCATGGACATCTCCATGTTGATCCTGGGCGGCCAGCCAAGCGCAAGCGGGTTTCGGATGACACTAGAGTGACCAAGGCAGCTAAACAGGCCAAGCAGGCTAAGCCCTTGACCCGAACACGCGCTCAGCGCAAGGGGTAATGCCTTCAGAAGTCATTAGTTCTACATACAATATCACGCGACCACGATATTCTTTGTACTTCGTATACATTTCGAGCTGCATGGAGACGGGGAGTTCATTTCCTTTCTAACTAGCATTTTTTTTGGGAAGAAGTTAAATAGCTTAGAAGCAATGCAATAACATAGAACAAGTATTCTTCCCAATAGAATAAATCTAGACTTGCAATGAGGGCTACAATGAAGGCTACAGGATAGATTATCGGCTACATGTCCCAATTAGGACTAGTGACGACAGAAAGCGATGACAAACCGGCATCTCGGGACTCGCTGATTTTGCGGGCCGTATTAATACTGTAATCCGCCGGCTATTCGCGGAGAGTCGCTGGTATCGGCATGTCAGAATGTTCGTACATAACGATATCTGGAACCATCCAAATTTCGCAAATACGTCAGTGGAAAACAGCACATAACGTTATTACTCTTTCACCTTTTGCCATTGTATTGTCATATCCTTCTTTCAATTTCGTTTTAAGCTTGCTGTGCTACACACTTAACTACTATACCTGCATGCACAGTTGCAGCGTTCCGAAGATCATCCGATACGCCGAGAATATTCGTTGATTATCGCCGAAACTGATCACGAGGACGACTGCCCCGGATATTCTCACCCCTCCTGTGAGCCTCGGTTGCTCTCACAATCCCGTCTTTTTTCCCTCTTCCTATCCCATGTCGACTGGTCATTCGGACCATGCCTATGACCCCGACAAATCCCCAGACTCTACTCCGCAGTCCGCTCTGATGAGCGAGACCGTACACCGGGGATCGTCGCCCGTCGGCGGCGTCACGAAACTAATTGTGTCAAATAATTCCGCCGCCATGGACAAATCAGATAATGGCGACACCAAGATTAAAAAGCGTTCTATGGATTATGTGATAAGGAGTGGAATTGCTGGAGGGCTGGCAGGGTGTGCGGTAAGTTTCGATCCGTTACAGGTGATTGCGAGTTTTGTACTGACCGATGCGCCGGACGTTATAGGCCAAGACCGTGGTAGCGCCCCTCGATCGCGTGAAGATTCTCTTCCAGGCGTCAAACCCTCAATTCGCCAAATACACAGGCAGCTGGACTGGCCTGGCAGCAGCGATTCGAGATATCAAGCGCACCGAAGGCTTCCAGGGCCTGTACAAGGGCCATTCAGTGACTCTCCTTCGAATTTTTCCATATGCCGCGATAAAGTTTCTTGCATACGAGCAGATCCGTGCAGTTATCATTCCTTCCAGCGAACATGAGACCCCATTCCGCCGCTTGGTCTCCGGCAGTTTAGCCGGTGTCACCTCTGTATGTTTCACATATCCACTAGAGTTGATGCGCGTGCGAATGGCATTTGAAACCCGACAATCGCATCGCTCAGGCTTGGTGGATATATGGCGGCAAATCTATCATGAGCGTGTTCAACCCCCACCAACAACCAAATCTGCCGCGGCCGCGCAGTCCTCTTCCGTTGCTGTTGCCGAAAGTGCTTCATCTGCCGTTTCGAAAGTTGTCCCGCGCACCGGAATTACCAATTTCTACCGCGGCTTCTCCCCTACTATCCTCGGAATGCTCCCTTATGCCGGAATGTCTTTCCTTACGCATGACACAGTGGGTGACTTGTTCCGCCACCCAAGCGTAGCGCCCTACACTCTCAGAAAAACAACAGAGCCAGAAAACCCCGCGGATCGACCCAAACGACCGCAGCTCAATACCACATCTGAGCTTCTGTCTGGTGCTATGGCCGGTCTAGTTTCGCAGACTTCATCATACCCAGTGGAGGTCCTCCGCCGGCGGATGCAAGTCGGTGGTGCAATTGGTGATGGACGCCGACTCGGCATTGCAGAGACGGCTCGTACGATCTGGCTTGAGAGAGGCTTCAGAGGATTCTGGGTCGGACTAACCATTGGATACGTTAAAGTTGTGCCCATGGTTGCAGTGAGCTTCTACGTTTATGAGCGAGCAAAGGTGTCGTTGGGGATCAATTAGACTTGTGACATACTCAATTTTTTGTCCTTTCTTTGCATATACCATGAGGGCTCTTGATACTAGTTCTCTGTGGCGTTTCGTGGATACCTTGGGTCGGTTCTTTTTAACATACGGTGCCTGAAGGGCTTCTTCAGAGATATACCAGTACAAAATTTCCAAAGAATTTTCTTTAGTTTTTCATCAAAATTTATTTTAAAGCCCTTCTAAGCTGAACTGTCTCATACATCTGATAACTATCGACTTGGATAGGTGGCTGATGGTGTGGCTGATTGGTAGATCTAACCTTGGAACGGGTCGACTCCGAGGGCACAGACCACCCGCATAAAAAAAGTTGCAGACTTCTGCCTCCCACGACCAAGCCTATCAACCCTACTCGGATTTTTACAAAATGACGACCCGCAAACATAACGATTTCCTAGACATCGCGGCCAGTGACGATGAGGCCAGCGGCAGCGACCGCGGCTACGACTCCGAAGCCAATGTGGTGGAGAGCAAAGGCCGGGCCGTGAAGCGGCGACGGACGACAAGCACACAAAATTTCTCGCAGGAGTCTGACGAAGACGAGGATGAAGACAACAAAGATACCGAAAACAAAGATGAAGATAACGAGGACGAAGACGGTGGCGCAAGCCTAAAAGACTCAGAACAACCCAGCACCAAACCAGCCAAGTCGCTCAAAGCAAAGGGCAAGCTTGCTAAGCTGTCTAAACTGGCCAACGGAAAAGAGCCCAAGAAAACACGCTCAGGCGTCATATACTTCTCTTCCCTCCCGCCATATCTGAAACCCTTCGCCTTGAAAGCAATGCTAGAGAAGAGAGGGTTCGGAGATATCACGAAGATCTTCCTAGCGCCTCTTCTCCCGTCTGCAGCCGGTAATCGAAATCGATCGAATAAGAGAAAACTCTACACCGAAGGATGGATCGAGTTCGCCAACAAGAAGACGGCCAAGATCTGCGCGGAGACATTGAATGCGACTATTGTTGGTGGTTTGAAGTCAAGCTGTGAGTCTACCTGTTATTGCTGCCATTATCTACGTCCCTGCTATTTCGATATGAATACTGACCAGTGCAATGATTGTAGGGTATCACGATGATGTCTGGAACATAAAGTATCTCTCACGGTTCACTTGGGATGATCTTATGCAATCCGTACAACGAGAGCGATCTGAACGGGAAAGCAAGCAGAAGATTGCTGATGCTCGCGAAGCCAAGGAAGCTAAATTATTCATTGAGGGTGTTGAGCGTGGTCGGATTGCTGATGGCATGGCGAAAAAGAATGAGGAGAAGATGAAGAGGCGGTTGGAGGAGGCTGGTAATGACGATAAGGAACTGCCGCAGCCCAAGAAGGCTGCGCAGTCTACAAAAAGGCGGTTCCATTTCCAGCAGAATGAGGTTGTTAAGGGATCGAAGGATGGCGCTATGGCCGATGAGGCGAAGCGGGTGCTCGGGAAGATCTTCTGAGCTAGAATTTTATGGGGAACATTGTTTTTATTGGCTTCTATAGCATCCGGTATGTTTAAGGTTGACAGCCCGGTCTTCTAATATCATTCACCAAAATGTAACATTCTGATGTTGATGAGTACATTTGACTGAAATTCGACATTCTTTTCTCCCTGTAGACTCCATTCAGTACTAAATTCATCCTAATGGTGATGCAAATACACAATCACGGCTCTAGTATCTCGAACAATACACTTGTTTGTTCTGCTTCAAACTCAACTCCTTTCTCTTTGAGTAGGGGATGGAAGGTGGCAATGGTCATTATCCACCTTGTACATAAAAAATGTACAACATAGACACTCGCATTGTCAATCGCTCTGCCCTAAGCAACTGTCGTTTTGATCCTGGGTGTTCTCTCTGGTAAGTAAGAAATTGAGAGGATTTTGTACTGGACCTTCCATTTATCTCTCTAGTCAATATCGCATTAAATTTCTGATGATATATCCTAAGGTTTAATAGTAAACATTGTTTATAACCCGTCGCGTTCTCGCTTCAAGTTCTCGAATTCTAGATTCTCGACACATCCTTCTATTCTGATCTTATGGCAATCTTCTTCTTTTTACTTCCTCATAATAACAAACGTTAAATTTACCCTAATCATTGTTGTAAAATTCAATAAAAGGTCCATACACTACGAGTAGGGAGCGAATAGTGGCTTGTCAAACGTCTCTAATGCTTTGCGACCACAAATATAGCCCTAGAAAATGCTACTTTTCTAACCAACACTCCTACAATCTACTCTCAACCCATCTTCATAATTTTTACCTTGGAACCGGCTTTGTGCTCGAATTTATATACTTTGATTCATTTTCATCTGAAGCAATTGATTTTTCTCTAGATAAGTCTATAAAGAGAGATGTATAACTATGTCCTGGAATAAGAATTCAATGGTTTGTACCTGCATGCTGTACATCGAGTGTATCAATTTGGAAATAATGAACTTTTTTGTTGATTGAAACCCAGAAAACACAAACGCCAACCAGTGCCATGATCATCAATGATAACATTCGAATTGTTACTAGTTGTCCTCCATGTTCAATTCATCAAAGTCATCAAGCAGTTCATCCATGTTGATTTTCGGCACGGCGTTTCCATCTTCGTCCATCTCATCATCGCCATCCTCGTCCATCTGGTCTGCCCTGACTTTGTATTGTCGGTTCTTGTACAGATCAAGCGTTTGGCGAAGCTCCTCGTCTTCCTCGACGTCACGCAAAAACATTTCGTAATCTTGTTCCATCCTGGCCTGCTCCTGCTCCTGGCGCTTGGTTGTGGGGACATTGACTACAGCAGCAGTCGCCTCCTCTTCGTGCTCGCGAGCCATGCGCTTCAAACGCCAGCTGCGAGCCTTGGACTTCTTGCTGCGGACGTAGTGCTTCTTGATAAGGACCACATCCGGGATTGTTGAGCTGTACTGGTTGCTGTTCTCAATTGCATCGAATTGATCATTGTTGAACTGGGTTCCTGACAAGTGATATCCGAGAACAGAGTCACCCACGTGTAGAACACCACCGAGGTGAGTCCGTGTGAAATAGGTGGTATCGTTAGATCCTAGATCTGAAGCGCGAGCAACTGTGGCCTCAGATAGGAGGTACCGGCCATTAGAGTGGCCGGTGGATTCAATGTCCAAGACAATGAATTCCCTAAGCTCAGTGGTATCTGCAAGATTCGGGAATGGTTGGCGCCAGTAAGTGCTCGTAGGAAGATCGGTTGTCCGGAGAGTGCAAGGGTCCATAAGATTGATAGACGTGCCTACCCGGTAGCAGATAGCGAGTGGGCTTATATCAGACAATGAGCGGGCTAGCTTAATCGGCAGGGCAACCAGATCATCCTTGCAGATAGGGATGATAGAAACTGAGAAATTAAACTTATAGCTGCTCGTCGAAGTATGGATATCCATTGAAATTAATTCATGGCTCTTCTTGACTGTACATGGTACGACGCCTGGTAGCTGTTAGCAGACTTGCGCCTATTAGGAAAAGAGGAAAAAACCGACCTGATAAGAATGAAATCATACGCTCGGCTTCGTTTCTCTTTGCAAAGAAGAAATCAAGACCCTCATTCACTTCCTTGATGTTGACGGTATCCTTGTGGGCGTTGTGTTTGAGGATAAGCTGTTCCAGGTACAAAAAGGTCCGCTTGTGAGGGACCTTCTGTCTGACCTGCACAGATGCTTCCCAACTATGGTGCGTATAACTCTTCTGACAACTGCAGGGAATTAGTTTCAATGTTGTATAGTTTTGGCGGGTGTTGGGGAAGATGAGGAGCGAAGAGGGGAAGGGGGGAGGGGGTGGGTTGGAGGTGGTCAATAAATTGCGTACCCAGGACATTGTTGATTAGCAATAACATATTCAACCTCAAATTGTTGCTGAATGATAGTGCCTTGGAAGGCCTCCGCTTGTAGGTTGTTAGCTTTGATCCCAAGGCTAGATGGGTAGTTGTGCTGAATTGCCGGATACTTTGACCTGCATCAGTAGGGTAAAACTAACTTTGGATGGTGATTTTCAACCTCAATCTCTTCGAATGGGGCTCCGTCCAAATGAAACTAGCGTCAATGATTCGGACTTTGTTCAGACCACGGAGCTTGCGTAGACAAATGGCGAGTAGTTCCTTCGACTCAAGAGCTGCAACGACCCAGCTGTTGGGGGGCTGCAACCACCGTTCGCAATCCCTACAGCAGTGAATCACCGCTTCGCGTTGAACCTATAATTCAAAGGGAGTCCAGGTCAGCTGGAACAGATTATAGTTGTGTAGAAAGGCTTCTTTTGAAAAGCCCACCAATGGATAGAGTTATACATACACCTCCGGCAACATCGACAGTCAGACGAATGCAATCAGAACATAAGGCTCCAGCCGAGAGTGTTCCATCGATGGCAGCGCCACAGTTGCAACACAAGATGCTTAAGAGAGATCAAAGTTAATAAAGGGCTCAGATGGTGGGGAGGAATAGGCAGAAAAAAAGTTGCGATAAGAACTCACGTTGCTGCGACTTTCTCCTGCTGCTCGAAATAGACGGGGGCATCCAGATCCATAGACATCTTGATGAGTATTGAGAATCAGAAATCAGAACCCAATACTGAAAAAATCACCAGGGTATTGAAAAGCCGCAGAATTACAGCATCGTGGATTTGTGATAATTCCCCCCCACCTGAATCTTTTTTCTGATGACTCAGCTGTTTGCAGTGTTTGCTCCTGTTATCTGATATCACGGATGGGAGCAAATCAAGAACTGAACTGTTCGAAGAACTCAAGTTCCCCATTTCTTTTCCCAATCTAACCGTCACCATGAGCAGGGCTCTCTTACGAGGGGCTGCATGCCAGAATTGTCGGCAGTATGTGCTACGATCCTTTGTTTCTATCTCTGGTATCCCAATGCCACGATCCTCTCCTATCTCCAACCCTAGAACTTTCTCCGCCGTAACTTCGCTACAATCTGATCGCCCTCCAACTTCGAACCAGCTTAACAGTCTTCTGTCTGAACCAGAAGAGCCATCAGCACAGTTGGAAAATAATACGCGCAGCCCGTCAGCTTCATCACAGCATGTCCCCTGGTATCTACAGGAAGAGGCGCCGATCATTAAAGAGCGCCCATTGACCGAAGCCCATCTTCCCCAGATCCCAGACGATTCGCCAGAGATGCTCTCGACTCTTTTGGAGTATACGTATAAGGACTTAGGCTTGGATAGTCTCAAGCTTTTTGACCTACGCGGCCTCGAAATCCCTGCAGCTCTCGGTGCCAATGTCATCATGATCATTGGAACTGCTCGCAGTGTGAAGCATTTAAACGTGTCTGCGGATCGTCTCTGTCGCTGGCTGAGAAGTCAGTACAAACTGTCTCCCTACGCCGATGGCTTGCTTGGACGCAACGAGTTGAAAATCAAACTCCGCCGCAAGGCTAAACGAGCACGCGCCGCGAGTGCAGCAGGCGCAATGATTGACGAAAAGGATGATGGAATCACCACAGGATGGATCTGTGTAAATGCGGGGATGGTGGACAAAGGTGCTACTACGACCCAGTTGAGCGATGTTGGAATTGAAGGTTTTGGTAATCTTGACCTTGGGACTAGTGTGGTTGTCCAGATCTTCACCGAGGAGAAGCGGGCTGATGTTGACCTTGATGGTCTATGGGAGGCTACTTTAGCCCGCGAAGGACGCAGGAATATCCGGGAGAGCACAGAAGATTTCTCCAAGACTGGTGCTGCTCCCCCCAGGTCTATGTCCGATGGATTTGGCTCCACTCCTGGCCAAAGGAGAGGATTTCATACCATGCGTAGACTCGAATTATCTGCCATGAATTCCGCCGAGCCTGGTTTAGAAACCGATTTTGCTGGCATGGGAACTTCGTCTTCCAGACTTCCAGGCGGCGCAGCAGCAGTTGCGTCCCAATTGACACCGACGTCTTTGCTTCAGATTCTCACTGAACTTCCAGCTGATAGTGCACGAAATGACCTTGGGAGCGGCCCAAATGATCGCCAGTCCACTCTTTTTCTACGGCTCTTCTATACCAACCACGCCTCGCGCTTTTCTGCACAGGAAAAAGCTACTTTTCGTTTAAAGTTGTTTTCCATTGCTGTGTCTCGGCAACACCCAGCTTACACCAAGGATGCCCTTTTTAGCACATTCTCTGATTTTCTTCGCGACGGGTATGACCTTCCGGATGACCTTGGATTCGATGTTGTTTCTGCGCTTCTAACGCCGAGAACAGCGGGTGTTATCACCGAGCAATCTGAACCCCATTCCCCAAAGGCCGACATGGAGCTTGCTTTGTTAGTGCTGGATCGCTTGAGTCTCCGTGGTGTGCCGATTTTGAACATGAAAATTTTCAATATACTCTATCAAGCAGTCTGTGCACCCAACCCAGCAATTTCGAGCCTGAACCAATTGCGCCCAGAAGAAAGTCCTCCAATTTCGTCTGTGGTTCAACAAACCGAGTCTCAGAAACAGATCTTGTCCCGACTGTCCAAGATACTCGCGGCGGCCAACGTTCCATTTGACGCGGTAGACGCGCGTCAGCTTATGGTGACATTATTCCAATGCGGGGATTACGACGGCTTCTGGCGACTGTGGCGTCAGTTTCCCTTGAAAGGTGCCAATCGTACACAAGAGGATTACGTGCAGCTGTTCAAGTTGCATGCCGAGTTGGGTGAGGAAGTGCGAGCGCGCGAGTGTCTGTCGACGGGGGTACCATTGATGAATCGAGAGTCCCCTGCCATTTTGCTTCAGGGTCCGATTGTGACAGCCATTATGCATTGTATTTTGGTGGCAGATCCGACACTCCAGAACCGAGATGAAGGAGCGTCTCCAAGCTTCTACATGCCGCTCTGGACTGAGTGCCAGGAGGCACTTGCTCGGGAAAATTAAATGAAGGATCAATTTGTAAAATAATTTAGCATATATTCTCTAGTGTACAATATTACTATGCGTGTTTAATATTAAATATTGAAGTTATTAGATCTCCGATGATCTAGGGCATGGATGGATCTCCCGCCCAGTGCTCTGGAGTGATGCACAGAGTACGGAGTAGTCAGCTCGGATAAGTTGAGCCTCGGCATATGATCACTTGGTTCCGGCGACTCTTCCTGTCCATCTCTCTCCATACATCACCCCGCTAAGGATGATTGACACTCCTGACGATGGAGTACCTTCCTAGTCTTCAACAGGAGTTCGACGAGCACAAGCCATCGCTTTTCGGTAAGTCGATTGATGCTTCCCCGCGGAGATGGAGACTCGCCCCAGAAACGGGAAGCACCCCCATACATAACTGGAATCGCTAACGCGGAGATCTTGCTCGACAACAGAACTTCTCGCTGAGCAACAGCTCTCCGATCTCCTTCCTCCGTCTTTGCGTTATCTTCTCGCAGTCGCAACACACCGCCACCCGCGCTATCTCCTTCGGATCCTCAACTCATATGACGAAGTCTACGCCCTCCTTTCATTAATAGTCGAACGCTACTACCTGCGAACATTCGGCGGCTCCTTCACAGAGAACTTTTATTCCCTGAAACGTGAGCGCGTTCTCCGCACTAAGAATGGCGAGATCCCGCGCGCCCAGGTCGGCGCCGCAGGCCCCGTCCGCGAGGCTCTCAAGCTACACTCGACGGATATCTGGAAGAACTTGCTCATCATGGTTGGCATTCCTTACCTGAAATCCAAATTAGACGAAGGATACGACATCCATGTTGCGCCACATGCATCCCTGGTCACCAGCAGCGGCCCACGATATAACCCCAGCGACGATCTGCCGGCCAACCCGTCGCTGCGCCAGCGCCTCTTCTTCTACTACAAATGGTTCCTGCGCAATGTATACCCATCCGTGAATGCAGCATACTATTTCTCCGTTTTGGCATTTAACCTCGCCTACCTCTTCGACAACACAAAGTACTCCTCCCCGTTCCTGTGGCTTATCGGTACGCGCATCCGCCGCCTCGGCACCGCAGACCACCGCGCCATCGCCGCAGTGCTAGATCCCAAGCCTGGCCCCAGCACCGGGCGATCCCAGCGACCCGGCGGAGGTCTGCTGGGTCTCCTTAGTCCCCAGAACCTTCACACCCAGCTCTTGGGCTCGCTGCGCTACTTCCTTCCTGCGTCGATCTTTGCCCTCAAGTTCTTAGAATGGTGGCATGCAAGTGATTTCTCTCGCCAACTCGCCCGTAAGGCAAGTGAGGTTCTGGATCTCCCCGCCCCCGTTGTGGCAGGCTTGACTTCTCCTGCGGAACGACGGAAATCGTCAATCCAAGACGAGAAAGAAAAGGCCAAGAAGCAGGCCGAGCAGGAGAAGAAGAGCGCCGCCAGCGATCTGAAACCAGCACTCAAGCCTCCTCGTCGCCATCAACCCCCCGTCTCCGCGACTTCCTACCTTCCTATTTACACGGTATCTTTGCCTCCGGCTGATCCCTCGAGCGCCAACACTTGCCCTGTTTGCATGGGTGCGCTCGTAAATCCGACTGCTTGCCAGACGGGATATGTGTTCTGTTATGTGTGCATCTTCCACTGGCTGAACGGTGAGCACCAGCGCCAACTGGATTTTATGGCCGGCGAGGGCGCTGGCGCACCGTGGGAAGAGGAGATTACAGGCGATGACGAAGAGATGAAGAAGAGTCCGAGTGGAGACGACTCCGAAGAAGGCCCCCGCAAGCGATCGGGGAAATGGGAGAGTGGCAAAGGGAGGTGTCCTGTCACAGGGAGGAGAGTGCTTGGAGGCACCGAGGGGTTGAGGAGGGTTTTGGTTTGATCTGGGGCTCCGTGGTCTCAATTTTCGATATATTAATCGGTAATCGCGCATTGTACAGCAGATACTTCGAATTAGAAGTTGAGAGGGTACATTGCTCGAATTGTATATATAAGTGCAACAACAGAAATCATGTTTCCCGTCCTGCTACCCCCCCCCCCCCCCCCCCGTTTCAGACACTATCAAGCCCTCCTAAATATTAAGTAAAGATCATGAATAAGAATTCATAAAAAGGCTTGTTCACTGAAAAACTCCCCTCCCTGTCCCTCATGTTTACTGAATACAGTATGCACTGCTTGGAACCCAAGAAATTTCACATGTCATATACCCATACCGCGTGGTTCCATGTAGCATCAAATTCACGGGTATAATGTCTAGTATTTAGTTCAGTATACCGTGAGTTCAATGTAGGCACGAATATCAAATCCAAAACTAGGTTAGCCCACGGGTGTCTTCATTCATGGATGAAGAAGGCGTTTAGTGACCTCGGAACATAGGTAAGTCCATCCGGGCAATTGAGGTCACCCAATGCCTTATTTGTGGAAGGCTCATTGGAAGATTGGGAGATTCCAAAAACTGCAGGAAAACGTCAGGTAGTTCACTCCCGAGGTCGTCTGGTCAATGACCGGGTATGGCAGAGCTAGGTAGTTGCCCTCCTAGGCTATCTGCCATCCGAATTTCGGGAACAGAGACGCCTTAGTTCCAAGGTTGCGGTCTTCCTAGGGTACTCCCATATGACGAGTGGCTGATGGGGGTTAAGGGTAATGGGCGAGCAAACAGTCCGGCCAAACAGAAAGATCCCCAGAGCAT